AATATTCAGAGGGTAAGATGTCAAGGTTATAAATGAGGAGAGGCAAGCCGCTAATTATTTTTCTGCATAATTGTCTGGCATCAAATTTGGACAATGGGGTGGAGCATTACAATCTGAGATGTCGGATAAATATAATTAGACGTAAATTGGAAAATATTGAGAGAGTAAGATGTCAGGGTTATAAACAGGGAGAGGCCCGACGCTACTTCTTTTCCTGCATAATTGGCTGGCATCAAACTTGGAAATTGGGTGGAGCATTACAATCTGTGATGTCGAATAAATATAATTAGACGTAAATTGGAAAATATTCAAAGGGTAAGATGTCAAGGTTATAAATAAGAAGAGGCAAGCCGCTAATTCTTTTTCTGCATAATTGTCTGGCATCAAATTTGGACAATGGGGTGGAGCATTACAATCTGAGATGTCGGATAAATATAATTAGACGTAAATTGGAAAATATTGAGAGAGTAATATGTCAGGGTTATAAACAGGGAGAGGCACGACGCTACTTCTTTTTCTGCATAATTGGCTGGCATCAAACTTGGAAATTGGGTGGAGCATTACAATCTGTGATGTCGAATAAATATAATTAGACGTAAATTGAAAAATATTCAGAGGGTAAGATGTCAGGGTTATAAACAGGGAGAGGCAAGAGCTCATTTCATTTTGTTGTGTCATCGCCTAGTTGTGTTGTGACAAACGATTCGCGATGCAGTTTATGATGACGAATGAATTATACTGTATTTTGTTGTTAAACTGGTAAACTTTAAGTTCAAATTCAATAGACCTTACATCCGAAACATATTGAATGTATGTAGCGTAAATAAAACCTTCAGTTTCAGATAGTTTCAAAGCTGACATGGCAAATTATTGATGTGTGGGATCTATCCGTGTGATCTGCGTGATAAACTTGTAATTTTCTCGTTATAATTTTGTGTGCCTTTCTCACGTGGAGATGCGTTTCAGCATTTCCCATAATCCAATATTTGACATCGAACTGAACAACTGGAAATGGCGAAGTACCCTTGACAGACCGACCCAGCGATAGGAAGACCAAAATGATCAGTAAAGACGAATTTACAAATCTACGTGTAATTAAACTGAGCCATTGGCCGTGCAATAGTCAGACCGAGGTCACGTCTGGGACATCAGCAGGGTAAAGTAATGATGACTCCATCCATTTCTTGTTTACGGGCCCATATATAGGTACAGAAATAAAAGAAGAAAATGACAAAAAATTAAGTAAGATACTTCATAAAATGGAATGATTAATTGGTGTTTCTCAACATTTTAAGCTTAAAAATGGTTAAAGCTTGTTTGACTTCTTTTTTTTTAATACAATTTTAGAAAAATTTTATCAGAAATAATCGTTAAATTCAGGCATACACTTGATCAATTGAGTATGAGTTTAGTTTAATTTTAAATCTGGAGTTCATGACTGTTCAAATGAGGAAAACCTCCAACTTTTCATAAGTTTAATCTTTCTCGCATTGTCCTTTTTTTTGCTTATAACGAATCGCGTTTTAGCTTTTGACATTATCCTTGAAATTTATCGGTTATTACGTAAAACAAACAATGGTATAAATTGTACTAAATTTATGTAAATTGTGTAAAGATTATGATGGTATGATGTTCCTTTCTATGGACAAGGATTTGTGAGACAACGCACATGAAAATAACCGAAAGGAAAACCTTTAAATGCAGTAGTCATGGCGAACAGGTAACTATACACATCACACGTATAAATTTTCAAATTGGTAAATAAAAAACACTAGATAAGTCACACTACCAAAAATCCCGTGTATTTTTTTTCTTATCTGAAATGACGTCGTAATAATAGTCACTAAATTTCAAAATGAAAGGTTCACGAGGAAAAATACAATGGCTTTTGTTGTTTCCTGTTGATATCAGAAAATCTAAACTAATAAATATTCATCGAGAGTTGGCGTTCCCCGAAAAGTTTCCTCAATAAAATAACAGAAATATTCGATTAAGAAATCATTTTATGAAGGTCCAACTTGATAATGTTAACATATTTTGAATGAAAAAACAGGATGTAAAAACAATTAATCATCAGATTTTTTATTATTAATTAATAGTGTTGATAACGATTAATCGGTCCAACGCCATATGAAGAAAAAATCAAACAAATGTAATTCTTTGTACTATATTCCTATAGAAAACAACAAACATATATTTATTTATATTTGAAGTATTTTATTTATATTTATATAAGCCAATATAATCAATATGAACAATCTACCTAAACTCGCATAGTCGAACTTAAAACAAAGAGCAATTAAGTATGAAAATTATTCGAAACGAACATTTCAACAAACCAAAATAGGCGTAAAAAATTTTAAAATGAAATGAATAAATTCTGTTGTTAACTGAGGAAGACACTACCCCATTAGGTAGTGATATTAACCTTCCTCAAAAACTAAATTAATCATTTTTAACTTGAAATTAACCCTTTTTAATTTCAAATTAATCCTCCTTAAATTAACCCTAACTATCCCCACCTTCTTAATTTCAAATTAACAATTTTTACTTTGATATTAACTTTTTTTTAACCTTTTTTTATTTGAAATTAACCGTTTTTAACTTCAAACAAATGATTTCCAATTTGAAATTAACCCTTCTCAAACAAAAACATTTCTACCTTTTTAATTTCAAATGAAACTTTATTTCAAACTAACCATTTCTAATTTCAAATTAACTTTTTTATCTCAAATTAACTATTTTTAATTTGAAATTAACTTTTTTCAAATTCTTTTAATTTCAAATAACCTTTTTTTTAACTTCAAATTACCTATTTCTAATTTGAAATTTAATTTTTTTAATTTCAAATTAAACGTTCTCAAATTAGCCCATCCCTAACCTGCTTAATTTCAAATTAAACTTTTTATTTCAAATTAACCCATTCTAATTTCAAATTAACTTTTGTATTTCAAATTAACCCTTCTTAAACTTTCAATTTAACTTTTTTTAATTAACTTTTTTCAATTGTATTTTTTTCAATTGACTATCAAATTAAACGTTTTTAATTTGAAATTATCTCTTGTTTAATTTCAAATTAACTTTTTCCTTTTTTTTAATTACTTTTTAATTTCAAATTAACTTTTTTTAAATTAGAAATTGACTGATTTTAATTTCAAATTATTCTTTTTTTACTTCAAATTAATCCTTTTCAAATTTTTCATTTTCAATTTTTTTTAAATTAACCTTTTTAATTTTAAATTGACAGTTTATAACGTCAAATTAACTTTTTAATTTCAAATTAGCCCTTTTTATGTTCAAATTAACATTTTCTTTAAACCATAAAAACCTAGGAGATTTGAAACGTAAGTAAGTAAAGTAAAATTTCTATGTTTGGAAACAAACAAAAAATAAAATAATTGGGCTCTCTAAACAATATAACAAATTAATTACAATTAAATTAAAAATTATATACAATTAAATATAAAAACACATTATTATTTTTTTAGAAATAGAAAATACTTTATTATTTACATACGACATGGTTTTCAACGGTCTGTCGGAGACTATTATTCTTTTAATTTGAAATTTTTTTAAATATAAAATAATTCGGTTCTTAAAAAATACAATATATCACATTTCCAATTTTTTTTTTTGTTATATATATCATTTTTAATTTTATTTGTAATTATGATTCATGTTTTTGAGAGCACGATGATTATTGTCATTACAAAAATCTCAAATTAAAAGGAATAATCATTTGTTTTTATATTTAATTTATATAATTTTTAATATTAATTATGATTAATTGTTAGAAGTCTTTTAAGAGCCCTATCATTGTATGTAAAAAAAAACTCAGTAATAATTTGAAGTTGAAAAAGGTTAATTTAAAGTTAAAAAGAGTTAATTGAAATTAAAAAGGATTAATTTGATGGAAAAGTGATATAAAATTTCAATGAAATTATACGATAAATTTGTAAGTTCCAAAGCTAAGACAGGTAAGGATGCTTAATGTAAGTTTCCTCTATATGACATTTACGGTTAATTAATTACACGGCGTTGAAAAATTGTAAAATTTGTTTAATTTAAACTGCTAGACATAAATCTTCGAAATCAAATCAGGTCTAACATTTTTAACATTATGAGTAACAACATGGATTAAATAATTTAACATTCAATTGAAAATAATTATGTTTATCTTCTATTTGTTCTGTGAGAAAAAACTTCTGAACCTAATGTTCTATTTTCATGAAACGGCCACATTTTACTTTAAAAAAACAATGGACACTAAAACAAAAGGTAGGTAGTTTAATTTACAATTTAAAGTTTAAAAAATTTTACCCACGTCCTGCATAATTTTAGGTTATTGAAAGAAACCACGTGAAATTTAAAAGGAGATAATTTGGATTTTTTTAATGTCCAACAATGTAGGAAGATGTTTTAGATTTGTCTAAATACCTAGCATATATACAAAAATCATATGATATTTTTGCTGTTTAACTTTTTCAACTTAGTTTGCATTATGAAATACGTGAAAAACACCGTTTATATTTTTAGCCGACGTTTCGACCTTTATTCGGTCATCTTCAGGGCATAAAGTGTGGTGCTATTCTTGTGGTTTTTGTGAAAGACAACGGTTTCACCCAAAACGAATATGACACCACAAGAATAGCACCTCACTTTATGCCCTGAAGATGACCCGAATAAAGTTCGAAACTCGGAAAAAAACGAAAAAGGCGTTTTTCTATAATACTTTATTCCTGTCCGCTCCTCAAATTATGAAATATTTTCTTAAGATCCAGTGTGGTTTTTACAGAACAATATTTGTGTCTTAGATCGTAGGCAAAATTGTTTTTCTTTTGCACTTTTGGATATTTGGACAATTTTATTATTAAATATTTTATGACTTTTGTAAGGTAGTCCACTGCTTATGAAAGCTGGCTTGTTTTCGGATCTTTAATCAGCCTTTTATTTTATTGCACTTTTATTAAATCAAATTTTCTTTTTTGGAAAAAACACATGGCAAATTACAAATAAATAAAAAAATTATTAGTATGCAGAAAAAAAATGAAATTATATAAGAAATTAGGCCAAATCACGTTCAAAACATTAAAGTATGTGTAAATGAGTCATAAGTTAATGAGACGAGGGTTGGTCATAAAAATCGAATACCCACTGTTGAATGTTTGTTTACGCTTGGCACTCACGTGTTTCTGGGCTCCTGATGGGCGAAAGTCGACGTCGACCGTCCGGAGTCTTGACGATCACTGGCTTTTTCTACCCAGGCTCGGTTGCAATCAAGTGAATATCGACCGAACGAATGCGCGCGCGCCCTCCAACAAATGCAACTCGCCTCGACCTACCGCACTGCGACTCCAACGAAGGACCTCCTGGGTCCTTCTAGTCCTGGAAGGACCGACTTCCCCAGGCGGCGCACTCATTCCCGAAGGAGGGCTTTTCCTACTAGAATAGGGTGTTAAATCGATCGATTTTTATGCCAAAATATTAAGTGCTAAAATCACGAGTTGAAACTATTAAGAAGAGGTCTTAAATTTGGTAAAGTCTTTGTCATTAGATCATTTCCTAATAGAACTGTTTTCACTATTAGAAATATCGACCACTTTTTCACTCACGAATACTCTGGATCAAGTAAAAACATAAATATGTCAATCTGTCGATATATTTAAAATAGGTCGAAAGATTGGCAGTAACAACTGAATTTGCTTTCTTCTTCAAGACCATACCTTGATCCAGAGTGTTCGTGATTTTCTTATAGAATCAGCAATTTTCATCGATTTTTTCTACCTTCCACCTTTTCATTTAACTTTTTTTCTTTAAAACATTTTTTGTCGTTTGATTTACTATGCACTTTACTTTGCTTTTTAACGCTTGAAGATGAGATTTGTTTTGGGTTCATTCTTTTGAATTATGATTTGAGTTCCGACAAATTAGGTTTTTTTTTAACATTTCGGTCTTTTCTCGAATCCTTGGTATATTTTTATGGGAAAAGCGAGTTTTACACACCGGATTCTTTTATATTCGAAAATAGTTTTAAATTTAATTTTTTAGGGAGAATAAGTCAAAATCAGAATACAGATAATTTTGACAATGTTTGTTTTCAAAATTGTGTTGTTATGAGGAGGATCTACTTGTAATTCTTATACTTTCTAAACATACAGCTTTAACTGTTGGCTCTACAGTCTATTTTATAATTAATGACTAGAACCTGAACGCACATTGCGAGAAACTGTTAGAAGGAAGACGTAGAAACAACAAATTTTCCAGAACATTTCGGCCAAAAGATCGGTAGCAAAATAGCAAAATTTTCAACAACCGAGAGATATTTATTTAGGTTAATTGTTAACCAAAATTCGGATAATTGAAAATTATACTGAGTGTGAGGTTTTAATGTTGAGAAGCAACGAAAAGGACTTATTTCTGAATACCAAATTTGGAGAAGAAACCCGTTTTATTAATGTGTATTTATATGACCCAAATTGTTTTGGTCATAAAAATACCACATTCAACATGTCCGCACAACCAAAATACAAGAAAAAATATTTCAAAGTACTAATGCCAGTGTTGCACCTGGAGCACATTCTATGAGAAATCAGCTAATGATGGCACTCAGTGTGAAAATTAAGAGGCCATCGTCGATTAAGATCCATTTGGGAATGCCTAGAGAGGGTTCGAATAGTAGGGTTAGGATGGGTCGAGAGGTTGGTGTGAAAATTATGGACAGTTGACAAAAGGAATGTTGAGATCGTTGTGGAAAATGAAATCAGTCGTGTAGTAAAAACTTTGATTATTTGTATTTTGATTAGAAGGATTGGAGGCAATGGATGCTGGATAGCTTGGCAGAACCCAACAGTTCCACTCCGTACATCCAAAGTGGTCCCAGTAAAGTTTTGTATAAGGTTAGTTTAGTTTTGACAGTCCACGCGGATTTCGATCCTAAAAATCTTCGTAGTTGTCTAAGTCTTCTATTAGTTGTTGTCTATTAAGTTTTGTACTTCAGTCTGCTGTCTATGGACAAAGTATCTGAACTAACTGTCTAAGATGTTGGAAGCTCTTGATGTTGATGTTCAGTGGAGAGCAAGACGACTCTGAACTTGACCACTTATGCAGGAATTGCCCTCAGTGCCGCATGTTGTCCGAGTTAATGGCTATTCTTCTCTTAACGATACCTAGCCTTTTAATCTCTTTGGCTCAGTGTTAAATAGACACAGTGTCAGACTTATATCAATTCTAGTTCTTGGTTTATTACTAGAAAAACGCTCCTGACCCATGACCGGTTTTGGAGTCATCTGTATATCTGATATAGTCGGCATTAAATGGGATCACTGTCTCCAAGTTTGTTCTACCAGGTATTTTTTTGTCAAATCTGAATTTATGGGTCATGGCATCATCAGGCATCTCCAGTACTCTGTCTGCTTGAAGCTTTAGTTAGTAGATTTAGTCCCTGGATTAACCTATGAATTGTAACAGTGGCCTCTTCCTGCATAATGATATGTAGTAGTGGTAAACTCAGAAGGACTTCCAGGACAGCAGTAGTGATCGTTCTCATTGTCCTAGTGAAGCTGAGACATGCTACTCTCTGAGCACTTCTGAGGATCTTGACTGCCCGTAGTTGCAATGCCTTAGTCAACCAAAACACCGATCCATTGGTTATCATGGGTCAAATATATTTAACGCAGATTTACAGGGTATCCCACCCTGTCACTAGCATATAAAAACAGCAGAAACGAATTCACATTTCACAAAATATTTATACAAAACCGTTATGACACCACAATAATAGCACCACTACTGTTGGTATTTATGTGAATATGAAATTCTTGGTTCAAAATTTATATTTACATCTGTATTGTCTTTTTCCAATCTTCATATGTTTTGTAATTCATCCAGGCCCTGAAGATGACTCGAATAATGGTCAAAACGTCGGCAAAAAAAAAATTAAAAAGGTGTTTTTCCTAAAACACTTTTTTCCTTACCGCTCCTCACGACTTCAACAAATTATCACTTTCTAGTTAACGTTTTAGTTTTTACTCAGTTTTCTGCTGATGATCAATAACTAACATTTTAGTCTGCGGTATTCCTCATGGCATGCAACGAGCAGTAAATATTTGACAGTGTATCATCTTTGCATTGTATATGTAAATGTCATATTTTATCATTACGTATGTTATTAAAATTATAGCTGCTACATTGTGGCTATCCTTTCGAAAGTAATTTTACATCAGTGTGCTTAATTTTTCACAGTTGTTATTTCTACTATGTTTTTATTTCGACCTCAATAGTTTAATTTCTGATTTTCCTTCTCGAAGGTTGGATAATAGGTCCTATTACTTATTTCTATTGTTTTTAGCATCCCAATTCCATTTAACCGTAGGTTTTTATTTATTTATTTTTTATTTATTTTTTTTTTTTAATCATTCAACGTTAAATTTTAGAGCTGTCAGTTTTACACCAAAACAGACTGTACAGTCGTCACTTCAGTAGACTAAGGTTACGTCATGCAGATTCAAAAGTTCGGTGGAAGATGTAGAAGAAAACCTGAAAACCTGAAACCGTAGATGTTGTCTGCATGTAGGTTTCTACTTTCTTCTGTTTTAAGCGGATGCAGCTAGGTTCTTGTTTCCATTGCCTTAAATCTCTTTTTTTGTCTTTATAAAGACAACCGAATACAGCCTTGCCTTTTGTAAATAAAATTTTTTTAAAGAAACTTAATTTTTTTACCAACCACTTTTGTTAATAAACTAAAAAAATGTGAAAATGAAGAAAAAAAAGTGTTTCAGCCACACTAACAATGGGGATTAATTTTAATCACCCAAGTCAGAACCGATGCCAAATTTCTTAAACGGGCATAACTGAAAATAATTTTCAACACTTTTGCCAAGTATCGGTTCAAAGGCTTGAAATGACAAGCCACGAGAGACTACAAGTGCAATCTGAGTTATACGGGGAGGATGCTTTTCGACGGGTAGAAGTCACTGGGAATGGAAGTGAGTTTTCCAACTGGGAAAATTATTTTCAGTTTAATAGACCGGCCAGGTTGAGAATTCTTTTCATTTCCAGATTCCTTGGTGTTACTCAAATTTGCGACCAAAACCGATGAAAAGAACGTACGGTATGATGAAGATGGTGATATTGTCATACCAAGGAAGCAAAATTTACTGCTTGGTGGGTTTTGATCTTTCATTATTAGCAATATTTTATTTTTAATTTCAGAAATATATATTGCAATAAAATTTAAATCTTCATCAATGAAATTACAATGATGAAGTTTCATTGAACTTATTGAGAAGAAATGGTTATTGCCAAGTTAATGACATTAATTTAAAATGGTTTAATCATCCATGTAATAAAAATAAGTCATAATTGAACACTACTTGTTACAAAATGTCTTAGAAAGGTATTTAATTATAAAGTAATCCTGTATAATTGCTAAGTCTGCTCTTCAACAAACATTTTGTTTTTCAAAACTTTAATTTTCTCATCAGGAAAAAGTTTTATAAACAATTTACACAATAGTTTAAATGTTAGAAATAGTTTTAAGAAAGAATAAGCAGGCTATATGTCATTGTTTTGTACTTTAAATAATATTAAGAAGGATTTTTATGTTAATTTTGTGTGTGTGTGTGTGTGTTAAGGTCTAAGGAGAAAATTTTATTTTTATTTAGAAATCGAGAGATGCAGTCTGGTGTCAACAATTTTTGTCAAAAGTAAAGATAAAACCTTTGATAAAAACCATTTTTGTAAATGTGGTAGCAATAAATTACCAAAAACACAATGGTTTTATGTTATAATTTTGTAAAGTAAATAATAATTAAGAAGGATTTTTATGTTAATTTTTTGTGTGTGTGTGTGTGTGTTAAGGTCTAAGGAGAAAATTTTATTTTTATTTAGAAATCGAGAGATGCAGTCTGGTGTCAACAATTTTTGTCAAAAGTAAAGATAAAACCTTTGATAAAAACCATTTTTGTAAATGTGGTAGCAATAAATTACCAAAAACACAATGGTTTTATGTTATAATTTTGTAAAGTAAATAATAATTAAGAAGGATTTTTAGGTTAAATAAAAAAAAAATTTTTTGTGTTAAGGACTCAGGTGAGATTTTAATTATAAGGTAATTTGCTATAATTCGTTCAACAATTTTTGTTAAAAGTAAAGATAAAACCGTTGATAAAAACCATTTTTACAAGTTTTAATAGTAGCAATAAATTAACAAAAAACACAATTGTGTTATATTATCATTTTGTACAGTAAATAATAATCAAGAAGGATTTTTAGGTTAAATAAAAATAATTTTTTTGTGATAAGGTCTCAGAAGAGATTTTAATTATAAAGCACTTTGCTATAATTCGTTCAATAATTTTTGTTAAAAGTAAAGATAAAAACGTTGATAAAAACATTTTTACAATAGTTTTAATGATAGCAATAAATTAACAAAAAAAATGGTTTTATGTTGTTTTGTATGGTAAATAATATTTAAGAAGGGTTATTAGGTTTAAAAAAATTTCTTAAGGAGGGATTTTAATATTTTAACATATTTTATTTTATTTATTGCAACACTCTAAAACTGTACTTAATTGTAGAATTTTCTGAGACTACAACTATCGACTTAGTCGGTTTACAACTATGGAGAGGCGCTTTTCTTCTGTCAGATTTTATTCTGTCAGAACACTCCCATCTCTTTGAGAACAAAGTCATACTTGAGCTTGCTTCAGGAATCGGGCTTACCAGCATTGTCGCAGGGATGGTTGGCAAACGGGTCATTTCGACAGGTAATTTATTAATAGAAATTTTAAAAAAGCACTTGCTCACTTGTATGATTTTTAAAGATGTAAACCAAAAGGATGTACTTGATTTATTAAGTAGAAACATCGAGAGGAATAATGACATTGTTAAAGCACAGATGACTATAGAGGCGCTTAATTTTTATCAAACGGATTGGTCAGTGGAAATGAAGTGTATGCTAAATGAAACTGACATTGTTATTGCTGCTGATGGTTTGTTATTTAAAGTACAATTTAATTATTTTTTTATGCAACGCTTTAATAATTGTGATATTTTAGTTGTATATGATGATGAGTTAACAGAAGCTTTTGTTCTCTGTCTGACTAAAATTCTTTTAGAGCCACCACAGAAGATATTTTTTCTCGCTTTGGAGAAAAGGTATAAATGTGCATTTTACAGTTTGAATTTATTTCAAGTGTTTCGCGTTTCAGATACGTGTTCACATTGGCAGATCTCAACAGCGTACCGCCTTGCTATGACCATTTCATAACATTCCTGCATGAAACATGGAAACCGTCTCCAATGTCCAACTGGAGAGTGGAATTTGTCGACACTGATTTTTACCAGTCTTTCGATTACGATCGGACAGAACAATTGGTCCTTTTGAAAATATCAACATGAATATTACGTACATATAAGACACTATAAATATTATTTTTGTACTATGGACAATTGTAATACAAGATTTTACAATTAAATCCTACACTTTTTGTTAAGATTTTTTTTCCTGTGATATGTGACCTTTGTAGTGTTTCAAAAGTATGTTTTCATGTTGAACTTTTTATATAATTCGTAAAGGTCCAAGCTTATTTATCAATATGATTCCAAAGTGTAAATAAAGGCCAAAGAATCATTACAAGTGACAGACAGAAGATATTTTTTTTAAACTCTAGTTTTAGAGTCATAGTGGTTTGACAGCGAAGTGGAATAATAAGTTTGATAGGCTCTTCCTTTGTGGTTGAAGTTTCAAAATTGGCAGAAACGATAGTGGCCAGTCTTGACTCCTTCTACCTAAAACATAAAAATACATTTATAAGGAAATGATTTTTTTCTCAAAATTGGATCTATATTGAAGCATTTTAAAGCTTAGCTAAGTTAAAAGCACATGTTACAATTTGCAAACATATGAATCACTGGAATTCTCCATTAGAAACTTGTTAAATAGACTTTTTTTATACATTGTTGAACTAGGGTGGTGCCTAAAAAATGTCAACAAATGAAAACATTGTCCAATACAGAAAGGTCGACTTCGGCACTGTCATACCGGGCTGTATATACACGAGGAAAGTGAAAGTCAAATCACGTTTCAAAGTGAGTCTCCTTTTGCGTTTTAAACAAGCAATCTTTTTCAATGGGGTTTCCCTTTAGCTTCCGTTTGTTGGAAACCTCATTGTTCACCCGCTGAATGATGTCTACATAACGATTAAATCGACCAAGCCTGAGGATGAAAGTGAAAACACGTACATTATCACTTTTGCTCCAATACTGCCGCATCACATTTATACCGCATATCAGTATTTGTTCGGTGTCGAAGAAAATGCACAAGAAGCATTATGCCTACAAGGAGCAACAACAGGTAATGCATAAATATAGTTATATTTTAAGCAAATTATTTGTTGTTAATTATATTATAAACTTTTATAAGTCTCAAGTCTTTAATGGAAAAGTCAAACATGCCAGATTTTAAACCATTTTTATTATATCACTGATGTGTGTTATTGACCCAGAAGTGTTCACCCTAGGGTCTACACCTGAGGGAAGTTTACCTACACAGTAATGCAGCTTGGTTGTTAGTTGCCCTCGAACCAAATGCTCAGAAAATCGTCCTTTCCCAACCTAGGCTCCAGGGCTTTCAACAGCTAAATTATTTCAGCCCCAATGTATGCAAAATTTAGCCTAAAACTAGCATCTACAATACAATTGCACAAATAAATACATTCCCATCTATACACAGTACTCATTCTGGTTAGTCAATGGAGTACTTCAGTTCAATCATCAACTCAATCCTTCTTCTCAGAAGTATCAGGTCTTTGACTGTCGCTGCTATAATTTCATTCCCTGAGTCTTTTTTGTATCCTAGGTTATGTCTCCATTGAGCCGTTGCTTGACATTTGCATATGATATGGGTGGCTGTTTCTTCGTCCTCCTTGCATATCCTACAAATGTGGTCATGCTGTGAAGTAGTTTTCTCAGATGCCAGGGAATAGTCCTATCTCTCCTCTGAGTTTAGCCCTCTTTAGGTTAGCAGCGAGTTTGCCACTCTTAATGAATTGTTTTAGCTTAAGTTTACTATGTCTAGCGCCCTAGAGTTTATCCTCTTTTCTTTTTGTTTTTTGATCCATTCTGTGATGGAGGATTCTGTATTTGTTTTTGTTATCCCAAGTATAGGTTCAGAGCCTGTATACAGTATTACAGTCTCCTTTGAGTGATTGGATAGTGTGTCTGTTTTTTTGTTACTCAAAATTCTTGTATGTCCTGGCGCCCAAGATATCAGGTTGTTGTGTTATTAAGGTCAATGTGCAGAAGGCCTTGTGTTCACCTCTTTTATCCCTCTAGTTTCTACGATTGTCCTTTGATGAAATTTTTCATATGCTTCTATCCTGGGCTATATTCCCATTGATCGGAGGACTTACTTTTACTCCATTGTCTGAAGAATCCATGTTTTTTTAAGTTTGCTATGATACAAAAGAGTTCAGGGCTAATTGATATCCTCATCAAATTTTCCTTGGCCAATTTATCGGCCACACTGTATGCCTTGATACCAGACATAGTTTTGTTGTTTTCCCCAATCTCTGATAGGGCATGCAACCCCAAATGTCTCTGGACTTAGCCACCATTGCAGTAATTGCCCTTAGCACTACCTGGCTGTCCAAGAAAACTAGTTCTTGGTTTATTTCCATAAATACCAATTCCTGGCCTATATTTGGTTTTGGAGCCATCTGCATACTGTTTGGCATTGACTGGGATGACTTTCTCCTGGTCTGCCTTTTAATATCTTTAGCTCAGTGTTAAATAGTCACAGTATCTGCTTGAATGACAGTGGCGCATATTACCCAAGGCTTATATAAATTCTAGTTCTTGGTTTATTTGCAGAAAAATGCTCCTGACCCTTGCTCAGTTTTGGAGCAATCTGTGTATCAGATATAGTCAGCATTAACTGGGATCTCTTCTCCCTTTCTCATCTATGTTTTTTTAATAAGTAAATTTTTTTTTGCCAATTTTTTTGAATTTATGGATCATGGTATCAACAAGTATCCCCAGAACCCATCTGCTTGAAACTTAGTTGCTTTTTGTTATGCTTTTGGAGCCCTGCATTAGCCTATGAATAGTGGCTATGGCTTCTCCCTGGATAAAGAGATGTAATGGACTTCCAGGGCAGCAGTAGGGGTCATTTTTATTACCCCATGATGCTCAGATATGTTGGTTATAACAAGCATAATCATTAGTTATTATTGTACTAGTTTGATGTAAAGAAAAGAATGACTAGTCTAAAGATAATTTTTCTTAATTGTTGAATATTGTATTTACAATAAAAAATTTATTCTTCACAATTCATTCATCCTCAAGTCTCTCACTCAGTAAATATGATGGATGAAATAGTCCATTTCTACAAATTTACCATGTCAGCAGACAAAAACCATGCACCTTTACAAAACAAATTAGTATTCATTTAAAAATAAATGAAAATTAAAACATAAATTTACCTTATTTGTTTGATTAATTCTACAAAAAAAGAACAACAGTGTTTGCCATAAATTTACATTTTCTTGTTTGCAAATGTTCTGTCCATGGCTCTTAGCCAATAAACTTTCATTTATTTCCCACAAGTCTTCATCATTTTTCTTATTACTTATTCTTTCTTACATGTCCACTCTCTTATAATCATTAAGATTGTGTAAATATTTTTTAGTAAAACAATATCAATGTTTCATCAGGTCCTACAGTTGAATTAAAGCCGAAAAAGCTCACCTTCTTCACATACGACAGCTTCCCTGTACGGAGTTATTTAATAGAAATGAAAAATACATCAAAATGTTTAGAAACTTTCATGTGGGATTACGATGGCAACCAAAGTGAAATAGTATTTCAGCCATCAAGGGGTGTTATTCGTGGCGGCGAAGTTTTAAAATTTGTAGTCACTTTCACGCCAAGGAGATATGGCCTGTACTTTCGATGGATGTTCTGTCTGCTTTCAATGCATGTAATGTTAAAAAGAAAAACTTAATTTAAAGAAAATATTTTGTTTTATGAATTGCCTTTATTTCAAAGGAGCCGTTGATGATTGAAATTTCATGCTTGCACGTAAAAAAACAAATCAAAACGAACTTAAAAAATTTCATAACTTACGCACAGCCATTTCCAGCATTTCCAACTATGTACTGCAGGTAAAATTTAACAAGTATACACTTACTCTAATTTCACTATACTTCAGAATTGATAAATTTAAAGTGGTTTGAATATTTAAGTATTTTATTTTTTATACATAGATATGTGAATGATATAGCGAAGAAAACAGCACCAGAGAGTAAACCTTTGATAACTTTAAGTCATAGATATCTTGATCTTGGATGCGTATGGCTTGATGGAAATGAAACCAACAAATTACAAGATCTTCAAATAACAAGTTATCTATATACTGAAGTGCAAATAGTCTGGGACACTGGTACTGTTTACAATTGAACCGCAAAGCGCAATTTAACCAAGTTTGTTTCCATAGATCAAGCAGGTATATTTTCAATAAAGCCAAAACATGCTTTACTGCAAAGGACAGGGAAATTCACCTTTAGTGTTGAATTTAAGCCCAAACATCCAGAAATGCTTTATTCGGCTGAACTACACGGATCGATTTTGTGGGGAAGCGGGTTTGAATTTATAGTCCCTCTTCCATTAACAGTCAATCTTATAGGTACACAATTGTCAAAAACCATTTCATAATTGTTTTATTATATCGTTCTTTCAGGTAACTCTTTTCCTCCAAATAGCTGCAGCTGGGAGCCTTTTATTAATATTAACAAACGTAAAGTTGTCGTACCGACGACAATCCCTGGGGTACCGACTTACACATCTTTTATGATCCAGAAGACAAACGATCTACCTATTCAGTTCAAAGTGTATCCCACGGACAAGAAAATCATGTAAAGCTTAAAAGGTGCAGTTTTAAAATCAAATTTAATTTTTTTTTTAATTTACAGTTCTCAATTTGTCGTGAAGCCCAGGAAAGGGATAATGTTGGAAGAGACGCAAATTTTTATAGTGCAAATGTTTCCCGGAGATAAAACGGATGAGCCATGTCTTGAAAATTGGACATTATTATTAAATCTTGTACATACGGTGAGTTTCTACTTATGATGTTAATTATTAAGTATAATTAATAAAATTTTAATTTCAGATCCCTCTTCAGTTTTGTGGAACTGTTGAAAAGCCATTCTTAAAGGTTGGAAAAGATAAAGATATTGTTTTCCCAATCACTCAGTTAAAAGTGGAAAACACACGCTGTATACCCATAAAAAATCCAACTTGCTTACACCTCAAGTACGTTAAGTTTAAAACGTTTAAAAACTGGTTTTTGTCTAGAAAAATCAATTTCAGGTACAGATGTAAAGAAAATAAACTTCCGAACACATTCTTATACAACAAAGATATTCATACAATTGGACCGGGGGAAGAACAATTGATGGATTTCACATTTCGTCCGACGGAACTTGGCCAATTTCAATGCACTGTCTCTGTAGAGATTGAACTGTGGAACAGAGACTATCCAGACCCGAGAAAAGAAGCAAGGACTGAAACAATCTTGTATTTAATCGGTTTGAGCGAAAAAGCAGACATAACTGTAAATATAGACAATTGACTTGGTCTTATTCTTTCTAAATTTATAGTGGATTAAGATTAAACTGATCTTTTACAGTGTCTACCGGATTATTTGCTTATCGATGATGTATTGAAGACGATGTACGGAGAGGAAAGATTCAAACTTATTAACAATAGCAGAAGCACAAGTTGCGTATTACTGGAATGCCTTCCAAGAGCCATTGGATCCCATGCAGGACTTACAGAATTCATTCCCAACAACATCGTACTGGCTCCTCATGACTCAATAATGGTAAAAAATAAATAAATAAAAATCATAGCTTAGCTGTAAATTTAAAGTAATTTTAAAGCATTATACAATACAAGTATAGTAGATAAATTAGGAAGAAAAACTAAAATATGCTTGTTATGTTTATTGGCCAACATAGACCAATGGCTATTCTTAACAGCTTGGCATTTCAGGTAACTGTGCGCTGCAGAGGTGACTACGTTGGCTTGCAGACGCTCAAGATAGTGTACACGATATACACTTCACAAGAATTCAACGTCAAAAGCACTGGGGAGCAGATATTCCTTTTGGCCCTGGACTTCTGCTGTACATTCCCAATGCTGAGGATCATGGATATTCGGTACAAGACGATGTGTAAATGCTTGCCAAAAATCGAAGTGTGGTCTATGCTGATGATAAACAAGTATGTAAAGATGTTTTTTGTTGGTATTTTATGCTTTGTTTCAAATAAATTTACATTTTTAGGCTGAACGAGCAATTGTCAAAGGCTTATCTACATCGAGACCAAAAGGCGTACATGAAGTTTCCTGAAGACTCGAACGAAACGCCATTCTTTGTAGTGCAGATGCTTATCAAAAATATCAGCCCTGTTCCAACTCACTTAGAGGTCGGCTATATCAAATCTTGTGAGTGCAACGATGACCGGGTGGCGCAAAGAAAGGGGTCTAAATTCTCTTACAAGACGTGCAACCATCCTCAAGAATTTTCTTCAATAACTTTCAGCAAATTGATCAATGTGAAGTTCACTCGTTTGTTGTTACCAGCTTTTTTCTTTTTAACATCAGTTTTTTTTGTGGTTTCAGCCTTGCAGCGAAACGATAGTCGAGTTAAAGGCAAAGTATAACTACAACGTTCAAAACTACTTTAGGGTAATGTGGAACATCAAACCTGCCAAAGTGAACTGTCCAGAACTAACAAGTACTTTCACTTTTTTCATTCAAAGACGGATTTTGATGAAACCGGACAAAGCTAGTCTTGATTTGTTTTCTCCTGGACCGCAAAGAGATTTTCACATAACTCTGGATCCGGTGTACATTGGAGATTCAAATCTTTACGCCCAGGTCTGTGAATAACAAGCAATATTAAAAAAAATTAACTATAAATTTTATAAAATGTTATTTAACATGTGTTTATTTTTTTTTAAACAGATTATTTGGTTATACAACAACTCTCAAAAAGACATAGCTTACAACTGTGAATGGGCAGAGGGTGAAAATGTAATTTTTAAAGTTTTCAACCCAGATGCAAAGGTTTTGGCTGTTAGCCGACATCCGCTCCTTATTATGTTCCGCCCTTATGAGTTAATATTATATAAAGTGAGTCTGTTCATAACTGGATGAACAAAAGGTCATTTAAGACGATTTAAATATAAATAAGCAAATCTGCCATTTGAGCGTACAATACGTATTATGTTAAATTTGATAGAGCAGCATAGAGCATATTTTCTACAAATTAGCCCTGCCAGGAAGTCTGTGATGACGAATCTATTTGGTTGATTGATCTTTGGTCTGTCAGACCTGTTTTGGTTTGCCCCATTACAGCTTTTCACAGTTTTCAAGACCCAGCACTGAAGCCAAAAAGCGAAAACAAACCTGTCACACAAATAATGACAATGGGCGGACCAAATCTGACCAGAAACGACCAAAATTAAAAAGCATATAGTCATACTAAAAAGATAATTTCCATTTTAAATATCAATTTAAAGTTTATTAAATCCATTATGTTTAGTGTGATTGACCAAATTACTTCTTTCAATTAATTTTTCTTTTTATATGGTCTTGGTTGAAATGAAAAATTTAGTGCCTGAAAAAGTTGTGATTTCTATCATTTTATTAAATTTAATACATTTTATTTTCAGGCTACGCTGTTAATTCACACATCTGAACGTGACGTATCACTTTCAGTTACATTAAAAGGAAAAGGCCGTATCGAAAGTGAGACTGGACAGTCTATAACACTGAGCAAGCAGATGCCAGTAACAAACTTATTCCCAGATGAGAATTTCCTCCAAGCTGAACTTTCAGTCAGCCATATCAATTTGGATCCGATGCCGACGCATTCTTTTACCAAGACGGTTTTCTTCTTGAAGAACAACACATCAGATCATTTGGAATACGATTGGCGCAGGTCTGTATAAAATGTGAATTAAGTCGTTGATTGTTTTGTTTTTTATATATATTTTTTTACTATTCAAGGACATTGGTATGGGGAATCGTTCATCTTTCCGTTCACCCAAACCACGGGACGTTAGCTCCAGGGCAATTGATCGCATGCCATCTTCTAGTGAGAAGTTTAAGATTTCCTTGCAGGTCAAACATAGCGATCGAGTGTATCCTTAGAAATCTTAAGGACACTAAAAGGTACTACGACAAGAAAAAGTATTTGGGTAAATTATCTCGTACATTCGATGCTTGTTTTACAATCTGCAATGAAGGGGAGATCAACAATGTCACACACTACCATAACCCGGTGAGTTCATGACATTTTACATGACGTGACCTAACTTTTAGTTGTTTGTTTAATTAAATTGATTTTTTATTGTATGTATATTTAAATTTAGCGTATTGGCCTGAAAACCGGAGCTGCTCCTTTGAACACTTACCTTTGTATCGGTATCAGCATTTTCATATACAGCGGAGAACTGCAGGATTTGATGTTTCCATCGCTTGATGTGCAACATAAGCTGTTTCCCAGCCGGCGGCTAGACACATTTGATTCATTGGAAGAACTGCAAATAGAAGAAGACGAAAGTAAAATTCTGATGCAGATTCTCATTAGAGCACTCAGGTAATAAAAATAGAGAATCAAAGTTTTTTGTTTAAACAAATATTAATACCTTTCAATTCAGTGATGTTTTCAAGCAAGGTAATTTCTTGGCTGCTGTTCAGAAAAATCCAAGAGTTTTAAAGTAAGAACTCCAACATTCAAGGTTTATTCTTATTGCTAAATCCAATAATTCATTCTAGATACTACGAAATAGACAAATATTCAGAAGAGTTATTAGAACCGGTGCTTCAGAGTACCAACATGGCGTCAGTCATATGCAACATCCTTTACAAAAACTTTTTAAGTTTATTTTCATTGGAGGGCATTCCGGCTCATGATGAGGTGACAACAAAGCAAATGAAAAGAGCAAAGAAATTACCTTTAAATAATACTTACTACAAAGGTAATACTACAATTCAGCAATGATTCTATATTCAGCGGGGTTTTTTTACTCTGTCTGTTCTCTTTAGACCTCATTTTCCATGATGTAAACCCAGCGATGTCTGGACCAACTGCAGATCTTACCAAAAGCCCTTCTATGTCAGTTTCGATGGCTGCTATTAGAGAATATTCTGGTTTCCTTAATGCAAAAGACATGCAACATGGCGATTATTATGGCCCTTTCTAGATGTTTAATAAATAATTTTTAATTTGAATACAATTTCTTTTAATTAATAACTAAACAAACTGCTTAATAAGAAAACCAGATTCTATATTCATTTTGTGAATCATAAAAACAAACAGGAAGATACAAATACCTAGAATAAGCATAAAGGCAAATAATACAATATATTTATAAAATACAATTATAATACAATTTGATTTACAGGTTTAGTTTATCAACATAGTTTATCGTAGAGGGTCATGCATGATTTTTTGGTTTTATTTGTTTTTTTGTTTTGTGAAAGTACAATCTGAACATTTCTTTACTAGTCTGTTTTCATGCGCTTTGTAACAGGCTCGCTGCTTTGCGAATTAGAATCTTCTGAGAAGCCTAATTGCGTTGAGAAATCTGAAGGACCCTGAGAATCACTGACTATTGAGAAGCCTTAAAGAAAATTAAAACAATGAGAATTTTATTTTATATTTTGTTAAGTATGACGGTAAATATAATAACTAACATGTATTAGAATCTTCAGTTATGGCAAAGTTCGAATTAGATGTTTCAATCGCCCTTTTAGCAGAAAAATTTTCCTTGTTGCCATGATCTTTGACTTTCTTTTTTTGAAATAGCCCCTTTAAAGAAATAAAAATATATATTTCACAATACAGATGATGAATAAAAAAACTAAATAAAGCATCTTCTTACTTGTTCATTAGACAAAATTGGTACCCATTTGTAAATCTTCATGGTGGTTTCTCCAATGGTGACCCATTTTTTCTCCCTGTTAATACAAACATTTTTTTAAATATATTTTTCCTATAAAATAAAAAATGTCATTTGGCATTATTATTATACTTATTATTATATAATTATTATACTTTGTTGAAATCATGAGGAGCAGTCAGGAATGAAGTATTTTATAAAAACACTTTTTTTTTAACGTTCCGACCTTACAATCCAAATGTAAATATAAATTTGGTACAAGTATTTCATACTCACAGAAAGTAGGTAATTTACCGCGTCCCCCACCCTTTCCCAATCATATAAAACTAGCAAAATTTTCACATTTCACCCAAAACTATTATGGCACCACAAGAATAGCACCATACTTTATGTGAATATGAAATACTTGGTTCAAAATTTATACTTACATCTGTATTGTATTTGTTCCAAACTACTTAACTTTTGTAATTCACCCAGGCTCTGAAGATGACCCGAATAATGGTCAAAATGTCAGCAAAAAAATTAAAAAGGCATTTTTCTAAAATACTTTATTCCTGACCGCTCCTCACGACTTCAAATTATGAAATATTTTCTTAAGGTTCAGTGTGGTGTTTACAGAACAATTAGTCTTAGATCGTGGGCAAGTTTATTAATTATAACAAATTATAACAACTTCACTAAAAAAAAAAAATTAAAAAAATACATTCTTTATGTAGTTATTCAGATATCGTGAGATGCGGTCGGGTGTAATACTTTTAGCTGCGTGTCCGTATGTAGTTGAAATTTGTTCATAGAATCCCATATTCATATGCATCTCACGATATCTGAATAACTATCGATTAACTGTCACTAATCTCTACACATTCTTTATGTAAATACTTTGCCATTTTTCTTTCAATTTGCTGATTATATGGAAAAGCATTTTAGGCAACAAAATTGTCAATTTTACTCAATATATAAATTTCAACATGATAATCAATGTTTTAGGTTTTCATTAAATAAAGCTAAAATCATCTTGTTTCTGTTTGGGTGTAAACTAAAGTATTGACGACTCAGTTACAATGGTCACTTTACCTTTCCACTAGCCAATAATCATGATGATTATATCACCAAATCATCAATTTTTCGTTAAATATTGGATTATTTTGAGATCGTGAAATGCGGTCTGGTGTGACGTAGGCATAAGAAAAACATTTTCTTTATCGTGCCAATGTTTCGATCTTTATTTAGATCATCTTCAGAGCCTTCAGAACATTGTTTAAATTATACAAATACATATGAATATGAATTTATTCAATGTTGTACACAATATTTAGGTTTAATCAAAGTATTTGTACTTGTTGTGTTTGTTTTCTGTGTAGATGTGTCACTGTTGTGTGTCAAGTTGAGAGTGCTAGTGAAATACATCACACAGAAAACGCACACTTTGAATGAGTACAAATACTTCGATTAAATCTAAATTTCTATATTGTGTACCTCATTGTATAAATTCATTTTCACATTTGAAATGTATCTGTATAATTTAAACAATGTTTATAAATTCCAGACCCTGAAGATGATCTCAATAAAGATCGAAACGTTGGCACAATAAAGAAAATATTTTATAAACTTTTTTTTTTTTTTTTTTTTTTTTGATGGGGCATAGGTAACAAATCATCATGGTTTGTCATAAATTAAAATCAAAGTGATTATTTCACAAAATGATACATTTTTCTTTTATACAAGTTAAAATAGTGATGATTATGTCACAAAACTTTATGAACTTTCTGTTGTAGGTAAACTGAGTGATTCTGTTGTAAATCTTGATGAACAAGTGATAAAATCATCAATTGTTCTTATATAAAAGTATTTATATTGATTATTATTATGTCACCAAAAAGTTTTTTTTTGTACATAAGAAAGGAAAAATATTGATTAGGTAAAAAAAATTGTCAATTTTACTCTAAATATAAATTTAATTATGATAATTTAATTGAAAAATTATTAGGTTTTCATTACATAGAACGAAAAAATTGCTGTATGGATGAAGTTAAGTATTGATGATTCAATTACAATGGTCACTTCTCTCAATTAACCAATAATCATGATGATTATATCACCAAATCATCAATTTTTCTTTAAAAATAAGTTAAAATATTGATGATTGTGTCACAAAACCATCTGTTTTTAGGTTAATATATTGATAATTTAGTCCAAAATATAGCCATTTTACCTATTTTTTTGAAGGGGGAATAGGTCATCATGGTTTGTCTTAAATTAAAATCAAAGTGATTATTTCACAAAACTATCCATTTTTCTTTTATATAAGTTAAAACTGTGATGATTGACACAAACCTTTCTGTTGTAGGCAAGCTAAAATGTTGATGAACAAGTGATAAAATCATCAATTGTTCTTATATAGAAATATTTATATAGATTATATCAACAAAAGTTTATTTTTCTTTTATATAAGGAAAAATATTATTTAGGATTAGGTCACAAAATCATCTTTTTTTTTAACTTACCATCTCCTGACTTTGTCGACGACTTGCATGACCCTTTTGATATCATCTTTGGCCCTGCTCCTCGTCTCGGCCCTCACAGATCTGGACATCATCCTCAGGCGGGCTTAAGTTTCACAAGCGGACGCCGCGCCGTAGATCAGCCGAGATGGCCTTTTTCGCCTCCGAACAACGCGAAACTCTTCTGGGGACAAACGCAAATCCAAAACCGCTTCCAACTCAAAGTCTCAAACCTCCACCGCTTCTGAAATGGGCGGAAGCAAAGCGTATCGGCTTTCGGCTCAAGACAACACGAAACCAGACGGACCGTCAACCGGACAACAACTTTCAGCTTGGAAACTGGAAAGTATCAACTACAAAGCGGGGAGGTAATCCTAACGATGAAAAGCAATAAACGCCGCTATCGATTACTTACAAACGATAATTACATTTTTTCTATTATGTAATTTTCTATTATTATTATATATTTCCGAACAAGAGATGATATACTTGAGAACCTCGTGCAGTACGCACCAAATGAAAAAAGAACTTATTCGGCATTCATCGGTCATCCATTGCCTACATCGATTAACAAACATCTTTTATTCAAATTAGCAAAATTTAGTCAAACAATTTACTTTTAGACCTGGTGCGCGCGCGCGTGTGTGTGTGTCTGTGTCTGTGTTTGTAAGATTCCTCATGTCTGGTTTCCAATCATTTTCATCTGTCAGACACGTTAGTTTTCGCCATCATCAGTGGTGTGTTTAGAAAGGAATACAGAATATACTTTTAATCATCCATAATTACAAAGGTTACAGTCAATCACAAAGTAAAAAAACTTTAGTTTTAGACTAGGGCTGGTGTAAATACCAGGTAGTTCAATATCTTGATGCTTGCTGGCTGTTGGTCGGTGAATCGGTGATCTCATGCTGATCAATCATTCCTCATTCCATATTTAAAATTTCATACAGAAAAAATCTTAAGATGTATTCTGTATTTATCTGTACAAATTTATGGCCAATCAGCCTTTCTCAAAGAAGTACCATTGGGCCTTTTCTCTGTCTTATTTTACCAACAACCTTTTGTCAGCAAACCACATTGTACAAGCGTATTTTGCTAACAACAATGTGATGCTAGGTGTAAAATGCATAAAAGGAGTTGCAAAAACTGATCTACAACAGTAATGATTGGAGATCATGCTGGGAGATTAATACTAAACTAGTTACGTTCAGCTATAGACAGGCCATAAATAAGTTGGACTTTTAGAAGAGGATACAAAATACCTAGAGCTCGAATTACAACAAGACTAAGCTAAACTGAGGTGTTAGGAGTATAATATCTTGAATAAAATTGGAGTTCAAATTCCTTGATGTCCAAATTCTGTTCTTCCAAATCTGGGGTTATCAGTAAACTATCGACAAAAACTCACTTAGACTTACTGACAATTTAGAGAGCCCCATTCTATTTAAGAAACGATATGCTGCAAAACATTCTGGTTATCCCAATGGTTATGCCAGTGCTATAAGGTGCATACTTCAAGCTGAACTCCATGATGAAAAGACATAGTAATCCCATGTTGGTCAAAGTTGTGAATGGAGCTCCACCTATGTATCGAAAGATAAAACCACTTTACAAAAGAAAAGCAGAAAGAGAAAAAAGGAAACAGGAAAAAGAAAAGGAGATGATTGATGTCGTTTTTAAAAACTCAGATGCCTTGGACCTGAAACAAGCCATCTGCTGAAGCATAGTGTACTTTCTGAGGAAGCAAAAAGGAAAAAGTTAACAGATACTTAGGGCATTTATTTGATTTAATATTAAATGTATATATTAAAATTCTAAGTTTATAAGTGCATAGAATGTCAAGGTTACTGAAGGCATTACTATAGGAAGATCCCTTGATTTAAGATCATAACAGTATCTAATACAGGAATCATAAGCAATTGGAAGGTGACAAGCAGATTAAGAGTCTAAGGAAAGTAAAAAAATAGTGCTACAGTAAGAGAATAATGTAATTATTACAGATTTAATAAGGAGAATTCTAGTTTTCTGTGTAGTGAAAATGATGAGGCGTTAAAGAAAATGGATGCCTTTTTAAAAATAGAGTTCACATGGTCATGCCATATAAGCCAAGATTTTTAACTCTAGGACAAAAATTAATATGGGAGCCGTTGATATGAGAAGTGGTAGGCAATCTGTATTAATGGCTTTATTGGAAGTTAACAGGTATTGGAATTGTTAGGATTTAAAAGAATGCTGTTATTTCTTGACCGTTGATTGAGATAAAGATCACGGTTGAGCAGAGAGCCATATAAGAGAAATTAGGACAAAAATTAATGATTATTTGGAGATTGTGAGATGCCGTCTGGTGTGACATAGGTTTATAAAAACATTTTTTTTATCGTGCCAATGTTTTAATCTTTCTTATTTATAAACACTGTTTAAATTATACAAATACATGTAGAATTTGAAAAAATGAATTTATACAATGCTATAAATTTTAAACTCAATCAAAGCATTTGTACTCACACAAAGTATTTGTTTTCTGTGTAGATTTGTCATTTTTCTGTGTCGTGTTGAGAGTGCCAGGGAGATATTGACAAAAATTAATAGGGGAGCTGTTGATATGAGATTGGGGATAGGCAAGTAAGAGAATAAAGAAATTATTACGGATTTAGTTTTCTGTGAGATGAAAAACCCAAGGTATCAAAAAGAATGGAGGCTTGTTGATTGTTGATATGAGGAAGAGATAGGCAATCAGTACTAAGTGTTTATTGGGATTAAATAATGACTAGGATTTGCTAGGGTTTAAAAGAATGCTGTTATTTCTTGTCCATTGGTTTTAATTATTTGTTATATTTCAAATTTCAAGGGGGGAAAGTGTCTTCATGGGAGAAAGTGTGTTATTAAGAACAGACGTAATGTCATTAATGTCGATGTTAATCAGAAAAGGGTCTAAGTGTGATCCTTGGGGGACTCCAGAGGATGCAAGAAAATGTTTTAATTTAACTTGATTGCCTTTCATAAATGAATAAAAAGTGTGGAAAAGTAGATCTTTGTCACCGTACACTTTAAACTTTTACGTTTCAATGTAATAAAAAAAGTGTTTTTGTAATAATAAAACATTCGATTTTAATGGATTTGTTGTGAGAACTGGAATGAGGATCGAGCGGGAGACTTCAGTGCCACCAAGAGCTTCGAAACGGTGACCGGCAATGTAGCAACACATCGACAACTGAAAACACTTATAAAAACTGATTAAACAAACATGAAAAATTGTAAAGTGGCGTATTTATCGGTGTCGCGGGCTGTTCCATGGGGTTCGTCGTTCTTTTTCCAAATCCTCAATTGAAAATTGAAATAATCGAATGATGAAATGGGAGAAACGAAAAAAAGGGGAAATGGATCAAGGTTGAGACGGTCCTCCGCGGGAGAATAAGCGCCCTCCTCATTCTAACGGCGTTTCACTGTTCTTACTGCTGCGGATTCGGGTCGCTCTTCTCTCTCTCGTATTTTCAATTAATTTTTTTTTAAGAGCAGTTTTCTTCTTTTTTTTTCTGACAACCCCCCACGGAGAAGATCCGACTGGCATTGAGGATTTGTGTTGAATCGTTCAGCGTTCTGCCCCCTCGGTCGAAAATCGGATCACGATGGGCGTCTACATGACAAAACCGGTCAAAGACAAAATCTCGTCTGACTGCGAAAATGCCAAGTTGAAATGCGGAGCCAGTTCTATGCAAGGCTGGAGAGTCTCCCAGGAAGTGAGTACATTAAAAAAAAATTAATTTCTTTTTTTCCCCCCTGCCCGCCGCTCTTTTAACCCGTGTTTTCCCTGAGGGCAAGCCTCCGAGTTTACCTCGTGGCCGTTTCCCTCTTAACCTGAACGTGTACGCGCTTCCTTATCAATTCGGCCTAAAAACAGCGAATTTGAGAAACTTTCGAGTTTATTTTACCCCGACAAGTTTATTTAAAAAAAAACTTCCTACAATCAATTAAATGACTTATTAAGCCTGAGAATTGACAATTATGACAGTGTTTGTTAATTAGTTAACACTTAATAGGAACTATTTGCTAATTTTAAACAAAAACCAAATAGGAAGTCAACTCCTATCATTATCATTACCATTAGTCACTTTATATATCATTCTTATCACCGAACTTGACTATATATTATTAATTTAAGTTTGATAAAATTTGTCTGTTAAAAGTAAATCTCAAATTTTTGTTGACATTCCCAGCTGCACATATCTGGTTATTTTAGTTTTATAGATTCTGGTCTGTAAGCTGGGTTTCCATAAGGTAGGGTTCATACCAGAGAGATAAGATACACATCTTTAGGTCGTAGACGATGTACGATAATTGTCTTCTAAAGGTGGCTCTTGACATGCGGTATTTGTCGATTGTCGCCGAATACTTCCCAAATCGCAGGCCTACGTATACACACATGCGGGGTTGGTTCAACCACCCAGTTTGTGCTGTAACAGTGAATATTTGCCAAGTACCGCGCGAGTCCTCAACTTACTACCATTTGTGATGGACAACATTGAAGCTGCGGTTACTGTTTTGTATAGTGCCTAGAAACTCAGTCACAGAGTACTGTTGCCCCATCTTCCTTTCAATCCGTTTCCACGTATTGAAAAACTTTTTGTGATTAAGAATACAAGCGTTCCAAATTATTGGTTCAGCTTGATTGAGGAACTCCAAGACTAGTACTGTCGGGTTAATTCATTCTTATCCAACAGAAACATCGTAATAGCATATATACTAATTAGGAATATTTATTATTGAAAAATAAATAGCAGTAAATATAAGTATGTATATACTTTCAATTCGTTTCCATGCATCGAAAACTTCGTTCCAATTTTTGTAATTTGGAAGAGAAACGCTTCAAATTTTTGGTTCAGATCGAGCAACTGACTGTAAGACTGTAAAGTTGGCCAACAGGAATAACGTTATGTTGTTTTTTCAATATTAATACATCTATAATTGTTAGGAATTGTTTATTATTAAAAAATAAATAGCAGTAAATAATAACTGCTGATTGATGATTATGTTGATTTACGTACCGTACAGTAGAGTCCTGAATGTGTGGATGCTTTGAGTTCGGCTACTTCACAAATATTCATGCATTTTGAAGTGGACAAGAAAATTAGCCGAGCAAGGTGAGCACCTGTTGCTTGGCGGATAGCAATATTCGTCCCCACCAGGTGAACCGTTGCTCAGCATTCAACAAATCCTGCATTTCTGGAGCTACCTTTAGATACGCAACACTCAGGCATATAAAAATCGTGAAAGAACGACAAAATTAGTTCACACCTGTAATTGCGACCTTTGTCATAAGAAAAGTTTCAAGAGACAGACTGTTTGTCTCTTCTTTCAGTGTTGTATGATATTGAGAAGGGTGAAGATGGCGAATTTAAAAAGAGAGGACATTGGCTGGCTGGCTCATGTCTTAACGCTTCAGTATGATCCTCACTTATCTTAGGATAAAAATCATTTATGTAATGCCTCTGTGATAAATAAATTACTGCTCAGGTATGATCCTGGCCTTACGATGGTTCTGGACGTGCAGTATTCTCTGAATGCTGATTGCTGCCAAATGTTTGTCAAGTCTTGAGATGCTCATCTTGGCATTCGCCAAGTAGTGTGTCTATAGATAGAGTTTTTGTGGAAAAAACAAATAAATATTTGCCAAGTGCTGTGCGAGTCCTCAAGTTACTACAAATCATGGTGGACAACAGTGAAACTCATTGCTGCAGCTGCGGTTACTGTTTTGTGAAGTAGCTACAAAATCAGTCACAGAGTACTGTTGCCCATCTTACTGTCAAAACATTTCCACGCATCGAAAACCTCATTCTGATTTTTGTAATTTGGAAGAGAAGCGCTCCAAATTATTGGTTCAGTTTATACAGATCGAGGAAATCCAAGACTGCTTTGTTGGGCAAAGTCCTTCGCATTGTCTGTTTCTCTTTGTGTAAATGTACACTTGTCTCAAGCTTCAGAATAATAGCTGTATTAGAGCTATTGATTTTTGTGGATGCTAAAGATAAAAGTCACAATAAAAAAAAGATGGATGATGTATTGAAAAAAAGTGGTGTTTTTCATTTGTTTTTCTTTTTATTCTTAGTGATAAAGTATTGCCATGATAGAAAACGCTGATGGTGCAGCAGTAGATATGAACAGCATGCTTGTCTTGCACAAACAGATGGCACACTCTGTTTTGCCTCGTGGAAATGGTTAAGTAGAGAGTCAGTGATACTGATGCGAGTGATACTGCCATTTTTGTAATTTCATTTTCATTCATCTCTGTAATCATAGGGATTGTTTAGAATTTTTACCAACCAGTTTTTGGGTACATTACTTAATAATTTTTGGTAATGTTACAATTACATCTCTTTTATTCTAGTATCAGCCGTTTTTAATACCGTTAGTAGGCTTGTTTGAAGTTGATATTTTTTAAATATTGTTATCATGTTTTTACTGTTGCAGTTGTGGTTTTATGCAACAATAAAATTGTTTATTATTTTTGTAGGACGCACACAACTGTTGTCTCGAGTTTGATGAGAAACTTTCCCTCTTTGCCGTTTACGATGGGCATGGAGGACATGAAGTCGCTCAATATGCATCGCAGGAGCTTCCAAATTTTCTAAAATCTCTCGAGTCTTATAAAAACGGCGATTTTACGACAGCACTGAAAGATTCATTTTTGGGTTTTGATGCGACTTTGAGAGACAATGAAGTTGTCGAAAAGTTAAGAAAGATGGCTAAGGATGGAAAGGAAAAACAAGACACAGCTGGTTTGTATTTAAATCTACTTAAATTAAATAAAAATTAAAAAATATTTTATAAATTTAAGTTCCATATTATTATGTTTTTTACAGCTACTGAAGATGAAGATGATTCTTATGTTGTGGAAGATGAAATTGACTTACAGAGTTTAAAGAATGAAGCAGATATGCCGCTCAATGAAGTTTTATTTGCTAATTATACAGGAATTGCAAAAACGCCTTCTGTAATGAGGCGTCTCAGTTTAGGTGAATTTTCTAAATCGCCATATCTCAGGGGAAAAGCAACCACAAATGGTTAGTCTTAACATATGACATACTGTTTGATTTTCATCTCTGTATACTTGTTAATTTTCAGACGAGGTTTCATCAAGCAGCTGTCAAGTTAATAGTGTTACTAACGGGGTTTCAGAAGCAAACGGAGACTGTCAAGAGGTAATGTCATTTTTTAAATATCAAAATATAAAATAACAGTAAAATTGTATTTAGAAAATGCACAAAGAGTCAGAAGCTACAGAAAGTTCGGAAGCCATGCCTTCAACTGTCTCTAATGGTGAGGTTGTAGATTCAACATCGTCTGACAATTCTGGGAATAAGTCTGAAGTCGAAACATCTGAGGAATGTAATTCTTCGAAAAAAATTGAAGACGAGGAAGAAGACAAAGTTGTATCATCCACTGGTGCGTTTTTTAAAGCATGTGCCTCGCGTTAACTTATTAAATAATTTGTTGCATTTTTAGGGGATAGATTGTCAAAAAAGAAGGCTGCACAGATTGTGTATAAATCGATTCTATCAGGATTCGATTCATCAGATTCAGACGATTCCGATGCCAGTTTTGAAACCGATAACAAAGGATGGAGGTGATTTCCCAAAAAAATCGCGATAAATTCTATTTGTACAACAATTTTAAAACAAATGGCACATTGCAGTACTAAAGGTAGCCTTGCAGACGACGATACAGATGATGAACTTGATGAAAAAGATGAAGGAGAAGATGAAGAAGACGATGAGGAAGAGGATGAAGAGGATGATGAAGAAGAAGATTCTATAAAGGGAAATGAAGAGGTTAGTCTCAGTAATCAGTATAACAAGGTAAACCCAAGTTCAGTTTTGTTTTAAATATAACTATGATTACATTACTTCAAGTCATATTTTTAATTTTATTATTTTGCTTTGCGTGTGAAAAGCCGTGGGTTTGATACTTGACATCTCCGGACAATTTGGGAACTATCCCAGTGGTTAGGGTGTCCAAATTCGTATTTGCTACACTAGTCGTTCTGAGTTTGAATCCTAGCATAGCACAATGCTTTTTAATTGTCAATAATAACATGAAAAAAAATGTTAGAAATTATGAAGGCAGGGTGAATATTCAGAATCTAGATTCACTTTTTTGTAAATGATTCGGATCAAATCTGTGAGTAGAACCATCATTTACAAAAAGAGAAAGAAAAAAACGTTGGTTTGAACGTCTGTGACACCCAATGGGTAGTTAAACCCTCTTCTATGGCAGGAATTACTTATAACTTTTATATATAACTGCAATTTCATTAGCTTAAAGATATATATTTTGCGTTATCTTATTTATAATAAATATAACCACTCTAATGTGCACACACATCCCTGCTTTTTATGTGACTGGGTGAGTTAAAAGATAACTTATTTTCCCCTTCCCCCTCAGTGAATAGAATTTTCATATAATTAATATTAAATGTAATATTTTGGATATTAATTTTTTGTTTTTGTTTTAGCCTGGTATGGATTCTGGATGTACAGCAGTTGTTGCTTTGGTATCAGATGGCAAACTTTATGTGGCCAATGCCGGCGATTCAAGAGCAGTGCTGAGCAGAAACGGAATAGCGATTGACATGAGCATCGATCACAAACCGGAGGATGAACCTGAACTTCAGAGGATTGAAGCTGCCGGGGGCGATGTGACAGGCGACGGCCGTGTCAATGGCGGTCTCAACTTATCTAGAGCGCTGGGTACTAAAATGCTTAATTTTGCTTATGAACTTCTCTTGATAAAATTGTTTCCGATATAGGCGATCATTTATACAAAAGAGCCAAAGAGTTGGATGCGACTCAACAGATGATAACAGCACTCCCAGATGTTAAAGTTGAAGATATTAAAGAAGAAGACGAATTTCTCGTATTGGCCTGCGATGGAATATGGAATTCTATGTCCTCTCAAGAAGTAGTCGATTTTGTCAGACCACTCATGGCGAAAGGAGAAAAACTTTCTTCCATCTGTGAAACGGTAATTTCTTCTTTACTACCAGATTTGGCAATATTTTAATCTGCTGTAATCTGAATCACTACCAGCATCACCAATTTTAAAAATGAATTAATCCATATATGTTTAATAATCATAATTAATTATTTTAATAAATTGAACTTTTTATGTAAGGTCTTGGTTGAGATGAAAAAGTTAGTGTCACGAGCGGGATTCAAACCCACAACATTTGGCTAGTTATGATAGCTCAAGTGGTTAAGCAGTGGTATTTAGTTGAAGGTCCTTTGTTCGAGTCCCGCTCGTGACATTTTTTTCTTCTCAACCAAGACCTTAGATAAAAAGTTTAATTATTTAAAAATGAAGCAAAAATCTTGAAAGTTCGGTACAAAATAAACTCACAAAAATTATTACATTAAAAACATTCCTTTAGTCATTAGTAGCAAAAAAATGCGTTTGCTTGACGACCCCCGACAATGAAAATGAACTGCTGAATAGGATCCAACTCATACAGTACCATTTGAGGGTTAAGAGAGAAAAATTAATTTGAGTTAACTCAGGATAATAAATGAAAAATTGAATTCTTTGAAAATTAGTTATCTACGAATGATAGGAAGGCAGGGTATAAAAAAATATTTTAAAAAACATTAAAATTAAAAACCATAAATAAAAATAATGTGTTTTTATACAGTCATATATTTTTATTCTATTTATTTATAATTGGATTTGGAGAAAACCCCAGTAGATGATTTCATTTTTTGTTCTAGCTTTTTGAGAAATGCCTTGCACCGGACACCGGAGGGGACGGTACAGGGTGTGACAACATGACCTGCGTCCTGGTCCAGTTTCTACCAAATCGAATCAAAATGGACACAAATTCAAACAGCCCTGTAAAAGAAGTTGTACAGAATAACGAAGGGGACAAACCTCAGGAATCATTGAAAAGGACGGCCGACGATTCCTTGGAAGAAGTCCACACAACAGTGACACAATCGACAAAAAAACCCAGAGTAGATACAACTTAAAAAAAAAAGCACACAACACAAACCCATTGCCTAAAAACCCCCTCATTACGTAACTATATGTCTTTCATCTTAGCATGTATATATAGTTTATTGAAAGTAATGAGGACCCAATGTTTTACCACATTTATTCTTTATTCCTATTTTCAGTGTTTATTATTTAAATTTCTTGTTAATATTTATATGACTGTCAACCAAAAGTGATTCACTATTGATTCTTTCAGTTTTTTCTTCCTTCTGAAATAACGAATAACATTTTGTGGAGACAGTAAATGATAACCTTTGTACATACGCTCATATAAATATTTTTTTTCTTTTTAATTTTTTTAGATATATATTTAGATAAAGAAAAAGTTCTGTAAACACGAGCAAAGAATTTACTCGTTCAATGTTCCTATTTTTCTATCCCTAACTTTTTTTAATATATCTTTAATTTAATGTTTTTAATTAAAAAAAAATCAAATGTTTTTTTTATAAAACTAAATTTGGGCAGTCAAAGATGTTCTGAACTGGTTCTGAACATTGTGTTCACCACTCTAGGACTTAAATGTTTTCAATACTGTTTTAAATTATTTCAATGTACAACATTTTCATGGATTCAATTTATTTCTTAATTGTGTGGGAGGGAGAGAAGATCTTGAGAGAGATAAAAAGTTGCCTGAGAAAATTTTAAAATAGGGATGTCTAAATCCAAGAGATCTAAAAATTCCAAATGGGTGAAATAAGATTTTGTTGGATTTTAACCTTATAATTAGACTTTGTATAAATATTGTTGTTTTTAAAATTGTTTCAACAAAAGTCTTAAAATTAAAAGGAAAAAAGCACTACACGTTCAATGAATAGAGAGGCAAGATGTGTTAATTATGTTTCTCAAGACGATTGTGTAATTTATACAAATGTGAATACTTGTACCTGATGATTAATGATATATTTGTACAAAACAGCATCAGTGCAAAACCACTTTTTTTTACAAATATTTTTAAAAACAAAAACAATGGTAGGCTATTTTTAATTGGAAGGATGGCTATTTTTATCTGGTCTGTAGTGAACATCATGTCCTCAGACTTTGTATATTTCTTGTATATCTGTGTACATCAATGTGCCGAATGTTTTCACTGCATATGTTGTTGGTGTGTCGCAAGTACCACATTATTTTTATATTAAAAGCTAACTAAAATAAAATTTATTAATAAAGCCTGTTTGAATTCAATTCACGGAACCATTTTCTTGTTGAACTTACAATGAAAATGTCTGTTTATATTCAGCCTTAAACTAAAGCATGGTAAAATGTGGGAATTGTCAATTTTCCTGATATGCATCTCAAAAAAAAAAAAATTTATACTTCCTTTTGTATTTGTTTGAATTTTTTTATTAAATAAAACACTTAAACAAGTTAATTGAAGCAATTTTGATTTGTAATTAGTTTTCAATAATTATATAAACTTTATTGTACATAAAATATAAACGTTGTATAATATTTAATGAAATGTATATTGAATTATGAATATTATTTTAAACTATTACTGTGAAGTGTTTTTTGAACAGAACATACAGCAATGCATATCAGTATGATGCAGCATTCCGTTTTTAATCTGTTGAGCCTTGTTTTTTAAGATTTCTTCTTGAGATTCGGCTTCTCACCATATTTTTAGCTTGAAGCCCTATCAAATTTAACTCATTTTGGCAGTATATACACTAACTCTTCACATTGATAATGTTTAAAATTTTAATTAGCAGTCCAAAAAAGGAGAAGGTTGGGGACTGACTAGATGGCCAGATTAAGGTTGCTGTCACACTGGAACTGACTGCGTCTGTATTTTGTACGTCTTTAACTTAGGAACAGTAACACTGGAAGTGACAATAAGTGAAGTTTTTCAGTTTGCCAAAAAAATTCAAACTATTTTGGATTTGTTCACTTACTGCAACTACACACAATATTTCTGGCGAACGAGACAGTAGACAAGGGGGGTGGATATTGTTTAAATCGTCCCTTCATTTTCAAGCAAATTCGCACTTTTAGAGGATTTCTGGTCAGATAGGATGCGAGATCTTAGTACACTTTTTTTAAATCTACATATTTATCAATATGTAGCATATAAAACTAAATATTAAATTATTTTCACATGATGCATATTAAAGGTAAAGTTTATTTTTCTTTTCAGATTGGATATGTTAGGCTATCAGCCTACAGTGCTTTAAAGTATGTTTTAATTTTATTATTTGTAGTAAAATTATCTATGCCGATAATGATGATCAAAGAAATATCTTGATAAAGAAGAAAGCACGAATAGTATTTGGGATTAAAATTTGTCATTTATATGTAATATTATTTTTGCGAACACTTACAACCATGATATTTATCCAAATCATACCTCAGCTTAATGGTTCCAATTGTACTCTGCATATTTGAAGAATATTGCAAATTTGAAAAAATGTTTCTTACTTTAAAAAAAAATAAAGTAACAGCATGAGAGGAAAAAAATGAGCCTTAATCTCATTCAGATTTCCACATGGCCCATAGAATTATCTGGAAATAATCAGCATCTTTTTGAGGTTTCCCTAACCATATTATTTGGCGTATTTGAGGGGGAATTGAATGCATATGTGAGGCATATAAGGGTTTTTTGAATTAATATTTATAGGACATTTGAGGGGGGTTTGAGTGCATATATGAGATATCAGGAGTTTTTTTTTAGTGCTTATTGTATAACATATTTGAGGGGGATTGAATGCATATTCGAGGGGTTTTTTTAAGTGCATTTACATGACATGTTTGAGTGCATATTATTTGGCATATTTGAGGGAGTTAAATGTGGTATATTTGATGAGATTTTTGAGTGCATATATAACAGTTGAAGTGGGTTTTGAGTGCATATATAGCATATGGGGGTGGTGTTTGAGTACATATATGGCATATTTGAGGGTTTTTGAGTGTTTCTAATATGACATATTTGAGGAGAGTTTTTGAGTGCATATTACATGGCATATTTGAATGGGGTTTTGTGTGCATGTATGGCATATTTGAGGTTTGTTTAGTGCATGTACAACATGTTTGAGGTTTTTGAGTGCAAATTACACGACATATTTGAGGGGGTTTGAGTGTAATGTGGCATATTTGAGAGGGGTTTTGAGTGAAAATTATATGGCGTTTTTGAGTGCAAATTATATAACATATTTGAAAGGGATTTAAGTACTTATTGTATGGCATATTTGAGAGGTTTTTGAGTGCATGTACGGCATATTTTAGGTTTTTTTATTTTATGTGAGGTGGCATTCTTGTCGGTTTTTTAATGCTAATTATATGGCTTATTTTACTGTATTTAAATCCGGGCTCTAATTATGATGCCTCTAACATTTTGTCATGTACAATTTTTTTTTTTTATGCTTCATGTTATTTATACTGCATTATTTTGACTTCATTATTTTGACTTCATTATTATTTGAGAAAACCAGTGAGTCATAATTATGAAAGGAAACACTTAAATCTTTTGGATATTATCGATTCCTCGACGTGATAATAAGGAAAATTCGATTTTTATGAAATCCGGAATGACCAGGGTATTTACGTTTTACCGCCTACCGGTTATCATCCATTACAAGAATTCGGACCTAATTTAAAAAAAACTAGGTATAAATCTATCACTAATTTTTTAAATAGTTGACGTTTTTATCTTTTAAACAACAAAAACAGACAAGTCTTTCGAAATGGTCGAATTTATAAAAAATGTGTCCGACGTTGAGAGATTTTGCCAGAATCAGGACCAAAACGTGAGCTACTTTTTCACATCAAATTTGCCAGAAATTTGTAAGAAAGAGCCTTGCATATTTGGAATCGACGAAGCAGGAAGAGGTCCTGTTCTTGGTGAGTTGTCATTTCGTATTTTTACTATTGATTGTTCTGTTTTGTTTTTGTGTTTTTTTTAAAGCAAAAGTCCAAATTGGTTAATGTATATGTGTTTAGTTTTTTTGTACGTTATGTATATACAGTTTTAATATTAGAAGTTGAACAGTTCCTATCTTTTCCTAATAACTACTTCCTGCTAACTGACAGGAAAAAACAGACTCGTGTCCATCCAGCAGCTTGCATAGTAAGACAATACTATCATATCTGAGGTTTAAGGATTTTATTATTAAAAATAAGCTGAATATGCTTGGAAAAGCTAGTCTCTCGATTGTGTGAAAAAAATGGATACCCAAACTGCTAAAATCCATAGAAGAATAATTAGAAAATATTTATTATTTATTTAAAAAAAAACAGTAGTTTACAATAGTTAGAGTTGCCTGTTGGAGTTTGGGATTCCTTTTACTAGATCAAATATTACAGTAGTTATAAAAAAAAGAATTTCAATTAACAGTAAAAAAGAAATCCATAAGTAAACATAATAATTTGGATTTATAGATCTGTACATGAGTTGAGCCTATCACTCTGGCAGTCAACTGGCAATTCTATCTTTTGTAATTTACAATAAATTACTGGCTTGCTTTGAGAATCACTCACCCTGGGTGTTGACAGATCGGGGTCAGATCTCAGTTTTATGCATCCAGACTGTGGTTGTGCTCCTGGTGCTGTCAACATCTCGATCAATTCAGCACCCTGCAAGCAGTTCCTAGATCCAAACCCATTCACATGCTTTACTGTGTACTCGATATTCCTCCGATATTACATCTATTATATAAAAAACTTTATTAATGGTCAATGGCCGGAGAATTGCCCCTCAAACTTCGGAGATTAAGACTTGATTTGAACTTTGCAGTGAAAATTCTCTCATGTCCTTCCCATCCTCTAGTGTCCCTTTTTCCAAGTGGAAACTATTCCGTTTGAAAATACTCTACGTTGTCAGCGAAAACATTTTCCATGTAGAGTGGCTGCTCATTTACAATTAATGAATGCTGCGATCCCCCCTCTATAAAATTGGAGTTTCACTTAAACCACCCTGGCTGCTTCCAAAGCCTAATCTATGCTTAGACCTTACTAAATTTTTAAACAGACTCCCCTACATGTATAGTCAAGAATTTTATAAAGCAATGGATATCTTTTCAAATCCAACACAGATGGCACAAAAAATAATGTAGGGACAGGTGTTGCTTTCTTCACTTATGATAATAATGCACAGTATATGTTTACCATACCATGTATATGTAGCAGCTACACTGCTAAGTTTATAGCAATAGCAAAGTGCTTAACTGTATTAGCCCCATCTAGGGAAATAATTGTCATCAGTACTGATTCTTTGCCAGCGCTGATGACACTGAAAAACAACTTTTCTGTGCATCCATTAATATGACATCCTATTTGCCATTGAATCTTTGCAAAATCAAGGAAATAGTGTAGTATTCATGTCGATTCCTGGACACTGCAGAATATTTGGTAATGAGAAGGTGGACCATTTGGCAAAGCAGGCTGTCCTTAATGAAGATAAAATTACAAAACACCAAAATCTGATGTGACAGCTTGGCATAAAAGAAAGTCTTTGCAGCTATGGCAAAAAGAATGGGAAACGACTTCTAACATCAAACTTAGGGACATAAAGGACTGTGTAAAACCTTGGGCCTCATCTCATAGGGGTTAGCCTTTCTAGGCTCAGAATTGGTCATTGTAGATTTATTCATTCTTATCTCATGGCAAAAAAAGATACTCCGCTTTGTGATGTTTCTACAGAAAGGATAACAGTTAAACACATTTTGACAAATTGCAAAAAATATGAAGGAGAAAGACATCGGCTGGAAATACCAATCAACATCAAAGACTCACTTGGTGATGACTGACCAAATAGACAAACTACTAACGTTGTAAATTTTGTTCTTGTGTGATTTTATTGAAAGAAAATTATATTCATCTTTCTTCATATTATTTTGTTCACTTTTTATTTTTTATTTTAATGGATGGTTCAATTTTTTCTCATTTTTTGAAGGTGGTTAAAAATAAGAAAAATCAAACTTTCTTAATTTGCTAATTTTTTATTCCAATGTTAAGAATCGAGTTTAACAGTCCACACAGAAAATAATGAAGCTGATCTGGCGATTTTGCGTGTGGAAACATTTTCCTTTAAAAGTGTTATTGATAATTTATTCAACTTGATTGTTTTTAATTTTTTTTCAATTCAGGGCCGATGGTTTATGGTATTTGCTACTGTCCGAAGTCAAAACAGAATCTGTTGGAAGAATCTGGCTGTGCCGACTCTAAGACACTGACCGAGCAGAAAAGGGAAGAGATTTTCGAAAAGCTTTGTGAAAAAGACGAAGATATTAAATGGGAAGTCAAAGTCATTTCACCGACAGATATTAGCAATTGTATGCTCCGAAGGTACTGATATATTTATTTATGCCCCGATGTTCTCAAATTGCATTTCACCGGTGTTTTACAGGCAAAAATACTCCCTGAACGAAATTTCACATAGTTCGGCCATCGGTCTTCTTCAAAAAGCCATCGATGAAGGTGCAAACATTACTGACGTCTTTGTTGATACTGTTGGCCCTGCAGATAAATACCAGGTTTATTTTTATATGGCAATTTCTAATTCAGTGATTACTAATTACTTCATTTCAGGCCAAACTTCAAGAAATATTTCCTCATTTAAACGTTACAGTCGCTAATAAGGCGGACTCAAAATATCCCATCGTAGGTGCTGCCTCAATTTGTGCCAAAGTCATTAGGGATATTTGTCTCAGGGTCTGGAAATATCCTGAAATCAAAGAAGATGAAAAAATTGTCTGCGGTAGTGGCTACCCAGGAGGTGATACATTTTATATAAATAATAACGAATAGCGATTAAAGTGATATTGTGTTTAAATCCTTTTATTCTTAGATCCTGACACTAAAAAGTTTTTGACAAAATACATGGATCCCGTTTTCGGATTTCCGAGTGTAGTTAGATTCAGCTGGGCGACTGCCAGTAAAATTTTAGAAGAAAGCGCGATAACTGTGGAATGGTATTAATCACTTTATTTATATAAAAACTTTTGCCTTAAAATCAGTGTTTTGTTTCAGGGAAGAGGTGGAAGATGAAAAAACAAAAGGTATTAAGTCTGTTAAGTCATTTTTTTCTAAAGTCGATGATAAAAGTAAAGAAAGGTTCAGGTATTTCAAAGAAAGAGGTTTAACAAATTGTACTGAATTTTGACTTTGTAATTGTAAATTAAATATTTTTTAATAAATACACTGTTTGTAAGTCTATAAAATCTCAAACACTTCATTTTATCAAATATTTAATAACAATTTCAGCTTTTAACACCTTTTCCTAGATTGTTTGCTGTCCATTAGCTGGCTGCTGTATAATTAAAATCAAGTTTGTACAAAAATGCCCTATCATTACAGATCACTTACGAGCATTTATATGCATAATCATAGTTGAAATAGATTTTTAATAATCATCTTTGGGGTTTGTGAACAAGCTCTACCTAAATCCTTTTAAAATCAACTTTTTTTTTTATAATATGATTTAATACTTACTACTACTAATTGTTCAGAAATCGTAAACAAATACATTTAGGATGTGGAAAAGTGAATTTATACAATGCAAACTATATTTTTTATATTCAATCAAAGTATTTCTGTATTTGTTAAATGTCCACAATGTTTGTAAATCCCAGGCCCTGAAGATGATCTCAATAAAGATTGAAACGTGGCATGATAAAAAAAATGTTTTCTGAAACCTACATCACACCAGACCGCTTCTCACAATTTCTGAATAATTATCGATTAACGGTCACTAATCACCACACACTTACTACTACTAAATATTCATTATTCTTTTGAAGTTATTAGACAATAAATTATGTAAAGAGGACCACTTCCATGTTATAAATACATGCCAGTTGAAACCCTAAGAAAGCAACTAATTCAATCTACCCATTTAAATCAATGGCAGAGATTGGAATCAAGACTTACAGATTGGTGGCAGCAGTGTTTTACAAACCGTTACTAATTGATGGTAGTAGTGTTAAATCCTTACTATTTTTAATTGATGGCAGCAATGTTAAACCCCTCCTTAAAGGGACACCAGTGTTTTACAAACCCTTACTAATTGGCGACAGCAGTGTTTTACAAATCCTTACTAATTGGGACAGCAGTGTTTTACAAACCCTTACTAACGTGTGGCAGCAGTGTTTACAAGCCCTTACTAATTGACAGCTGCAGTGTTTCTATAAGCGTTTGCTACTAGTGGCAGCAGTGTTAAATCCTTATTAATTGATGACAGCAGTGTTAAACCCCTACCAATTGAGGACAGTAGTGTTTTACAAACCCTTACTAATTAGCGACAGCTGTTTTACAAACCTTGCTAATTGGTGACAGCTGTATATTACAAGCCCTTACTAATTGGCAGGAGCAGTGTTAATTCCTTACTAATTGGTGGCAAAAAATCTTTACTAACATTTAAACTGTGATGCCATGCTTGCCCACAGGAGTGTTTTGGGATGTATAATGTAACTGTAAAAGAAATTCAACCACTGTTCCTGGGCGTACTAATAGTTCTTTCTAGTTTTTAGTTAATCTTCTAGATGAACTAAGAGTCACAGGTATGCTATAAGCACAGAACGATAGTTGTTAAAGGGCGCAATATACTGCACACCCCGACCAATACTCAATACAACTACAAACCCTTACTAAAGTGTGGCAGCAGTGTTTTATAATGCCTTACTAATTGGTGACAGCAGTGTTTTAACTCTTACTAATTGGTGGCAGCACTGCCAGAAGAATTTAGTTAAATTTGTAGTTGCTATTATTATTAGAAAATATATTATTATATACCCAAATATATCAAAAACCTCTTTACATTTGTAAGACACTTTGTCAGGAATCAGGTCTTGTTTTAATTGAATTAAAATAAAGTCATTTAAGAAAGAGAAAATCTAGACAAAACACCCATATTTACATAATAATTTGTTTACTTTTCATAGTAAATAAGTTTTTTGGTACATTTTCGACCAGTTTATTGTTTAATTTACATTTGAAGTAAATAAGCAAAAAGGGATTAGTTAAAGGCTAAAAAAATTGAATTTGTAGATGAAAATGTGTTGTCAATAGAAAGGTTTGGGCATTATAAATCAATTTTTTTTACTATCCACGAAGGGCAACTCTTATGTAGGTAGGAGCAGGAAACTGAGAAAAAAAGACAATATTTTCTTACAACTTTTAAATGATATACATACAAAACAATAACAATATAATTACAAAATGTTATTTTAAGGTATAACAAACATCGATTTATAAAATGTGGATAAATCAAAAGAATTAAATACAAAATTATTCAGTATAAAAATTCTTGTTACCTCCGTAAGGGAACAGATTTGTTGTAGCAGTCTCAAAAAAATATAATACTTAAGAAATAAAAGCTTTTTTTCTTTTCTTTAGCCATTATCATCCCGTTTAATTTATATTATGTACACAGGGATTATACAAATTATCTACATATAATATTTTACAAAGTTATATGTGCGATCACTCAACATTTTTGTTTGTAATTAAGCTTTTTTTTAAATATTTTAAATGAAGTGACAGTGAATTAAGAAAATGTAATTTCAGAGTTTAAAAAAATCCTTTTCAAATAAAACGATGCTAGTAAAATACAGTCCGATACATTATAATTAAAGGCAAATTGACTAGTTGTGAGCGGCAGATCTATTGCACAAGAAAAGTTCCCTTTAAAACAATAACATTATACAATCCATCTTTTCCAAGTAAAAAAATAACAATAAAATTAAATGTAATGAAATAGTCACATTTGATTGGTGTTAGTAATGGATTCTTATATCATAAAATAGTTGATTAACAAATAAGTGCTCAAAAAAAAGCTTTCAACAATTTTCCTCATCCTTAAAAAAGAAGAAAAAAATTAAAAGAACGATGTTAAGAACGTTGTTTAATTAAATGGTTAGTTCTAAAATATTCACCATTGTAGTAGAATCATCTAAAAAAATGGCTTTCATGCATTCCAAAGTGCAAGGAATATCGTTCAAGGCTAAAGGAGCGGTTTCTCGTTCGTTGCGTTCATCCCTCAACATTTTCCATCTGTCTATTAGTTCTATAAAAAAAAATTTTTTTAGTTTAACTAACTGCCATTTTGAAACTGAAAAAGGGATTTTTTAAACATGTGAAGGTATGGATTTATTATCTTGAGATCTCCTGTGGTCTGTAGGGAGATGAACTTGTAATTTGATCCTTACCTATCATGTCACTGGGTTGTTCCTCAGACACGCTAAAGATGGCAAATGCTGCAACCCATCTGAGATAGGTAGTCCAAGATACTCGGTAATCAAATCATCAATAATCTTTATCTAATTTTCTACTACTGCAGCTAAATAACTCAAAACTCTATTTGTATATCGGCTAGAACATACATAGTGAAACTTCCCTTAATGGACACCTCTAAAAAGCTGATATCTCCCTTAAACAGACAAATTCTGATTCTCTGGTGTCATCCCATTAATTTTTTACATGTTAAAATCTGTAAAGTGACTACTCCCAATAGCGAACATGGACAGCTTTCATGTCTATAGTCTTTAAAACTCTCAAAAGTGGACAACAGCCTCCCGAAAATCAATGTTTTCTGAGTTTTGTTCTAAGTATTTTGTTTGCCTAATAATATCGTACTTTGTGTCTAATTCCTGGAATTTTATTAAGCCACATTGCAAACATGATTATGTACTTCTTCAATGTGACCTAAACCATGATATCAACCCCCCCTGCAGTGCATTTGACCTTTTAAAAAATTAATATAATAAAGTGAGTGGATGTGAAATAGAAAAAAAGGAATTTTTAAATAAATTACATACATTTTTACAAACAAGGAAATGACCAATCCAATAGATTTTTTCTAAAATGTCTGGCTCAGACATACACCAGGACCTATTTGAATGGTTTTGCTGGGTTCAGCAGGCTAGATAGCATCTGGTTTGCTTATCCAAGAAAAAGCCTTAAAAGTTGCAAAACATTTTGTGCAAATTTTAAATAATCTTCAAGTTTTTTAGTTAGAGTTACAAATTTAGAATACTAAAATAAAATATAATAAAACTTCTTTTAAAACTATTAGTGAAGAAGTAGCGACAGTAGATACTGAGATTGAACAAAACTTGATGGAAAAACTTAAAAGACTACACCAATTTTGATCACAAAAGCATTTTTAATTGCGAAGAGACAGACTGATTTTAAGGATGAAACTATGCAGTTAAAAAATAAGCATTGTCAGGTATGAAAAGTTTCAAAGGAACATTTAACTTTGATCTTAATTCAGATCAAAGTTGAGGAAAATCACCCAAACAGGCACAAAATGCTAGCATGAAAAAAGCACACACACCAAATATACAAGGACTAAAACATAGGCACAAATGCATACATAAAAACAAGAAATTAACTGGGGTTAAACCGATATTAACTGTACCACATTTATTGAAAAAAGTGACAAAACATCAACAATGGAAATGGAAAAAATTTCAAATGCACGGAAAATAAAATGCAAGATAATTTTGGGACAATGACAGAAAATTGTGCTATACAATTCACCTCACACAAAACCATCAACATGGATAACAAACCACAAAAATGACAAATTTAAAATTTGATAGCTACTAATATTTTTTTTGCTCTGCCTCTTTTTTTTTTTTTTGGATACCAGGGACTGGAGGAGTTCCCTCCTGAGCACTGCAGCTGAGCTGTACAGCTTATTGTACTTCATCCCTGGCTCCATATTTTGGGGGAGGGCTCGCAACACAAATGTGAACTTGAGCCCCCGTTGTACAGGTGTTCTTCCATCGAAGAAACTCATTTTTGAAGGGGGTTGGGACCAAATTCAGGGTGGCTGAGATCTGATCCCGCCCCTTCCATTGATGAGTGCCCTGTCAATTTCTTTCAATTGCGGCCACCGGTCCCTTTAGACATCAGAAAAGTTGACGATGGGGATCAAACCCACAACCGCGGGATCTACTAGCCAAGAGTCTGACACCCTTAACCACTCGGCTACCGCGGCCCCCTCTGCCTATCCTCACTAGAATGGTTCGCAATCCAGAACAAAATCACTGGTAATGACTAAATTACAGGTTTATCATCCCAGGAAGAAATATCACTAGTTTATAATTGCCCATGATGGAAAAATGGACATATTGACAAATTAGAAATATATTTATTTACAAAACACATCCAACCCGAATAAATTTTTGATCAAATATGCACATAATGATCTTTTATCCATTACACTTCACAACAGTGGTAAACAAATTGATAACTGCAATAATCAACTGGAACAAAAACTGAAAAACCAAGGAACTAATTCAAAAAATATTTTATATTTACCCGAATAATTAATAACATTGTCCAGCTCGCCAAGTTGGTCGTAAGCATGCAGTAGACCTCTGTAATCATATTCTAAGCCAGAATAGCTCTCAGTGAATAATTTCAGGCCTGCAGTTAACAAATGTAAATAAAAATAAGAGAACCATTAATTTTATTCATATATTGTAAGTGAATCAATGTTTGAATATACTCACTTATATTTATCGATCTGATATAAAGAGCCTCAGCTTTTCTATGCTCCTTCATGTGGTAATTGTACAAACTGGCCAAGTGTCCGAGGCTAAGTCCGACTTCATAATCATCCTGGCCCAAAAGCTTCTCTTTGAGCTGAATTGCTTTCATATGCATTGCTTCTGCCTCCTAAGAATAAAAAAAAGGGTAAAAATATTTCTAGTGTTTCTTTCAAAATGTTTACGTCACCTTGTATTTTTTCATCGTTTGGTACAGACGACCAAGATTGCCATAATGCTTTGCAGTCTGTACGTTATTTTCTCCAAAACAAGCAAGTGATACACGCAACGCATTCTTATGAAGTTTTTCAGCTTCGCATAAAAGCTTATCTGTAAGAATGACCTTATATGATAAAGTACCTAGAATATGTTTAAAGAGAAAATAAATAAGTACATACGTGTGCCAGGCATGGTGGAGATATTACTTAAAGCAATTTCTTCAAGGATAAGTGCTTTCACTCTTATTGCAGAAGCGATCATTAAATGATTTGGTGGTAAAAGTGCTGTCATCAGTGCAATTGATTGATCTGCATGATACCTTGGATAAAAAAATTTTAAGTTAAAATTTATTTTCAAGATTTAGAAAAAAAATATTTTTAAATACTTTGCAGAATTAAAATTGCCTGAACAGTATTCATGGACATATAGCGCATAAGCAAGTTCTTCATGGGCTATCGCTACTTGAAGATTACGAGGTCCAAATATTTCCTCCTTTAAACTTAACGCTTTCTAAAAATCAATTTAAATTGGACAATTTCGTTTAAAATTAATTTTCAAACTGAAACAAACCTCATAAACCGTTACGCTGTCTTTCATTGCATCTGAGTTGAGTAAATAAAAACCATAATCTAAAAGCGTCTCTGCGTATTTGGGATGTTCCTTTCCGAAAACTTTGGCAGCAAAATAAACCGCCATTCTAATAAGGCTTTCTGCCTTACTTATTCTTCTTTTGACTACGCAGGACTTTGCAGCTTGTGAAAGAGCTTCCACCACCATCCTCGAGTTAGAATTATGATTGAGTTCTTGTATAGATCTAACACTCCACATGTAAGCCTAAAATATTAATTTTAATTTGGAGGTTAATCAAAGTTAAATGGTTTTTATTAACCTGGCATGTATACCTCATCAAACAGACTCATACTGAACGAGTAAATAGAAAATTGAGTGTAAATTCCAGCTAGGCACATTTTCTCATTTGTGCGTTTCAATTTTGAAATTATTTCTTCTGCTAGAAGTTTAGTCTTGGTCGCCTTGTCACACAAAGAGTAGATGATTTGTGCATGGAGAAGCCTGAGAAGTATATACTACATTTAAAAACACACCCCAAAAAATAATCCAATTAAAAAAATTAATATTACTTATGACAACAATCTAGACTTCTCATTAAAGAGGACGGATTCTCAGGAACAGCAAGGCAAACCTCTTGGCACGCTTCTAGAACTTCACAACTTTCGTGATACCAGCTGGCATCGCTTAAAAAGCCACCTGAAATTTGTTTGATTTAGGAAAATATCCTTTCTTTTAATCAGCATTATTTAAAATTGTTAAATTACCCAATTTAAGCCCCTGGTCTATAATAGAGAATGCTACATTTTCGTTCGAATCTTCAAGTTTGAAATATTCACATCTCAACTTGTAACTTCCGATCAAACCTTTTGCAATCCCTGTTTCATGCTCCATCAAAGCCTGAAGAACAATTAAAAACAAAACTTTGTGTATCAGTATCGAACAAATTTAAAATGAAAAATGGTTTCATTTCAATTTTAAAAAGCAATCATTTCAATAAATATGGCTTTATTTAATAAAATCTACACTCACACTATTTTGAGAGTAATTAATTAATAAATAAAACATTAAATTTTTTTCCTTGGCGTCAGCATGGCAGTTGGTACTTGGTTCCCTGGTAGATATTCTTGGACTGTTTTTTCAATAAAAAAATTTTTTTTTACTGAACATAGTACTGATAGTTTGGTATCCCTAGTTTGTGTTGAGAATGAAAGCATTTATTGGTGTGAATGTGTAGTGAGTGAATAGTATATAAATAAGAAAGAATGTATTTGAGTGAGTGTGAATGGGAACTGATTGTGTTGGGGGCTGAAATGACCTGTTGATAGCCCCTGGTGCCCACCTCGGTGCCGGACAGATAAGACCGAGGTCTGACCCCCAGATTGCTAAAACCCAGGGTGGGTGATTCTCAGTGCCTGCCTGTATTTTATTGTAAATTAGACAAAAATTGTTATTGCCGGCGAGCTGTAAGAAGTGATAGACTTAACTCTGTACATACATGAATGCATATTGTTAGAAGAAAGAGAAACAAGTGAGCCGAGGAATGGAAGAACTATCATTCTAACTCAAGGCTTCATTGCAAATAATACCTTCTTTTGATTTTCATTGCGTCAATATACTTTTTCCTGTTCAAATTGTGTCTTTCCTCTATTTTCTTACGATATAGATGTGCGTGCAGATTTCAGCTTATATAAATCACAAATCAGTAAAACTAAATTTCCAAATATTGTTCATTATAAATTAAACTTTCGAATTATTGAAATTTTCAAGTATGTTGCTTATTCATGAATCTTACAAGTTTCATTGAATGGAAACATTTCCAAATATTGTTGATTATAACCAAAATTTAAGAATGACTGAAATTTGAGAGTATCCTGATTATTCATGAATCTCCCAAGTAGAATTGTGGAAATAAAATTTCCAAATATTGTTGAAATTTTCAAGTATTGTTAAGTTTAAATGAATCTGTGAAAAACAAGGATAAGTTGGTAGTACTTTTAGGATAGGGATAGGGATAAAAGAAGCGGCCACAAGGCCTACTGCACCTCGACCTGAATAGATCTATTGTACTCCCCTGTTTTTTATAACTCACTGGCCAGCTTCAGATTGTTAATCAGCCTCCATAGCTTTGCCAGCAGCTCCTTAGTTTAGCATCTTGCTTGTAGTTTTTCTTGTCCTAGATGAAGGAACCTGCACCTACATAGACCTTCACAGGAACACAGAATGTGTTCAGTGGTCTCCTACTCTTCCTGGCAGTATCTGCACAGTGTACTGTCTATACTACTATAGACTATAGAATCTACTGTCTATACTACTATCCGGTGCATCTGCCTTTTAAGTGGCAGTGCCCAGTGAGGAGTCCAACCAGAATCCTGTTTGATTGGCCTTCCAGTAATTCTTGTGTAAGTTTTGCAGATGGTCCTACTTTGAATCTCTTTGCATGCCTCATACCTGTGGTATTGTTCCACCAGGTTTTGGACTCATTAAGGATCCATTTTAAGATGTTTTGTGGCATGGTGCTATGCCACAGTAGGAGTCAGGACCCCCTTTTTGGCCAATATGTCAACCCTTTCATTGCCTCTATGCCCCGAGCGCCCGGGAGGTAGTACCTTTGAAGACTATTCTTTAAAATATTTAGTTTTCCAATTTATACAATTATACATTGCAAAAAATACATAAAATAATCAGCAACAACTACCATTTCCAGGCTAATGCTAATTTAGCTTTCTTTTTCTAGATCCTGGATCATGTTTATCAATTTTAAACCATAAAGCATAAAAATTTTGTTGATCATGTAATGCAAACATTGAAACACTATGAATTGTTAATATGAAAAAACTAATACATAATAGTTTCCTTGATAGCCAAGAAGTTTAACTTGATAAACAATACTCCATTCTTAAAATGAATTCACAAGCTCATTTTCAAACTCAATAAAAATTCTTTTATGGTTTAACAATAATAGAACAAGAGTGATATATGTTAAATTGATTGAAACAGTACAAGAGGAAAAAAATCAGAAACTTATCTGGCGTATATTTAATAAGATTATTTCCTTAATCGGTTGTTTATCTTTTGATATCGATTATCTCAAAATTAGAATTGAGCAAATTTAAATACATATTGTACATTGTTTATAATTTGTACACAGATAAGATCACTGTGATCAATCGACTAGAAATGTGAAAGTGGAAATCCTGATAGTCTTAGAAAGAGGGTGAAAAGGTCCATTGTATACATTTGAGAATTCTTTTCAAAGTATAATTTCAAACCATTCAAAAGAAACGAATTGAATTGTAAATTGACTACACCGGGGTTAATATTCAGGAAGTAATAACTTGTTTACGTTTCATTCTTACTAGCTGTTGAATTTAATTTGACACAGACCAGATTGTATTTTTACACTTTTCTTAGGTTCATACTTTTCAAAATTTCACAAATTAAAATTTAAACCAAAACATCTTTTTTGTTAATAGAAAATAAAACATTTTAGACAATTTACCTGAAAACATTTGATGAGCATAACCCTGTTTTTGGTCAGCTTCAACATTTTGGAGAAGGTGGTCAGGTCTCGTAATTCGATGCAGAGAGTGTAAATTCTTCCTTGTTTATACAACTGGAAATGAGAAAGATATTTTAATATGTTCAAAAATAAACACTTGAAAAGACAAATTTTAAAGAAATTTAAGAAAACTTCAGAATATTAAATTTTATGTAAAAGATTGGCAGTGGAAAACTTAAATATTTAGCTGTAACAGTTTATAAAAATTTCCATTATAAATTTGATAAACTGTTATCATATACATTGAACAGAAATTTTCAAGAATTACAAAAAAAACTTGTTTATACGTTTTTTTCTACCAATTTCAATAAATCACTATTTGTAATCAGTAGATGATTTCATGATTTTCATAGCGTTACAGAAAAATACAAATCCTTGATATAGATAAAAACTGTGTATAATAAAATGAAAAAAAAAACAAAAAAAAGTTTCAGTCTATTTTATTTAGTGATTCACTGTAATGCTGACAAGTATAGAATTTCTAAATACTAGGCTCATTCAAAACTTTTTTTATTGCCTAGAAAATATTTCTACTAATGAGCAGGGGTGAAAAGCCTAGAGGAGATAAACAACAAAACAAATTTTGTGCAACTGCCTTGCAATACTTAGGAAAGGCATTCCTGTGCAATATATACCTAGATGTCATACCCCATAGAAGAATTCTATACTTTATTAAAGAAATGTAAATCTTTAATAAAAATGTGCTAAAGGAGGAAAACCCTACAATTAAATAAAGAGAAAAAAATGAGAAAAGCATTTTTTTTAATTATTATTTTTTATTAACAGGCATTCACATGGATTTATCGCTTCCGGCTACATTGAAGAAAGTTCAGAACTGAATTTGAAAATTTATATGCATGTGTGGACACCCAGCTCCAAGGCTGTGTTAGCAAGTCCTACTGTCATTAAAGTCAATGCACTCTGGGAACATAGTATTTCTACTACAATCTTAAGCAGGGAACAGTCAGAAAAATCGCTAAAGCCCACCAACACAAGGCCAAGTCAATGTCCCACCTGTACTCTAAACTTATTTTAAAAAAAAACACAATGAGAAATACAAAAACACAACTCTTCAATGTATGACAATCATAGCAGTCAATTGATCTATGCACTAACACACAGCTCTCCACAGTTCTGAAAAAAACAGTCAGTAAAAAGACTTCACCTAAAGAAAAATACCGTACAATCCGAACTACCCTTGCAGTTTTGAAATTGATATATGATAGAATAGAATAGAAATTATATATTTCAAAACTCTATATTTGCGTTCTACACAAATTAAACACTAAATTGAAATAAATATATCAAAACCTGTACAGAACCACCTGCTTTAGTAAGTAAAAACTTGTATTTGTTAGCAGGAGGTTCAGAACATTATAAATTACAAAATACACCTGCACATAGGAAAAAAAAGTGTGGTGTTAAGTGACCGTTAATTAATAATTATTTGGAGATCGTGAGATGCGGTTATACACTTGATAAAATTCATTTTTGTTGGGAGTGGATTTGACAAAAACTTATTGACAAACCAACACAAAGTATTTTTCAACTGAAGTGGAGATTAGAGACATAAAAACAAATCCAAATTAAATTAAGGAAAATCTGCACAAAATGAATTTACATTTTTTTACTTCATTTATTTTTATCTACAACTGAATTATATACAACCAGCAGATTGGATTTCAATTTATGATTGTGGCATTATGGGCGTTCTAGAGAAAGCTACCCATTGGCAGCCGCTCTGGAATAATAAAATAATATTTATCATTTAAGAGGTATCTTATCCATATTCTTTTTCATCACTTACATGATAATTGTGGGGAATGGAGTTATCGAATTTGAGTGTGTGATTTTGTAATTTACTACGATAACGTCTGTAATATGTTTTGATGGATGAAAAAACTACCGGCATGTGAAGATCTCTGTGACTTTACCTAAAGAAAATTATTGTACGTGCAACCCGAACAAACGGTTTTGAAATTTTGTATGCCAACTGAAGCAATACACCTCTAGAAAAAAGATCAATGTCAGTCCCCCATATGGATGACCAGGCCAGCAAAATCAAATGTCAATTTTGACCTATTTTTGGGTTTCTAAATAGCACACTCATGAACATTACCTTGTTTAAATTATAAATAAAGGATCAGAAATGTTCCTCACCTCACAGACCCAAAAAGAAAATCTCAAAATATATCATGTATTGCAATTAATATGGTCAATTATGGCCACTAAACAAATATATATTATGTATGTTTGACAAAATTCTATCTTTGTCGAAAATGAATTTAATAAAGATTCATAGAAAACTGTAGTTTATAATCATATGAAGTGCATAATGAATATTGAAAAGGGCAAGAATTAGATATAAAAATTTAAAAAATAAAATAACAATAATTCAGCACTTTGAGGATCATACTGACTGATGAGGACCTAAAAAAATATAATTCAATCCCACCTACGCCTAAGTTTATGAAATTTTATGCGCCGATTTAAGCTATACACCGCAGACATCAATCTCCATGTGGATATCCAGACCAGCAAAACTGTTTCAATTTTGACATTTTTTCAATGTTTGTAAGTAGTGCGGTGACGAGATGCGCCTTGTAAAATTTGAAAAAGAGGATCGGAAATGACCAAACTACAGGTACCAGACAGACCACAAGATGAAATCGCAAACAAAACTTTTTTTTAGCAGATGTGATAAACATTGATATTGAACATAAATCACAAAGAATCATTCCGTTGAATTGAGTTGACGGGGTAAAAACTGCATTTTTTTTTTCAAAATGAAATCAAAATTGACAGCATGTAAATATTTAATATTATGTAAGTTAAAAACAGTTGCAGGATTAAGAAGAAAAGTTATGTTAGAACGATTCTTTATGTAACTTATTTGTGTAAAAACATTTTGGAATATTGTTTAGAAGAAAAAGTTACAAAACAATGTTGACTAATAAGTAAACAATGAGTAGACCTTTTGTAAAGTTTTTTTCTTTTTCTTTTAAGTTGTATAGTGTATGTCTTTGAATTTGTTTAAATATGAGATTTAGTTTGATTTTTTAAAATGTTAATAATTGATTTACCGTAATGCAAATGTCGAAGAGGACCGTTTCGGGGATCAAGCGTAGATCCTGTTTAAAATACTTGTAAAAATCGCAAACGGTCGCCACTGTCATGTCATAAAGGGAGAACGGGGTGGCAGGCATTTTTGCAAATGTGAATTATCCGCCAGTGGATTGAAAATGCGAATTATCCGAGGGGAAGAAGAAGAAAAACGCCTTTATTTTTACGGGGCGGCCGGCTCGGACGAACAGCGATTAAGAAAGAAAAAAACTCCCGAGACTGGAATCAAGTTTCACATCTGACGTCTGAACGGGCGGAAGAGGAGCGGAGGATGAAATCCGTCTTGAGGCTGAAGGAAGCGAAACGGCCCGAGCATGTCAGCCAGACTGGTTGAAATTCGGCCTCGCCCGTTTTCCCAGCAGGCGCGGCTACAAAGACGTTCTCGGCATCCGACGATCTGGAGGAGACAATTGGCCTACGGGCTATGAAATGGCCCACAGCCACAGAGAACGACCAGTTACACTCCTAATCAACAAGCAATAAAAAGACGAGGTTATGTCGGATTATCGAACCCCCCCTTTTCAAGTTCGATTCCCTTTCGGACGATTATCGATGCCCTAGGATTTAATTTAATTTAAATAAAATAAAAACCCTACGGAAAATCTTCAAAGTTCAATCCCTTTCAAAACATTTCATGTCTGCCACAATGAAGAGTTCATACAAAAATGAGAATAATTTGTTTAAAATTTGACGCTCTAGACTAAAGAAAACATATTTGTCATATTGACAAGGAGCGGGAGTTTTAAAATTCTTTAGACACTTCAAATTCGTATTTTTATTTACAGAAATTGTACCTGCTGAAAGATACTTTTCCAATGCTTTCAGTATGGGCAAACATGACATTTAAATTTATTTGATTTTTCGTCTTCTAGATTTTTTCTCATTTTTAGACTTTCGAATACCTGATCAATTTTTTTCTGTACATTCCCTAACATTTCTTTTATAGTTTAGGGGATTTTGGGGTAATGAACCCACCGCAGACAAATGGGAGGGGGTGCAAGTATGTGTAATAAATTTAATTTATTACCACAAAGGCATGGTGGTATAGATTTTTCCATGAGGTACTTGTGAGTCGTATTTGTGTGCCCTATTCGTAATCAACATAATACGACCTCATCATGCCTAGAAGTTTGAAAGGATGTCCAAGGTTTAACATCTATTTTATATGTCTTAATTTGTTGGAAGTAGTTTGTTTCCACTGATTTTCCCAATTTTCAATTAATCTAAGTTTGAAAGCAGTCTCTATATCTTCAGGATTTATATATAGCTCATTTCCCTTAATCCTGACATGACTTGGAATCCAAATGAAGGAAACAGAAGAGCTGTTCAGAGAAAATTTTTCCAAATTTTCTGAACTAATTGATTTTTTGGAGTATGGTTTCTGAATTGCTTGAAGTGCTCTATAAGAATCTGAAAATATAATTATTTTATGATGACTGATAGAAAGATAATCAAAACCATTTAAAAAGGCAAATATTTCTGCATTATATGAACTGAAAATTGAGGGTAAACGAAAAATAGAAGGGCCACACTCAATTACATAAGAACAATCTACCATATGTGATTTTATGGGACCATCAGTGTATTTGATTGAGGCATCATCATTAAATCGGTGTAGTTCAAGGAATTTTTGTTTGAACTTTACAGGGTTTGTTTCCTGTTTGCGAGTATTTGTAAGAGAAAAATCAAATTTAACTTCTGGAAGTAGCCAGGGAAGGGTTGGGGCTGGGTTATTTTTTGGGTTTGATCTGAATCTATATTTCATTGTGAAAAGATATTTATGTACCTGATATATAAATGGTGTAGGCAATTTAGGGTGGTTTTCATAGAATAATTTAATATTAGGATCAGTTTTTATTTAAGTAGGTGTTCTGGGATTGCCCTAACATAAAAGGACACAACTTGCTTCTGAATCCTTCTATTTAAGACAGGTTCCCCAGCTTCGGTGTATAAGGATTATAGGGCTGGATCTAAATGAGCCGGTAAAATCTTTTTTTTTTTTGTACAAGCCCAAGATATGCGAAATCAAATTCATTAGGGAAGTACACTTCGGTCTTTCAAGCAGAAATACATACCATCAACGCTTGTGCCCTACAAAATCTTAAAAGAGGTTACACTGGCAAAAAAATCCTCATAAGATCTGATAACCAACAGCTATTATTAGCATGTCAAAAAATCACATCAAAATTAGTCAGTGAATGCAACCAAAATATCCAAAACCTGGGGAAACACAACAACCTGATGATATACAAAGGAATTTCGGTTAATGGGAGGATCTGCGAGACTATACATAGGCCCTATACTTGGGATAACAAAACCAAATACAGAATCCTTCATCACAGAATGGATCCAAATAAAACAAAGTAGAAATGGATAAACTCTAGGGGCCCTAGACATAGTAAACTTATGATGAAATAACCCTCACCAAGACTGGCAAACTCACTGCTGCAGTCGGAGATGGCTAGACTCAGAGGAGTGATAGAACCATTAAACGGTCACTGGTATCTGAGAAAACACAACATGGGCATTTATAACGATGATCCCATCTGCAGATTATGCAATGAGGAGGAGGAAACAGCCACCCATATCATCTTTGAATGCGAAGCAATGGCTCAATGGAGATTTAACCTAGCAAACAGGAAAAACCTAGGGAATGAAATTGTAGCAGCAACAGTCAATGACCTAATACTTCTGAGAAGAAGGGTAGAGTTGATTGCACTGAATTAGGGTATTAGGAAGGTACAGTAAGCCCAAAGGCTGAAGTGCATGGGGAGTACAAACCCCGCTTCCTAGTTTCATCATCAAAATTAATATCCTCTTATTTGTCAGGACGTAAACAAGTCAAACTACTTAGTTAATTAATGAAATGCCCCGATCTTCCTTAAGTATGGCGTTAAGGTGCAATTTTAGGACCCTTGTTGTTTTAAAATTTTTTTAACAACTTCCCTTCTTGTTTAAATTACTCCAAATTTCACTTATATGCTGATGATACCCAAATCTATACAATGTCCCCCTCATTTAACCCCTGCTTCTGTTCAACTCATTAACAAAGAAGTTTCTAGTGATTTGTTTTTTTAAAGAAAAAAAATTGATATGTTGATAGAAAAAGTTAGTATCGCCACTTGAGCCTTGGGTTCGAAACCCGCTTATGACACTAACTTTTTTCATTTCAACCAAGATGCTAGATAAAAAGAATAATTTATTGAAATAATCAATATGGTCAATTATGACTGCTGAACATGTATGGATTAATTTACCCAAAATAAGCTATGTAAACAATGAAGAAAATATTCAATTCAGTACAGAGAATTTCCTCCTCTTGTATTGATCACCGCTTGTATTTGACATGGCATCGATTTTATGAGGTTTTGAATTTAGTGCTGTGGAATATTTTCTACTCCTCCAGCAGCTCCATTCTTAATTCGTACAAATTCTCTGGCATCACTGGGCGACTTTTTACCCTCTTAGATAACTTGTCCCAAAAGTGTTTGATAGGGTTTAAACCGGGACTACATGCTGGCCACTCCAAATATTGAATTGAAGCCCATTACAAGTAGTCACCAATGGTCCTAGCTGTGTGGGGCCTTGCATTGTCATGCATATAAATAAAACCAATTGGTAGCATACAAAGAACTTCTTCTGTGAGCACATCTTGAATCTATCATGCAGCTGTTGGGAACCATCGATAAATGCCAAGTTTGTGTGACGTTTTACAGAAATGCCTGTCCAAACCGTAACACCACCTCATCCATAGTTTTTCAGGAGTGGAAATGTTGCAGGGATATACAACTCTCCTGTCCTTCTACAAACCCTCTCTCGACCTTCAGAGGACCTCAAACAAAACCTTGACTCATCCAAAAAAAGGGTTTTTATATGATCTTGCTCAGACCTAGTTGATGTGATTTCTTATGAAACTAACCAAGCCATTCTGTGCCTTGTCAGAAGTTCTGGATCAGTGACAGGCCTTCTTGCACGTAATCCATCTTCTGAAAGTCTTTGCCCTACATTGCATGAATTGACATTAACATTTCTAACTTGTTGAAGGTTTTGCTTGATCTCAACAGAGGTAGAATGTTGATGCACAGTGCAAATTCTCTGGCATCACTGGGCGACTTTTTACCCTCTTTGATAACTCGCCCCAAAAGTGTTTGATAGGGTTTAAGCCGGGACTACATGCTGGCCACTCCAAATATTGAATTAAAGCCCATTACAAGTAGTCACCACCGGTCCTAGGTGTGAGGGGCCTTGCATTGTCAATTGAAACAATAAAATACAATTGAAATGATAAAATGAGATATGACACAATGCTGGTCTGATCCATGCCTTTTTGAACTACCAGTATTTTTGTAGTGATGGAAAACCCTTCGGGTGGTTGTTCTGGGAATGTTAAGCAAAAGCTTGACTTCTTCCATATTCCAACAATGCTATGATTTTAGCTGTGTCACTTAAAACCATCACTCAAACAAATTTGAAACTTAAAAATGGTACAACTTAAAAAAAAATCAAACCATCAGAAGGTTAGAAAGAAGCTTTACAGAAAACCCAACAAAGAAGAGATTGACTATTCAAAGATTTATTTACCAAATCCAAGTGTAAACACAGAGATTTTATCTGTGTTTTATTTACCTCTAATCCTTTAAAACGGACCAAATATTGTTGTAAGATAATCAATGAAGGATTGTCCAAGAGATACTTTAACATATTAAGATATAAGATGATTATAATTTTTTTTTTTTTGCCCCTCAGTTAGTAGTAATAATTCTTCTTTTATATAAGATAAGATTTTATATATAAAATTCACTCATATAGGAATCTGGTCTTCTTGCATGGTTTAAAAATTATCTTAAAGATAACTTTCAAATTGTTAAAATTTGTTCTTCCCGTTATTTTGAATTTCATGCTCATTCTGCGACCCATTTAGACCACTATTGTTTGTTTTATTTTGTTGTAAATTTTCTTCTTTTTGCAGATGATTTTAAAATTTATCATGAAATTCATGTTTAAGGTAAATATGTCCTCTTCACTACATATTTCATCACTGGTAAATAAATCTTTTATGTTACTGGGCTTCATATCTCGCAATACTCAATAATATAGCCTTTAAACAACTGTATTGCTCCCTTGTCTGTAAAAAGATGAATTCTCGTCTCCTGTCTGGCCTCATTATCTTCTTTGTCAGAATCATTCTTTAGATTAAGTTCCAAGTAAACTCTTTAAATTCATCTTCAAATTAAATATTGTGGTGTTTTTCTATTGTATATAGTAATAACAATTGTGTATATCTAGTTTGTTGAGAGTGAATGTATTTATTAGCATGAATGTACTTATTAGTGTGGATGTGTGATGTGAGAAGGTCATGGTGGAATCGAGTACCCCATCGACCCTCAATTAGTTTAATTGTATATTATGTATAAAGGGTGATGGAGGAATATCAAGTTGAATTGTATGTAAGTAGTAGTGAATGTATTTAAAAATGAATGTAAGTACGAATGGGTTTGGGACTGCATGTGTTGGGTGCTGAATTGACCTAGCTGTTGTTGATAGCACCCCCTCCCCAAGCCCAGCCTCGATGGCTGGACGGATAAAACTGAGGTCTGCCACTGGACTGCCAACACGCGGGTGGGTGAATCTCAAATCTGCCAGTAATTTACTGTAAATAGCAAAGCTGGACTTGTCGGTGGTCTACAAATAGTCAATAGGCTCAACTCGACATATGTTTGTATAATTCGTACGTACACGTGAAGATTTGAGCCTGTATAAATCCAATTCCAAAATTAAATATTCCTTATCATTCACAATGTTCAATCTACTATTCATTTATCTTCATTAGAATCTCATTGTATATATTTAAATTTTGTGTTTATTTATAAAGTAATAAATAGTAGAATCAAGTGGCCTTTATTACTTTCTCACCTAAATTTTCAAGTTCCACTCCATAATATTGTTCCATATCCTTCATTTCTCACATTTTGTATGATTATCTTTTTCATTCTGGTATCAACTGACTCCAGAAAATAGTTATTGACCTTATTAAGAAATTTCCACAAATAGATATATTCAGTAATTCTTTAGAAACCATTACATCATATTGCCTAGCTATTCAAAATAATTAGATTTTTACTATTGGCTTTTTAATTTTAATTAGAAGTTTTAATCCTATCACTGCTTAGCAGAATAAAGAATTTATTTTTATTGTTTATTATATAATTATAATAAATTAATGCTTATGTTTATTTTTATAATCTATAAATAGGTTTTTAATTAAGATTTTTTTAAAATGTTTTGCGTTCTTCTCTCTTTTGTGCAATTTGCTTTCTTGCAACTAATTTTCCTTCTTTAATGTACTTATTTAATGTATAATTTGTTTTAGTTTTTTCATGTTGTCAAATATAAAAATTATATTATCAAATAAAAAAATATAAATTTTTTTATCGCAAATATATCAGACTGCGGTTCATCTTCAATCCTCTCTTTCCCAGAAGCTAATTTTTTTAACTTTTGGGTGGTGCACTCATTTTAATCACTGAACGCAGTGCAAACTTTACAGTGTCTTGCAACACCTAAACCTCCTTTGTAAATAGAAATTTTGATTACATATATTAAAAAAATAACAATGAAAAACGGCTCAAACTTTTCTGGTTACCTGGTAGTTTTTATGATTAATTAACTTGCCCAGATTTCAATTTATAGTTTAAAAATAAAAACACTAAACTAAACCTACTTACAGCTGAGTTGCACTGCTAGTGAATTTTATTATTTAATTAAATAAAACTATCTACTTGTATTATGCTTCTTTTTTTTTTTTTTAGCATGGTTGTCTTGTATCAACATAAGTATACATATATAAATCATTATTAAAGATGGTAGAATTAAGACATTTTTTTGTTTCTTATGTTGTTTTTCTTTGTTTGTTACATTTAAAAAAAATGTGTGAAATATAGTTTATTTATAGTTAAAATAAATACATACATTGCAAGTCAAATAAAAAATGTATAATTAATTATTAAAACCCGTTAATCAACATGACTTTTACGTTACTTTTCATTTACAAAAAGTACCTTTCAGCCCAGTGAAACATTTTTAAATGTACACAACGGACTCACTGGTCTTGAAATGGTCATTCAAAGTCTTTGTTGTTATTTTCTAAAATTCAAATATCCCCCTCTAACTAATCCTTAAATTATGCACAGAGTGGATATACTGTTTTCTTGGTGTATAATCTGTTATAATCCCCAAAGGATATACGGGATTTATAGAATCGTGATATAAAGAGTCCAAAACCATGGTGTGCAACGGTTCCTGATGGTGATAACTCCAATTGTCCTCTGAGAAGTCAGTGTCTTCGCTCACCGACCAAGGGTCACATTCTAACGAATCTGGCGCCATGGTCAAGTCATCTTTCACTTTTCTGTAAAAGAAGATAAAATAATTTAACAAATTTGTGATAAAAAGGTGTAAGATGGAAAGAGCATTTTTTTTGTTTACTTACTTAGGATCAAAATGTTTAAATTTCATTCAGGAACAATTTAACACACATTTATTGTTTATTGAATAAATTCTTTACCCGTTTATTTCACTATTTTGTCTTTCAGGGTTTTCTAAATTCTAATAGTAATAAATTAAGTTTACTTACTTTGACACACATAATAAATTGTGTGTTTGATTATCTTGGTCTGTTCACACCAGTAGATTCTGTTTGTCAGATGTGTTTTGTCATTTTCAGCAATAAGTCCATGTGTTATTTTGGAAGTTGTGTCCTTTTGTAAGCTTAAGTCAACATTTTGTTCGAAAGATACTGTTATCTATTTATTTCATGCTTCAAGTTTAAAAACCAATTTATTAATTTTTTGTAATTTTTGGTTTTCTTCAAGGTTTTGACTAAGAACCACAAATATTCCTGAATGAAAAATCAAAACAGATTGATCTTTTTGAAAAACTGATACCTTACTGCGACCATATCCAGCGAATCTTCAAACTGCCCAGCAAAGAACCGTGTTGCTTCCATAGTGTCAGAGATGATCGGGCTGTTTTTGAGGGCTGGCAAGAGTGATGCATGAGGGCGGGGGATGTCGTAATCTGGGTCTTCTTTTGTATTTTTTTCTTCTTCCTTCTTCTTTAATTTTTTAGCTTCTTCCTGAATAAAAAAATAAATAATTAATTAATATAAAACCCAAGGTGAGGAAAAGCTATAAGTTCTTACATATATGATTTTTGTATTTTGATAGAGAGATGTCGCAAAAATTGGCTTGTTCATCGTATTTAAGTTTTCAAGTATTTCTGTCAATTCGTCTTTCTTTTTGGAAAGCGGTTGACTGTCTTTTTTTAATTCAGATACAATTTTTGGAATGTCTTCCTTGAAGAGCCTTGATATTCCGTTGTCGGTATCCTGGCTAAGAAGATCTTTTGCGTTGTCAATGCAAGTTGATGTTTTTGGTGGTAACTCAGGTGCTTCCAAGCTCCAGGAACTGTCTGCAACATTAAAAAATAAATAAATAAGAAGTAAAATGACTACAAAATTCAGTGTTTATTTATTTTTTTACTTGTTTCATATTTATCTGAAGGCAATGGTGAGTTAACTGGCCTGTTGGTCTTTGTATTAGTGTGCGTTGGCGATTTGGACCGTTTTGTTTCATTTGTCGATGTTTTATGATCTTTCTTGAATCTTGGCGGAATATTGAGTTTTTTATTGTGACTAATAATATGCATATCATCGTCTGATGGAGAAAATTAACAAATTAATTTGATGGTTTAATTACAATTTTTTAAATTGAACAAATTTTGAGAAATGGCTTACCTGAAACAGTTACAATGTCATAATCTGGAGGAGGCTCTGGACGAGGATGCTTGTAATTCAAATTGTAATCACGTTCACTCATATCTGTGAGAATTTCCTTTAAAAAAATTATAAATGAATAATCAAATGATTTTGATATACATCTTAAAAGTAATAAATCTTTTTCAATACAGTAGCCATTTTTTTAATGTCTTTGTAGACATTAATATAATAAAAACTTACCAGATCCGAATCAGGTCCTTCCATTTCTTGCATGTATTCACAAGGGTTGTGCATTGGATTCGGTTCCCATTTATTGCTTTCCTTGCGGCACCATATTTTTTTCAAAAAGCTGAGAGACCTCTTTTTGACTGAAACCCTTCTTCCTTCTCTACTGCTATAAAGTTTCAATACAATTTTTTTTTTTTTTTTTTCAATAGATAACAAACACAATTATTCATCCTTTTTTTACCTCTTAGACAAATAAGGAGAGAAATGGCGTAAAATAGAGTTAGACCTCTTATTTAGAGTCCTAGGCAAGGGTATCGGAGCGTTTTTCTTTTCTTTTATCAACTCCCTTAGATTTGCAAAATCATAGCTCGACGATAAATACGGGTCATTGTAGCTTTCCTTTCGCTTTGCTGTGAGATCTGTATCAGATCTGACTTTATTTTCAAAACTGTTTGACCAATCGAGAAGAGTCCAGGGTTGATTATCATTCGATGAAAACCTCATATCGCTATTATAACTTCTGTCTTTCCTTCCTGTGTGAAATTGTGCCAACGTTTAACATTTACCTTTGTAATTTTAACTGATATTTTAATTTGTAGGAGTAATTTTGTTATTATTTTCAGTATTAATTTTTGAAATTAAAATTTACAAGGTAATACACATCATCTCACCTAGCAGTGTATGGGCTTTTTCTGGTTTATTTATTTTTCTTCTTTCTGAATTATACTGAATCATATTTTTGAGGATTTTCTCTCTGGGGTACATCGAAAGGCAATCACTGTCAGATCTGTTCACTCGATAAGTTTTCCTCATGTGCTGGAGAAAAATAATGTTTGTATTATATTGATTAATATTGTTGAATGCTACTTACATTTTTATCATGTCTTTTGAGTTCATCGCTTGTGCTTTTTAAACTCTCATAAATATTTTCTCCATACCTGAAACAGTTTTAAAAATGTTTCCTTTAGTACCGAAAGGTGTAATTATCTTGTGAATTAAATAATTATAATTACTTATTAACATCTTCTTCAACACTGAAACTCCTTCTAATACTTTTTGCTGACAAGTCTTGAGATGTAATTTTGAATTTGCCTGGGACAGAGATGTCGCGCAATGGCAACTTGTTTGACTTTCTTGGCACGTCAGATCTGCCGTTGTGAGACGACACAGTTTTTATGCTGCCACTGCTCTTCGCTTCTGTTTGCTCGTAGTTATTTGCATATTTGTCCAACTTGTCATTTCTGACCATTTTGTCACTTTTATCCACACTGTCATAACGCGATTTTAAATAACTCGAAGAGGAGTTTGGGAGAGTTGTCGCATGACTATTTAAATTGTAGGCATTTTCATATCTATGTTTCTGGTTCATAAACTGAAAAATTATGTTAATGAATGTTTAAAATTTTATTCTGAATGTTAGATTTTTAACTTACTGCATAGCGAAAATGATGGATCGGCTTGGTGCAACATCGAGATTGAGTAGAGTTTGGTATGCTCATAGCGTCTATCAATGCTTGTAACCAGATATCATGATCCACTTTATTTAAAGCCCTCTATATTACAAATAAAAAATTAATTGAACTTTTTTCAACAATTAGTAGTTTTGAACCATGATCTCTTGGTCTGTTTACTCTCGTACATTTAATCTGTTTCACTACCTTCAGTGATTGGCATTGGTGTTATTTTTTCAAAATCTTTCATAGATTTTATATAAATAATGATTTTTAAGAGTGGTAGTGAAATGCACTTGCCAGACCAACCAAGCGATAGAAAATACAGGACAAGATGATAAGAATTTCATCACCTCACCACAATATTTCGCAGTATAGTTTATTATTTAAAAACAGTATGTTACACATTGTTCCAGTAATTAATTACAAACTCTTAACTTACAAGATGGACAGTGTGAGATCGGGTCGCCACAATGATTTCTTGATACGACCCTGGGAGGACACTGGCTGCCAATCCCATATTAACAGATCCACGGCAAGGTGAAAGGCTTAAGTATTCAAGTTGAGATTTGTAATAAAGAAGAAGTCTACCTTCAAGTACAAACCAAAGTTTCTTCCAGCGAGAGACGACCCTCTATAATAAAAACGATTGATGTTTTAACTTTTCAGAAATTGGGGCATTTTTTAGTGTGAATTAGCAGTAAGTTGGAATTGTCCGTACCATCTTGCCCTTCTTTTCTAGATAGCCAGCCATTTTAATTGTTGTCTTACTGTCAGAAGATGGAACCATTTTGTTAATAGTAATTACAAACCTGAAAAAATAAAAATAAAGTTTTAATCACAGAGTGTTATTGAAAACTAAATTTCCTATGTTGCTTTCTTCTTGAACATTACATGAAAATATAACATAATTTATACTTTATAAATAAATTTATCTCATGACCATAATGATTGGCTCGAGGAGAAACAGGGAGCCAAATTTGCAAATTAATTACAACAATTGTATTTTCATAAAATACATCAGAGGCTGCAATTAGCTCCCTACACCATCCCACTTTATGGATTAAACATTTCATTGGTCTCTTCCAGCCCGTATATTGTCTATTTTTCTTGTATAGTGGTACAAAACAGGTTCATTATGTGAACTAAAATAGGTGCAAAAAGGCACTAGGAGTCCAGGGAGGGAGGCAGGAGAGTTGTTGTTTATTGTTTATTTTAAATAAAAAATCTAAATATTTCTTCAATTTTGTTTAAGATGTAGAACCCCATATTTGGGCGCCCATAACAAACACTGCACGTATTGAGGATTTAAATAAATTCATTTTGGAAACTAGTTGAAAGCAGCCCCCCAGAGCCCAATGTTGGTAGCTGGACGTATTAGAGGTCTGTTCCCAGACTGCCAACACCTGGGTGGATGATTCTTGGGTCTGTCGGCAGTTTACTGTAAATAGCAAAAGCTGGAATTGCCTTACTTGAATTATCTTACAAATTCAATAGGTTGATTTTTATATCTTCTTTTCCAATCTTGATTTCTTAGTTCCACTTTTAAAAATCATAATTTTTGATTTATTTAAATTTAAATTCCACAATTCAACATATTTAGTACTAGAATTAATCATAAATTACAACGTCTGTGGACCCTGAGCAAGCACAACAATGTCGCTTGTGAAACCAAGTGATTTAACTTTTATTTCCCCAATCAAGACTGTCTTCAAAATCATTTAAAAATATAGCAAAAAGCAGGGGATTAAGTAGAGCTCCCTGTTTAACCACAGCTTCAATATGGATTCCTGTGTAATACCCATGTTCTTTAGTGTCAGTCAACAAAGCACAGATGCAGCCCATCTTATCTGAGACATCTATTTCATGTAATTTTTAAAAATAAGAGCAATTGATCAATCAAATCAAAGGCTGCAGAAAAATCTATAAGTATACATAGACTTTCTTTAATTGCTGGGCTAAACGTAATTGTATAGAATTGATCAAGATGATTAGGTTGTCAATTGTACTATACCCAGAGTGAAAATCAATTGTTTTAACACTATCTTCAGCCCATTTCCCCAATCTCCAATATAGTAAACCTTTAAATATCTTTCTATGTGTTATCTTTTGTATTATTAAAGGATATTCTTCTATAGTTGCTTGTTAAGTCCTTTCACCTTTCTTGTATAGTTGGAAAATCAGAGATTCTATAAATGACCAAGAGATAACTTGGTTTTCAAATTTTTTTGAAAAGGCCAAACAATTTTTTTTAGAAATGTGGGAGTTGCATTCTTCTAGTTCTCACAGGGGATCATATCTGGGCCTGGTCTCTTATCAGTACCACATTTATCTAGGGCAAATTGCAATTCATCATATTTAAATGGTTTATCCATTTCTGGGTTCTGATTTTTATGAGAAGCATAGAATATTTGATTCTTTTCTAGGATTTTTTAAACCAAATGAAGAACAAATTCAAAATATTGATGGTTGGAAGAATTAATTCTGTTATCATTTTCATAAATCAGTAATTTTAAATAATTTACCAACACATAATTAAAAAATAACTGATAACATAATAAATAAATGTAAACACAGAGAATATATAATCACTTTTATCATTGTTATTATGCAACATGGATTCTTTTAAGAATTTATTGTCTTTTTATTTGTTAAATAAATAATTTATAAAATTGCACGTTTTGCTTAAATACAGTGCAAGATTACTGAATTACTATTTATATAAGCTCAAATTCGATATCCCTTTGGAAGTTGGGAAGTACATGCAAGACTAGAGTAATATGCACCAACAATTTTCTAAGTCTCATTACTACTAATTTTTTTCACATCAAGTGTAGTATATGCCAAACTAATTTACAAATTTAAAAAAAGGCTATAAAACGCATTTTACCAAAGCTTAAATCAATTCTTAAGATTATTGGAATAAAAACCAACAAGTTTTCCATGCTTTTTTACATAATTTCATCAAAAATTAGTGATTTATGCAATTTGTAAACACACTCTAATAATGTATTAAACCAAAAATAATCTATCTGGATTCATTATTTGTTATTTACTTTTAGAAGACAAAGCATTTTTTATTTATTTAAATATACAGATTATTTATTATCCTTGTTACACAAATACAAGTTTCATAACAGTAAATAATTAATAACAATTAGGAAAAGGCACAATTTCTTTTATAAAATTGTACATTCATTATATCTAGTATGGACATTTGGAACACAGAAAGATATACCGGAGAAAAGATCAGAACCAATTATTAAACCAGTGACAATATCAGAAATCAAGAGAGCATCATATAATTTTCTCCTATCAAAATAAGTAACCATGTTTAGTTCTTTTAGTAAATGGTCCTAATCTAAAGAATAAACTGGAATGTTTTGCTTAAATGCAATGTTTTCGAAATTTTATTTCTTCAACTGTATATATACATTCAAAGAACAAATGAGGATAGTAAACAACAAAATTTTGTTGGCCGAACTAGAGATTTTAAAGATTTTATGTTATCAAAATTTTGAGGGTTTCTGATTGTAAAGTTCAATAATTTATAAGATTTTGCGGTGATTATTGACACCTCTACTTAGATCATAACAAATAATTTTTGAAATGTCAATGTAATCAATGTTCATTGATTATCAGTTTTCTGATTTTTCAAAGAATTCATTATAAACATGGGAACATTTCTCTAGAAGTTCACAGAAAGCGTCTCTCGACTTATAAATGCCAAAAGGGCAAAGGAACCGATATGCATTTCTTAAAGGCCCGCAGAGGGAGAACCTAAATAAAACAGGGAAAAGTAAATTTAAATAATTACCAATAATTGACAGTAATTAAAGAAGTGGGCTGAAGGTGTTTTTGAGAACGAATAAAGTTTTGTAATATCTTTCGGTCGTGCTCTGATTATCTTTTGCCATCTTCTCCATACAATTAAGTATGACCCAGTGGGCGTTCACGCGTCTTCACTTTTTTCACTCTGTAATATTTTCAGACGTTTAAACAGAGCTTATTAATTTTTCTAACACTAGAAAAAATAATAAGACAGAAACAATAAATAGAAACGATAAATAAGAGATAGAGAGTAACCGACGATAAAATAAGAGATAGAGAGTAATGATATTTCACTCGGAAAAATCGTTAAAGCAGTTACGTCCCTCTTTGAATTTATTAATTTCGTCAGCCTACTTGTTTTGGAAAGCTTTTCTAAACATAATTCATGGAAAGGGAAAAATCGGTCCACTTAATCCCGGTACAAATCCATAAATTCGTCCGGTCTATGAAAGTTCGCCGCGACGCACCATTTCTCGACAAGGGAAAATAATTAACAATAAAATTAAATCAGACTAATTAAACGCCCGTAAAAATGATAATGTCGCGTGTTTAAGGAAGATTCATTAACTCTAGCGGTATTAAAATTAAAACAAATGGGAAAAAAGTTTAGCTTTTATTTTTGCTTGCATTAAAATCTCTTGGTGTAAACACCACTAGATTAAGTACTTTATCAACTGCCAGTGACATTATCAAAACTTCTGTCGTGACAAAATATAAAACTTTTTTACCACTTTACTCGATAAAGGAAGAACCAGATCCGGTTGATAAGAACCAGTTGAGAAAAAAAACATACTTAGCCGATCAAGCAAACTACTACAACGTCAAATTTAAAATATATTATAAAAAATATAGTTTAACTTATGTATATTCAACTATATCAATATGCTCGTATGCAAGTAAAAGACCTGTAATCAAATAAAACATATGCATGCATATTATATAGTAGAAATGTCTATTTACATGTTTAGCTAATTATTATTTTTTTAAAGTAGCTTTACAGTAAAATCTTAATGAGTTTTTGTTATTATCGGATTGCATTAAAATCTCTCGTGTAATCGAACACCATGAGAACTTAAACAATACCATATTTAGCAACGGTATTCCTTTGTACATGTTTAAACACTTATATATGTTGTTTCGTAGATACCTATCATATTGGCTGCCTATATTCGCTGATTTTTAGTTGGTTCAGACGCGTTTCGGTATTTCATAGTCTTATGTTTTTGGGTGATTTCTGTGGAGTGAAGTTACAGCTACGAGGTCGTAAACTTCGCTCCATACACTGAAGATGGTGAAATGCCGAAACGTATCAAAGCAAAACAGTCACCAGTGAGGATAGGCAGACCTAGAGAAACGTAGCTATTAAACAATAGGTTCATCACTCCGCAGACCACAAGTGGAAATCTCACAACTTATACTTGTGTTTATTTGGTTGTTTTTTCAATTCTTGTGTATGTTTTTGTTTGTGTCATTTTTAGTTATTATATATGGTTTTGTTTGGTATTTTGATTGTTCGTGCGAGTGTTAATTTTCGTATATTCGTGAGGGTTTCTTAGTCTTTTTTTCATGTATGTGTCTTTGTTGGTTCATATGTGTATGATTTTGTTTGTGTGTTCGTTTGTATATGATTGTTTATGTGGGTGTTGGTATGTTTTGTTTATGTATGAGTCTTTGTTTACGTATTTTTATTTGTATGTGCCATTTTGGTTTTTATGAGTGGTTTTGGTTTTTTGTGTTGTTGTAATTGTTTATATAATTTGTTAGTTTTTGTTTGGTATTTTGATTGTTTGTGTGAGTGTTAATTTTCGTATATGCGTGCATGTTTGTTAGCCTTTTTTTCATATGTGTGTCTTTGTTGGTTCATGTGTGGTGTATGATTTTGTCTGTGTGTTTGTTTGCTTACGTGTGTCTTGGTTGGTTTATATATGATTTAATTTGTGTTGTTGATTGTTTGTGTTTATTTATGTCTTTTTGTTTACGTATTTTTATTTGTATGTGTCTTTTTGGTTTTTATGAGTGGTTTTGGTTGTTTGTGTTGCTATTTTGTTTCATTTGTTGTTTATGCGCGTTTTCAGTTTCTTATTATATGGGTATATTTTTGAAATATTGCACTACAACCAATGTAAGCTTGTAATTTTGATTATGCTCTAGATATCATTTTATATAACACACTATTTCCTGGAAACGCAATACTTTTGATTAAATATACTTTTTTGCACAGAATAGTTTTATTAAAAAATCTAATCGATTGGCCGACTTTCACTAGTAAAGCTAAGTTTCAGGAAAAGTTTTTGTCAATAGGCGTTTATTAAAGTGCGATTGGAAACGACAGAATTTAGAGAGCGTATCCTCACAAAGTGTTGTTAATTAGAACAATTGCAACTTTTTTCGTTCCAACCGACGCCCACGGTCGTCCTGATTCCAAAAAGAAATCCCTTTCATTTGGATTGACCCTCGTTCTGAATGCAAGTGACGTTTTCGCACTTTTATCGTACAAGGTTCGAAGGTGGTTGATGGTCAATCGGCCTGTAAGACACGCTTCGTCCCTCTTGTACAAACTGAATAAAAGGACAGGATCGACAGAACAACACACAGGCTAACCACTGATGGTGAAATGCACCTGACATACAAAACCAGCGAGAACAGACGGACCAATTATACATAATCAAGCTACAAGTTTATCATCTAGCAGGCTTAACCATAATGTTGTACAATTTAATTTTTTTATTTCGTTTAGGAGATTAAAGTTGTCATTAATATGTTTGTTTTATGATGTTAAATGTTTACCCTTTTTTCATTTTTTAGGTTTATATATATTTTTTTAAAGGGTTACTTTTCTTAAATAATCTGGCGTATTTACTGTTTTAATTATGAAAAAGGATACGATAAATGATTAGGCTTGAAACAGGGCTGTTGTTATCTTTGAAAATTACGCATAATTATATTCAATTTAAATTTGAAATATAACATTTTTCTTTCGATTTGTATTTTTATAGTTTATAGTATAGTTCATACATATAATACGTCGTATGTAAAGGGTGAAATTTGAGAAAACAATCGAACTGACAAGTCAATGTTGTTCCGGTTTGTCGTACACTGTTTCCTGGTGATCCGGAACCACGGTTAAAAGCCTCAAATCATCGAGTCGAACATCTCAGAATTATGTTGTTGAAAAAACAAAACCGAAAATTCTGGAAATTTAAATTGAACTGTGATTAAACCTGCAGATTTGATTTTAAAAACTTGACAATTTTTGTTTAAAAATTTTTGTGGCCAGGTTTATTTGAAGTAACAACCCCCCCCCCCTAATATTTTGTAAACATAAACTTTTAAATAGAAAAACCAAGTTATTTAAATAAAAAACGTTATTAAACTACAAAAAAAACAATAAGTTATAAAAGGGCGTGTCAAATTTAAACAGAATTACATCAGAAATATTTGACCTAATAAATACGAAGAAGGAAATTCATAATTATTACTACGATCACTTCAAATGATCATAAATAGACATTGGTAAGAACAATTAAGGCGTGTTAATTATTTAAAATAGGCCGTTAATAATTTACAACTACAGGGGGGGGAAGAAAAACAAAATTAACGTTCTTTTGATTAAATCGTTAATTTGATAAGAAATTACAAACATTTCTAAGAATAAAACACCAAAGAGAGAAAGACTTAAAGGGATTGAGGGCAAGGTAGATAGATGCATATAAAGTTCGAAGTTGTTAGGGGGAGGAGAAAAGAGACAGTGAGAGTGTGTGAGATAGAGAGAGAGAAGAGAGATAGGGAGGGAGAAGGAAAGAAAAAAGAGTGAAAAGAGAGATAGGGCAAGAGTGCGAGAGAGAGAGAGAGAAAAAAGAAAGAGAGAGAGTGGGGGAGAGAGAAGGAAAGAAAGAAGAATGAGAATAAATGAATGTAGTTTTATTTAATGGCGCAGAATTTGGCCAAATATTGACCACTCTTCCATTCAAAGACATAAATTTAGGGAATAAATGAAGGTATACAAAGTGTTCTCTCTTACTCTCTCTCTCTCTCTCTCTCTCTCTCTCTCTCACTCTCTCTCTCTCACTCTCCCTCTCTCTCTCTCCCACTCTCTCCCTGTCAGTCCGTCTCTCTCTCACTCACTCTCTCTCTCTCTCTTCCTCCCTCCCACTCTCTCTCTCTCTCTCTCTCTCTCTCTCTCTCTCTCTCTCTCTCCCTCTGTCCGTCTGTCTGTCTGTCTGTCTGTTTCTCTCTCTCTCCCTCTCTCTTTCTCTCTCTCTCTCTCTCTCTCCTTTCTTTCTTTGCTTTTTTCGAAGTTGTTAGGTGGAGAGAGAAAAGAGACAGCGAGAGAGAGTGAGAAGAGAGATAGGGAAAGAGAGTGAGAGATAGGGAGGGGAAAAAGAAGGAAAGAAAAAAAGAAAGAGAAAGAACTGTAAACTTTTCTCTTTCACCCTTTTTCCCAATCTCTATTTTATATTTCTCTCTCTCTCTCTTCTCTCTCTCACTCCTCTCACTCTCTCCTCCCCATTAAAACAGCGTACAGACAGAAAAGATAGTTTGAGTTAGTGTGTCCAGTTGTAATCAATCCATTAACTAAAACTGCCTCACACACACACACACACACACACACCACAAAGGAGGAAAAGAAAGAAAGTAGTTAAAAGGGATTTTATGAACGGTAATTTCGGTTGTTACTTAAACAACTATACTACTTAATCAATTACACAATACAATCGTTTTTCTATTAATTGAAATTCAAAAATTTACTGTTTTGCCGAGTTCTCTCTACAAATAATGCCTTTCAACTAATTCCTTAAAACGAAGATTCAAATAGTTGAATTATATAGCGAGTTTGTTTTCTAGTGTTTTTTTTTAATTGTTTGGTGCCTAGAAAGGGTTGCCAAAACTTGTCTTATCAGTGTGACTGTTTTTGGAATGATGATGACGTTTTGAAAATAAAAATGCTTTTATCTTTTCAATGTGTAAACTTGATCAATTGGGAAAAAAAATCAGTTTTATCGATATTTGCTTCCGATGAGTATAAAGGTTTACAATAGTAAATTTTGTTTAGAAAAGGAGCCAGAGGTCAAAGTAGAAAATATACGAATGTAAGAATTATATTGAAAACAGAAAAATTTAATTTGAAAATTTAGTGTAGTTTAGGTTGTAACTCGATTGTTTCCCTTGGCACAAACTTATCATGTGAATTTTTTTTAAGGTAAAGAATTTGACTGGATATTTAAAACAATTCAAGAAGAAAACTATCACCTCTTGTTAAAAATGTGTAAATATTGTTAATTTTCCACGAAAACCACGTATGAAAAGCGTCCCATTTGAGAAGAATGGTCAAATAGCACATATGTGTTAAATAAAAACATACCGAACTGTGTAGGCCGGGTTGTGAGGAGTATCGTATCTCCACTGGTGTTACAATTAAACTGATGTGCACATAACATAGGATTTCTAGAGTATATCACCACCACCACTCCGCGATGACGGCCACTTCTTCCTCCATTCACTCGTTCGCAAGGAGAGCATCATAATAATCAACTCGCTCGTAGGACGGTCATACACGATTGCCGTTTGGTATGTCGATGAGCCAACTTGCTCATTTGCTTATAAAAGGATATCCGTTGAACGTTTGGTCTATTTAGACTAGAGATATTAGCCCCTCGATCCTACTCGAGCGTGCAAAGAATTTTCTGGCCCATATCAAAACATCCAATCGGATGACGCTTTTGTAACTAACTATTCCTTATTAAAAATTATTATTTATCCCCCAAAATACAAGTGATCACATTACAATTATGAACACGAGTTGTGAAATATATTGAAAATCTTACAAATATATTTAAACCTATTTATAAGACGATGTGCAAAGTAGTCAAAAACGGTGAAGACATGAGAGCTGTTGGCGATTTTTCTTCTGATTTATTTCTCTAAACTTTCCCAAGACACCTGGAGAATACAGCAATACCATGCAGACCTGAGCGGTCAAATAAAAATAATACAAATGCTGATCAATGGAAAGATGCTAGTTAAAAAATATATAAACAATAAATTATCTATTGTTCTTGATATAAATTAATATAATTGCTTTTCTATCTTGAAACAGAACACAGGCAAAAAGTAGTTTTAAAAAATGATAGCAATCGGTAAAATAATAACTGTGAGATTTTTCTGTGTAGATTTGCGGGTAATGAACCTGTGATTTGGTCGTTACCGATCATTTTTGTCTGCCCATCTCCGCAGGTTTGGTCTGTCAGATGCTTTTCCGCGTTCCGCCATCTCATTAAGCCCAAAAATAAGGGCACGATTCACCAAACAACAAGCAGACACACTGAAGATGTCGTAATGCCGAAACGCGCCTGACAGACCAGCCCAGCGAGGATTCGCAGACCACAATGATCGGTAACTACAAAAAAAAAAAAAAAAAAATTTTCTTAATTTACTTGAAACATTGTGAAAACTCTCTCTCTCTCTCTCGCTCTCTCTCTCTCTCTCTCTCTCTCTCTCTCTCTCTCTCTTTCTCTCTCCCCACTCTCTCTCTCTTTCTCTCTTCTAACCATCCCTAACCATCCCTTTCTCTCTTTCTCTCTTACACCCACACATCTAAATGGGATGTCTTCCACGAAAAAAAAGAATGATATTGCTGCAGGAGAAAGTTCAGCATGCAGTTGTGCAGGTATGATTTAAGTTTTCACTGAAGATGAGGCATATCCGAACGCGAATGACTAACATCAAAATCCAAAATTGCAGACTGTCGACGGATCCAGTGCCGAGTCAACATAAGTTACGATTTATGATATTACATTATTTGGTACTTATCATATTATATTCCTTTGTACACGAAAAAATCTTTTAAAAAAAATAACTATATTGTAAAATCACTTCTACCCTACATTGAGGTTTATGTGTGGTGTTTAGTGACCGTTAGAAAATGATTATTTGGAGATCGTGAGATGCGGTGGGGTGTGATGTAAGTTTAGAAAAACATTTTTTTATCGTGCCAACGTTTCGATCTTTATTGAGATCATCTTCAGGGCTCAAAGTGTTTGTTTTCTGAGTAGATGTGTCATTATTGGCGTGTCGTGTTGAGAGTGCCCACGATTAAAATTTATTGTAGTATTACGATTTATGATATTACTTACATTTGGTCTAAAATAGTACTGTCCAAGCTATGGTACTCAATAATAGAGGATCTGTGTTTGAATAAAACTTCTTTTAGTTACAGCACTGTTTATTTTTATTTCATGGAAAGCTTTTCAACTGCTTTGCATCCTCAGCCAATTAAATTTAAAAAAAATGTTGAAATTTAGTTTTTAGGTAAATGTTGAGAACACCGTACAAAACAATCAGTCTCGTGAATGAAGACTGATTGTTTTATATGGTTATCGTTGGCTGAGGATGACTGCAAAGCAGTTGAAAAGCTTTCCATGAAATAAAAATATACAGTGCTGGGACTAAAACAAGTTTTATTCAACCACAGATTTTCTATTTGATCCTTATCATATTATCTTTAAATCTTTAAAAAAATAATATTGTAAAATCACTTCTACTCTACATTGAGGTTTATTCTTATTTAAATATTTTTATTTTATTCTAAAATATTATTAAATATTTTATTGGTTCTCACTGTTCTGCTAGCAAATCTGTCCATAGTAACTTAAATTATGCTTCAAACCGGTCCGTTAATTTATCTAAATTTATTGATTTATGATTGCATTTTTCGTTAGTATCGAATAAAATCGTGTTGAAGATAATTAAATATTATTTATAAGTGACACTTCAGTATAGTTGAGATATTTATGATGATTCGTTTTATTGTTTTTGATGTAATTTAATTTGTATTTGATCGATTTACTTTGATGCATTTTTTGTTTATGAAGCTTAGGTCAATCATACGGTACAGTTTGTTGATGTAACTTCAACTAACATCTTCGTGAAAATTTATGCGAAGTACACATATATCAATAATGTGTGTATTTGATAAAAGGTTGTAAGAAAGTATTTACTCTCATATTTTCGCTGGTTTTAAATGTATATACATACTTATTTGATCATCTTCAGTGGTCTGTTTGTTATTTCGTCAATCGTGTCCTTTTTTTTTGGGGGGGGGGGGTCTTAATAAAATGGCGGAATGGCAAGAGACCAAACCAACAAAGATGGATAGACCAGGCCATCAGATAAAACCAAACCACTTACTAAATTGTCAAATATTACTTTAGCAAATGCATAATTGATACATTTTTTCTTTTAGGGTTTTTCTCTCAGCAAGCACTATTCTTGCGATATTGCATAAACAATTTGTTTCAGCACCAATTTAGATTGATTGGAATGGAAAATTTATCATGAACATTTCATTATGAATAAAGGTTGACGTTTGTCAAGGTTTATTCTGTCTTTCGGTCTATTCCGTAAAGGTCCGGCCTATTTCGCTTGTGTGACCCCCAAACGCCCGTACGAGACCTCACGGTTCAGTCATTACATAACTAAAGAAAGTGGATAACGCGAACGTTTAATGCAAAATAAATTCTCGCATATTTGGCAGTATGGGCAGCATATTTTCAAGAATCGCAAACACGTACTACTACTACAGAGCGTGGCGTTTCTTCAGGGCAGTCGGTGGAACGGGCAGCATTACTTTAAACATGGATGCTGAAACCGGTTTTGCCGAATTGATCATTGAAAACATCAAGAAAAGGAACGCGATAAGCGGTAAATTAGACAAATCCCTTTATTTGTACTGTTTGTATTATTGTATATTATCAATGTGTTCTGTTTTGCTGCAACCACCAACTATGACCATCACGATCAAACTGCGGACAACTAGCTCATCTAATGCCCATGCCCTATATATATATATATATATATATATATATATATATATCCATTACTCATATTATATTCAGTATTGAAGACTACAGATAATATCAAGTTATTAGTAACGCAATGTATATGGAGAGAAATGAATCATCTTAATATTTGCGTCACGTTTCTCTGGTGTATTATTTTTAAATCATACTTATTTGGACCTCCCTTGTACCACTTTTACAAGTTAAGAGTCTGGTCCTTTGATTTTATTAAACAATTAACAGAAAATGGACATACGTGAAAAATAAAACGATGATATGACCTCAGTATAGTCAACAGCTTCTGTTGTTGAAGATGATTTTTGATATGCTAACTGCCATCCTTAGTTCCTAAATTGCCTAAAGACTCTGGGAAAACAGGACAAGATTGCCTTAAAGTGGGTTCCCGGACTTGAACAGGCTGAAAAACTAGCCAAAAAAGGGGCAGCTCTTTCATCCATGGAACTAGATCCAAACCAACCCAAAGCGCCGGAGTGTGTGCTTAAGTTGGAATTGGTAAAATGGCTTGAGAAAGTTAAGAGGATAAATCAATCGAAAAGGAAGGCGAAGGAACTCCTTTCGTTCAGCAGGCAGGATTTGAAAAAAAAATTATCTACCTCTATACCACTGCCCTTTTAATTATCATCTAAAGAAGATGGACAGAGCATAGGCAGAAACATGCCGACTCTAATAGGAGGAAGTAGAAACATCAGCACATAGTCTTTGCGAATGTGAAGACGCGGAGAGGCACCAAGGCAAGTGATTAGATAGGTAGATATTCCAAGGTAAGGTTTATGATTTAGGCTATGAGATAAGGGTTCCACAAAAGGTCTATTTAGGCCGCAATGGAGAACAGGATTATTTATAATTCTAAATTAATCAACCCAACCTTAAACAAATAAATAAAAACTGCCAACCTTGACTTTTGCTTGGTTTTAATTCAAAATCATTTTTATAGTTTTGAGGTTTTATAACTGTATGAATTTTAAGTCTGTAGAAGCGTTCGGAAATAAAAAAATATTACTCGAGTCATCATTGCATATAAGGCTACATATGGAATTGACTTTGCATATTTAAAATCATTTATGGGTAATGCATATTTAAAATTAAAAAATCATTTGATACAAGGTTTCTATTTTGCAAGGTAATGATTTTTTTATAATTGTATTTTAGGAAAGATGATTTTGGAATTTTCCGAGGTGATTTCAACCCTGGAGAAGTGGAAGGAAGGAAAAGCGTTGTTGATACGCGGAGAAGGTGGCAATTTCTGCAGCGGAGGCGATTTGGACATGGTCAAATTGTTGGATGACAAGGAAAAAGCTAAATATCTTCCTGTGATCATGACAGACAATCTGAAAAGGCTTTCTTCTCTTCCACTCGTGACTGCTGTTTATATCAACGGATCTGGTAATATTTTCGTTTCAAAGATGTCTTGAACTTTGCCCCTTTGACGTTTCGCTTTATTCAAGGGGCGATTGGAGGAGGATCCGAGATCGCAGCATCGGCGGACGTTCGCATCATGGAGAGAGGGTCGAAAATCGGTTTCGTACACAGAAAGATGGGCATCGTGCCTGCCTGGGGTGGTACGTCAAGACTGAAACGCATCCTGGGATCCCACAAAGCCCTGAAGATACTTTTAGAAGGGCGAGTTTATGACGCGGAAGAATCTTTGGAATTGGGCTTGGTGGATTACATGGAAGAAGACCTAGAAGGAGCGAGAAAAAGACTAACTTCATTGGTCGACGGTCTCCAGTACCAAGTCGCTCAGTGTATAAAGAAATCTGTGATGTCTGATAGTATTGAAGAACAGGGTGATATATGCTCTGAATTAATCGGCGGTGAACAAAATAAAAAAGCACTTATGAATAGAGTGAAACATAAACAATAATTAGTCCAACGGCAAATTTGTTATAATGTTTATTAAAATAACTCTGACGTAGTAGGGTTTGAAAAAAAAAAATTGATTTAGTAGTAAGATGTACCTGTAAACTTGTCTTATCTTGGTCCGTCTATTCTCCCAAAGTTTGTATATCATCTTCCGGTATCGATTAAAACAAAAACAATAGAAGAAAGAATTATGAAATAGGACACAGACCAACCACTGAAGATGGCGAAATGCTTTCAACGTGTAAAACCAGCGAGAATACGCGGACCATATTACTTCATGAGGCCAAGTACTGATGGTCTGATGGTGGTGATGCACCTCTAGCTTTGTCGTTTTCGAACATCGGCCTACTCTCGCTGTTTTGTTCTGTTGTGTGTGTGTTTTTCTTCATTTTAATTTCATCCATTTATGATGGATCTAATCGTGATTTTCATTTAATCAAACACCCGAATGAAGATGGCGAAAGGACGAAACTACATGTTTCATACGTTTTGGCATCCCACCATTTTACAAAGATAAAAAAAGTTTCGACTGACGAAATAAAACAGACCAACAAATGAAAAATTAATTAAATACGTCTTTTGTATAAAACCAGCGAGAATAGACGGAATAAGGCACATACCTACCACTGAATATGGCGAAATGCTTTCAACATACACAACCTCGCTGATCAAGATCATTAATTGTATTTCTTCTTGATGTCTGATTGTATATATTTTTCCCTCGGATTAAGAAAATGTCGGTGCTCCTTATATAGTAAGAATATTTCACTCTTCTCTTCACGAATATGAAAAAAATGTTACTCGTTTATCTATGATCATTGCACACGAACCTGTTTCGCTCGTCTGCTAATTGCGTGCAGCGTGTTGGTCCAGAAATACGAAAGTGTGGCCAGACGCAAGTTGATTAATATTCATCATTATGTAAATCCTCTTGTTAGAGAAGAAAAGCAGGAAAATGAAATTGTTTGCCTAATGTGGTCCTCAGGGAGGATCATCGCTGGGTTTCTTGTTGCAAACCCGCGGTCATGGCGAAAATAATAAATCAAACATACATTTTATAGAATAAAACTATATAACAAAAACAAATCAACAAGTTCAGTTATTTTGACTTACCTAACTCCATACCAAGAAGTTAATAATAAATCATATAACACTGAGGAAATCACACAACCGGAAAACAACAAAGCAATGAAGCCAATGAAAATGCACACATAAGAAAACTATTTCATAACGCATAAAAGAGTGAAAACCTTAAAAAAAGGCCGTAAAAATCCTAATTTAATATAATCCTAAATTAATATATCAAAGGCGAAAATACACAAAATCATCACGAGTAACGGAAACGAAAATATATACGACAATACGCAATCGGTATGAACAAAATGACATTGTTTAAGGCATAAAAGATCCCAAATCAGCCTTAATTGAAAATCATTAAATTAATACCAGATAATCTGAGAGTTGATGAGCTGTTGCATTTGACCAAAACTGTTTGTGGTCCGTCATACCTAGCTCTGCATACCAAAGACCAACATTGCAAGTCATACAGGATTAAATTTTACTGCACTAAATGATTGGTAAAATAAATATTAGCTTATAATCAATTCAAAATAGAGAAATAAATCAAATGAAATTATGAACCTAATTAACAAAATTTAAACAAATTTCCCATTGAATTTCAAATATTTTACTCTCGCCGCCTGATAGTGACTCAACAAATCTTTCAATAAAAACCTAGTGGCCGATAAATTATCTGCTACATAAAGGATCATAAATATTTTTGACCTAAAATTCTTTAAAAACATAAAGCACTAATTTACCTTGAATCACGTTTGGTAAATCAACAAAATGATAAACAAAGAAGAAAATTCATTCTGGTCCCCTCCTATTCTCCCTATTTATCTTGCACCCCTAAAGAGCAAATTTACAAGAATTAAAAAATTAAACCTGATGTAACATAAATAAATCGCCAAATTGCAAAAGACTTCTCAATGAATTTTAAAAAAATGCATTACAAGCAGTGTCAGTACTTTTGATAGAAATCTAGATACCAGCACGTGGAGAAAACAAACAAAAACCTGAGTAAAATTGTTTAAATTGTAAAATTGACACAATAAAATATTAATAATTGTTGAAATTATATTCAGAATTCAGGAAGGCGAAGAAATGTAATTTCCAAACTGTACCGTTTCCGCCCCTTGCTCTTTATCCGAAATCACAATAAAACGACATTACATTAATTTAGAGATTTATTCTAATAAAATTATTGATCAAATTTCTATTAATTCTCCAATGAATTTAAGATATTTTGAATTCACAAACTAAAAGTAGTCCAAGGCTTGTCTGTCTAAAAAAGGAAGAGGGTATATTAAAATGTTTCCAAAATAGAACAATATAACATTAATATTACGTCTGGTATTTAGGAAGTCAATGAGATATTTTAAATTCACAAACTAAAATTAGTTCCAAGGCTTTTCCTTGTAAAAGACAGGGCAATAGTAAATTAAAATGTTTCCTAAATGAACAATACAACATTAACATTACATCTGGAATTTTGGATGCCAATGAGATGTAATTTGGTTAAAGCCAGTCCTGGCCCACACGTTCTCACACATTATTGAAATCACAATAAATTATTACTACAAATTAACATTAATGTTAAATTAATCCATTTCTACTAGTAGTCATAAAAGTTAGTGCCCGCTCATGATACTAACTTTTTCATCTCAACCAAGACTTTAGATAAAAATTATAATTGATGTTAAATCTGAATGAATGCATTAAGATTAGACTGAATAGCAGCACAATCTAACTTAAGACAGCGTTAAATCATCAACCAATATAAGTACAGAACTATTTCTGATAATGCAAGTAATATCATTAAAAAAATAAAGATAAAAACCCTGATGAAGACATCTAGATTTAATTGATATAAGCATTCAATATTATAAATATGTAAAAAAAGAAATATACACAGTTCCTTCATCAAGCTTTTAAGGAATACATCCCCTTCCTCAGAATTTTTAAGCTATTGTTAGGTTAGCTAATTAGGTTAGCAAATATAAACATCTACTTACAAAATTAAAACTTATGGTTTCAAACATAATAAATTTGTTTTGGTGTTTAAGAAGGTGGAGCACATGATATTTATTAGCTGATTGCTAGGGCTTACCCCCAATTACCCCAAGGAATATTGAGTATTCTGTGGTAGTGTGATTATAATTTATTAGCATGAATGAAGAGGCTTATTTCTAAATATCCTGAGGGATATCGAGTACTCTGTAGTAGTGTGAATGATTTTTGGTGGTGCATATTATTTACTAATGTGAATGGCAGGGCTTATCCCCCAATTATCCCAAGGAATATCAAGTACTTTGGGATAGAGTGAATGCTAACTAGACTATTAATTTTATATTTATTTGTTGGTTACTTTCAGAAAACATTTCTATGTGATTTTTTTTAATAGTATAGATTACATACACATTTAATAGTAAACACATCACTTATTTTAACTTATTTGGACGTTACACTCATCATCAGCTTCTTACATTGTAGATGTAGATGTAGATGAATTAGTCGGGGTGTAATATACTGTGCCCTTTAAGACCTATTGTATCCCTCGTTCACTGTCCAAAGTACACCGGTGAGTCCTATTTCATCTAGGAACTTGATTAGTAGGCCCGGTTTCAATGGTTGAATCTCTTCTATGGACACATTGTACATCCCAAAGCACTTCCTCCAACAAGTAAGTGTAGCACCAGAGTTTGTTAGTAGGTGTGTCGGTGTCTCCTCTGCCTCTTTGCAGAATCTGCATGTGCCATCTTGGATAATGTTCTTTAAGCGTCCATTTAGCTTGCAGTGTCCTAATCCTGTTAGGATTCGTAGTTTATTCCTGCTTCCTTTGACACATTCTGAAACTTCTTTCCTTCGGAAATTTATTAGGAGATTCTTGGATTGTCTGTGTCCAAAAGGTGAATTCCATTGTTCCTTCATTTTCTTTTTGTCCTTCTGTCTGAGTTACTCATTTTTACATTGTATTAAATTTCTAATTTTTTAATATATTATGTTAAAAATACGACCGTCTTTCATTTGCATGGTGAAGATGGAAGAAGAAGTTTTTATTTATTATGTTTATTTTTTTGCATGTTTTGTTCTTTGTGTTCTTTTATTCTCAATTGACAATGCCCTGAGGTACAGAGAGGCTAGCAGCAGGATATGCATAATATAACATTATAAAATTAGCTGGAGAAACATTAAAAAAATAAAAGGATTAAAACGTGAGAAAAAAAATGAAAAGAATGTGGGCGATGACCGATTTAGTTTACCTGCCTTTAAAAAAAAATCAAAAATAATAAAAAAAAAGACGTTGTTGAAGACTTTATTGATGCTTCCAATTCTTGGTTCATACTGTTGGATACTGTACATGTAACTATTGACATCGTTCTTGAAAAAAATGTTAATAATGTCTGTTTTTTCGAAAATTACATTATTTTTTAAACATTGTGGTCGACAGTGATAATCAGTGGAAATTTTTGATTCTGTAGGTAATTTGTGGAGGTTGGTCTATTTCAAATGACCCGCGTAGATGTTATATGTACAAGACTACAAGTCCAGGGTTGGGAATTTTTATATATATTGTCGTTTGTTTATTTTATTTGTACATATATATTTTTTAGGTTGTTAATGATATATAGCTCATTTTTTAATACATTTAGATAAAATTGGTGGGAAACCCATTTTGCTGGAGAGGAGAAATTCGTAATTAAGTGAGCCGGACTGCGGTGGTTTCTTCTTCTCGTTTTAACAGAACAATTTTAAAGGCTATAGCCTTCTGTAGTTGACTCATCTCTGAGCTTCAATTAAAACCCAGACGGTTTTTCTACTCTCTCAATCTATTTTCCACCTGAAAAGCCGAAATCCTTTCAGTCGGGATCGTCGATCTGCACAAACCGGACGGCTGTTTTTTTTAGTTTTTTATTTTATTTTATTTGTTAAGTTGTATTTAACGGGCGTAGATCGGTCCGAGTGGGCAGGAGCTAGCTTTATAAGGTAAATCGTGAGAATATGGCACTAAATCCAGCGTACGATGCCATCGGCAAAGGGTTCGTCGAGCAGTATTATTTGCTATTCGACAACCAGGTCGAGAGGAGTAAACTAGTCAATATGTACAACGTGAGTATGCCTCCATATGAATAAAAACTACATGCCTAATTTTAGCTACTTCATGATGAAGCTACAGCAAATCCTTGGGCGTGTTCGGTTCTCTTTTCTTCCTTTCAGAAGACCACCATAGTCTTCTTTAGGATGTTTATTACTTGTGTGATACTAATGCTTTATAAAAAAAAAAAAATCTCAATTTATTTTAAATATACGTAAAATGGGCCTTTTATCAAGTAATAATTGTTGAAAAAGAATGTTTTGGACCTTGGCTCTTAGTACATTATTAAGATGAAAATTAGAATAAGAGCCAGCCTCTTTACGACCTGCGATTAGTATTTATGTATTGTGTATCTCCATTATTGTCTAGAGCTCGTCAATAAGCATAAGGACTATGGCACACGTACCGGTTTTCAACAAAGTTTTATCTCAACCAAGACCTTACATAGAAAGGATAATTAATTGTTTGAAAGAACTAACTTGGGCAATTGACCACGAAAACATACAAGAAGTATCACTTCATGAAACAGCTCCCCGTGGCCATTTCATAAGTCGCTAAGAATCCAGTCTGATTAACAACATTTGAAAATGGCAAAAAGAGGGAAAATTCGAGGTTGAGGTGGAAAGTTGGTGTCTGAGAGGATCGAAGTCACGATAGCTCAAGTGGTAGAGTAGCAGCGTATTTAGCTGAACGTCATGGGTTCGAATCCCGCTCATGACACTGACTTTTTTATCTCAACCAAGACCTTACATAGGAAGAAAATTAATTGATTGAAAGAAGTAACTTGGTCAATTGACCACGAAAACAAATGTTTCACCAAAGTGTTCAACACACCGGTTTTTTTCCCAGCTGACAGACATTGCAGTTTCACTATCAGTTATGTTCAGTATTCACTATTCCACCGAAACTGACCAGTGTTGTTCCTGTCATTTTCCAATATTGTCAATTATAGGGCAGTATATTCTTATTTGTACAATGGGTGATTTTTTTTTTAAATTTTTTTTTTAATTTATTTATTTTTTTTATTTTTTTTTTTTTAATTGGGCCTCACTTTGAGGTATCTAGCCATGATACAACCACATGTGTCAAGCCTTGAAACCAACAAAAAAACCCACCTGCGAGGAGAGACAAGCTGCTCGGTACCACCTTCGAGGAGACCATCTCATATATGAAACAATTATGTTATCACTATAGTGGAAAACTCCAGGGAGATGTGGATAAAAACCTTACATAGCATTAAGTGCTCCTGGAAAAGTCACAACACCAAGACAATCATCTCAGAGATAGCACTGACTGGCAAGGGTGCAGCCCAACACAACTTCGTAAAGCTTAGATCTCCCTATCACAATCCTGAAGGAATCTATATAATAGTTTGTACAGTTGTTCGCCTTCCATAGCCAAAACACTGTAAACTGAAAGGCTTGCTAACCTCTTCAAACTGAGTTAATCGGTCAACAAATATCTTTCCTTCTCATACTCCGAACCGAATAAAACAATGTGTTTGATATTTTCCGGCTCATCGCATGTCATGCAATTAGGAGCTGGTCTCAGTTTAATCCTATTTAAGTAGGCACTGCATATAGAGTGATTTGATCGGATTGGGTATGTCGTAGAAAAAAAACTTTTTCGCCTCCCATAGCCAGTTAAATGGATTCTAGAGGTCTGCCAGTAATTTATTGTAAATTAGAAAAGCTGGAATTACCGGTGAGCTATGAGAAGTAAGCTCAACTTTAGACATGTACGTATATGTACATTCATGTGCAGATATTAGATTATATAAATCAGTAATCAGTAATGAGCCTTTGGAAAAATTGAAAGTGTAAAAAGAAAATATTCAGGACCTTGCCTGTTCAGCCACTGCCCCTTAATAAACTATTTTATTGTTTAATTTCTTTATTCAACTAGCGCCAAAAGAGTTGTCGAAGCAAAAATGCTTTTGAAAGAATACAAATGAGTGGTGTTCATCAAGGTGGTGAAACTAGCTAGATCATGCCGGTCTACCAATTTTTGTTGTTCATTGTTTCTAATTTTTTCCTATTTCACCACCAATTAGTTGTACTAAATGTATTTTGCCAGAACTTTTATGTTGATCAATAAGAATAGGCCATAATGATCAGTGACTGTTTAAAAATCACTTTCTATCAACCCACGAACAAAACCCCATTTAATAGTTCATATATGTTGGGCTTTTCCCTTTTACACATAAGAAATAAAACATTACAGAAAATTATAAAATGTGATTTTGTTTTTTTAGGCAGAGACATCATTTATGACTTTTGAAGGAATGCAACTTCAAGGAAGCATGAAAATCATGGAGAAGTTATCTGTAAGATAAAATTTCAGTTATTGCAAGGATTTTATGATCGTATTAAGTGCTTTTTTTTCTAGGCTTTAACTTTCCAAAAGATAAATAGGGCAGTAACTTCAGTAGACTCGCAACCAATGTTTGACGGTGGCGTTTTAATAAATGTTATAGGAAGACTTCAGGTAGGAATTTTTATCATTATTAAATTAATCTTTAAACATAATTAAATTCAATGTCAAATTTATTCAGTATTACATTTTATGAACGGCTTAAAAATAATGAAGAATGCATATTGTACCCATTTTACTATGATTTTAATCTAATATTGCAATGTTGCATACTTTGTTTTCAATTTGTTTTTTAAGAAAGTTTAATACCAATATATTTAATTAATGATTTAAAGTTGAATTTGTGTTTTTCAGACTGATGAAGATCCACCACACGCTTACAGTCAAACTTTCGTTTTAAAGCCAATCGGAACAAGTTTTTATATTCAACATGATATATTCAGGCTAGCTCTACATGACTCCCTTTAACTGGAACTGTTAAAACTCCAGCAACAATAAATAAATGGAACAGGTATTCATGACAATCTTCTTTTTTCCCCACTCAGGAAGTAAATATTAATTATTTATTACTTGTTCCAGGCAGTTAATTCATAGCTGTTCAAACATAAATCTTTGATTTGTAACACTTAAAGACATATATATAAATGGTTCTTTCAGTTCATTGTTCAAACAGTTCTACATTATATAATAATAAAACCATTTATGTTCATTATGTGTTGACTTTGACAATTGTAATAAATAATAACTAGGAGTGTTAATTTTGTATTCCATTTAACAAGCCTTATTTTCAATTTGTATTCGATTGTTCTGCAATTAAATTATACTTCTCATCATGCAGTAAAATTTTGTTTTTAGCCATGTCTTAAACCCTGGCCTTTGTCTAGATCTGAGCCTATTTAACTTTTTTAGTGCCTCAGGAAATCTAATATATTACATATGTTTTTGATATAATTCAGCATTACATAAACTATGAAACCTTCAAAAAGACACATTGACAAAAATGACATAGACCAACCACCACTGGAAATGATGAAATGCATCTAATGTACTATAAAAGAAGAAAAATTAGTTTGTTCATATACTCTGTCTAAATAGGGAATAACATCCCAATCCATTGGTTCATACATAACAACTCAAGCCAAGTAGTCTAGCAATTTAATATGTGCTAAACAAGTGATTTAATGATAGTTGTATACCAATATCTAACTGAAATGTGAAATTAATTTTTTTTTAATGGGGTTAGGGTTGATATAGAATCATGACAGTCGTTTCCTGCAACCTAAGTAGATCTATTGTGAACCCCTTCCCCCATTAATCATAGGTATACCTTGGAATATTTTTTCTTATGAGATTAGGCCTTGGCGCCTCTCCGCGGACCTCTTTTGGTGTGAGAAATGTCTTACCGAAATGGCTGTACCATAACCGGGCTAATGCTTCACATTCACAAAGGATATGATCCATGTCTCATGTTCCTCCTGTTAGAATCGGCATGTTTCTGTCTGCTCTGACCATCTTCTTCAGATGATAGTTAAGAGTGCAGTGGGCAGTTATCCCTCCACCTACTTGTTCCATCTGTGTCCCATATAAGGGCCCCTTCTTGAAACTTGAGGCCACCTTTCTTGGGTCTCTTTTGTTTATATCCACTTGGAAGGGTCTATCAAAATTGAGCTTTTCTCGTTTTGACTGATACCATTATAATTATTTCAGTTATTTGAATTCTTTCTAGAATTGTGATGGCTCATTACATCTGGCTTTATTTTGTTGTATTTCAGGAGTCTGTTGACACTCTCAAAAGCCACCTTTTGTACATAGAAATGTACGGGTGAAAGGTCGAGTGATGTTTCACTGGCTGTAGCGGCATAGGTATGCATTGCCCCTGTTATATTGAGACACGCTAGTCTATAGTTTGGTTTGTGCACTTGTTCAGTGTTTCTGGCCATCATGCTAGAGCACCATTGGTGTATAACATTATGGATTTTGGGGGTTATTTACCAGTTTTTACTGCATAATCTTAAGCCAATGTTTAATAGAGCCTGGTTTTATGCAGAATGTTGCCTATGTGTTTTCCCCATTTGAGCCTTTGTTCAAGGGTTATACCATGGCTCTTTGTAAAAAGTTAAGGCTTCAACTTTTATAGTGGAAGCTTTTATATGGAGCTTCCTTCTTTTTGGGAAAGGTGTGAGATAATTATGCATTCTTAAGTTTTGTATTTAAACCCTTTTTCTCACAGCATCTCCCTACAATATTTAGGATATTTTGCACCTGGTTTGACAGTGTCTTCGAATTTCCCTTTTATGATTGTTACCACCTATCTGCTCAACCTAAGATGTATGATATCCTTACTCGTTACGTTTTTTAATTAGATCATCGACTACAAGCAACCAAAGAAGTGGTGCTATCCCTCCTTGTGTGCATCGTTGAGTAGATACAGTGTGATGACCATGTCTTATTATTTATTAGTTATTTCCGCCTCTTAGAATTCTTAATAACCAGAGACTGGATTTTTAAGCAGTAAAAATTGACAAAATATGCAGTTGAAAGCCCTAAAATATGCAGTATTAATACGTTAAAAGTATATATTTTAAACTACTTGAGTATAATTAATGTTAATAAACAAATACTTCTCTAAATTGCCTTCCATGAAATAGTGCCGATGGTCACTTAAAATTTGTGAGAATATTGAAATAAGGCTCAAAAAGGGGCTTTATATTCTTTTGTTTTGTTTAGTTTTCTTCTAATTAAACCAACTTTTTACGATACGATTTTACATTAAAAATCCTTCAAGTATGTGATATTGTTCAAATATGCAATTTTATGCGATATTCATCAAATATGCAAAAATATGCTCTATAAAATTTAACCTACAGCTTCCTAGATACATGATTCAGATAGATAATCGATTTCTTCGGTCGTATGTCGTGGCAAAAAAAATATGCAACTGCATAAAAATCCTCTACTAATAACCAGTTTGTACTTTGTAGTTGAGAGGACTATAATTTTTCTTTGTACAGATGTTTCAATGTCTGTATGAAGTGTTATCAAAGGCCCCCTGTATGGCCAAGCAGTAAAGTGCCATTTCTTTATTTTCCATTGACTTATCAACATGCCCTACCAATTTATTTAGAACAGTTTCATGGAGTCAGATATATCTGTTCTGAGTACTATAAAGCTTTGACTCTATCTAATTTATCCAATTGCCATCCAAACTTGGATGGATGGACTAAAGCCTTTAACTATTCCTTTTAAAATAATTTGGAAGGCCAAATCTATGCAAAAAAATCTATTTTAAATTATTTAAATTTATTCCTGTTCTATAATTAGAATTTCAAATTTTTGTACCATAATTTAAACATTTCCTTAGGTCTTGGTTGAAATGAAAAAGTTAGTGTTACGAGCAGGATTCAAACCCTCAACCACGAGTTATGAACGGATGTGGACTGGATAGGTGCCGGCAGACGAGAGCTATCAGCTATCGTGACGATAGCTCAAGTGGTAAGAGCAGCGGCGTATTGAGCCGAAGGTCGTGGGTTTGAACCCTGCTCATGACATTAACTTTTTCATTTCTACCAAGACCTTACAAAGAAAGAGTAATTATTTGAAAGGAGTAATTTGGCCAATAGACCACTAAACATAATGGATTTCCCTTAGGCTTGTTACTATATTTATAAAACTAAAACTATTTCTAATATACGTAAATGTTAGCGGGCTTAAAGCCCTATTTGTACTTTTCAAATTAAATATTTTAATGTTTTGAGTAATGACTAATGAGCATTCAAAAACCATCGATGTGTAGATTCGATGGTTGTACTACCATCGACGGTGAGGTTCCGATGTTTCATCGATGGTGACCTATCTATGCTCATATCTACTCGCTGTTACTGCAAAGTTGCAACCAGACCGCGTCGGCAGGCAGGAGCTGGAACTATCGAATCGATACTTGTAACTTGAGTCCGAAATTGAGTTGGAAGTTAGAAATGGAACTATAGCTATAGCTACATTGCTATAAGTCTATAACCGGTCGCACAATATGACAGAGACAGCTCTTCCACAGCCGCTTTTAGCAGGTAATATTTATTTTAGGATCTTTTTTATTTGTTAAAATAAACAATTTTTCTTATCCGAGAGATTGTCGACCTGGTAGCAATCAACCATGTGTGTTTTGGTATTAAATTTCTCTTTACTCCGAACAAATGGAAAAACCTACATGCTTGAGATAATATTATGGAAATGTTAATAAAAAATATATATACTTGCCAACATTAGATTTATCCATAGAATTTGGAACATTATAATCATTTATCCATTACATAGTTCAATTAGGGATACAGTCCCAAAATAGAACAGTGAGAATAGAATAATTGTAATAACATTAGGTAAAAAGACAGTGTAAGAAGTAAATAATTAATGAAATATAACAGTTCAAAACACCTGCAAATGGAAAGAAAGAAAATCAAAGATATGGACACAATGTAGGTTCATTTAACACGATACAGATATGCCATCAGTGAGTTGTGGATGACGCTGCTGTGGCTAGCTCTCAACACCCTTAAAAAAAATATCTTTCAGATAACCAACTCATCAAATGTGGAGAGTTTCCTTGAATGTTTCCAGCTTAAGATTGCTATAATTATTTGAAGATCATGAGATGCAGTCTGGTGTGACAGGTTTTAGAAAAACATTTTCTTTATCGCGCCAATGTTTCGATCTTTATTGAGATCGAAACGTTGGCACGATAAAGAAAATGTTTTTCTAAAACCTACGTCACTCCAGACCGCATCTCACGATCTTCAAATAATCATTAACTAACGGTCACTAAACACCACACATTGCTATAATCTTCATTTCTAGCATTTTTTAGAACATGGTGTTGTAATGTTTAATACCAAGCGGATTCTGAGTTATTGTTTTTTATTTCAGTATGATTGGCATTTTTATTTTTTAAGGGCAAACCGTTGTTCATTGCCAGCCCTCAATTATTTTCCTGTCTTTCTTGCCCTTTAGTACTTCCAATTTCATTTCATGTTTCTCGAGCCAATTTATAATTTGGTAACTGACTCTCTTTTCCTTACCATATTGTTTGATTCTCTATATCCCAGGGTTTCATAAATTGTGGATAAAATAACAAACACACAATATAAAACATAAGTCTAGTTGTCTCTATCCCAGAATACTTGGTATTTCTCACAGTAATTGGGGATAAGCCCCTCCATTCATACTAATAAGTTATACTCATGCACTAAACTTTGTTCACATTACCCAAGTATTCAATATTGCTCAGGGTAATTGGGATAAGCCCACCATTCATGCAAATAAATATATTCATTCCAATAAATAACACATATCATACATAACTATGATAGGCATTATATTAAACTAGTATTTATCTTTTGATTATTATCTATATTATTATTATTTTTATTATCTCTTTCTCTCCATCTATGATGCAAGCTTTAAAAAAAAAAGATGCACTTATGATTGTTGTGATCTGGACCACAGCTAACAATCTTAGCTTGATAAGAGCTAAGATTCAGGTCTGTGATATGCACTTACCCAGTGGCTTTTTTTTTGGAGTTTTTTTCTCTCTTATATCTGGCATTCTTAAACCAAGGAAGTTTTCCCTTAGAGGATGTTTGTTTTGTCTCGATTATACATTTCTATGTACACTACACATTAAGGAACACATGGTGCCAAATTATGTTCGTATTTTTACTGGCCTTCCCATTTCCACTTCATTTCTCTAATTACTTTTATTTTAATTATCGTTTTCAATATCTTTTATTAGGTTTTGTTATCTGCTTGACCAAATAAATTCTTTTCAATTAACTAAGGCTTTGGTTGAGTTAAAAAAGTTAGTGTCACAAGCGGGATTCCAACCCACGACCTTTGGCTAAATACACCGCTGCTCTACCACTTGAGCTATCGTGACTTTGATCCACTCAGACACTAACTTCCCATCTCTACCCCACCTTTTGAATTTTCCCTCATTTTTTGCCATTTCTCAAATGTCGTGTAATCTATTTGATTCTCAGCGACAAATGAAATGGCCATTGCCTATCTCAACCAAAACCTTAATTAATTGAAAAGAATTTATTTGGTCAAGCCGACCACGAAACCTAATAAAATGTAATAAGCAAAATGAAGTATACTTCACTAAAGCTATCCGTGGCCATTTCATTTGTTGCCTAGAATCAAATAGATTACACAACATTTGAGAAATGGCAAAAAGGAGGGAAAATTCAAAAGGTGGGGTTGAGATGGGAAGTTAGTGTCCGAGAGGATCGAAATCGCGATAGCTCAAGTAGAAGAGCAGCGGTGTATTTAGCCGAAGGTCGTGGGTTCGAATCCCGTTTGTGACACTTACTTTTTTATCTCAACCAAAACCTTAGTTAATTGAAAAGTTTTCAATCAACTATTTCATCTATGCAATTTTGAAAAGATGAAAAATTAATCATATTTTAGTTGTTTATTTTGCTGCTAACATATACTTGGACCACTTTTTGTTTTTTAAAATATCAATAATGTTTTATTAAATGATTAAATTTGTTACAAAGTTAATAAGCATGCTTTAAACTTATACAAATAATAAATTTGCAATATGGTACCTTGATTGTCCTTTGACCTAATTAAATTTTGTACATTTAATTTTACTTACTGTCGAATATTCTTTATAATGCTTAAGTTTTGATCAAAACACATTTAAAAATAAAATTTGTTTATAATTTTTCAGCTCGATCTTCATCTGGCGTCTGTGTATTCAGTGGACCACCGAATAATACCTTGGAACCACTTTTAAAATTAGACGACTCAAAGTCATGTCGTTGCTTGAAATTTAGTCCACATGGAGATTACCTTGCATGGGCCAATGGCGCTAAGTTCGGCTTAATTAATTATCTATTTTTGTTAAATGTATGTACAGTTATCTTATTTTGTTGTTTTTTGTTAGGGTCATAGTTGTAAAAACGAAGGACTGGTCGAATGTAGTTTCCTTAGATCTACCTAAAGTAATGGACATACATTTCTCGCCTAAAGGGACCTACTTTTCAGTTTACGAACTTTATTCGAGTAATGTTATCTTTTACTATATCCCCTGAATATTTGAAAACAGTGTGAATGTCATAGGATCTGGAGATGCAAAAGATGAGATTAAGAATCTCATTGTATATCGAACAGAAAATGGAGAAATCTTAGAAGCTTTTGAACAAAGGAAGCAGGAAAATTGGTACATATTTAAACATAGTTCTAAATATTTTTTGTTAATATTAACTTTTCTAGGCAGCCACAATGGACAGCTGATGAAATGTATTGCTCTAGGAATGTTAAAAATGATGTATTTTTCTGGAAATCTGAACTTTTAACTGGTCCTCCAGAAAAGAAATTGCAAAATCAAAGGATTGTTAATTACAGCTTATCACCATCAGCCCCTCAATACCACTTGTTATGTTATGTACCTGGTAAACTAGATTTATTCTACATCTAAAATAATTTTTTCAATTTATTAAGGGAAGGTATTATTTATAAATATTTTTATAGGAAAATCCGGCCAGCCTTCTGTATGTAAAATTTTTCAATTTCCAAATTTCGACAATCCTCTCGCACACAAAACATTTTTCCAGGTGTGTATTTTGTGTTATTTGATTAGAAATGGTTAAAGCCTGTTGAAATTAGTTAACAATAAAAAATTCTTTTGTTGTATAATGGCATTGAATTTATATTATTGTCAGGCAGATAGAGTAGAAATGTTCTGGAATAAGAAAGGGACGGTGGCTCTTTTTTTAACAACTGTCGACATTGATAAAACAGGCAGTTCGTATTACGGCAAACAAGGCCTTCATTTAATAGATATCAAAGGAAATCAAATGAATGTGTCATTAGGTATTCAAGTTTAACTAGACATGGACATTATGAGTTTTTTCTCTCCTTAAAATAATTTTTATCACTTTAGCAAAAGAAGGTCCAATACATGCTGTTGAATGGTCTCCGCTGGCGAATGAATTTTGTGTAATTTATGGCGCAATGCCACCAAAAACGACGCTTTTCAACACAAAAGCTGAACCTGTGTTTGATATACCATGTTCACCAATAAATTCTATATACTACAACCCTCAAGGAAATAATATCCTTTTTATTAAAAAAGTTATGACATTCGCTTTGGATAATTTTTAACTTTTTCTTATGAATTATAACAATTACATTTATAACTACGTAGATTCAGTATATGACTTGTAGTTGATAATGATGCCATATAAAGAAATTTAAAGTATGTTCCTTGACATAAGAATTTACTTGTTCTTCTTGGAGGCTTTGGTAATTTACAAGGCGCAGTTGACCTGTGGGAAGCACCTGCCAAGAAATTGATCAACAAAACCAAAGCGGCCGATACAACTCTAGTTTCTTGGTCTCCCGATGGTACATATTTTATGACTGCGACAACTGCACCACGCTTACGAGTCTGCAACGGGTTTGTAAATGTTATAATGCTTAATAAAAATGGTTATATTAAAAATGTCATTTCAGGTACAAAATATGGCATTATACAGGCAGCCTCGTTCATGAAAAGTCATGGAATGAGGGTGAAGAACTGTGGGAAGTGGTCTGGCAGAATTTTCCCCCAGGTACATTCAAAAAGCCCCAAGTCTGTTATGAGCAGGTTAAAGGAATCGCTTCTCAGTCTCCTGAAGGTATTGGCAAATAAATAAAAATTAAAAGGTTGATTTTACTTTTAAAAAAATTTCCCCCAGCTTCGAAACAAGCTTATCGTCCACCAGGGGCTCGAGGCAAACCATCGTCTTTCAAATTGAACACAGAAATAGTCGATGTAAAACCGGGAACCGTGGTAACCCAGAAAGGCCAAGTTCAAATGTCGAAAAATGCGATTAAGCTGAAGAAGAACCGAGAGGCAAAAAAAGCGGCGAAAGCGGTAGATGGTTTCATTTCACAGAGTGACGTCCAAAAGTTGAATGATTATGCAGACTCATTGAAAGAATATACGTCTACTGATCCAGAAAAAGAAAAAGCTATTAAAAAATTGAGAGTGGTAAGTCAATTTATAATTTATATATTGTTCTAATTGATTAGCCACTTTTGTCAGAGGAGTTAAATTTTAACATTGGCTATATTTGATAAATGGACAATTTTATCATTAAATGCCTTCCATTGTATTAATCTTAGTTTTTGTTTGTAATTATTAAGTAAATCAAATAAAATAGGGGATTTTAAAATAATGTGAGAATTTTAGTATAAAATTAGTTTATTAAAATATGAAGTATCTAAAACATCATGGCCTACTTAGTAGAAAGCGCTGGAGAAATCTTCAGATCTTTTTCTAGTTATCCCAATCTTCTTGAAGATTTATTTATGGAGTCGAGGAATTGATATGAGCCGTCTATAGATTATTTACAAACTTACCGATACAATACAAATTATTTACAAATTTTTTACACACAAAAAAATTATGATTAAAAACTACATTTTGTTTTAAATATTCATGTTAAATGATATTCTTCAAAGCACAGAAGATACAGTACAATTTATTTATTTTATTTTTTGTCTCCAGTACTGCAACCTGGGCATGTCCTTACTTGTATTTCTTGGGTTTCTAACACATGCAAATATAATGATATCAGTAAAAAGCAAATGAGTTGATGGTTGTCTAAAAAAACATAAGAAATATAAAAAGTCAACAACTGGAAAAGAAGAGTTAAAAAAGGATTGAACACAGCACTCACTCCATCATTCACCATTTTTATTAATTTGCAAGTTAGAAATACGTCACTTGTTTACTATTCCCTGCAGCTCTTCTCCTATATTTTAGCTTTTTAACATAAAGTCTATAACAGTCTATAATTCTGTAGTTATTTATAAAAAGAAAATAATCAAATTTTACTTTTAAAAGCTAAAAAAATTTAGAAGACAATTTTCTCAGTCGACAAAGGGGCTAACCAGAAATGGCACCGATTTGAAAGCAGGTATCACACTGAATCTAATCTACTTCAAAATGAGAATCCATAAAAATCGGGAAATAATAGCCGATGGAAAATGGTCTGTCTGAAAAGAGACGAGGTCTCAAATGATAAAGATCCTGTACGTGGGGTTAATGTTCATTGGAACAGTTATCAACTGTTTGATAGTTAGCTATCATCTTGGTCTGCGTATCTTTGCTAATTTTTGTTGGTACAGATGCATTCGCAATCTTCAATGTTTAGTGAAAATGACATACTAAAGATGGCAAAATGCTGAAACACTCCTGAACCAATAAAAATCAGCGAAGATAGGAAGACCAAGATGATAGCCGAACTATCAAACAATAGGTTTATCAACACGCAGAACACAAAAGGAAATTCACAAAATTAACAATGCTGCACTATATCATCAAAATATTGCCTAACAACTGACCCCAATGAGTAATCATTAAAACCCCATATTTCAGACGGCTATGTGGAAAATTTCATACCAGGCCATCTTTCACGAACCAACAAAACAGGCGTGAACCATGTTGAACTGTTCTATCACCCCAATAGGCAAAGCTTGTTCAACAGAACGAATAAAAATTCATCGTAATCAAAAGTATTGTAGATGGAAAGTTATCAGTATTATTAACTCTGTAATCTTGAATTTGCTGAAGTTTTAGTATTAACATTGTCAAAAAACAGTCTTTAGTAACCTTTGTATGTCCAGATTTAAATGCCAACTTAAGGGGACACAGTATTATTTAAGGTAGGACATCAATCATCGGACAAGCAACTCATTTTTTAATGTCACTGGGGTGCACAAAAAAATTGAAGTCCAATTGATCTTCAATAAAAACTAACAAGCTGATTGTGGTATCTCATGCCAAAATGAGTCTCGTTTTTGTACTTTTTTGCTCTTTATTTTTTAAAATATACTTTCTGCCTTAAACTTAATGCAGTAAATGATTAATCTTGTTTCTAAATGTTCACAGAAATTAATTGAAATAGAAAAGTTAAAAGAACAACAAAAGGCTGGAAAGCAACTTGAAAAAAATCAACTCGAGAAGATGAAAAACGAAGACACATTGCTCAAGCAAATGAAATCACTAGCGATGTGATTTTTTAATCTAAAAGGTGCACATTTCATATTTTAACTGATAATAATCATGTATATTATTTCATTTTTTATGCTTCATAGGTATTGGAAGCAGTCTTTTGGAGGGAAAGCTACCGTAACACAAATTGTCATCCATGAGCAGTCATGAAAGATATAAAAAGTGTATATAAACACCTTTATATATTTTAATTAAAAAAAGAGAGAAAGAGAAACATTTCTGAAATATTCTTATAAATACCTGCACAGCCTTATATTTTTTATGGTTTAAAAATAATATGTATTTTTTTTTACTGACAATTAAAAGATGAAAGATGACCTCTTAAAAATATTGTTTAATCATCGAGCTGTAGACTTGGTAAAAGCAAAGAGGTGAGATAAAGAAAACAAAATGTCCGCAAAAAGTCAATTTATTTGGGTATATTAAAGAAACATTTCTGAAATATTCTTATAAATACCTACACAGCCTTACATTTTTTATGGTTGAAAAATACTTTTTTTTTTTTTTACTGACAATTAAAACAGATGAAAGATGACCTCTTAAAAATATAGTTTAATCATCGAGCTTTAGACTTGGTAAAAGCAAAGAGGTGAGATAAAGAAAACAAAAATGTCCGCAAAAAGTCAATTTATTTGGTATATTAAAGAAACATTATAATGGGTCGATAAGACAAATGTATTGCCATATTTTAAAACAAATAAACAATGCAATTTGACAAAATTTATTTATCAGAATTAAACAATTTTTTTTACGGATTTTCTATATGCATTCTTGACTCTTGCTAGAACTACATGCTAAATTTAATTTGTTTCCATCCTAAAGTTGTGCTTATTATATTATATCTGTGGAAAAGGCAAAATAAAATAATTAGAAGATAAAACACAAAGTTAAAATGGATTTAATGACTTGAATACTCACTGTTTGACTCTCTACATTGCCTAATAGCTTCGTTGAAGCCTTGGCATAAAGAAAGATCGGACTGTTGTTGAGCACATTGCAAAAACTGTTTGATTTCCCAAGCACACGGTCCAGTCGGTTCTTGAGCCCCGGTGTTAGAGGCCTGCTGCACAGGTGCAGGGGCTGCAGCTGCAGCATGGTCAGATGAACCTCCGCCACCCAGCATTCCAGTTAGTCCAGCCCCTACGACATGGCCCTAAAACAATTTTTTTTTTTTTTTTTTTTTTTTTTTTTTTTTTAATTTAAGCGGTAAAAATCGATTGAATAGAGGTTCAGTTTATTTACAATAGTTGATCCGACGGCGACACCACCGGCCGTAGCTGCCATCTGTCCAAAAAGCCCAGGCTGTTTAGGTTGTTGCTGTGCGACCATCGGTGGTGGTTGTGAGGCGACAGGGGCTGGAGGATGGCTAACAGGTGCACGTGTTGGAGCAGAAGCCCTGAAATACATAGTATTAATAAGTTACTTATAAAGATAACGATAAATTTACATAGTAAAAGAATGGTTAGCACAACGTATATTCTTTTGGAAGACAAAAAGAAAGAATGGGGGTGCTGTTGTGTAACTGTTTTATAAACATTGTAAAATATTGACATAAGCCTGCCAGGTGATGATCATCCTTTTCTGCCAATTATCGGAGGTTTTGTTGGTCAAATTTCACCATCTTCAATTATGTCTGTGACCGACCACTAAAGATGTAGGAATGCTGATACTTTTTGCCCGTTGTCTCTTCCACTTTTGCAGCAATACCAGGGCATGCAGTTAGGCAAAAGAGGTAATGAAACTGGTTTAACAAACTCGCCTTGGTCTGGCACTTCGCCATTGTATAAAATTTACAAAACTTGCTCAACTGAGAAAACCCTAAACAACTCAAAATGGAAGAAAGATCAAGCTACGTTTTAAAACAAAAATTAAAACTGTGATTACTCGTTTGAATGGTAAAAGTCTGCGTTTAAATAATAATCTAAAATCTACTATACTAATGTGTGATTTTTTAAATGTTAAAGGTGCAAGCAGAAATTATTAGGATGAGGCAGATAGCTGTGAAGGTCGTGGATAAGACTTTTTTATACTATATCCATGTTGTATTTTTCCACTCAATTTTCTTCAATGTAATTATTTTTAACAGCCAACAAATAGTTTTAGCTATTTTTAAACAAAAAAAATAGTTTCTTAAAATTCGGGTCGCATCTTGTAAAAATAAAAAATAATTAAGAGGATAAAATATTTTTGGGTGTTGAAGGTGATTTCTGATAGTGATTCGACTGAAAACCGATCACGTTGGAAAAGCGAAAAATATCTAACCTTGTTGGCGAAGCCGATCTTCCTCTTCGTGGCATTATTGATAGTTGATTGTTTTTTTAAATATAAATCAAACGTTAATATAAAATACGGTGTAATTTCCTTTCTCGGTATGAATCTCAGTCGAATGGAACGACGAAGACTAGAAGAGTACCAGCAGGTAAGTATTACAGCAATGGAACTAGGACGAATGAAGTTCGAGAATGGAACAATCTAGAACTTTGCAGTGACGTCTGACGTGTAGCAAATATGTCGGTCGCATCACATGGTTTTGACTTCGTCATACGCAATGACGCAATACAAGTAAAGAACAATTTCGCAATACAAATTTGTTTTAACTTACCCTTAAAATCTATGTATTCATTTTTTTGTATGAGTTGATTTAGTTTCTTTGGATGTATTCACATAATATTCATTCAATTTACTTCTTACTTATCTTCAATAGAATTTCATCGTGTATATTTTGATTTTGTGTTTATTTATAAACTAATATTAAATAGGATCAATGGGCCTTTTTTACTTTCTCTTACTAATTAATTTACTTAAATTTCCAAATTTCACACCGCAGTCTGCTTTCTTCCATTTTTTTCATTCCACATGATTATCTTCTTTATTCTGGTATCAACCGACTCCAGACAATATACTGATGGACAAAACTAATGCACCATCCTTCAATTATAATTTATTTAGGATTATTCATTTTGTGAATACCAAAAAATAGGTTTGAATATAAAAAATAAGACATTTAAAAAGAAAAAATGTTTATTATCCAATTCTTTAAAAAATATATATATTGAGTAAATAACAAAATTAAAAAACAAATACAAATTTAAGAAACTTTCTTATTTCTACCTCTGGCACGCATCAAGTCCGTTAAACGCCTTTACATTCCTTGGAAACTCCTGGAAAATCCTGAAGAATGTCTTTCCCATTCGTCGAGAACAGCCGTTTCCAATTCTCCTAGGGTGTTAGGACCGCCGTCGTATTCGTCGTTTAAGTTGGCCCCGAATGTGTTCAATCGGGTTCAGATCTGGACTTCGAGCTGGCCACACCAAGCACTCCATTCCAACCTCATTCAGGTTGTCATCCATAATACCTGGTCTGTGCGGGCCAGGCATTATCCTGCATTACCAAGAATCTCTCACTGATGCGGGGGGTCAAATGGCAAAACATGTTCTTTGAATATGTCTTGCAAGTACCTTTGTGAAGTTAGAGATCTTCCTAGCTCAACAACCATTTCGGTGCGGGCATCCAAGGAAATGCCACCCCAGAATATCAATGACCCACCGTGGAACGCCACCTGAAGAACCATACAGCATGTGGCGTAACTTCTCCATATGAAATTTCGCCCAATTGAAGATTTGAGCCAACTCTCACCTCTTCTATAAAGAGAACTCGTTGTTTCCACAGAATTGAGCCTTCTTCTTACAGCCCTGGAGGTAATCGAAGCATTTCACAATGATGCGGTTCGTAGGTCTTGATCTCTCGTCTATCTCGTCTGTAGACCTAGGTCGACCCTGTCCAGGCCTTATTGTGTGAAGCCCTGTTTCTCTGAAGCGCCAAAGAACCCTTCTTATTGTAGAGTGATTTACCCTCAGTCTCTTGTTCATAACCTCAACGTCTTCTCACCATTCACGCTAATAAATACATTAATAGAAGAAGAAGAAGCTTTCAAGCCTTATGAACAAATGAAAGTTGGGTTCGCCGTAGATTTGATATTACTCGATAACTCACACAACACAGTAAACGATATAGATTTAATGAGACATGTTTGTTTCATCCTTTTTTAAAAAAATAGTTCCTACTCACAGTAAGTTGTTTTCCAACGATCCGGATTTCGAGCCCTTAGCTCATCATCAGGTTGAAGGATTTCTACAATCACGTCTCTGAATTGCAAAAGTAAGTAAAGTAAGTCACTTTTGCAATTCATTTCGAGAGACGTGGTTGTAGAAATCCTTCAACCTGATGGTGAGCTAAGGGCTCGAAATACGGATCGTTGAAAACTTACTGAGTAGGAACTATCTTTTTTAAAAAAGGATTGAACCGCACTCACTCCATCATACATCATTTCTATTTGTTTTATTGTTTTGAAGTGAAGTTTCCAATTCAAGTGTTCATAAAAAATAAAGCCTAGGTAACGTACGGAGTCAGCGAATTGATTATTTTTGTTATTTAATTTGAGTACAGAAATAAGATGAGGTTGCTTCTTGACAAAGAGAATGGCGACTTTTAACTTTTTTCTTTCTATTTTGAAGCCATTCGTTTACCAGCGATATCGCTAATTGAATTTGTTCTTCTAATTGAGGAATATTTTTATGCTTATAAAAATTAATTACGTCATCTGCATACAGCATAGCTTGGATAGGAGACTTTATTATTTTGAGAAGTTGGTTGATACAAATACATCATTTGTAGGTTAATGTCAGACAGCATTTCCATGTGTTTTTTGTTTTGTTTTTTAATAACAAAGTAAAAACATTAAAAGACGATTAATTTAAAACATACTGTCGGTGTCCCAGCCGCACGAATAGTTTGTCTGTATGTACAGTGACAGTTTTGAAACAGGGGGTCAAAATAAATGTTAAAATTTGAATTTTTTGGAGTCCGCGAGTGTATATGAGTGTTTATAATTTAAATACGGAATTCCAAGGGGTTTAAAACGGATTCTCTATACACGCGAGGGATCATTTTTATTTTTTAAATTTTTTTTAAGACCGTGGTCAAATCTACATACATGTCATCCCCTTAAGATTCCACATCACAGAAATATTTATTTCAGAGGTACGTGCAATAATTACATAATTTCAAATATATTCTGTGTATTACCGAAATACCAGTCAAATTTTTTTTTTTTTAATTTACTCACCTTGTCGGTGAATGCGTTGAAGACTGCCGCCTCGGAGGGGCTCTCGACGTGTTTTTTGAATTTCTTGGCATTTTATTTGGACCGGTTGGACAATATTAACTGAAACTTTTGCTTTCCACTAATTCTTGCTTGCTAAAAACAAAATAATCAGCTGCCGTTGATAAATATTACATATGCTTACAATTTTTTTTACTTGTTTATTATTTCCATATTCGTTCAAATATGTATAATTTTATTTTAATAACGATATTCTGTGTATAGCACTCTTTCCCTACTTGTGTTTGCTGTGTTATTGCACACACTAATAATTTTCAACTTATATTCTAAAAAGTAAAATATAAAAGGGGTTTAAATAAATAAAACAGTAGAAATTTATTTTTTTAGGTCATAAACAAATTGTCAAATATCTAATAACAAACTCTCATCAGACCTTCCTGTTGTCGGCGTTCCTCAAGGTGCAATTTTAGAACTCGTATTGTTTTTAATTTTTATTAACGACCTACCTTCTTGTTTAAATTACTCCAAATTCACTTATATGCTGACAATATAAGATAGATTGTCTTACAACATAAGATTCCTATATACAATGTGTCCCTCATTTAATCCTTGATTCCATTTAAGTCATTAACAAAGACCTTGGCTCAGTCAATTGGGCTTTGAGCAATGGTCTCAATCTTAACCCACTCAAATCCCAATCAATAATTATGACATCTGCCAACTAAGGATTTCCTTCTTTGTGGCTCTTTAATACCCTTCTCTAACCAGGTAAAAAAACCTTGGTGTGACTTTTAATAGCAGATTATCTTGGGATGATTATTGAGGCTTTATTGCTAGAAGAGTCTATGGGACTTTAAATTCACCTTGGAAATATCATAAATTTATCCCTCCGACAATAAAACTTAAAGTACATTTACATCTGACATTGAATGATATTTATGTCAGACCTAATATAAACAGTGATGAATTTATGTCAGAGATATATATTTCAACCACTAGCTATTTGTATCAACATTTCTATACCAATAGATGTAAACATCGGTTAGTTTCAAGCTCAACCTTGTTTGACATTTGTTGCAAAAGTTGGCCTTTTCTGCTGTTGTAATAAGTGTAAACATGAGTGACAAAAAAGAGCGGTTTAAATCTAAAAAAAATATAATTATAATTTTTATTTAATAGTAGTACCTGCTTACCAGATGCTAAAAATCACAGTTACAGCAAGTTGTTCTGTTACACTAATAGCTTTTCTGAATCTTGCTTTGATAGTCTACTTGTCAAAACTTATTTTACCGTTTTTTTTTGTTTTTTTTTACATATTGCAGTACTATCTACTCTTTTTTCCTAAATCATACTTCTACTCAAAATTTAGAATACTTTTTAATAATTGCACAAGATTTGACAAGTTCATTCTGGGTATTGTTTTATTTGATCACCTTAAACTCCAATGTCTTATATACTAATTTAAAATCAAAAATAAACACTACCCATCACACTTATTCATCAGATTCGATTTTAATTCTTTACATAGTATAAATATTGTAAAAAGCCTGCTTCAAAGTGATAAATTTATAAACAATTTCATATTGAGTGATTATTCTCCAATTCTCCACAATTTAAGTATAACTCCACTTCCTAAACCAAAAAAAAAACCGTCCCTTCTGCAGAGCCAAGTTTTGAAACTATTCCCTGATATTCTAAATTCCTCTCTAAACCTAAATTCTCAAATGAAAAAATAAAAGACCTAAATACGTTATTTCAAATCATATCCGTCCCCTCTTAAAAGCCAAACGTCACGTCAGACGTCAGACTACATTGGCATCAGTCCGGTAATAATGTTTTGGTCCTTAGCTAGTTGATTCAATCTGTTGTAACAAATTTTGGCATGTTTTTTAATTTTAATTTTAACCATCATTTAACGCAACCCATTTTGAATACACCTTTATATTCTCATCCTGATTTAAACAACATACAACACGAACAGCAAGTAAGGCAAAATCTTCATATCCCCCTCCCTACTTATCCCTCTATTAAACCTTTCAAGCCTAAAATTCTATTAAATTCACTAATTTTGTGGTCCGCTTGACCAATTAATATATTACAATTAATTAAGGTTTATAGTTGAGATAAAAAAGTCAATGGCACGAGCGGGAGCGAACCCACGATCTTCGGCTTGATACGCCGCTGCTCTACCACTTGAGCTATCGTGACCTAAATCCACTCGGACACCAACCTCCCATCTCAAAAATAAAATTCTCCCTAAAATTCTATATTCACAACTCCCTAGTAAAAAAAATCCCCCAGACACGATCTTATAATTCTGGAACCTCACACAGAAACCTATAGTTTTTTGACTATCATTTACAATTCAGTCTTATGAATCTCTCACTTTCCCCTACTATAGAAATATTACATAATCACTTTCATACCACACAAACCTCCCTAGCCACATCTCTTACAGACCATCATCCCAGTGATGTCCAAAGTCCTTGAAAGATTCCTTTTAAAATGACTAATATCTATTCTAGATTTACATGTCATTCTTTCACACCAACTTGGTTTCCGTCTTCGACATTTCACGATTCAGCAATGTTTCAGGGTTGTTGACATTAATGTGCTTTAGAGAACAAAGAGTACTGTTCAGTTCCATCCCTATTCCCTAGACATGTCCCAAGCTTTTGACAAGATCTGGGACCTGGGGAGTTCTCGTCAAACTAATCAGTACCCACTCCTTATTAGTGACACTGATTCAGAGTGACATGAGGCAACAAGTTTTCCCAAGTCAGACGATCCAGGCCAATGACGCACAAGGGTTCTTGTCCCATCCTGCGTACAATTTATACTGCTGATCTGCCGATACATACTAACACCATGCTTACAACCTATGTAGACAATACTGCTAATTTATTCCCTAACTCCAATCCTACTCAAGCCACTGTAAGCATTGGCTAGCTTTTAAAATTTGAGAGATTTCTAGATGACTCAAAGCATTGAGGAATTTAAGATAGAGGAAAACTTAGGAGAATTTGATGACTGGCAGTTTTTCATCTTGGCTTTCTTAAATTGGAGAAAGAATGGTCAAAAGAAATTATCAATCTATTATTCTTACGAATCGTTTCCTTGTGATAAAGGCTGAACTATGTTATTTTTGTGTTTATTTTATTGTTAATATTTATAATCAGTAGAATGTTAATGGTATTAATTTTCAGGATATAATAGGAGATATTGTGAGAAAACATTTTTAAAAATAAATAAATATGAAAGAAGAAATTGTATCACCGTAAGTATCTATATTTATAAATTTATTGTTAAAAGTAAATAAAGACAAAATTATTTTTTAGAAATACAAGAACTCCTGTTTCAATATTGCAAGAAACCCTGTTGAAACAGCATATAACCCCTTGTTTCAATACGGTATTCAATGGTACAGGTAATGAAGGTACCTTTTTTAAAATAGAAGTTAGAGCTGGAGACAAAACAGGTCCGTTTTGTTAATTTATGAAATGTATAGAACATTAACATCGAATTATGTTATAGAATTTGGAGTAGGAAGATCAAAGAAAGAAGCCAAACATAATGCAGCAAAGAATATGTTACGTATTATGTCAGAGGAAGATAGTAAAATTGGGAAGCTCATATCATCAGAACCAGTGATGTAATTATCAAAACCCATTAGATTTTTTTTATAATTATTTGTGTTTATGAAATTATAACTTCATTTTTGTTTATTTATAAATCGTGAGATGCGGTCTGGTGTGATGTAGGTTTCAGAAAAACATTTTCTTTATCGTGCCAATGTTTCGATCTTTATTGAGATCCTCTTCAGGGCCTGGGATTTACAAACATTGTTTACATATAACAATTACATTTTGGATGTGGAAAAGTGAATTTATACAATGCAAAATATATTTTTTATATATTCAATCAAAGTATTTCTCCTCACTCAAAGTATTTTTCCTTTCACCTCAAAGAAGCCGACGCCTTATACAAATATGTCTTTTCTATACCGACATCCTTCCCCACCCCTTCAAAATCCAACGTATATAAACACAAAATAGCAAAATCTCACTGGCACTCTCGACACGACACGCAAGAATGGCACAATTACACAGAAGATAAACACTTTGAGTGAGTAGAAATACTTTGATTGAATATATAAAAAATATATTTTGCATTGTATAAATTCACTTTTCCACATCCAAAATGTAATTGTTATATGTAAACAATGTTTGTAAATTCCAGGCCCTGAAAATGATCTCAATAAAGATCGAAACGTTGGCACGATAAAGAAAATGTTTTCTGAAACCTACATCACACCAGACCGCATCTCACGATTTCTAAATAAATATCGATTAACGGTCACTAATCTGGACTTCATTTTTGTGTGTAAATTTCTAGAAATTTATCGTCAACCGATACCATCAGTGAAAATTCAGTCGGATTGTTATGCAATTTCTGCAACAAAAAGCAAATCGCTCCACCGGTTATTACACTCGAACGAGAAGAAGGGCCATCACATGCCAAAATGTTTGTTATGATCTGTAAAGTGTTGTCATTTACTAGTCATGGTATATATCCAAGTTTTTTTTGTTTATTATTATACGTGATACTTCTTTAATGAAATTATAAAAATCTCAGGTAAATCTTTCAAAAAAAAGATAGCGAAACAAAAGGCTGCACAAGCTATGTTGGCAATACTAAATAAAAACTTTGGAGATGATGATACATCAGAAGAAAATCAGACGAATGGTGAAGCTAAGGTAGCTCACTTCTTTTGTTTCATTTATCCCTTACTTTATAACAAGTATTTCCATAATTGGTCTAGATTATCTTTATAGTAAAATTATAATAGGGTCATTATTTTTAAAGTATGGAACAATTAATTCCCTTTGGATGGTTAGAAAGTGTACAATTTAAACTGTAGGTTTTAGCTTATCTGTTTGTTTAAAATTATTAGTACGCACTTATTATTATTATTAGTTATTCCTTTACCTTATGACAGGACATGTGCTCTTCAAATTGATGGCAAGAGTATTCCATACTCAAAAAGGTGGCCTAAAAAGCAATTTGGTGGCTTTTTTATATTTTATTTTAGAGGAATGGTAGTGAAAATTTTTATGGACTATAATTTTTTCTACTTTTGCATTACTCTGTAAGATTTCTCTAAGTCAATCATATTTTCAATAGAAATAAAGCCATTATCATTGAAAAGAAGTTAAACAAAAATTCTACAACGATGGCAATTATTGTTACGTGTTTAATTCCATGGATAGATTAAAAATAAAATTGTCATTAAATTACCTGATCCTTCATATTTCATAGTATGATTATTATCTATGTTGTTCAGGAAATTTAGTCTCATTTCTTCTTCTATACAAATTTTATCACAATTTCCCTAATGGCATGGTAAAAAAATTAACAAAGACTGCATAAAAATCCAATCAATCCAGTGAACCACCATCTTCCACAGTGATTAATTAATACAGATTAAAAATTTAATAATTGAATATAATAGTAAGTACAGGGACACAGTGTGGTGGGCGAGAGGTTAGGCATCTGATTTATGCCATGCTAGCCGTTTTAGGTTGAAATCCCTGCATGGAATTATTAATAAAATACTAATTAAGTTATAACTATCAGAATATCCAAGCAAACCACAACACTACAATCGTTTTTATAGTGTGAACCACTCAGAAATTAGATTTAATGTAACAAATAACAGAATATAGTTGTAGAGAAATGTCTTAGTGGTTTTGAAGAAGTTTTTTTTTTTTAATTTTGTGTGTAAAAATAATGAACGAAGGTAAACATCTTCCAAACAGATTATAAATTGAAATATGAAACTTTGCATTTATTTTTGAGAAATTTGAACTCGAAAATAAAAATTGACCTAATGATTGATGGTGTATTTTATAGGGAAAAGAAGACCAAGATGTTGATACGAGTAAAGGAAAGTGTCAGGAAGAAGAGACGACATGCAACAAGATTCCAAAACTTGAAGTAGTTAATGTTGAAAATCAAAAGTTTATGGTGAATGAATTGAGACAGTTATGTTTTTGCAGGGAAAAGAAGTGGACAGTTTAGATACATCAAAAACCCCAATCTGTGAAAAAAGAAAATTTCAAGAAGAGACGACATGTATCAAGAAAGCAAAGCTCTATGTACTTAAAGATAAAAATTAGAAGATTATGGTGAATGAATTAAGACAATGGTGTATTTTTGCAGGAAAATGTCGAGGACAGTTTAAATACAACAAAAAGCCAAAGCCTTGAAAATGGCAAATTACAAGAAGAGACAATATGCAAGAAAGAAAAACTTGACATACCTAATGATGAGATGAATGAATTTTTACAGTATGTGGAAAATGAATTAAAGCTGTTGGATTCAGAAGAAAAGCGAAACATGGCAAAAGAAATGATTAAGAAAATATTCAATTCGTTAAATGAAAAGGAAAACGGAGATTCAAGCGAGTTGACTATTGAAGAAAAGGTCTGAAAAGAGATGGATGTCTAATTGAAGTGTTTTTTTAATTATTATTGTTTTAATCCTGCTAATCTGAGAAACAGGTTGTCACAGCATTTTCGGAGAAAAGTAAATTCAATTTGAGATATTTTATTTATTTTTCACTCATGCTTTTTTAAAAAGCATAGTTTATGTATAACTTTGTATTCAATCAAGCAATTACACTTGAATGTTGTGATTGAATTAGCTTTTTTCTTTATTAATTAATGTAATTTTTAAGTACCTGAAAATTGTTTTTATTATAACTAGATTCTTTTATAACTAGAATGATCAGCGTGATAGAATATAAAGTTCATAAGGCCATTAAAAAATATGTTTGTTTTTGTTTTAAACCAGATTCCAAATGTAAAATATAAAATGAACATTGTAACAAGGTAAATATGAACCTTGGCAGCCAAAGACAAAAATATTGCCATTTATATTTCTGGTTTTCGTCATGCTGATTTAAATTATGTCTAAGTCATTAACAGACATCCTGTTCGACCTATACTTGGTTTTGTTTCAGGTGCATTTCATTAATGCTCAATTTTTATTTTGATAAATTTCTTTCATGGTGTTTTCTACTGAAAAGGCCTTTTTAAAAAGTAATTTTAGATTTGAATTCAGGGCTGTTGAGGTTTGAATCTGAGGCCTTCCATCATCGTGTAAATGCATTAACGATTGACTCCCCCCCCCCTATTTTTAGTGTTGGGTCTGGATCAACAAATTGGTGACAAAAGTATTTGATGATTGCCAAATAGTTCTTTTTTTGTTTTTGTTTGTCTTTCCACGATTTGTGAAAAATCCAAAACTAGAATAGGCTGGGATGATTGGAGATGATCAAGCTCTAAGTCTAGACCAGCATATCTAAACACATTATTGTATACATTGCCCCTTTATGCGAATCATGGATTTTCTATTTTCACATTTTAATTTCCTTTCATAAATTTCAGTTTGCTGCAGTAAATAAAGTTGTGATTAAGTTATTAAAAGAGAAAAACATTGAGCTGTGGAAATGCCGGAAAGCGATTGTTCAAGTGCCAATTGCAGACCATTATAAGATTTTGTGCAGTGAACCGTTTGCTAATAAATCACAAACTTTGACTTCCCTGAAGGTCAAAATAATATTTGTTGATGTTGCCTTTGTTTAGTAATGGACTTCCTAAGTTGTGCTAATCTACTTCCAGAATAGGTATAAAGCTGAAGAAATCGCCCTTTTAGACAATCTACAAGAGACATTCAAAACAATAATGGAGGATTATTGTTGGACCTATTCATTTAAAAACTTAGTACCAGAAAACGATAGTTCTCAACAAGATGACCAAAAAAGAGGTATTGACACATTAAAAAGATTGTCGTGCATTATTGAATCATCATTTATGTACAATTTGTAGAAATATTCATTTCTCTTGATGTTAAATCAGTGCCACCGTGGAGTTTTGTAGAAAACGGCAATACAGAAGATGAAGTGAAAAAGAAATTAATTGCCACTGCCATGAACTTTTTATACGAAATGACTTCCAAAAATCATGGGGCAATCTTTCAGGATCTTTAATTCATATGCTATTTGACTGATAATAAATCTCATTAATTTAAAATTTGTATAAAATGTACAGTTTTGTAAATATATAAATACTTGAAATTTAGGTCGCAAAATCATTGAATTTGTCTGAATTATTATTAACATCGTCCTTTATCAACTACTCTTGTTATAGAAGTAGATGAATGAAATGGGATAGATTTTTATTACATAACTTTCTTATTATAATTTATTATAAATGATTTTAATTTTTTTTTTGAAAAACAAAAGTTATAAAGTTAATATAAAAAATTACATATGAAAATTGAAAATGTTCAATTATTTATTCATAAGAAAGAAGAAATTTATAAGTATCCTTTCTTTTAAAACTAAATTAAGAATTTATTTTATTTTAAATTTCCAATACATAAAAGATAAAATTAAATTGGCCAAATGACAATTCTGTTTGTATAGAAAACGTTGAGAATCTTAAAATATAGATACTGACTAGGGACATTTTCTGTCGATTTGACCTTTACCCGATTCATCGTATTCCTGACTGCTGATCCACATTTGTTGGAATGTACCGATAGACGCCAAAATCGAACCACCTATCCAGGCACCGAATCTCCTTTCTGAACAACCGTTGGCTGATATCAGTTTCAACCTCATGCTCGCTGGTATCCTCATGGACAAGTCTCGGTTTAATCGTTCAGTGAATCCCTTAAAGGAAATATAAATTTTCACGTCATTTATTAACAATACTGTGTAAGCATTTCAGTTTATATACCTGGATGAAAGAATTGCCCCCAGTGATAACTACGCTGCCGTAAAGTGCAGGCCTTACATCGACGTCGCACATTCCAACACTTGTTGTTACAATGTGCCCAACGCCAAGCATTGTATTTCCAACTAATCCTCCTCTCGTTTGAACCACACTGGGATCAAACAGTGCCTCAGGTATCCTAAATCTTTCACTGCCAAAATCCTGAAAAAGAACGTCATGTTTAACTATGTGAAATTTAAAAATTATTAAAATTAAAGTTCACCTGATGATAACCATGAGGAAATTCATAATGTGCAGATGGAATTGAAGATACAGTTTTTTCATCGTAAGGTGTTTCGGAGACTTGTAAAACAGTGTTCTGGAAATCCTGAATGACTTTCTTAACCATATAAGCATGCCAAGATTGAGTCACCTCTGGAAGATTGCGTTTTTTTGTATATTTTCCTTTTTCTCGCTCTTTCACTGGCTCTTTGCTGCCAATCATGTAGGTGGGAACAATTTCGATATCATTCTCCTAGAAAATTATAGTTCAAATTAATTTGTGTAAAAACTAAGGCCTCTCGTGATGAGACCCAATGAGTGTCCCTATGACGGTTCAATAATAATTATGGTTATTTGGAGATTGTGAGATGCGGTCTTGTGTGATGTAGGTTTAGAAAAACATTTTCTTTATTGTGCCAAAATGTTGGTCCTTATTTAGGGCTTGAGATTTACAAATATTGTTTGGATTATACAAATACGTGTAAGATGTGAAAATGAATTTATTCAATGAAGTAAGCAATATAAATTTTTTAGATTTATTCAAAATATTTGTACTCACTCAAAGTGTTTTCTGTGTAGATGTATTTCACTAATGCTTTCAACAGAGACACATCTACACAGAAAAGACATACTTTGAGTGAGTACAAATATTTTGATTAAATGTGTGTTTCTTAGTAACCGGTTGTTTCTTAATTTGTTGAAGTCATGAGGAGCGGTGAAGAATGAGGTAGTATAGAAAAATCTTTTTTATTTTTTTGCCGATGTTTCGATCTTTATTCGAGTCATCTTCAGGGCATAAAATGTGGTGCTATTCTTGTGTTGTCATATTGGTTTTGTGTGAAAGTGTTGATGACGAAAAGCCAATATGATGCCAAAAGAATAGCACCACACTTTATGCCCTGAAGATGACCTGAATAAAGGTCGAAATGACGGCAAAAAAATAAAAAATATGTTTTTCCAAACTACCTCATTCTTGACCGCTCCTCACGATTTCAACAAATTACTTTGATTAAACCTAAAATTTCTATATTGCGTACATCATTGTATAAATTCATTTTCACATCTTACATGTGTATGCTGGGCACGACCACCTTGCTATGACCGAACGAACTCTCTCTATTCGCTTGCTTTCTTTTAAGCGATAAGAGAATAGTTGGCGTAAGTGCTTCGCTGCTTATTCTTGTGTAGGGGAAGGTGGAGTTCAAAAATTTAAGAAATCAGAGTATATTCTCAAACATTTATTTTAACAAAATTAAGCATTTTATATATGCACAACCACAGCAAAATCTTAACTTATCCACCAAGTCAGCCACAACTCTAAATCTGGGATGAGCTTAGTTGCAAAAGGACTTGCCCCAAACGATGCTCGCCAATATCAGCTTACATATCATCCCTATGTCCTCCAGGATCTTCTTCCAGCAGCTTCCCAGGTCCTCGGCAGTCGACTCTATTCGACTTGCCGCAATGGCTAGTCCTTCCTGGCTCTTGCTGGCTGAGTCCACTCACTGAGTCCCAGAAAGAGTGTGGCTGCATTCTGCCCTCGGTGCTGGCTGACTGGTCCCTTCTTTAGACTATTCGAGCCTCTGAACTAGACAATTCTAGCCCTTGAACTGGACTGACTTTTGATTTCCAAATCATCCCTTTTTATACCAGTTTCTCTGCTGAAGTAGGGTGGAAAGGAAAATCAAAAGTCGGGGAGACTGGTGTCTCGCACCTGATTGACACTACCCCGATTTACGAGGTCCCACGTCACTAGTGACAACCTTTCAGCACTAAGTAACTCGACGTTAGTTACTTATTTGATCGGTTCTCCAACTATTGCAACTTTGTTTCCCAGGTTCATGGGAAATCTCCTGGTACCCCCCATCAGGGTCTGCGACACCCTTCAGATTTACAACCCTTTTTGTGTGGTCCTTTAAACTATTTATTTTTTTCTTATTTTTACAATTACAACTTATTCTAAGACGGGGATATTTGTACAATCCAAACAATGTTTGTAAATCCCAGGCCCTGAAGATGATCTACAAGATCGAAACATTGGCACAATAAGGAAAATGCTTTTCTATCTCATGATCTCCAAATAATCATTAATTAACAGTCACTAAATACCACACATTCATAATTGTCAGCAGTCGACACAATTTAATAAAATTTGATTTCTTAATACCTGCAAGAGCTGTTTGCACTGCATTGTGATGTAGTCTCCTCCCAATGGGCTTTTGACGATGGCCTGGCTAAGGACGAAGCCGTCTTGAACAGGCACCGCTGAAGTGTGAGTCGCACCGCTGTCGACGACCAAGCCGGTGGCCCTGCCGTTGGCAAAAGCGGCCAAGACGGCGTTTTTGACAAGAAAGAAAGCCGGGACGTTGTATTTCTCGAACATGAGCTCCGTCAGCTTCTCCCTTTTCTGACGTACGTTCCAAGGAGCTTCGGACATGAGGACTGGGTGGAATTCAGAGTCGGACTGGATGCACTTTGCGTACGTGTAGTCGAGCACTTTTTCGAACAGGTCCCAATCTTCGATCATACCGTCTTTCATGTAGCTGTGCACTTCCATACCCTTCCTCGCCACGTTCAATATAGTCGTGTCTATGAAGTATTTGTTCGAAGTGGTCGAAGATATATTGGACGAATCCGGCTTCCTGTCAGTGTCCATGGCCTCCGTCTTTAAGGTCTGGTTCTGGTTGCCGTCTTCGATGACCCCGACCGCAGCCGGTATTTCCGCCTTCGGAGCGTCCTCCTGCGCGTAGCCGACTCGGAAAGAATGGTGGCCCACGTCGAAAACCAACGCCCCGATCTCATCTCCCCCATACAGCATACCGCTACCGCTCATCTTTTTCACTTATTTATAATTAAGAATTAAAGGAAAATTCAATTAAAACACTAATGTATAAATCGGACAGGTTTTGTTTTTGAAACCTCTCCTTTGTCGGCTTCCAATTTCTCTTTCAATCACAACTAACAAGCAGCACCTCCAAGTGTTAGCACTTTCAAAATTAAAATATTAAAAACACAATGTTCTCAATGTTTTAGTTTTACTCTTAAACAGTAAAATATATTATTATATTCTAAAAAAACACATATTAAAAAAACTCAAAACTTATTTTATCAAAGCAAATGCTCATTGTACATTACTTTTATTAACTTTTATCAAAGAAAGGTTTTTGCTTCCAATCGGTTTTCATTTTTTTCCCTTCTAAGAGTATCAGCGTTAAAACAAACCTCACAAAAACGGCTTTTCCACGTACAAATTTGACAGTAAAATTACTTATTGTAATAAAACAGAAAGATTGATTTCGTGTGTCTGCAACAAAGTTTGTTTTTCTAGGGTTCACGCGATGGTTTTATCATCCGTGGAGCGTATTTGTCTTGGGAAGATGACTTTGTCAGTCCTAGTTGCACTGTTCCTGGTCTTTCTCGACGTTTACAGATGCGATGAAGGAGTCTGCAAGATTGATAAGAAGGACGATTGTAGTGATGGCATTTCTCGAGTTAATTTTAGGTATTGACTTTTATCAGATCAAAATGTATATTTTTCATCTAGTAGTTATCACATGTCCCTTGTATACCTTCATAAGTTGTGAGGTGAAGGCAGATGAAGTATCGACCACACGACCACGAAAAAAGCAAATTCAGTTGTTACTGCCAAGCTTTTGACCTATTTTAAGTTCATCATCAGGGCAATACAATCTTAATATGTCTATATATTGATCGTTAATCTGAAGCCTAAATAGTCCAAGAGTCCTTAGGAATGTTAGAACAAGTAGGTCTTCAAAGAAATTTCAAATCACTTCGTAAAACTTAAATCTATAAAACATTCCATGACTGAGTGAAAGGCAACAAACAAACCAAACCGCTGGCTCAAAAGGGCTTAAATTTTGATATTGCATTCCTATGACATGGATAGCCACTAAGAAAGGATTTTTCGAAATTTCATCTGTAAGGAGATCATATGGACAATTTTTTACCATGTATCTTCATTGGTTCTGGTCGATGTATGTTGTAAGTTTGACCTGAGGTCATAACTCAGCAACTAGGACATTTCAGCCCTAGAAGTTGAGAGTTGTTTTGCAGTTGATATGATTTGACTTTATTATTCTATATTTTGTTGTTATCTTTCCACTGTGGAGAAGAAACAGTAATGAGATATTTTTCTAGCCTAAAAATCATGTTTTACTTGGGTTTTATGCTAAAGATCTCGTTATTTTCGGGTTTTTAGTTGTAACAACCGTTATTAGCATACTGTTTTATCTGTCAAGATTTAGTTGTATTATCAGCCTAGATTAGATTATATAGGAGCTGGACTCTTTACCTGCACATCAGTATTGTTCTGTTGTGATCTTCATTTTTTTTTTTTTTTAATCTACAGCTCCTCATTAAGCTTAAAGCTTTTTAACCAGACCCCAAAGCTTTTTTTAAAGAGCTCCCATATGTATCCTTCATGCCTTGGCTTTTCCTTAGAGGCTTCCCAGGAGTAGAAATCAGCCTACATAGGACATGTTCCGCTGTGTCTTCGTCTCCTTCACCATATCTGCACTCTGAGTCTACAGTGTCCACTCAGCAGTCCAATTATTATTCTAGTCCTAGCACGTCCTTGATTTAGAGTTCTGCTGTTAGCTTTTGCGATTATTCTTTGATAAACTTTTTTGCATGCCTCTGTCCTGGGCCGCATTCCCATTGAACAGAGGACTTATTAATGCATTGTCTAAGGGATCTGTGTTTTTGGCAGTTTGATATGCACAAAAGAGTTAAGGGCCAGTAGGCGTCCTCATCAAACTTTCCTTAGCCAATTTGTCAGCCTCTTTGTTGCCCCTCTGCTCTGGTATCCAGACAAAGATAATTTTGTTATTTTCTTCAATGTCTGACAGGGCTCTGATGTAGTCCCAAATGACTCTGAGCTTCACCGTCGATGTGGTAAGTGCCTTCAGCATCACCTGGCTGTCCAAGTAGATGGCTATTCTTCTATTGACAATACCTAGCACAGTGTGCAATAGCCACAGTTTCCACTTGAAAGACATTGGCATATTGTAAAAAGCTTATAACAATTCTAGTCCTTGGTTTATTTACATAAATGCCAGCTCCTAACCTATTTTTGGTTTTGAAGTCATTTGTAAACCAGATCTGATCGTCATTAACATTGATACCTTTCTCCCAATCCATTTTGATTAGAAATTTTTTTGTCAAAACTGAATTTAGGGGTTATGGCATCAACAGGCACCCCAGAGTTATCCGCCTAAAAAGTATTTTTCATTTATGATCACCAGTTCATGTGACCCTCAAAGATCCCCTCCCTCAGTATTTAAATATAAAAGGTGGACAGCATAAATGGAATGGCAAACCTGAAGAATAGTATTAATTCCTGTTATACAGGAAGGCCCAACTACCCAATGCCTGTCATGGACGAGGTCAAACTGGTTTACAATACTTACTGTACACAATTTTCAGTTAAAATTGTGCAAGGATTCGAACTTAGGATGGCCAGCGAGGCAAATAAGTTTGATGCCTTAACCACTCAGCCTCCCTGGCCCCTAATTAGAATTAAGGCTCCTCTTCTAATATTTCAAATGATACTGAGAAGATCACCGAAACAATGATGAGAATCTTGCCCAAAGCATGTGACTTGATGCCTCGCAAAAGGAAACGATCATCCATTGGGTGACAGATTAAATGATAGCTGATCTTAGAATACAACTGCAGCTCAGTTACAAGGGGTAAGAGAAGAAACATCGAGGTGAGCATGACGAAAACATTTAAAGATGAAATCTGTATAGCACAAGATAGAGTAGAATGACCTATATGACATAGATGGTTACCCATAGGGCTTTGTATTCAAGATAGTCATGTGGAAGTTAGGATTACAAAAAAAAAGTTCAATTTTGAAAGCAGAATGACAGTACATACTAATTTGAAAGGCTGAAATGCACCTGAACCAACAAAAATCAGAGTGGATAAGCAGACCAAGATGATAGGTAACTATCAAACAATAGTACACACTTGATCTATTGGTAGCAGAAAGACCTGTAGAACAAAAAAGCTTCAGCAGTTAATGACATACCCACAGAAGTGACACAATTTGCTCTGATTTGTTGCTTAAGATGTATGATAATGCACTGGAATGCCATCAGCTTATAGACCTCTGTACATATTTAGTACCGCAGGAAAATTATTAAAGACGAGGATAACAATCGTGTCGAGAGCAGCTAAGTGCTCGGGCAGTAAAAGAGGATGTTGAAATAGTAGTGACCAACCCAGGGCATTTATTGCTCAAGAAAATTATCAATATTGTTAGCATTGGATGTAAAAAATCTCTTTAATATTGCCAGCGGTAATGAAATACTAGACGTTCTAGAAGCAATTTTCTGAGTGCCAACTTACTTTCTGTGATTATTATGAAGTTAACTCATAAAAAAAAAGCTTTCTTACGACACTGCTGAGGAACCGCACTGGAAGGTGTTCACAGCAAGAGCCATTCAAGGCTTAATTAGAACCCAACTGCTTATGATGTGTTGGAGATGCCTCGTTGGTTAGGACCCAGACAAAATTGTGTCAGTGATTTGGGCATGTAGAGGATGCACAGAGAAGGCCCAACCAAGTTATGTGACCATGTGGATATAATACCATGGGCCAAGCTTGGCCACAACAAAAATGGAGATAGTTCATCTGTCTAGGAAATAATCCTGATACACAAGTCCACACCACCAATTACAAAAGGACTTGTGGCAAACCTGGGGTGAGGCTGGATACTAAGATAACGTACTGGGGGGATATGTTAAAGTTGAGGACTCTAAAGCCAGCAAAAGAAGATTCCTTATATCAGCCATACACTCAATTCTACTGTAAGGTTGCGAAGTATGGGCTGGAACATTTCAAAAGAATAAGTACAGAAAGTGTCCAGAGAAGAGTAGCTCTCCCAATAGCCAACTCATGTCGCTCAGTATCCAGAAGTGCTCATGATGCCACAAAAAAATTAATTTCAAATTCTACATTTTACATTCTACTATTTAGCCCAATGTGTTCATTGAGATCATCATCCAGGGATGACAAAACCGAATATTTTAGGTCTTGGCCTTGTTTAAATTTTTTCTCTAAACCTCTCTGTTTCTAACTTCTGCCATCGAGTTACAAATCTGGAGGATATTTCTCATACTAGACTTTAATTTAGACAAATAAATTTTAAATTAAATTGTAGATATGTGCTATACAACGTCAATCCATCCGAAGGGTTCAACTTGAGGCGGGATGTCTATATGAGGCTGGCAATTTTTTTGAAAAATCTTAACCAAAACTCCAAGGACTATTGGTATTTGGTAAGTAATGATGAAATAAAATAAAACAATTTTGGGCAAGGAGGGTTTTTAGGTTTTGCCGCCATGGAATCATTTGTATCACTGGCGTTCCAAAATGATAGGCGAGCAAAATTTTCTCCCTTGGAGCCAGTTCTTCGACCTAGACAGCATGCGAAGATTTGTACCAGTTATAGAAACCAAAGAGTTCATGGATGGTTTGTGACAACTATAATAAAATTAATATAATTTTACAATACTGATAATTTTTTTCTGCTTTTAAGACGTGCTAGAAGGGGATGCACTTGATAGCGTTTATTACCTTCAGCATTTCAAGGATGCATTTTCAAAAAATTGGACTTGGGAAGACAAATGGACATTTGAAGAATGCCGAGAACCACACTCCTGGGAATATAAGTTTGTTAAACAATTTCAAAATTTAATAATACTAACGCAATAATTAAAAACTTTTTTTTTTTTTTTTTTTTTTAAAGAGAAACAGAAGGCGTGAGTGTTGGAACATTGTGGGGTTACAAAAATCTTAAAGCAAAAGAAGTTAAATGTATATCTTTTCAAGGTGGTGCAAGCTTATTAAAAGAAATTCTTGCAGTTTCCAAGTCTAGGTAAGTTTTGTGTTTATGAAATCAATGTCTTGACAATAATGCTAATCGTATAATATTTTTGCAAGATACTCGGTATTTCAGCGTAGTGAAATTATGCTTCATGATAATTTCGGCGATAAGACATACTGGCAATGTAGGATGAGTATGAAATTTGCTCGCCCTCTTGTTGATGAAGCTGCAGCATTCATGAAATTAAATTTTCAAATGGATGATTTATTTGATGTTGTTAAATTAAGAAACCATGGCAGAAATGTGAGTAGTTGACGTTCAAATACAAATTTTGATATAATTTCGACTGGTTTCCAGCAAGATAGAACTAAAATTAATGCCGGGTCTTACTTGTGTGTGCATTTGAGAAGAAGGGATTTCCTCCATGGAAGATCTGCTGAGGTGCCATCATTGGAATATGCTGCAGAACAAATTCAAGACAAATTGCAAGAACAGAACCTTACAGTGGTTTTCGTTAGCACAGATGCTCCTGATGATGGTAAGCAAAATAATCGCTGTAATGTAATTTAGGTTTCAGCAAGCTAGTTATAGTCACTAATATTAGAATTCAAGTTAGTAGATACAAGCAAAGTTCATTACAGTTACTTTTTTTTTTTTTGTATAGTTTGTTTAAAAATATGATTTACTTAATGTAAATTTTAATTCTTTTTATTATTTAGAGGTACTGATATTAAAACAATTGTTAAAATCAGTCACTGTTATTCAATACAAGGCAGATGACAAGAAACAAAAAAGGTTCAAAGATGGTGGAATTGCCATAATAGACCAAATAATATGCAGTTATGCTAAGTAAAAATTTTATTTCATCGAAATATAAAATATTTTCTCTTGGTTTATATACATGTGTTTTGGTTTTTTAAGGTATTTCATCGGCACCCATGAATCCACGTTTTCATTCCGCATACAAGAGGAAAGAGAAATACTCGGCTTTCCACCTGAGATGACGTTTAATAGGCTTTGTGGTGCTGATAAAACTTGTACAGCCCCGTCGAAGTGGACCATAGAACTTTGAGTGTTGGTGAACCCAGTCATTGCAAATTGTTGATGAAAAAATGACATTCCGACATAGTAAATTATCATTGACGGAAGCTTTTTATGTTTATATTTTTGTAGGTGATAATTAAAAAAAAAATGTTTTGACTTTGTGGCTAAAAAAAAAAACTATCAGATAATCTTCTATTGTTTATTTATTTTTAAAATTATTAAAGGCCTTATGAACTGTGAAGCTAAGGAATGTGGTTGTATATAGTGGTGTAAACTTTTTTTTTCCTACAAGCTGAGAGTATGATTGACCACTCATCTACCACAGTCCTAATATGCCATATAATTTCTATTAAAAATATCAAAATATGCAGTATGAATGTCAGAGACTTGGTGACCGTGGTTGCTATATCTATTATAATATGTAAATATAGTTTATTTATTATTAATGTTTGTCATTTTGGTTCTTGTTATTTTATCAATTTTGTTTATCTGCTACTTAAATTGCCTGTATTTATCGTAAATGTACAGGCAAAATAAATGAATGATTATAAAATAAGATAAATTTTATTTATTAGACCTGAAGGGTCATGGCTATTTATTCATTAATGAATAATTACGTAAAATATTTAAGACGAGTAACAACTTATAACTTAAAATATGTTTTGGCTTCGTGGCTAACACATCATGAATGTTTAAAAAATTGATCATAGATAATCTTCTATTGGTTTTTTATTTATTTATATATCTAATTTTGTTTATCTGCTAGTCCTACTTAAATTTTATTCTTTGTAAAATCTTTGATCCGTTTGTATATATAAATAAATAAGATGGGCCGACTAGGGATGATCAAATTACTATTAACCATAATATATACAAAATAGGTGATATTTCTCTAAATTAGTAGTTTATTGTTGTACCGCCGGAGTCGGGCCGTTAGTATGAACCAAACGGCGGGAATTAGTATCTTTTTCTTTATCTTATCAAATATCGGCTACGAAGTGGCAACTGCACTTTTCAGTTTGTGGAAGAAGAAATTAGTAGTTAGTAGTTACTTATCCTGAAGTTGTACTGATTACAGTCCAGTACGATCATTGTTCTTAAGGTAATGTTTGTTAATAAATTGATACTTAATTTTATTTTTTATTAATTCATTTAAAGGTACCCAATGTACACTCAGCAAAAAATCAGTGAACACTTTCAGTGGAATGGAAGCAAACCTTAAATTAATGTTGGGTGATTAACAATACAATATCCTACAAATATGATTTTTTTGTGTGCTAACTATGAACTCCAACTTCAACAACACCTATATAACATATAATTATTCATGTACTCAGTAAGAAATTAAATAACTACATACAAACAGTTACATACACTTAGTAAGAAAGTCGATTCCCATTACCTTTAATATTTACAAAAGTTTTATGGATATAAACGCATTATTTTTTAAATAAAAAAAGATACAGACAATTTATTTCGCATTCCCAAAATTCTAAAATTAAATTTTGGTAGCAACAAAAAATGTATAATGGTTTAAGAGCAATTTATAATGTGGTTAAGGGAGAACATGGCGTGGTAGGAGCTTGTTCAGGATTATCGAAATCAAAAACAAGACCCGTTGGGGTTGATTGAATAGAAAATGTTGTAGATATCCAATGATGAATTCTTGTCAAAGAGAAAAACGTGTTCTCTTTTTTGCAATCCCACGTGGTCCAATTAGTCCACAACTGTGCGCCTCCATTCTGCTAGCCATGGCGCCATGGGTGAAGGTAAACGAAGCCATGTGACCATCTGCAGGCATTCTTTGGGTTGATCCCCACTTTAGAAGACGCAGCAGATACAAAATGTTATAAATACTTCCATTACACAGCAACCAAAAGCAGGCATTCTTCGTGTTGATCCCCACTTTAGAAGACCCGGCAGATACAAAATGTTATAAATTCTTCCATTACACAGCGACCATCTGCAGGCATTCTTTGGGTTGATTCCCACTTTAGATAGTAGCAGATACAAAATATAAAATATTGGGTGCAAAGAAAGTCTCTGCTCACTCTTGGATATTGGACAGAGAAATACATAGTTTACATTAAGGTGTGTACTTGTGTAAAAAATGAAAAATGTACACAATCGTTCAGTAACCAATATTACATTGCCAACATAACAAGAATGGAAGTGTGACATGAAATACACAAATTATTTGTGAAATTAAACTCTTTGCGAGCAATTAGTAAAATAGTTGATTATAGGCTGTCAATTATTAGATTCTAATTAAGAAATGTGAAGAATAAGTGTTTATAAGGCCAGTTAGAAAAACATAATCACATACGTAAACGTTTTATTCTAGGCTCATAAGAAACCAACTGTTTCAATAGAACAACTCAAAATACTGCACATAACGTACAAGAATGGCCCCCACGGACTTTACACACCCCTACAGTCTCCAGACCTAAATAATAACAACAAGCACTGATTTCACCCACGTTCGATGAGAGTGACTGGCGACAACTAACAACTCCTGCACAAGCTCATATCTATTGTAAGAAAATGGAGAAAATACACAATTTGAAAATGAGAAAGTGTATTGATGCAACAAAAATCAAAATAAGGTATGAGGTCTGGTCACAATGAAGTAAGAATGACTCGATTCTCATTTCTTCCAGTTCGCGTGTTTTTCTTGCAGCTGCTGTCATCCTGCTGATCTGCTGAACCAACAGCTAAGCCAGCACGATAGTGATGACACTTAATTCCAACAAATATTTACACTGGTTCTACTTTTTAAATTATCAACTTGTTTTGATCTTGAACAGTAAAAGAACCAAACTAAAGAATTCATCTAGTATAGTACATTCCAACACAAAGTGAAGACTCTCTCCGGACTTCGTGAGTTACATAATGAGCACAACCCATTCTCTCCTTGTGACCAAATGGTTGAATTTAAATGCATTGTCTCGCACCTAATTGTCAATAACTACTGAAGATCTGATAAAAATAAACCACTAAAGTTGTCACCTGAAAAGTAAATAACCCAGTGTGTACATTTTTATACAAATATAGGTGTGCAGAGGTTTGAAAACGGTGTAAGAACTTGGAGAATTTTGGTTGTATTTTTGTGTATGTTTTGAGCTGCCCATACCAGCCTAAAAAATTTTCCATTGTAAAAATACATGGCTTTTTATATTATAAACAGGAAATACTGGTGGACATATTTTTACCAGTCTCGAGCTGTGGGACATAAGAAATGTAAAGATGAACAAGAAGTGGACATTACATTTTATCTCAATAATTTATTGTTCCATCCCTAGATTTTATTACTGCTAATAAACAGGTTTTCATTGATAGAATTAATTGTTTTGACACATCCAGGTATGTATTAGACCATTCCTGTAAAATCTCTTCTTTTAGTTGGTTTTTGTTTTTTATCTTCTTTTTTTAAGCTACCTTCTAATATTATCCCACAATTGCTTGATAGGGTTTAAATCGGGCGATTGGGGTGGTGTCCAGATTTAAGAAATGGCGAACCATTCTTGAGTTTAAATTCTTAAAATTAAATTAAGAATGGCAAACCATTCTTGAGTTTGCCAAGCCATGTGTTTTACGGTTGTTGTTGGAAACCAAATCCTTTCTTTTCCAATTTTAATAGTCCTTTTTTTTAAATTCTGTTTTAGAACATCGTTGTAGACATATTGGTCCATGATCCCATCAGTTATGTGTACATTGCGAACTCATGTGAAATCGCCCATTCAGTCCCAAACAACGACCCCCGTTTGACTGACGATAGTGTTCTATTTAATTTAGTGTTCTGCTGGCTTAAGCCACACTTTCTTTCTTCCATTGGACCCTGAGGAATTAAATTTCTTCTTAAATAAGTCATGCTCATGTTTTGGGCAAACCAGTCAGAGACTTGTTTTGCTAAGTTTACATGGACCTAGACTGTTTTTAGATGTATACTTAACTATTACATGTAATACACATAAAATATAATTTTGACTTAAATTAAGGCCTAAGTAAATAAAAAATCCTTTAACCGCTGGCACTTGAGAACAACAATATTTAGATTGTTAATTTCTTTCTATAACTTTGAATATAAAACTGAAGTAATTTAGAAATAGTTGGTATGATTGATGTTGTGTAATTGTTTTATATCTGTGTTGTTTGAAAAATAAATTAAAAAGTTTTTTATTACTAATAATAGAGTTACAGAATTACAAAAAAAGTTATTAATACTACATTAATTTATGTTTCAAGGTCTATTCAGAATGGATGACATCTTTGAAGAGTTTAGGGAGCAGGATGATTTGAGAGATATAGAGGAAATACAAGATATTGAAGCCGAAGAAGCTATAGAAGTGCCAGCCAATGATGATGCCGATGGGGCAAATGTTGAGGAAGAAGAGTCAAAAAGAGTCCAGCCTAAAGTGAGAAAAGTAAGCAGGCCAAGGCAGAAATTGGATGCGCCAAGGTTGACTGGCCCTCGAGGATTAGGAGCGATCATGTCGGCATTTGAAAACATCAAGTTCAAGGGTAAAGGTTACGAGCTTGACGATTTGACCAACGTTCTTACCAGGCTGCAACATTGGGCCCATAGGCTGTACCCTAATTTCAGTTTTGAAGACTGCATCGACAAGATAGAAGAGCTGGGCTCTAAAAAGCCGGTGTTTAGAGCAATGGAATCGTTAAGATTGGGAGCTGCCGATGGGTCGGTGGTGCATCACGAAGATGAAGAAGAGCCCGCTTCTGAATCCATTGTCGAAGATCCTTTTGATAAACTGCTCCCGACAAAAATTCCTCCACAGCCAACAACACTAACAGAAGAACAAAAGGCAAGGATGCTTAAAAACAGGCTGTTAGCAGAAGAGAGAAGAATGGCTAGGATAAAGGCAGCAAATGAAAAACCGTTAACAGAGACATAAAAAAAATTCTTCTCCCTTTTTTTAAAAAAAATAAAATAAAAATAAATAAATAATGCCCTTCAGCAATAAGCCATCGTATATTAATTATTTATATATTATGTATCTTATTAATAATTAATTTTGTACACAGAAACTGCTTCTCATGACATTTTTTTAATTGTTTTTATAATAAAATTTGTAAATATTCTTAAAAAATCTAATATTTTGGCTCTGCATTCATTTTTCCTTTAATAACATAACAAATGTGAAAATATTATTTAAGTTTTATGCTCTAGACTAGAAAAATTTTTCTTCAGTATAATTTATTCTTACCCATAGACATGCACAGCAAATGTGTTAACAAAATGAACTGTAAATCAGTGTAGGAATAAACATGTAAAACCTGTGTTACTTTTTATTTATTAGTTTTATTTAATTATTTACCAATAGAGTACATTAGAATATGAAATTAAAAATTAGAATCTCTCCAATAGTGTGTGGTGATTAGTGACCGTTAATCGATATTTATTTAGAAATCATGAGATGCGGTCTAGTGTGATGTAGGTTTTGGAAAAACATTTTCTTTATCGTGCCAATGTTTATTGAGATCATCTTCAGGGCCTGGGATTTACAAACTTGTTTACATATTCCAAAATGTAATTGTAATATGTAAACAATGTTTGTAAATCCCAGGACCTGAAGATGATCTCAATAAAGATCGAAACGTTGGCATGATAAAGAAAATGTTTTTCTGAAACCTACATCTCACGCGATTTCTGAATAAAAATCTCTCCAATAGTTTACACTTGTTACAAATTATTTGTTGGATTTGTCCACACGAATCTAGCAATTTATTAAAACAACTAATCACTAAAAAATCACACTTGTTATAAAATTATTCTATGTACTATTATACCATTTTATTTACATACGTAAATTAAAGTTGTACCTGGTTTACTGGACAAATCTTCAAGGATGACACAATGATGTTTTTTATTCTTAGAAAATAAGCTGAGATTCATTTTTATGATTTCATTATACAGCAATGACTAACTAAAAGTTAGATAATTCTTACATGGATAGTGAGAGAACTAGAGAGTGTGTATAAGGTTATGTGAGGGTGAGGGAGCGAGTGAAGAAGAAGGGACAAAAGAGAGAGAGACAGAAGAGATAATTATACATTTTTATATTGCAGTAACCAGTAACTCTTTTAGGGCTAGTATCATTGTTAATTACAAAACAAAATATAGCAAAATTAATCTGAAATCTGATAAAAAAGCAAGGCAAATGTTACACATTTAAATTGCAAAAACCATTAAATAAAGCTAAATATTAATCCGTATATGTACTTGGTAATCATAATTAACCATATTAATTAATTATACTTTTTTATCAAAGATCTTGGTTGAGATGAAAAAGCTAGTGTCACGAGCAGGATTCAAAGTGAGATTGGACTAGACAAAGGCCGTGGGTTCAAATCCCACTCTTAACACTAGCTTTTTCATCTCAACCAAGATTTTAGATAAAAAGTACATTTAATTAAACTAAAAATTAATGAATAAATATACATAGATAAGATTTATATAATCTAAAGAATTGTTATATAATTTATTATTATTGTTTGTATATTGATGTTTATATATATATATATATATATATATATATACAAACAAACACTGAGAGCTGAAGATGATCTCAATAAAGATTGAAACGTTGGCACAATAAAGAAAATGTTCTTCTAAACCTACGTCACACCAGACCACATTTCATAATCTCCAAATAATCAGTAATTAACAGTCACTAAATACCACACGTATATACAATAATATACAATTTACTTAATTCATTTTGTTGTTTTCAGCTTGGCTGAAAGATGACTTAATTAAAATTGGTAAAAATGAATAGCCATTTCTTTGTGCGTTTTTTTGTTTTTGGTTGCTAAGCAGGAATTAACCCATTTGGGCTGCTGGAGATTGGCCGATAGTCCGAAACATCCCACAAATAAAAACATTGAATTTTTTAATACCCTTTCATCTTAAATAATTGTGTAATAGCTTCTGCGTAGTTATTAAATTAAATAAAATTTAATTTAGATTGTTCTCCCCCCCTTAGACAATGGTTATTGTGATATTTGGAGATTGGCTGATAGCCCGAAACATCCAAAAAATAAAAACATTGAATTTTTTAATACCCTTTCATCTGAGATAATTCTGTAATAGCCTCTGCCTAGTTATTAAATAAAATAAAATTTTATTGAATTAATTTAAATTAATAAAATTTAGACAGTGGTTATTGCATGATTTTATAATAAAGATTAGTATTAATAAGTAATTAAAGTATGAATTTGTAAGATAGGATAATAGAAATAAAAGGAATGAAAAAATCTGGGCGTGTATATGAAATTGGGTAGAGGCCTAGACCTATGACGACGTTCGATAACCTGTTTACGTCATGGTTAGAGGTCGTCTTTGGAATTGGAAACAGAATCAGCCTCTATCAAAAGTCCTTCCACAAAACATTTCGGCCTTTTTAGTAAATTTATCAGCTGATGGTAAAAAAACCCGGAGGTTCGACTTAGTTACTTAAGTACCTAGTTTTTACAAGAATTTCATGACACTGTTTTAATTAAAATAAACATTAAAATTTATGTGAGAGGTTCTGTTAGTTGAAATATTCAATGTTTTCTTTACAACAACATAATCAGGTAAGAACGCTTCTAACCTGGATTTCGTTTATAGTTTTATTTATAGAGTTATTTACGTGAATTGTATTTACGCATTTCGCCTTGGGTATGGGAACTCATTTGAGAAGTTTTGTCAGATATAGAAACTGCCAGGGGTTTTTGTATTTTATTTATTTAAATTTTTTCTATGATAATTTTGACATGGTTTTAATAAAATTTTAGGTTCTATTTCATTTGACTCAGTTCACTTCTGCGGCCCCAAAACGTACCCGTATCACGCACAAAAGCTCTCAGAGCACTACAGAGAAGAATCAAGTGTTTGATGTCAGGTTTTCTGAAAGCTTTGAACATGTAAGCCATTTGACCTGAGTCAGTCCGTCTTCGTAGCTGATAAAACTTTGTTTTCAGGCGTCGGCGAGTTGTAAAGAGAGCGGGCTGTTCGACAGCCTCCCGTCCTCATGGAACGTCTTTGAAAATATTTCGTTGCCAAGGAGGGTAAAGAAGCACTTCCAAGATTTAAACATTGTAGTCGACAACAAGAACATAACACTACGAAACTCGAAAGGAAATCTTTCTGCGAGTCTTCCGATTGCGGTTTCACAAAATTTATGCCAGCATGAATTCCTTCAGCCAAACAAGCCTTTGATATTCGGTGAGAATGCACATTTTCAACTTTTTTAAATAAATATTTTAATCAGAATAATTTAAACATTTCTTACTGATATATATCATGCTACTGTTCACCTGGCAAAAACATTTATCCACTTTTTTTCTTTTTTTTTACACAGAACTAAATGATTTTGAACAAGTGTTAATAAATATATAAACAGAGATTTTGATTTATAAATACACTTTAATAAAAACATTAAAATATCATATTCTACTGCTCTTATGCTTTTCAAGTCACCCATCAATATTGTAAATTATAATAGTAATGTGTAAAGTATTAAAAGAAACATTCTAAATTTGTTAAACACCACATCTATTTACAACCAAACAATTTTTATAAACTATAACAATTAAATATACAAACATATGTTGCAAAATTATATAGTTGTATTGACATATGACAATGATGTATGCAACAATAAGACTAACTTTTGTGTGTGTTCCTTAGTGACCTGTTGTTTCATAATTTCACGCAACACTTTCACACAGAACCAAAATGACACCACAAGAATAGCACCACACTTTGTGCCCTGAAGATGACCCGAATAAAGGTCGAAATATCGGCAAAAAAAATGAAAAAAGTGTTTTTCTAAACTACTTCTTTCTTGACCACTCCTCATGACTTCAACAAATTACTAACTTATATTTTTAATTAAAAAAATGTATAGTTTTTATAAGAATAATAACAGAGACTTGACTCCTCTGTACAATTTTGCAGAAAAATGTGGTTTCTGTTCTTTCAAGTTGCACATTCCTCAATGCATTTTAACAAATGTTTTAATTACCGAATGTAAATATTAGTAGGAATGTACGGTGTGAGAGGGTTGATGGTTGAATATTAAATACATACAAAACTATTTTCAACCAATACCTTACATAAAGAGTAATTAATTTAAAGAAGTTATTTGGTCAATCAGACCACAAAATATAATGGATTTAATAAATAAAACGAAGTTTTACTAAAGCTCTCCATCGCCATTTCACTTGTCGCTGAAAATTGAATTCTGATTACACGACATTTGAAAAATGTCAAAAAGGAGGGAAAATTCGAAAGCTAGGTTGAAGTGGGAAGTTGGTGTCTGAGTGGATCGAAGTCACAATAGCTCAAGTGGTAGAGAAGCGGTGCATTGAGCCAAAGATCGTGGGTTTGAATCCCACTTGTGACACTAACTTTTTAATTTCAACCAATAATTTACATAAAGATTGATTAATTGAAAGAAGTTATTTGGTCAATCGGATGAGTTATAATGGATTAAATACATATTTCAATTAATTTTTTTTTAAAATCTAAGGTCTTGGTTGAGGTGAAAAAGTCAGTGTCACGAGCAGGATTCGAATCTACGACCTTCGGATAATAATAAAGTTAATTAAAATGGTTAAATAAAATTTGAAAAATGGCAAATAAGAGGGAAAATTCAAAAGGTTATAGGTTGGTGTCCAAGTGGATCGAAGTCACGATAGCTTAAGAGGTTGAGCAGTGGTGTATTTAGCCAAAGAATGGTGGGTTTGAATCCCACTTGTGACACTAACTTTTTCATTTCAACCAATACTGTAAAGATTAATTAATTGAAAGAAGTTATTTGGTCAATCGGACGAGTTATAATGGATTAAATACATATTTTAATTATTATTTTTTTTTTATCTAAGGTCTTGGTTGAGGTGAAAAAGTCAGTGTCACAAGCAGGATTCGAACCCACACCTTTGAATAATAATAAAGTTAATTAAAATGGGTAAATAAAATTTGAAAAATGGCAAATAAGAGGGAAAATTCAAAAGGTTATAGGTGGTTGGTGTCCAAGTGGATCGAAGTCATGATAGCTCAAGTGGTTAGAGAAGCACTGTATTCAGATGAAGGCCATGGGTTCGAATCCTGCTTGTGACACTCACTTTTTCATCTCGATCAAGACCTTAGATAAAAAGAATAATTAATTGAAATAATTAATATGGTTAATTATGACCGTTAAACATGCATGGACTAATTAAATACATACCTCATCATTCGTCTTGAAGAAAATGATGACTTTGCCATGTAGTTTTATTGTATATATATTTGCTTGTTATATTTGCTTGGTATTAAATTACCCCCTTACACTTCCTGCACTATTTTCAACTGACAAGAATTTAAAATTAAACCAAATATATAAATGTAAGCTGATGATGGATGTCTCAAGGACACTCATTTTTTCCTTGTATTAAAGTTTAAGAGAATGTATTTATTATCTTGAATGTATGATGTCCCACTTGATATAAGGTTAACATGCCTTGGTTCCATATAGAGAGCATTTCGGCAAAAATAGGTCTCCTGCTTCTCTGTTTTGCAACAAATAAGTCATGTTATTCATACCTTCTTATTTCTCAGCATTTTTTGAAGGATATGTTATGTTTGTAAATTATTGGCGTGAAGTGTGAAAAAAATTGACAGCAGAATTTAACTATCTATTGATGCTCATTGTCTTAGGTTATTGAGGAATTAAGAGTACTTATTGTAATTTTGTAACTTTTGTATATTTTGTATTTCACACAGATGTACAAGTACGGGGTTTTAAAACAGAACGGAGCGTTAAAGCAGAAATAGCCAGGAGCCCCAGCTTGCTTCATAGGCTGCGGCAGGCTTTCGGTCTTGAGAAAGTTACCAGTCCGAACAAGCCAGCCATTCCACCTGAGCCGAGTGCCTTGGAAAATCACGAAAACACTTTAATCAAGAGTAAGATTTGCGAGTGTAGATTGCTCTGCTGTTGATAATTAACCATTTTATTTACAGACTTGTTCAGTCCTGAATCAAACACTTCTCTAACTGAAGTTCAAAAGGCAAAAATCGCTTTTGCTGAAGGATACATGGTGGGCCAACAAAATGCCAAAGGTGTTGGAAAGTCTGCGAGGTGGCTTAAACTAGTGCAACAACTGCTTACTATAATCCTTTTCCTTTCTATCTTTATCTCTCTAATGGGTAATAAAATTGTATTACTTTTGTCATTCACATACTGATGATACTTTTTTTTTAGCTAGTGCAAATGGATCAATGTTCAGGATTCAAATTGGTAATCAAGTAGAAGTGGACCCTGAGGAAATTCATGTAACCTTTAACGATGTTAAAGGGGTATGCGTTCATTACTTTAATGGTTTATACTTGCTACTTACTAATTATGTAAATGATTGTAATAGGCTGATGAGGCAAAGCAAGAACTTAAAGACGTTGTGGAGTTTTTAAAAAATCCTGAGAAGTTTTCATCACTCGGAGGAAAATTACCAAAAGGTTTGTAGTTATAATATATGCATCTATAAGGTTTTTTTCCATTCAATACCAATTTTATTGATTGTATGATATAAAAGATTTTTATGTTTTCTTTAATTTACTTTTTAAATTTTTAGGAGTTTTACTGGTTGGACCTCCAGGTACAGGCAAAACATTGTTAGCTAGAGCAGTCGCCGGTGAGGCTGGTGTTCCATTTTTTCATGCTGCGGGCCCAGAATTTGATGAAATTCTAGTAGGACAAGGAGCGAGGAGGGTTCGAGATTTATTTAGTATGGTTGTCTTCCAAATGTTCGAACCGGGACTTTAACTTATGCCAACATATGCTATAAACATGAATCAATTTTCAGAAGCTGCCAAGGATCGTGCACCTTGTGTAATATTTATTGATGAAATAGATTCTGTGGGGGCAAAGCGTACAAATTCGGTCCTTCATCCTTACGCGAACCAAACTATAAATCAGTTGCTTTCAGAAATGGATGGGTTGGTTAACACCTAAATCATGAATTATTGACCTCTTATGACATTTGTATTATCAACTTTCAGTTTTCATCAAAACGACGGTGTTATTGTACTTGGTGCGACTAACAGACGTGATGATTTGGATAAGGCACTTTTGAGGCCTGGAAGATTTGATGTGGAAGTAAATGTGAGTTTTTATCAATCAGCCGAAGATTATAATTGAATCCGACAATAAAAATGCTATTGGTTTAATTTCAGGTGCCAACTCCAGATTTAACTGGTAGAAAAGAAATTTTAACAATGTATATCGGAAGAGTTCGTACAAAGAGTGTTGATGTCGATCTCCTTGCACGTGGGACAACTGGGTTTACTGGTGCCGATCTTGAAAATATGGTGAATCAAGCAGCACTCAAGGCAGCTATTGACGGAGCTGAATCTGTCACGATGAAATACCTTGAAGATGCCAGGGATAAAGTTCTAATGGGTATGTGTAAAGCTGTGTGAAAATATTTCAAAGTGTTAATTTTATTTTTAACTTAAGGACCTGAAAGAAAATCACGAATCCCAGACGAAGAAACCAATGCAATAACAGCATACCATGAAGGAGGTCATACTATAGTTGCTTATTACACGAAAGGAAGTCACCCTCTGCACAAAGTGACTATAATACCAAGAGGCCCATCACTCGGACATACTGCTTACATGCCTGAAAAAGAATCATACCATATTACTAAACAACAGCTTCTTGCTATGATGGATACCATGATGGGTGGAAGGGCCGCTGAAGAATTAATTTTTGGAGCAGATAAAATCACCAGTGGTGCATCAAATGATCTAAAGGTAATATTTTGAATTGTTTAAATATTAAAAAACGATGTTATAATTTTTTATTTTAGCAAGCAACTGCGATAGCCATTTCTATGGTTAAGGACTGGGGTATGTCAGAATCTTTAGGTTTAAGAACGCATGAAGGCAATAGCAAAACTTTAGTACCGGTTAATGATCTTTCTCCAAACACAACGGATCAAATAGATATAGAGATTAAGAAAATTCTCCAGGTATGATTATAAATCTAATAAAATGGGTGTGTATTATTGATAATTTAATTTTCTAGGAATCATACGAAAGAGCTAAGACAATATTAAGAGCACACAACAAAGAACACAAACTTTTAGCGGAGGCTCTTCTTAAGTATGAAACATTGGATGCAGAAGATATCAAGGCAATTTTGACCGGTAATGGTGCCGAAAAGTTTAAAAACATTTAAGGTATCGAATGAAAACAAGCAACCCAGCGTACAGAATATGTAAAGAAGAGAATTATTTGCATATAAAATTATGTATGATATTTACATTTATTTAATTTTGTTGCTTAGGTTAAAAAAAGATAAAAAATATTTTTAAACAATTGTTTCATTAGTATTTTGGTAATTTGACGTGTGCTTTGATAATCATCTTACAAGTATCGAATAATATGGGCTAAAAATTAAATTGCCAATTTGAGCCATAACTGACATTGAAATTTGTCTAACAATAAAGAATGTTTATTTTATGAAAATTAAAAACAAAAAAAAACTAAAGAAAATATTCATTCCAACAGTTACCAAAATTTATATGTTGTTTGAACTTATTTGTGAATTAATTTTTTTCTTTTTTTTTCAATTATACCATTGTGATTGTGTTTCAGTTGTAATTATTCGTTGGAATAAATCATTTATTTGGTTCTGCTAAAATTGTACAAATTAAGTATTTCCCATATATGGTAGGGTCTCGTTATCATGTTGGTGGTACCACACATCAGCACAGACAATAGGAAATGCCTCGAATTTCAGGCTTCAAAGCATTTTCTTGTATCTGCATACCAATCAGACAGTTTCTGTATCGCGTGTGCCTATTGTCAATGTTATGTATGTACATATATTCTAGGTTTTTTCTCCAGAAGAGAAATACAAGGTACAATAACTATATCAGGTTTATCCACAAAACAATATGTACGTACATACGTCAACATGTATGCATCTATGCATAACATCGAAACAAATCAGAAAAAATTAGGGGCTTAAAAAAGTTCGATTCAATTTAAGGTTAGAAAAAAAAACTAGGGTGGCAACCACTGATGAGCGAAAGCGAGTTTATTGTACAAATTTGATTACAAACCTAGTATAGCAGTTAAAAACTTGATTTAAATTTCATCAATCACGATCCATATATTTGTATTTATTTTGTTTATATGTTTTAATTTGTGAATGTTTCTTTTCATCCTATTGTTGTTTTTGATCCATACATCAATGTATTGTTTCATTATCAGTTTCTTATCGAATCATTCAAATGTACACTTTTTTAGGCTAACTGCAGTTTTATTTAGTTTCAGTTTTTATTTTTGTTAATTATTATTAAGTTATTTGTTTAATCTACATTCGCGAAGTAAGCAACTTGAGGCAGAACCAAGGGTACTGGCTATTTGCTTCTTGTCTAGAGTGGCAAAACAAAGTACTTTTGTTCTGCATGTAAAAAGTGCATTCTAAACTGTGTTCATATATCGGGTTGTCCGGAAAATAATGCAGGATTTTAAGTTTTCATTAAAAAAAATCTATATAAAATATTCTGTTTACGTTTACAGGATTACTCANATGGGAAATTATTTTGATTAAAGAACATTGCTTTAAAGTAACTAGTTTCTTTTTTTTTGTTTAATACCAAAATCCTGCATTATTTTCCGGACAACCCAATATTATATGTTGGATCTGTACATATTAGCAGTTTCCAAACATTTTTAGTTTGCGGCGTTCTAAATACATCAAAATTTTTTTGCGGTCATTGGTCTACCTCAGGGTGAACTTTATGGTAATAATAGTTTTTCTTCATTAGCAATTCATAAAAGCATTGATACATCTGTTATTCTGTTTTTGTCTGCAATTTTATCTATGAAATAAGCAAAACTCCTGACTTCTTTGGAAAATTCAAAAAATTGTTGTCACACCATCTCATTAACAGACTGGAACATTATGAGACTGGACGGCATCAGAGTTTTAGTTTTTAGGGTTTTATAAAAGAATAATAATATTAATTCATATGTGTGGTGTTTAGTAACTGTTAATTAATGATTATTTGGAGATCGTGAGATGTGGTCTGGTTTGACGTAGGTTTAGAAAAAATGTTCTTTATCGTGCCGTTTTGATCTTTATTGAGCCCTGAAGATGATCTTCAGAGATGATACAAGATCGAAATGTTAACATTATAAAGAAAATGTTTTTCTAAACCTACATCACACCAGACTGCATCTCATTATCTCCAAATAATCATTAATAAATACATGTTTAGCAGTCATCTCATAGGTCAAGTGGTCTGAGCAGCGGCATATTGAGCTGAAGGTTTAATTGAAATAATATGTTTTATAGAAAATTTGCACAGCGCGCAGTTTGGGAATCGGTGGTCTATATGACTGCCTCATGCCAAGGCCACATTTGACTTGGCAGATTTTCTTCATTGCTAAGTCAAGGCTCATACGCACTTGCCCCAGCAACATCTGCCTTTGTCAAAATGAGCAGTAATTTTTTTTCTTGTATATTATTAAAAATGTAATGCAGTGTCTTAATGCTAAGCTACTGGTTAATTTTAGTACATGGTTGACAGTACAACAAATTTTTGTGAGATTTAGTTCAGAATAGATTAAAAAGATGTTTTACTTAATTTGTTTGGATTTTAAGTAGACATTTGTAAAGCTGCTATACAAAAATTGTCATAAAATATGATAGTTAAATAAAATGAGTAATTAAACTTCAAACGATTGGTAAATTGTGTAAACTGACGATGACCGTAAAATGACCTATGGTGATGATGCACCAGTGGCACTGCCATGCAGAATTCCGAAGTACTTTTGACCGAACGGTACTTAATGATGTCCTAGTTCGGTGATAGACGAACATGGCCGTCAAACAGTTTTTTATGATAGTTGTGAGGATTTGTTAGTAATGATATCACTTATTTGTCCCACCGATTCTGTTTATTTGTAGTCTGTTAGGCAAGTGGAAACGTCCGTCATCGACCAGACTTCTATTACTCCGCCCCCATCCTAATTAAAAAGCTATACAATATTAATGGCTAAATTACGGGACGCAACTGAAAGTTATTGAATAAATCGCTTACATAAAAAAAAAAAAATAATAATAAAAAAGGCTGTCTTCATCAAATCAGACTAAAAGTGCCTCGTTCCTTTTGTGATAAATTGCTTTTGTGAACAGCAGATTGGCAGAAATGTTCGAAACCAATGTAATATATTGTGATAGTGGTAAAGACTGAAAAAAAAGTTGTTTATTTATAAATTTAAGAAAGACAGGAAATTTTCAAAAATGTTGGTCTTGAAGTCAACTTTCGTCTTGTTCATCGCTGTACAAATTCAAGGTAAGTTTAATTACAATTTACTGTTAACGGAAAATGCTGAACTTATCAATTTTTCTTCTTTGTTTATACTTAGTTTATTTTTAACAAGTTGTTTATTCTAAGTACAGTTTGTTAATTTGAGGGAAAACTTGTCAAAATGCTGAAATTTGCCAAACCAAATCAGTTTCATTTCTCTAATGCAAAACATTTGTTTGAGATGTTTCAAATTTGTTTTTGTAACATTTCACTGCTCATCATCTTCACAGAGTTTAACATTACCTTATGTCTCGAGCAGAAACTGGAGAGCGATTGGAGTGTTTTTATGTTTTTCAGCCTTTCGACAAAGTGTGTCATGAGGTACTATTATACAAAAAAAACTAATTATGTCAGGCCTATTATCTATACTAGATAATCTACAGTTTTGTGACTGACTGACAGACAACACACAGATCAAACCGCTGAATTTAAAGGGCTGATATTTCGACTACATTCCTATAATGACATTGATATCTGCTAAGAAAGGATTTTTTGAAATTCCATCCCTACCTATCTTGATATATAAAGCAGTTTAGTGACTGAGTAGCAGTCAATGCACAGACCAAACCGCTGGCTCAAAAGGCTTAAATTTCGACAGTGCATTCCAATATCATGGCTAGCTGCTAAGAAATGTTTTTTTGAAATTCCATTCCTATCTTCTATAAGTGTAAAACAATTCTGTGATGGACTGACAGACAACGCACAGACCAAACGCTGGCTCAAAAGGGCTGAAATTTCCACAGTGCATTCCTATAATGACATGGATAGCCGCTAAGAAAGGATTTTTTAAAATTCCATCCCTAAGGACAATTTTTTATGATGTACAGACCAAAGTGAACTGAACAAGAGAAGAATTTGAGAAATGAGACATTGTATTAGAAAGCCATACTAGCACTCTCCATTACATTAGAAATGAACATTAAAACAGAGTCCCGCATGGATGAAGTCATGGGTAAAAGCTAGTGTATGTAATATATGTATTATGAATGAATCACTTGGCTCCATCATTAAATTTATTAAGGAATTGTCATGAGCTACCAAGCCACTTATGAGTTATAATGAGTGAGTAGGGCCATCTAATAAAAAATTATGCAAATTGTCTTTTAATTTAGATTTGCATATAAGGCAGACTGTCCCCTGATCCCAAAAGTAGTTATGTCTTTTATAGTAAAAAGATATTTTTTTTTTTGTCCCAAGTCAGTCTTAATTGAGCAAATATCCTGATTTTATAAATAGGTAAACTAATTTTTAAATGGGAGGTGCCCGAATGGTGGCTTTATTTATTTGAAAATATTGTATCGGGAATTACTAATCTTTTCTAAATCTTTTTCTAATAATAAATTTATGGTATTGCTATTGAGAAACGAGACATATTAAAAAGCCATACTAGCACTGCATCGCATTAGAAAGGTACATCTAAACAGAGTCCTGCAGGGACGAAGTCACCAGTAAAAGCTAGTCTAATTATACAATCATTCCTCAAGGAGAGTTTTTTTGCAGTTAACCATGCAGCAGACCATTACCTTTACACCCTGCTGTGAGAATTGACCTAGCATATACTTATAAATGAACCCGTTCCTCAATCCAACAAAGTGAACTACGTAGCTCCACAAAAAAAAAAGTTATGCACATCAAAATATTCATTTTTTTACAGGGCTGCAATTTTCTACCTCAGGACATTTTTTATTACACTCTTAAATAATTTATATCAGTCTGGAATAGGGGGTGAGTAAAAATGGAGTTGAATAAAAATAAAAAACAATATATACAATAAAATCATAAACTTGTAAACACCTGGAGTTGTTAAAATTCATTTTTGTAATAAGTACTACCTCCTCCCCAATGGATTACAATCTCTAATCTCTGTGGCATATTGTTAAGGCGCGTACACACTAAGGAAATCTCGGCCAATGAAGACAATCAATATTTAGGGCCAAATGTTGATACAATATATTGGCCATCCTTGGCTTATCCTCATCAAACCAAGAGGTTGGGGGAGGGGGCTAAGGTTTTTGGCCATGTGAAATCGCTGTCAACAATTTCAACCCTTTTGATGTTACTGCCAGAAGAACAAACCTTGACCACAACCAACCACTTCGTTGGTTCTAATTCACCTCCCGTACACACTAAGCGAATCACGGACAATGAGGCTGTTGGTTGTCTTTTGTTGGCAGTCATTTACTTAGTGTGTATGCACCACTACTAAATTTTGAATAACATCTTGTGGGGTTACCTCCCATGTTTCCATGAATTATTAATTCTGGCAAGGTTGTGTAAGGGTTTATTCGCTGTCAAAATCTTTTGAGTTCATCCCAAAGGTTGAAGGGTTGAGATTAGGGCTGCAAGCTGGCTGCCTTGATGAATGCTGATATCCTAGAGATATTGCAAACACACAATTGGCTACATGTGGTCTTATATTATCGTGCATTGAAATTATCACCAATAAAGGTGTAAGGTACCACATAGCCTTGAACCATCACAGAGAAACAGAGAACTGCTCCATTTGTGGATAACTGAAAACATAAAGTTAAAGGATTTGGAGGTAAAAGTACAATTTTACGTGAGTCCAGCCAAACTGGGTTGATCCTAAAGTTTTGATAAGATCTTAAAGATATTTGATAAAATTTATATCAAATTATCTATTGTTTTATATGCTAGAGAACCAAAGTTTTATTTTAAAAGATGAGAATAACATGTACCGTTGCCGGCAATGGTTTAGGCGTTAATATGGTGCTCATCAGAATAAGGTAAAGGTCCCGGATTCGAACCGGACATCCAGTGAAAATCACAAGAGCTTTCCTAAAAATACCATGGAATGCAGATTTTTTATATTTTCTCAGGGCTGAACCTTGATTAATTAATTTTTATTATTGTTGACAAAGTTTGTTTTGTTAATTTTCAGAGCTGAATGCACAAAGAGTGTGTGCTAGGTCGCAAGAGACTGGAACTACTTTGTTTGAAGATCTTGTGTATGCCGCTCGAGAGATAGATGACGTATGTGTAAAAATTATATTTTATAATTTTGCATTAATGTTTAAAAAATATATATTGTTTTAGAATGATATTCAGAAAGATCAAGAGGTTTGTAAAAAAGGGACTCAAACATGTTACGCATTCTGGAAGAAAGGAAATTCAAATGAAAACATCACTTTTTTTTCAGCAGGTTTGTTAATTTTGATTACCTTTATGTCTTAAGAAAAGTGTAACAACATTTTTTCTATGTAACTTTTCCTTCCTTAATAGATACTTTTATCATTTTTATTGTTTATATTTTGTCAATTTTTTAACTTAAAGGTTGCTGGGAGATTTCCGGGCAAGGAGAGTGCACCTCTTCTGTTTGCCAGCCGCAATCACACCCCAGGAAGAGCTTAGTGAACGCGATGTTCTGTTGCTGCACTGGAAACTTATGCAATACCAATATCAGTTTCAACAGCCCTGTAAAAGAAGGTGAACCTTTAGAAGAGACATCTTTAAGTGCAAAACCGTCATCATCGATGTACAATTCGGGTAAGCTTTGCCTTACATTTAACACTTTTCAACAATTAACACTGTCGGATTTAGGAGAAAACAGAGAATGGAAAGTTATAGTCTTGGGTGGATGTGGAGGACTTTTATTTCTACTTTTCCTCACTATTGTTTTTGTTGTATGGGGACCAACAACAATGAAGAAAAAAACAAATCACGTTCCACCACAACAACCTCCTCCAAAGGAAGCAAACAATTCATATTCACTTTCTCAGTTAAGCCTTGATAAGATTGTCGGTGAGTATTTAGTTCTCAAATAATTCTTTTCTTCTGCAAAATAGTATAGAAGATAATAATTTTTTAGGACAAGGAAGATACGGGACGGTATGGCTTGGTCATTTAAAGGGTCAGCAGGTTGCAGTTAAAATGTTTCCCATGCATTACAGCCAGTACTTTTATAATGAAAAAGACATTTACACCCTTCCATTCATGGAGCATTCATCCCTCTTAAAATATCTTGGCAAGTTTTTTCCTTATGTTTCTACTATTATGAAAATAGTATTAATTTAATTAATAATTAAATTAAATTAAAAATAGGCAGTGACGAATTTCCAAATAAAAATGGTCTGAACAGTTTGGCTCTTGTTCTCTCATACTGTCCTCTTGGTACACTACAGGAATATTTGAAAAGGAACACACTCGATACTGCCACGTTTATTCGAATGGCATTGTCTACGACTTCTGGTCTTGCTCATTTGCACACTGAAATTCACAAGAAAGGTAAAGAATTTTATTTCAGCGAAATATCTCTAACAGACTTAACGAGTGTTCCGTTTCTTTTCAGATAAATGGAAGCCTTGCATAACACACAGGGATGTCAACACTAAAAACATTCTTGTTAAGGAAGACTTGAGCTGTTGTTTAGTAGATTTAGGATTAGCAGTTAAAATAACCGGATCTCATTATTATACTCTAGGTGAAGAACAACACGCTGAGACCAAAAGCATTAATGACGTAAGTAAAGAGAAATACAAGCCTTTCACACACTTTCCATTTATGATTTATTTAAAAACGGATATCTTCCCCCCCTCATGTAGTATTAATTTTTTGTGTATTTCTAGGTGGGGACATTAAGATACATGGCACCTGAAGTATTAGAGGGCGCTGTCAATCTTCGAGATTGTGAATCATCTTTAAAACAAGTTGATGTTTATGCCCTCGGCCTTGTTTTATGGGAGATAGCCATGAGAGTCGTCGACTTTTACAACAGGCCGAATGATGTCCTACCGTACACTCTACCATTTGAAAAAGAAGTTGGTGAGTCATTTTGATACTCTCTCAAATACGATCATCTATTTTAATTTTTTTTCCCCCGAACAGGGCTTCATCCCACATTTGAAGAAATGCAAGTCTTAGTTTCAAAGAATAAGGCCAGACCACTTTTTCCTCAGGAGTGGAAATGTAACCTTATGACCACGACAATAAGGGAAACAATTGAAGATTGTGTGGATCAAGATGGTGAAGCACGCCTTACCGTGCTTTGTGTCCATGAAAGAATAAACCACTTGCACAGAGGTAACTTTTTGTCCTAAATTATTAATTCAATAATATTAACATAATCAACTTTTAATTTAGGTTCTTTGCAAGTCGGAAATATAAGTCCTACCTTCAATCAGACAAATACTTCATTTTCAGCTCCAAGCAATAATAACAACATTAAATTCCTTGGGTCTGATATGTATCAAGGTCAGTATAATAAATTTAAATTTAATTATTTTAATTTTTAACCTGAAAACGTTTTAGGAGATAAAGAAATGGCGGATGGCTGTGTTTCTGAAGGTACAGTTGAGACGATGATCACATTATCTCCATCTGAACCTTATCCTGTTTATTTAAGCACTGGTAAGAATTTTTCCATTTTTTCTTTTATAACTGAAAATAACATTCTATAAGTTGAAAAAATCATTGTATCTTTTGTATTATAATAAATTGTAATACTTTACGAGACGTTAATATATATACGTTTTTACAGTTTCCAAAGAACCAATCATACAACCCCATCAAGGGCGTAACCGATGTCTTGAGCGCAATCTTCTCAGTTGCGACTCCAGTGAAGAACTGTGCATAGTACAAACTTCAAGCAAGCACAAAAGATTTCAAAATCGCGACTTGTTTGAAGAATCTGAAAGTCTGATGCGAGATACTGCGAGCCACCAAACATCAATACCTTATGTTCAAAACAAGCCTTTTATGATTCCGAAACAAGTGAATACCCCAGTAAAAGGCCAGACTGGTTTGGTCGCGTCGTTAATGAAACTGATTAAAAAGAAAGAAGAGCCTGCTGAAGACACCGCCTCATTGACTCACGTTATCGTCTCGCCGTTTGAGGAACAGCCTCCGAGAAGGCCGTCTTCCCTCCAGTTGATCCCTGTAGCTGATGAAGGACAAGTCGGCCCTGTTCAAGAGGACGAATTTGAAGAAAAACGGTTGAAAGAACTTTCTAGCAGGATTAGGACTCCTGGTGATCTCCCGCCATCCGTTCGTAAAAAACGGGGATCTAAAGCACGGTTGTCATTGTATGACGATCGCATGATGTCAAACTCGGTGCTCGATTCTACATTCTAATCTAGTCAATAATTTATTTGATTTTTAATTCTTTTTTAGTGCCATATTCTCAGATTAACTTGAAGCATTAATAGATGGATTTTTAAAAAATTACAATCATGATTGTAACAATACTAAATTAAGTGCAAGTTGAACTGCATTTATAAAGCTTTAACAATTTGAAATTTTTAGTATTAAAAAAGTAAACAGATCCATGCTATTGTAACCTACAATCTATTGTAAAAAATGGAATAAATTTATCCCATAAGCTTTTTTTTCTTTTGACAAATCAAGGATAATCTTTCATATTTTATATCTATAGCTTACAAACATTGATTTACCGGTAACATGGTAACATTAAACAACAAATAGTCATTTTTCAGTAAGACAATATATCTCAATACTGGTTGTGGTACAATTTATAAGACAGAGAAAATGTTTGTAGTCTTTGTATTTTTATATCTAGTATTTAGACCTAGTCGTGTATTGAATAGTGAGATTCCGTTTGGATCCAGCATTTGTGACATAGCACGTGTAATTATTAAAATTTATTGACGTATCAATTTTAATTAATACTGTTTAGAAACATGACCGAGTAAGATTATAAATTAAAAACAATAATAATACTGATTAAAGCAAAATGCACAATATATGTTGTCGTAAAAGCCACTTATACTTAGTTGTGTTTTACACCCCACTGTTTACAATTACCCATTGACCCTGTTCCACAGCTTTCAAGAAGAGTTGAAAATAGAGGAATGGGTTGAAATTGTACAATTAGAATTACATATATATTATAATCATACAATTTATCAAAGTGCAGCTTTTTATTTGTATTTATGAAAAAATTTTGCTTTTCAGCTTTTTTGTATTCATACCGAAGAATTTGTATATAAGCCTATTATATTAAACTATATAAATAACCTTGAGGGTTAATAAAAATAAATTGATTAAAACCTTTGTGCTTTTATTATTTAAAACCGTTTTAAACCATGACAAACCTAGAACACCGTAATTAGTTCTTTTATCAGATTAAATTTTTTTAAATTTAACAAAAATTTTTAACTACACTAGTTCATATGGCTTTGTTCTTTTTAACCTTTTGACAGGGTTTCGGTTATGTAGGAGGTTGATCGCATCCACATTCTCATGCCATCTGAGGCGAGACGTGTTCGGCAGCAATTTGTATTTCCACTGTGACCTCAGTATGTACTTTTCCATACTTACCAAGGTATATTAACCATTTTATTTTGGAGGATTTGAATAATTTTAAAATTGCTGGTTTTGGTTCAACTCTACAGAATACCTCTGTCCTCAAAGGTTTTAAGATTTGTTTGTATAATAATGTTTTATAATGGGTAGTAAGGTTGGAGCTGCGTCCTATCAATCAGTTTATTTGTCTGTACCTTAAACCTATTTCTGTCCTTTTTTTCTTCACAAGCTCTTTCCATCTCAGCTTTGCAAATAAGGTCATTCCCAGATATTTAGCTGTATAATAGTAGCAAGGTATAATAGTTCAATTGATTGCGAGAGACGGAACATGGTCCACTTTTTTGCTTATAAAGGTTATATGGACTGATTTAAACTGATTGAGCTTGATTCTCTATTTTTTGTCCATCCATCTATCTTTTTACAAGCCTTTTGAAGGATTTTGTTGAATGGTCGGTTGTACTGATCTCACCACTGTCATCTCCAAATGTTGCAATTTTTATTCCATTTTCGGAAAATCACTAGTGCATAACAAGTTAAGCAGTGGGATCTAATATGCTACCTTGTGGCTCTCTTGCATTTTTGTTTTTAATTTTGAATATTGATCTTCTTGTTTGAATTTAAAATGTCTGTCAGGTAGAAACTGACAATATCTACATAATCAAACTGCATAAGAAAATAAATAGTTTTTTGTCTTAACGTAAGCCTTATTACCTGTGACAGATTACTATAAAAATTTGAAATTCTATCTGGAAATTATTTTATTGTCCAGACATGAAAGAAAAATAAATAATGAATTCAATATAATTTTGCTCTTTTAACTTTGCTCTTGATCAAAAATAGTACTGCTCTGGTGTATTTCTAGAGATGCAAGCCTTTGAATCGGGTACAGCACTCAGGACTGCTCTGGAAGCTGACGCCCATTTTACATATTTCCTGATCCCAAATTCAAACCTAACCGACATATACTCAAGGCTATTGCACATATACAGTAGTACCACAAGGAAGTGTCTTAGGACCCATCCTCTACACAGTATACACCAAGACATTACTGCCCTTTCTGAAACTATCCTTACCACCTATGTGTATTATACCACCATACTTTATCTCAAAAGGTTCTGTCATCTCAATCAGAAACTAGCAAACCCATTTCACATCCCTTGAGCAGTGGTTCTAGTTCCTCTACCATCAGCTAATGTAGTCCACTACCTTGGGCTACACATACTAAAAAGACAAGAATGAAAATCATATGCTTCAGACTTCTTAAAATATTGTATGACAAATGAACAAAATACTTTTTTTAACGTCTAGAAAATAAATAACTCAATTATACTATTTTGAGACCCATTTGAACACATAAAAAGCTGGGGTTCAAAAAAATGTTCCAACTTCCAATGTATCTAAAATCCCTACAATCCAAAATCCTTTGAACCATCGTCAATGGTTCTTTATACGTTCCAATCTTACCATTAAGAGCGATCTTAATAAATAATATGTCCTTGAAATAGTGAAAAACTGTTTTCAAGAAACAATTATCCTGACACACAAATCCTCATGTCAGAAACCTGGCCTATGACCTCTTAAGTGATTGTGATAGCGATTATGAAATATACTTTTGATACTTGATATAAGAATGTTTTTGGAGAAAAGCTCACAAGTGCATTCTAGCGGTACACACCACAGTAGCAGAGCAGGTGACAGTGTGACACTCAGCTTGTGACTCCGCGGTCGTGGGTTTGATTTCCACTGTGGCCCCTGGTCCGTTAAAAAAGTACTGTTTTTGGTGAGACCGTAACCTTAATTTTGAAGCCATTGATATGTCATAGACTGAGCAATATGATGATTGTGCTTTTTAAGTTTGTTCAGTAATATATTTATTGATTGTGGTCTTTTTTTTTTCTTTTTTCAATTTGCTCTCAAATTTTACTGTTTATTGAAAATTTGTGGTTTTGTTCTGTAATATGCTCTTGTACCATTTTTTGGTAACACGAAAATACAAATTTAAAAAAAATTCCTGGCGTTTCCATAACGCTTTCGTACTATCTTATACGGTTTTAATCATGATATATTATCATGATCATACTATATTTCAAAGTGAATACGGTTCGCATTGGCTTGGCAATTGATGAGAGCAGCAAACTAAAACTACAAAAGTCACGGAAAATAGAATTTGCAAGACTAGACATTCATGCTAAATTGTTTCACAACACTTCACGGAAACAAAATAAGCAATAGATATTTTCAACAAAAACACACTCATTACGCACTTTGTTTATTAATAATAAATTTACAAGAATTTATAAAGTACTACAAGATGAACAAAAAGAAAAAAATGAGGGCTTTGTGGAGCAATGGTATAATTTTTTTTTTTTTTTTTGAAGACTATTGTAAATTTAGAGCTCTCTAAAAACTATATACTCTTATTATTTTTTACTCTTTTTTTATAAACAAATAAACTTTTATATTATACAATTTTTAACATTAATTTTTCCATATAAACAGAATTAATAGTTCAACATACAAACATTTATATTATAGTATAACATCTTTGAAGAAACTGTTTGAGCTCGTAAAATTCAGTGTTATATTAAGTACATTTCTATTACAAATAATTTTTTTTTTTAAATAAAATCTTACAGAAATTTCAGTCTAGTCGGAAAAATAATTTACAAGTTGTTTCTTAAAAGTGTTATTCTACATAACACAAAATAAATATATAGATACGTTTTCTCAATTCCGCTCACTCATTCACACTTCTGGCTTCCTTTTTCTTATTCTATATATATAACGTTTCTTTTGTAAAACAATTGCAAAATATAAATCACTATGAATTAATGAACAGAAATTACCTCAAGTAGACTAGATATCGTCAATCAGGTAAATACAATATAAAAGAAGAAATTGGTGATTGATTTTTTTCAGTTTAAACTGAGCTCCCTGGAACAAACTCATTGGGAATACGTAAAAACTAATTGGAACACTGGTGGTTCTCAGGTGAGTGCTTAAGCATTCGAAATAACAAACAAAAATGGTATTTATTTATTTATTTATGAAAGAAATGATATGCTACTACAGAACAAATTAAAAATAATATATTAAAGAAATTTCTCCAAAGCTAATTAACAACAAAACAAAATATCTATCATTTTTAGATAAATGTTACAACGCATAAACTGGGAAATTTATTTTCTTCCTTTTCCTAAAACCTGGACTTCATTGTAATTTGTAAATAAATACAAAATTTATTTTTGTAAGTCCAAAATTTTGGCTTTTCCGCACAAACAATGGTAAGCACACAGGTTAGAGGTGATGAAGGCTTGAACGGAGAGTTCACAGATCAACAAATGAAATGCCTAATCCAGGGGTTTTGCACCAAGCGGCTATGTAAAAAAATTGAAATAACAAAGGTTCCCACCCTACACCAAGGCAAGGAAAAATGTCTGTCAGATGAGTCAATTACAGCTTGATACTGTAAATGTTAAAATAGAATATCATTTTTATTAAATCCATTCCCTCCTTCAAAGACAAGTCGTCTACACATGTGTACACACATTTTATGACTGTTCATGCCACATACATGAGTTAAACGAGGAAGAAATAATTCTACACAAAATTTATAAAATTCTCTATCTTTGATCAATATTGAGTAACGTTTCGATTTGACAGGCAGGTGGCATTAAACGAGGCTGTGGATGGCTTTTAGGCCAATGGACTCAAAGATCTTTTCGATATGGACACAACTAATCTAAGAAGACTTCTTATCCGGATCGACAATAGGTATTTCACCGGTGGGATTTAGCATTTTGTGACAGTTGTAAAGATACCAGCAGCAAATAATTTCTAAAACCATATTAAAGCTTACACAAATTTACAGATCTTATATGACAAAAATATCACATTGGTTGGCACTCACAATCTGCTGGGTGGTACATTAACAATAAATAAGTAAGATATGTTAGATATCACAAATCCATATTCCTTTTGTGTCTGCAACAGCCTATTTAATGTTTGACCAAGGAATTTTCAATTCCCTGGTTTAGACGTTAACTACCATCCAGGTTTTAATTCAATTAACATTGGGACTTTGATTATTCAGAATGAATTTGTTCCTTTATCAAGCATTTAAATCAAAGGGAATAATACTTTGAATATACATATATTTTTTTATCGCAATTAACTACCATTATTTTAATTTTTGAGATCTTAGTTTGACTGTTCATTTAGTCTAAAGAATTTTTAAAACACAATTAGAAACATAATTACGCCCAAGATCTTGTGTAATCGGGCTATTTTTCTTTTTTTCTCTTTTATTTTTTTATAAAGTAGAAAATGTGAAAAATACCAATATGGTAAAACTGTCAGGAGCTGCCACGTATGTTTTCACTTTTCAGACTTCCAGTTTTTTTCCAATCAACTCCTTGTCTCTTGATTATTTTATAGCATTATAACAAATATCTTGAATATTTGTATTAAATATATCCAATGTACAATCAACAAGCACCTCTTCTTTATAATTTTATTTTATATATATATATAGAGAGAGAGAGGTATCACAATAAAATTAAGTCAGATGACCCAATAGCACATCTCTATCAAGACATTTGAGCATTAACCGCCTTAAATCACGTTTTTTGTTAGTTTTTTTCTCCATCCTTTTACTGCTTTATCGGTATGACATAAACGTTTCAATAAGCATCCAATAAACATTCATAGACTGAGAGATGAACTTTCCAGTTGTTTTATACTCGTCTGTTATAACATTATGTAGTAAACACTGATAACATCAAAGAAATTACTCAAAAATGATGTTTTTACAGCAATACACATAATCATACTCCCTGTATTTCTTGGAAATTATTTGAAATTAAATAGCAATTTTGTTTAAGCTTTAATATTTTGAAAATAAACTTTTTTTATTTAAATTTTCCTTTTAATTTGTTGAATCCCAATAATACGGTTACATTTCATTCCTTTTATTGGCCAACTATCACAAACACATAGGATACAATTAAATTTAACTATACAAACATCTTTTGAAATCGGATCGCTACTGGACAACTTAAAACATTTATGTCTTAGTATGAAAAGCAAAATGTAAATTCCGATACTTTTATCTACATTGATTTCTCACATCTAATTCTAGTTTTAAATTTCATTTTATTGCCTTTAGTTTTTCTTTTTTTTTAATAATTAAAACCTCTTTGAATAACAACCTAGTGTAATTAAAATCCAAACATTTTGAAATGTCCATTAACGTCATCAGCTGAAACAAAAAATACTTAAAAAACAACTTATTTTTCAGATCTTTTCAAATTAAGAATTTAAGTTAGCTTAAACATATTATTACTATTCAATATCAACAATATTATAAATTTACTCGACATAACAACTTAGAAAAGGATTCAAGGTTTGAAAGACATTGCAACTGATGGCCATGAACATTTGAATGTATACACTTATGGTCCTTTACACACAGACCCTGTAACATACTACGTTCACAGAAACATGCAGAATTTATTTAAACCATTTAAGATATTATTTGATATAAGTATGCATCCAATAACTGTGATGTATTATAAAGCAAATAAACAATTTCTTTAATGATTTGTACTTGTGGTGTTGTAAAAGAAATTTTTTATTCCCCTCCTATCACATCACTATCATTGAACCTTCGGCGAGTCAAGAATGTGATGACTTCGTGTGATTCTCACCTACCGATCTAGAAATGCGAAAAAATGTTAAATCGCCCGTCAAAATTAATATCAAAATTATTCTTACCTAGGAAGACTTTATGCTTTGCTGGCAGCATGAAGTGCAGATACCTCAAGGGCTTGCTGTCCTCCCGTTCGGTTTTGGTTTGAAGATATTTTTGATCTGTGAACAAACATTATTTTGAAGAGATCTCCAGTTGTCATAACACAAAAATGTATATATTTAAGTAAAGTATGCCAATTTAAGTTTTGCTTTTATAGCACCAATAATTAAATTCTTAATGTACAGAAAATACTTTCTATGTATGAACACTCAAAACAGTACCTAAGTTCTTTTCAGCTGGTTTTCTTTGCTCAAACTGACTCAAGATTCACACATTATCAACCCTAGAATTTTTTAAATTTTTAATTCAACCAAATCTGAATTTGTGGTTACTTTTTACTTTTTTTAATATTATTTTTCTTTTATCATTATTACACTTTACACACTACATATTAACTCATAGGTTGAATGAGTAGATTTTCCATTTATGTGGAATGCCACTTGAAACTTGTAAGTCATAGTTCTATGTCTTCCATTCCTGCAGGACCTTTTGGTTTTGTTTAATAAGTTTTATATTCTATATATTGAGTTTCTAAACCATCAATGTAATTTTCTAAAAATGAATAAATATTTTTTAACAAAATAATGTTTCAATCATAAACACAACATGAAATCAGATAACTAATATTATTAATCTGACAATAATTAACTTTACATCCAAGTTAAATTATTTTTCTTTTATCTAGTATTTGAAATACTTTCAAGACTATCGCTCATGTCAGAAATATTTCACCTGTCACAAGTAATCATACTTTTTTACATTACATTTATTTGGTATTTGCAACTATTTAAACTATAAATATTGTAAGTAAATAATTTTTTTTATATGCTGAATTTGTGGGTTGAGACACTTGCAGAAGTTGAACGATGACAACACTCCTTTCCTTCACACTTAAACTTCGTCATTCTTCAATTAATGAGGTCTCCAGGCCAGTTTCGCTTTAATCGTCTTGGAGGATTTTCTGGTAGGTTTGGAAGTGATAACTGTTAAACTATTAGGTTTTGTGGATGCTCGGTAATTGCTGAAATCTTTTACTGTGGGTTTTAATGGGTTTTAATAAACGAGATGTGTAAGTTGTTATGGATAGTATGAATTTGAACCATAAAAAAGAGCAATTATAATTTGACGGGGAATTTTAGAATGAAATGATTGGAGATTTTTTATCCTTAGTTGAATCCCACTCTTCACGACCGTATGAGCAGAGAGGTCTTGTCATTGTCAGTTTTGTTTGGAGATTCCAAGTCAGTTGTTTATCCATGAAAAGTCCAACATACCGAAATAAGGAAAGTGGTAGGGTTCCATTTATATTCACTGGAGGACAGGTACTTTTGTGGGCAAAATTTATCTGTGCACCTTTCATTGGGTTTATTTTCATTCTCCATTGTATGAACTATACTGTTAATTAATTCAGGTATTCGAATTATGTATAAAAATTCAACATCAGGAATGTATGTGTTGAAATGTTAACATGAGGAGAAAATACCTGCAGTGTTTATTAAAAATAGAAATGGGCCAAAAGAACACATGTATGAGTAATCCTCAACCAAGTACAGTACACTCTTGCTATCTGAACTTTCTCTCACGCGGTTGCCGCAATAGTTGAGTTCTAGGGTGGGCATGAGTACGAAACAAATCGACTATAGAAGATAAAATAGAAAAACCAGGAATGGACAATAAAAAAAAATGTGGAAATATCTTTTCATTGAAAGCATAGAACATGATCCAATAGTGGAATGAAGATTTACAGACGTGAGATGCGGCCTGGTGTGATGTACATTTCTTTTCTTTATCTTTTCATTTTCTTTATCATGACATTTCAATCTATATTGAGATCAACTTCCAGGCCTGGGATTTATAACGTCAACACAAAAGTGTAATGAAACACAACTGCTAATGCAAGCACCCACTCTAACAAATTTCCAATGGTTTAAAAACCAGATGAAGCAGCCTTGTATAACAATGTTCTTCAAGATAATGAAAGAGCAATCTTCACTGATTCATCACCATCTAATTCTAACTGTGGGATTCGATTTATCTTTTTTATTTTTTGATTTCCCCTAATAATTTTTTTCTCTTTTGTTTCAATGTCAAAATGAACTTTATGTTCCTTATTGTTCATTGAATTTTTCTTAAAATTCTTCTTGAAAAAACCCCTGAAATATGTGTAGGCTCGTACATAACATTGACGATAGGTACACATTATACAGAAAGTGTCTGATTGGTATGCAGACAGAAGGAAATGCTGTGAGGCCTGAAATTCGAGGTGTTTTCTATTATCTGTGAATCTTGTTATCCAGGTGATGCTTGGTATTCCTGTGAATAATGATAAGCTACTGTCTTAAGCAATAAGTAAAAAATTTGTTGTAGTGAGTTGATGTAATGTAGTCTGTGAGGTGATGCACCTTTGTAGAGTCCCTGATTTCATTGACTTCTCATTGTTTTGTTTCTGTCAGATTCACTGCTGAATAACATCCAAAAAACGTACAAAACCAGCAAAATTAACCAGGCAGATCGGATTTGAAGAGGTCTCAACGATTACTTTTGATTTTGATACGTAAGAAACATGAAAAAAGAAAAGAAAAAAAAAAGAAATTTCTGAACTTCTAGGTAGTATCAATAATACAATATTGAAATCCAACTATCAGATGCTGCTAGTAATTGGTCAGAATTCAAAGTGTCAAAAGAAATTCCAAGTCAAATCAAACTCTGTACATCATAAGTGGATTGGAATTTCGAACTTTGTGACTATGGACTACGGAGTTGTGTTATAGGATTAAATATATATTTGTAAATGAAAATTACTAGAAATCATAATTATCACATATTATCTATAAGTCAGATGTAAATTTATTTGCAATAAACTTAAGCAGCAGCAATACCATACATATAAATTTACCAAAGTGTAAGATTTTTTTGTAAATGTTATGTTCAATAATGGTACTTGTTTCCTTGTTCTTTCACAATTACTTAAATTAGTAAATAAGAATCTCAATAAAATAATAAAAATTATATTTAAAAATAATAATTGTACAAAATCAGATGACAATAATAGAAAACTTAGATATTTGTTGTCATTGACAGTGATGTCTTATTTTGGCAATTGGATTTCTTGACAAACTGAACTAAGAAATTGTCCATCGTGCTGTGAGTACATTTTAACACAAAGCTTGAAAACAAAAGTTAGTAAGTTCACTGATACACCATTTAGAGTGATAATGGGACATTATTTGCCATTACCTGTGTTTCCTTGAACCCGGTGCCTTTGAATTAGCTGGAAGAGAAAATGGCAATCTACCAGTGTTTCCGAGCAGTCTCACATCTCCTTTAATGGTAAAAATTACAGCAATTAGGTCATATACTGAAATTTTGTCTGATGAATAAAAGACATATACCTGGTAAAACTCGGAATCCGTACACAGGAACCGGTTGCAGTTTGTCATCTTGTGATTTTTCTTTTACAGTTGGCGAAACGGGGTACGGCGGCCTCATTGGTGACCCGCACCTCACCCCTACTTGGAGAGATGGCTTACGGAAGAGTTGAGGTACAGGTAATGTTGAATTTGGTTGAGCATAGTGGTTTGAATAGCACCCATTGTACACAGCAAATTGACCACAAACACCCTGGTGCAACAGATTTTATTTTATACATTTTTTTAAAAATGTATGTTTTATAAAGTATATATTCATACCTGTGGCGTATGAGGGGGTGTTGGATGAGCACAGGGTTGCTGGTACTGGAGAGCAACAATAGGCGCTGGGCAATTAGCAAGGTTGGTGCTAAAATACCCTGGCCCGTTGCCCGTTGTTCCACCACTATTGGTTTGTCCATTATTGGTCATCCCTGAGCTGAATTTAAAATGAAGTAAGAATACAAATATTTAAATGTTTTAAAATTTTAAAACTTACCTGCTATAAGATGGAGTATAGTACATATGTATGGTAGAAGGTGTGTAAGGAACACATTCTGGGTTTGAACTTGAATACGGTGGTCCATAACAACCTGCATCAGAAACATTTAAAGTAAAATTTAACTGGTAACACGTAAACAGGTTTTACTGTATTTTTACAAACCTGCATGCTCGGGAGGCAAATGAGGTAGAGGTTGTGGTGCAGTTGCAGGTGGTGGGGGAGGAGGAGGAGCCATATATGCTTGGGGTGTAGAACATAATTGTGATGAAGGTGGAGGTCCTTGGTATCGATTGTTTCCTGGCCCAGAATTGTAGTACATTGGTACGTTTGAGTGTGGCTAAAAATAATGCATATACATTTATAAATATATATATTTTTTATATTTAAATACATTATAACTGTTTGTCCATTTATAGTAGTATTAAAATAAATTCTGCTAATTCTCTGCATAAACTATGTCAATTCAGATTTAGCTTAATTACACATTTATTGCTAAGATCATTAAAATCTGGCAATATTTACGGGTTTCTTAAATTTTAATAATTTACTTTTGATCGTCTGCAATTATACTTGGTCCCCCTTTCTCCCTTAGTGTTTTTTTAAATTAATTTATTTTTTAATGAGGGTATTTCAACTATGAGGTAATATGAACAATTATACACTTGGTCCCCCCCTTTCTCCCTTAGCGATGGTTTTTTTATTTTTTTAATGAGGGTATTTCAACTAGAGGTTATATGAACCCTTGGGTTGCCTGTGTTTTTTGGGGCCCATTACCTTACAGAAGTCATGAATGCCGTGTCAACATCTAAACCATTGTGGCCATCGACACCCCAAATCTATCCTTTAATAAGATATGAAGAAGCATGTTGACACTCACATTTTACAAAGTAATGAAAGGACATAGTTGAGAAAGAAAATAGAACAATCTATAGACTTTAGAAGTAACTAATTTTTAATGTGAAAAAATTGGATTCTAACCTGCAAGTGATGAGGTTGCCAGTACATGATCTGTCTGTTGTCAGCAGGTTGTTTATTTCCATCAAGAGAAAGGCCCATCATGTATCCAGAAAGTTCATTATTTCCATTTGGATTTCCCTCCTAGTGAAAATAATATAAATAAGTTTTTACAAAAAATAGATTTAAGACATTTATCTTACCTGCAAGCGGGGATCGTACTGCTGATAGTGCATTGGTGGAGCGGGAGTCGGTTGAAGAGGGTAAACAACTGGATGATACTGAGGAGGAGGTACTTCATTGGATTGCAACATTGACTGATGGAATTGAGGGGGCGGTGGTTGGCACAAAGATGGAGGGGCCAAGTAGCCACCGTTGCCTCCGCCGTTGTATCCACTTTCTACGATGGTTTTTCCGACGTCTGGGTTTGACTGTTGTTGGGTTGGCGGGTGTTGACTAGAAACATTGGCGTTCACGATAGTATTGTTGTCAAGAGATTCTGAAAATTAAAAAACCTATTTAGATTCTCAATTTAGAAAAAAAGCTTATGTATATATAAAACTGTACAATAATAATAAGAGTTGTTTAAAATTAATCTTTAATTATGAAGATCAATCTACTAAAATTTTTAAATTTAGTCAATTTAGATACAAATTATTCCATAAAATGCGAAAGTAAACAGATGTCAAAAGATGATTTTTTCAAGCGGGCTCTTCAAATAATTATTATTATTTTAGGGATGTTTTAAGAAAAAAAAAATGTGTAAAACATATTTACCATTTATATAGGGTAATAGTGTTAAAGCATTTGCTAGTTTAATAGTTGATTAAATTAAGTATAAAATTGCCTATTTTGTTTAATAGAATCTATGCCTTTAGTCATCTTTGAATACACAAAATTTTAAATAATAATACTGAGTTGGTAAATTTCTGTAACTTTTAAAAGCTTAATATTCAGAAATGTATACAAATAATGAACTAGTTTTTGGACTGATGACCATTTTCAATAAGTATAAGTTTTATTCATTCCCATAAGAATCACTGAATAATTGCTCTGGTTCATGTAATATATTAAAAATAAAATAAATAAATCACTTTTAATAAAACGATTGCTTATACCTCCTTATACCCCACCCTCAGGAAAACATAGTTCATAATTATCTTGAAAGGATATTTATATAAGCCTTATACGGCAAACATGCATACACTAATTGATCAATTGACGATAATTATCGATAATAAATTTTCTTAAGAGATATAAAAATACTATCTGTTGATCAAATAGCCAACAGTTAGGTGTAATAAAAAATTGTGTCATGTGTACAATTTACCACCATGTATGTACAGCAATGTTCTTTCTCCTCAACAGAGTGTAATTTTAAATAATCAACTTTTAATCCCAGAATCAAGAGTTCTATTGCGTTGTTTTTCTTATAATAATTAAATACAACTAAATAGACCTAATAGACAACACCTATAGCAGGAAACAACAAATTTATTTAAGATTTCTGGACAGCCGCTTTAAAATATATATATATATGTTTAAAATAAATAAATATATATATATATAAAACCACAAAATCGGGAGAGATTTTTATGAATTTGAATTTCCTTACAATGTTAATAATAGTGTTCATATACGTGTATTCCAGTTCCGTGCTCTTGATATGTATTGTAATCGGTAGAAAAATTTTCTTGTTTAAAAGGCTCAAGAGGAGGCCAATCGTAATAATCCAAAGCAATTGTAGGTTCTGGCACGGTGGGTGAAGAATAATAATATGTCGTTCCCGAGTTTTCTACCGAATATATTATCGAGTTTGCCTCTTGTTGTGCTTTTGCTAAGCTGTAAGCACTTACGAACTGAGGCACACAGACCTGGTCATACAAAACCTGGGGGATATAGTAGGCTTGGTCGTATTCGAAATCCGCATAATTGTAAAACTGAGGATGTCCGTAATATCTTGACTTGCTCCCTCTGCCTTTAGCACCTCTTCCTTTCTTATACCTCACATTCCACTCACCATGCTTGTGCAGAGGTGCTGTCGCCTGAGACGGAGCCACTCCGTTTGCACCTTGGCCAATTGTAGATTGAGCTACGTCCCCAGAGACCCTAGGAGGATTTGCAGGGTCATAATGATAAATGCTTCCATCAGCATTAGTGTACGGTTGTCCAGTCTGAAACAAATCAATAGTTTACTAAAAACTTAAACACATAAAAAACAAACAAAAAAATTGTGAAAGCAAAGGACAAGGTATGTACATATCTTCAACAAATACTTAGTGAGAAGTCTCTTCCAGGTTCTTACTACTTTAGTAAGCATTAGCAATCATTACAATTTTTCATAATACATTTATAATAATAATCTATTTAAAATTAACCTTGAATTACATGTAAAGAATTGATACACAAGTATATCAGAGTGAATAAAAAAAGAAAAGAAAAGTTGTTAGTGTCAGTAGCGAACTATTGCTCTATGAATTTCAATCCTAACACTTAAAAGAATCAATGGTGCCCAAAAACCCAATATAACCTTTATCACCTTATAAATGACACATGAAAGGGTAAAAATTTACATTTGTAATTAATTTAAATTCTAATTTTTATAAATTATAGAAATAATTGTGCCATCAGTACATTCTTATATTGCACTATTTATTTTCATGAAAAACATACACCCCTTTTTAAAAGTGTAAATTTTTTTGGTTTTGTCTTTTTTACAAGGGTTCGCAATAGCAGAGGTCATATCAACCCTCAGGGTTCAGTGATTTTGAAAGGATAAAAAAGAAGCCCATTTGTAAGTATGTCAGGTTTAAATGCAGGACTGCTGGATTCGAACCCCGAGACTTTTACCTTACAATGATGAGCGCTGAAGCTGCTGCGGCCACTGATGCCCCTTCTAGTTGTTATGCACCTCTTTCATGGAATTTAAAAGTTTAAATGGAGGAGGTAAAGCATTTCTTAGTTAATAATAAAAATAAAACATAATACAGTTCTTGTTTAATAAAAAAAATGTGTTTTTAACATGCTTCTCTAAATAGCAGTTAAACAAAATATTTGCATAAAATCAGGGTCGCAATTGAACAGAAACAAAAATAAATAAATTGAAGGCATGAAAATATTTTCAGCATGCTTAAATCGGGTGAACGATAAGAATTAAAATGAATTATGTGAGCGGATAACAAATAAAAAAGAAAGCTGTTTTGGACTCGGTCATATGAGATTTTGTAACCCTTCAGTTCTCTTTACCTGAGGATGTATTAGCATCGAGCCGGGAGGAACTGAAGCAAGATTAGTCACTGCCCAAATAACTGTGTCCGGCTCTGGTGAAAGTGCTCCACCACTCTGCCCAGACAACTGTACACCAAATAAAACTATTCTCATATTTTGGAATTTTCTTTTGAAAAGTCTACTTCTCAATAGTCTTGCTTTTTTAACTTATTTTATATTCTACTTTTGAACTTTCATTCAAATAATAAGGTAGAAAAAAAGGGAATCAAGAATTGTGTGGATATCTTGAGGACGTTTCAGAAGTCTTGGTAGAACAAAGAACTTTACCTGAGTATGAAGATTAGGTGTTGCTGTTGGTGATGGTGTGGCACTTAAAGTGGTATCTGACCTTTGTGATTTATACCCAGAACTTGATGGTGATATGCGAGAAGACATACTACTTCCAGAATCTATTAAAAATAAAATGGAACAAACTTTTATACTTTTAATTTTAAAATTTTATAATTGAAATTACCTTGTTTAGTTAATATTCTTGTCTGTTGAGGAGGATCATAACCGTTAAAACTGTGAGACTTGGCAACAGAAAGCCGTAGAGAATTTTCCCTTAATGTGTCTCCACTTTCATACGACTCTACTTTTAAAAGGCGTGGAGGGTTTCTGTAATAAACAATTTCAAAAGAATAAATGTTCAGATTAAATATATAAATTCTTATATTGACTGTTTTTATTTTAAAAGAGCAAACCTTTCTTTGTGTTTACTATGTTCGCATTGGGAATTGCAGCAGAACCCTACTTCAAAACCCCACGGGTCTTCATCTTCATCACCCTGTTCACCGTAGCAGTCAATTTCTCCATCGCCCTGTACATAATGAAGAGACTACGTGTGAACACGAATATCAAGTTGATTTTCACAACAGGCTTATATAGAAAACAATGCTACTAACTGAATGCTCTCTATTGAATATCCTCCTCCTAGCTTTCTCGTATTCTTCTTCACGCTCTTCAAAACTTTTACTCCTTCTTGAATCACCGTTAAGCATCCTTTCCCCTGACTGAAACGATTTTTATCAGTATTAGGGCAATTAATGGGAACATATCAAGGGCAGCTTCGCCAGAAGCTTGGCTTAGTTCAGAGTGTGCAATTTCAGTTAGAATTGTGAATGTTCATCCAGAGAAATTTTGAAGACCCCTTGGAAGAAAAACCATTTTCGAGCAATTAGGGTATGGATATTCAATGATATGCATAAAACTGTGAAAACCTTATAAAACTGCTAAGGTCAAAAGTATAGAGGACATCTAAAGTTTATTAATGATTACCACATGGGAAAGGCATTTAATCATACATATTATACATGTCTGTAACCTAAAGGATTGATAAAAGTATCTTAACATCATCTAAAAAGCAAAAATGACAAATAATATCAAGTCAAATATTTTTACTAGAATTATATTTTCTTTGTTGATCTCTGTAATTATAAAGGGATTTGAATACATTTAATTTTGTCAATTGTATATTTGACTTTTTAAATGACTTATAATTAAGAAAATTCTCACTATCTTAAGACTTAGTTCATCACAATTCTCAGTATAGTATTGTTTCAATTAAAGCAAAACAGTTCTTCATTTGGTTGCTTACCTTAAATGAACCAGTTTCTTCAAAAGATGAAGAATCTCTTTTTAAAATGGATCTCCTTGGTTCTTCGGGTAAAAGCAGATCGTCCCTAAAATACATAAAATTATACGAAACACTAATAATATTTATGGCACATCATTATTACCTGACATAATCCCTAAACCTTGTTTCTGGAATTCTAGTGGATTTGGTAGTATTTACAATAACAGATACTCCGGACGTGTCGACGTTATGCTCCATATTAAAGTATGCAGCAACTCTATGAACGAGCATCCGTTGATAAGAAGACATTTGAGCAAATTTATGCATTGTACGTCTAAAAACAAAACAAAAAGTTTTTAAACTTGCCCATGTATTACATCACACTTCTCTCTTACTTTGGATCTTTTGCTAATGCGACCAAATCACTTTCAATCTTGAGTAGCAGCATTCTATCTTTGTAATTTCTGTTGAGCGTGTCGACAATAAACTTGTGCAAATCAACTTGGCTGCTCCCTTCATATTGTTCACGACTATTACCTTTAGAATTATTATAAAAATAAAATAATTTTAAAATTAAGATATCAATATATGTACGACAATCATAGGACTAATTTAAAAAAAATATATTTTATATTAAATGAACAAGTTTCTGTAAAGAAGTTGCTTCACATGGCGATGGGATATATAAGATCTTAATAAAAAATATGTATACTATTGTTTTAATACAGCTAGTACATTACCCTCAGTCTCATATTCATTGATCAAAGGTTGAGAGTAACAAGCCGTTGAGACAGTTTCATTTAAAGGGTCCTTTTCGTCAGAACGCGGATTTTGAATAAGTTCACATTCTAGCATAGCTTTAAAAAATCAGTATTTTTAGTGATCAGGTACCTTTAAAATAATTTCCTTCTAAATGTCATGTACAACAAAGATTTATATTGGTATTTTACACTGGTATTAATTCCTGCAAGAAGCTGAATGTCAACAATAAATCAACATTTGATAAAAAAAAATCACATATGATTTTGTTAACTTTTATCAGTTAAATTTTTTAGTCAAAGTGCGAGAATAGTCAAGAAAAAATGCATCAAGGAAGAGCATAAATTTGCAAATTATGAAACACAAAGGATAACAATAGGATTGAAAATACTGGTGAAAAATCTTAAAAAATGATTTCACAATTTTCATCGAAATCGTGAAAAAATAAAGAAATGAAATTGATATGTTGAAGTGGACTCAATTACCCCTAGAGAGAGGAGGGTGATCCCAAGTTTCAGAGGATGATCCTTCCCTGCGCAACTTGTGTCTCCGGTTCGTTGTACTTTGTTGTTGAACTTGATTTGGGATAGGAGGCAATTGTTCTTTTGTCGGTGAGGCTACGGCGCCTGGTTCCGTCGTATTCTGATGTGGATCTGGAGGGGGAGACGTTTCTTCCCGTACTGCATGACTCCTTACTAATAACTTAACTTTATTTTGTGACTGAAAGAATCAAGATATAATTTTACAAAAATGTTACACCTGCTTTTAAAGCCATATATGCATTATATTATATTCACCCTAGATCGATGTAGAGTGTTACTGGGCGGTGACACTTCTTCAGAAGGTGTGCTTTCTTTTGTTTCCAAGTTTTTGTTGTCTTCATATGTGGCAACTTCATGTGCTTCATCACCTTCATCCTTATTAAACATTAAAATTTACAAAAAAATACATAAATAAAAATTGATGAATATAATGAAAACGTAAATGAAAAAAAATACTAACTTGTTTGGAAAGTGACCTCTGTGTCCTTAGTGTCCGCTCCATTCCTTTAGTCCCGTTTTGCACAACTATACTTGGAACTGCAACAAAAACAAATGTTTACAAATTGTAAATAAATAAGACAGTGGTTTTATTTTTTATTTTTCAAGTACATAAGATTAAAATTGTTAATATTATTTTTTTAACAAATAATAAAAACACATTGTAAAATGAAATTGAATATGCTGATTTTACTGCAACTATTGTTTTTATTATTTATTTGTGTTATACTTTCACAAATGTACATAATGAACACTATGACTGAACTACTAAATTACTTTATTTATCTATGGTTATGCCCATTATTTCCAATGTTATTAAGAATCACTTTCCTAACTAACATTATAAATTAGAATGTTCACCCATTTAAATTTTCGTTACCAACAAAAGGTTTTTTAAACTACAAATGATACAAATACATAAGATTTTTAGTTTAATCTTTTACGAGGATATTTTAACTGTGCATATATGAACCCTCGGGGTGCCGGTGTTTTTTGGGGAAAAAAATAATGCAGGGCTACTGGATTCGAACCCAGGACTTTTACCTTACAGTGATGAGCGCCATGTGAACGCCTAAATTGTTGCGGCCACCGATGCCCCCCTCTAAAAATATCGTTTACAACTAAACCTTATATTACTTATTTCTGCATATACGTCAATTTACTAATGCCAATTGGGTGAATACCAATCTATAGAAATATCAACGGTTAATATAAAAAGTGTACAAAATAAAAATGTACCAAAAAGTAGGTTGCAATACTATGAGATCATATTAAATAATACAATTTTTGAAACTAAAGAGGGGTCATGCAGAATTACTTTTTTAAAGCTTTGAAAACATAAAAGAAAGAAAAAAGAAACAACTTGGTTAAAACACACTATAATAAATGGATATATTATAAAATGATGTTAATATTTATTAATAAAAAGGAATCGAGAACAGGCCAATCTCGAAAGATTCAATGAACTTGGGTGTTACAGTATTTTGATTTTTCTAAATGTTAGAAAGAAATACTAATGTGCAATTGACTTAGAAGAAGTGGGGTACAAAATGGAAGTTACTATTTTTACTCACTCTCAAGTTTGGTCATATCTGCTGACCTTTTACATGAAGAAATGTCAATCACCTGCAATCTGATAATAAAAAATATCATCCCTTTTATTTCTGCATGGTGTTTTATAAATGATAAAACTATATTTTTAAATAGAGAAATAATTTGAATTATTTTCTTCACACACCAAAATCAAATAACACAACAAGCTTTGGTCGCAGTAAAACACAATTGTTTTGTCTTTGCCAGAACGCTATGATAAAAACAAAGAGTTAACTCAATGATGAAGGCTTTGAATTACATAGTATTTTAACCTATTGAAAGGTACTCAAAATTAAAATAAATGAATATTGCTATAAACCATAGCTTTTTTTAATACCATTATCATGATCCATTCGCTTGTAAAATACAAATTTGTATTTCTGGTCAAAAGAAGATGCAAATGACTCCAACTGTTTCAAAAATTGGAATGTGGTAATACTTTAGAAATCTTCTGTCCCTTGTTTATTCGTTTTCGTATGGTCTTTTTCTGTCTCTTATTTATTCTTTTTGTATGCTCTTTTTTAATGACAAAAAGTGTATAAATTTTTCATCTAATGTTTTCCTTTGTATTGCACTTATTCAAATAATGCACTACTATCATTTCCTTATATACATACTTCAAATTGTCTTTAGTTTCTCTTCCTTTACCCATTCATTGAGCCAATGTAATTTTTTTAAATATTGCTGATTCAGGCTAGAATAATAAAATTATTGAAGAATAGAAAAAGTCAAGCCTCTGTAGGTATGCAAAGGCTACAACAGTTAACATAATTAGCCTGTGAACTGTACTAGACTTTCTGATGTTGGCACTTAACTAGACCTGCACGTCCAGATCTGCACACCAGAGGTAAAACGACTTGGGATGGTGTACAGAAATGGGTGTGTGGAGTGACTGTTGTCTCTTTGGAAACTTGCAATGACTAGATATTCATTTAAAGGTGGCTCTATACATGGTTTGGCTGAATGCTGCCAATATTTGCCAAATAGCATGCCTATGTTTACACAAATGCGGGGTTCATACAACTACCCAGTTTGTGTGGAAATAGTGAATATTCGCCTAGTTCCATGCGAGTCCTTGACTTACTACCAATCGAGCTGGACAACAGTGAAACTGTCTTGCTGCAGTTGCGGTTACTGCTTTGTGTAGTGTCTACAAACAGTCACAAATCAGTCTAAGAGTATTGTTGCCCCTCCCCATGTTTTGAGTTCGGCTACTTCACAATATTCGTGCACTTTGAAACAGAGAAGAAAACCGACAATTAGCCGAGCATGGCGAGCACCAAATATAGTCGCTAGCCATTCGGCGAATCCCGCATGTCTGGAGCTACCTTAAGGTTCCTTAACTGTTGTGAGGTACACTGAGGATGCTGTCAACACCTCTTTTATTATTTTTAAGCACAACAATGCAAGTATCATTTGACTGACGATATTTGATAAGGGTTTCCATTTATACTTCAAATGGCCAATTGGTATTCTTGACCTAAACACTTGAAGAATGAGCTGTCCATTATGAAAAGACACCCAATGGTGTTGGACACTTATGAGCATGCAAAAATGGCTTTGCTGGAACATAATCCAGCTAACCAAACTGTCATTAAGACAAAAGGAAGAATCACTTAGTGCAAAGCTAATTTTTTCTAACTTACAGTTTCACGTAAAGCTATTTGTTTTAATGTCATAAATAATTCCGCCACAGTATCTGAATGAAAAAGGGTTTCTGTCTACTGACTCACAGTTTATAATAGTAATTACAGATACTTCTGACCTATTAATTTTTAATAGCATAATTCAAAACCTCAACTTTTATAAAATGTGTTTTTTCATTTGAGTATTTTGCTAGAGTATGCTTGGAGTTTCATGGAAATGTAATACTCAGGCATGAAAAGAGTTGAATGGAGATATTTAGTGAGGTGTTGACACTGTTTTATAACTTCTTGTACATTAGGAATGACAAGGTAACTGTACATGACTGAGATACTAATATACCAAGGGCATTGGATAAAGAAATAAGGCATGGTTTTGGTGCATCTGTATTTGGCATATTTGGCTGTTGCTGGCTTGCCTCCAAAGTGTGCATCCACACTGTAATGGAGTAAACGAAGTGCTAGAGACAGTTGTCTTTTTAAATGTAAAATGATGTTTCTGTGGTTTTCCCTGAGTTTGACTGTTTTTGAAATTCAATGGTTTATATTAAATAATTCAGAAAAATGGAATAATAATTAAATATTTAAATAATAAGAGGGCCAGCTTTTTTTGCTTTGAGTTTGTAATATATTTTTATCAGTATAAACAGAAAAACTGTACAAATAATATTTTTATTACTTAAAATGTCTTCTGAGGTAACAAGGTTTTAACTGAATTTAATTCTCTAATAAAAGAAACATGATTTCATAAATACATCTTAAAAAAATTATGTAACAGTAAATTTAATGTTTTTTTATTGACAAAAGTGTATGTTTCAATTGAAATGGTTTATGCTCCTCCTATGAATTTAATGATGGGAGTCTGGACATCCCCCTCTTCATTGCTGGGCAATGGCCCAGATAAACAGGGTCAAAGTCTGGTAGATGTTGCTATGGTGACTACTACTCCCTCACACACACACACACACACCTCTACCTACCCCTCTTACGCTCTCTTTCTCTCTCCCTTCTTCAGTATTGATCCCAGCACAACTCTCCTGGTATAGTGACCCATTTCCATGCCACCCTTCCTTTATTTATCTTTGCCAACATTATTTATCCATCCCCCTTTGCCGAGCCGCGGCGTTGCACCTCGATTTTAAATTGCACCCCAGGGCGAAGTAGAAAAGGTTCCGAACGATTTTTCGAACTGATAACCAGTGTTATTTCCACGTCTGGTAGAGAAGTATAAAACTCCGAAGTGTCTGCCGGTTTTTATAGGCGGGTCGGGTTTTTCTTTTATACTGCGGCCTAACACGGTTTAAAACCGGGCTGCAGATGTTTTTACCGTTCAGCTAATCGCAGAACATCCATCTGCAGATTGATCGTCCACCGGTCGTCCCGGCCGTCTAGTCTCGCTTGTTTCGACCGGAAACGGCGAATACACGTTGACCAGAATGATCAAACAGCTTATGAACTGTTTTAGTTGACAGTTGAACATTTTGGTACATTTTTTAATATCAGGCAATCTAACATCTAACGTCAAGTCTCGCATGTTTCGACCGGAAACAGCGAGTACACGTTGACCAGAATGATCCAACAGCTTATGAACTGTTTTAGTTGAAAGTTGAAAATTTTGGTACATTTTTTAATATCAGGCAATCTAACCTGATAATTATTGATTTTAACTAGACTCTACTGTCCTTAATATCCATTTAGACGGAGTGTACAAAACGTAAAGGTCCCGACTTGGGATCAGAACATACCGTGTACACAACGCCATCCCTCAACAAAAAAAAAGTATAAATACATTATAACAAATAGCGAGATTATCTTTTCTGTAATAATATTAATAATATGTAAATACAGACAAGTTATCCGCAATTTCACTTATCCGCGGTTGCCCCCTAGTTGAGTTCTAGAGGAGAATGGTATATGGTGAATCACAGAAAAAAAACCCTGAGCGTAATAGAATGGAAAAAAACATAAATATGTATTAATTCATATATTGACCATATGTATGTTTGCGATACAGAAAGGGTCTGGGTATGCAGAAGAAAATGCTTCAAGGCCTGAATTTTGATGTGCTTTGTACTAACCGCGATGATGCATGGTACACCCACATGTAATTTTATAGTATATTTAAACAGTACTGACATCCAACAGTGTTTATAACAGAACGGCTCGCACTTATTCTGACCATTGAACAATCAAAATCAGCAAAAATCTTATCAAATTTCGCCAAAACAAACAATACCGAGGAAAAGGCGTAAAACGAAAATATTGTACATTTCATGAAAATGCAAACCTTAATACGCCAGTTTTCAAGGCTTAACTATTCGCAATTTAGAAAATATCTTTGAAAGCAAGGAGATCCAAATGGATAACAAGTTAAACCAATTGATTTTCATACATCCGCTGTTTGCTATTTTTATTTTTTTTATTTATAGAATGTACAGCAAATCCCAACAATATTGACGTTTCCATAGCAATGTATTTCATATATATACACATGCAAAACAAAAAAAAAACTCAGAACTCAGAACCAATCTTAATAATGAATACACCAAGGGAAAAGGAAAATTTAGCTTAGGTCTTCTCTAAATCACGATTCAAATGTGAGCTATTAATTTTTCTGGAATCACAGAACGCAACTTGACAACCTTAAAAATAATACAATTTCCCGCGCAGGTGCCCCTTATGCAGAGAAAGAGTGTTCGGTATGCCCCACATATTAGAAGCTTGTCAATCCTTGGCTCCTTACAGAAAGCGTGTAGGCATGCCGCCGAATAAAAGAATGGTTCTCAAACACAGTATCGAGTTTCTGGGCTTCCCACTGCTTACTTTTACTTTATACAGGGCTGATATTTGTATTTTGTGGTTATGTGTTTTGCTGAAGTGCATGTATTTATTAGGGGGTTAGGGGTGTTGGTGAAATGTAGCGAAACCTTTGCCCCTCCAGAAGTGCGTGTGTTTAGGCAAAAAAGTACCTCATCGTCCCTAATTCGATTTATATTATTAATATTGCGTGTATGTCGATGGACTTCAAATATTCCTCCAACTAATCAGAATGAGTACAATGTACATAGGTATGAATGTACTTGTGCGTCTGTATTATAAAGTCAGATGACCTATGATGACCTAACTATCGAAAGCCCACGTTAGAGTATAACTACGTTGGGAAGCGACAATCTCCTGTGCAATGGCTTAAGGGCGATACTAGCCATTTAAATGGGTAGGCGAACCCCCCCGAAGTACCCTAGGGTAAGCACATCGTGGAGTTTCAACACTTCGGGGTGAAAGCCCAATAATTAAAATTAAAATGTGTGGTTGTATTCTGATCAAACAAAACTAAACTTCTGAAGAACATTGACAAGGTTTCTTCCCCAAACACCAGTACATACAGTACAAATATATATAATTAAACAAAAGAAGGTTTTTGCAAATGTAATATTAAATAAAGGAATGACATGACAAAATGTTATTCTTTAGACAGGAATTTTGCACTCAGAAACACTTTTCTCCCTCCTAATGTTTCACCTAACGTTTACTTTCATTAATTGCATTATTAAATATATCTAGGAGATCGGTTTAATCCAAAAGGTCAATTAAGTTTTGTTTTGAAATGGGGAAGTCTATAAATAAATAAAAAATTCTAAGAAGTCTAACAAATCGTAACAAAGTCATTTAAATATGAGATATCGAGAGAAGAGGGTCAATGCATGACTACAATCCCTCTTTTTATCAATTTTAATTAAGTTTATTGTGCAATGATACACTCTTGCTGCCGTTAAATAACTCGGTGATATATTATGTCATTAAATGAGGACTTAAATTGTATTACCTACCTTGGTAACTAGGCTGTTGGGACGGACTTGTATGATATCCTTCTGAAACATGGCTGGCCTCTGGAGACCTTTTCTTCCAGACTTTTGTGTACGATCGTTTTCGTCCCGTTTTTATTCTGGAAAATGGGCAAATAAGACAAAGTTAAAACGATTGTACTGGACTGGACGTTCAACAAGGGAGGGAAAGGGCGAAAGGTACTCGTGCAACGGTCGCCCTAAGCAGACTGATCCGGCCGAAAAGGGTAATCTGGGCAAGGATAAAACGGATTCCGCGCTTTGTAAAGCAGGTATACGAAAAGGGCTACAACAAGCAATTTCAAGCAACTTGACATTTATACCATGCCAACTATTGCAAATCCTTCACGAATTACTACAATATGAATATATGGGTGTTTTATCATTGAACGTACTACAATGAACAATTTATCTGATGGGTCCGCCTGTTTTCGCTTTTGCGGTGTTGACATTCCTCTTGACCTTTCACGGATCAACAAGATTTTAGAACAGTAAAATTTCTACGTATTCTTCATTCCTCACATTTCTCATTATCTTCTTCATTCTGGTATCAACCGATTTCAGAAAATAATCACTAATCTTATTCCGAAGTTTCCACAAATACATAATCAGTAATTCTTTACAAACCATTATATCATATCTCCTATCTATACATAATAATTAATTTTTACTGTTTTTTTTTTTTTCTATTGCTAGGCTGTCTGTACCTCAGGGCCACGTCAATTGTGGATAAAATCACCCAAATAAACAGTAATACACAGAAACAAGATAATGTGGGAGTTTTGTTAGCTTTCACACTACCCCATAGTACTCAATATTCTTCGGGTAATTGGGGATATGCCCCTCCACTCACGCTAATAAATTACGCTAGTTTTTACTGACAGGTAATAATTTATTGGATTCGTGAGTTGCCGTCAAGAATGGGGTAGTTTAGAAAAACTTTTTCATTTTTTTGCCGACGTTCCGACCTTTATTCAGTCATCTTCAAGGGCAGGGTGAGTTACAAACCATATGTAGATTGGAAATAATACAACTTAAAATGTAAATATAAACTCTGAACCAAATATTTCATACTCACATAAAGTGCGGTGCTATGCTTGTGGTGTCATATTGGTGTTGTATGAAATTATTCGTGTATGAAACGTGAAATGTATAAAAACAGCAGAATACAAATTCACGTTTCACAACAATTTCACACAACACCAATGACACCGCAAGCAGAGCACCGCAATTTATGTGAGTATGAAATATTTGGCTCAATGTTTATATTTACATCTGTATTGTATTTTTTCCAACCAACCTATGTTTTATAATTCACCCAGGCCTTGAAGATGACCCGAATAATGGTGGAAACGTCGGCAAAAAAATGAAAAACGTTTTTCTAAACTCCCTCATTCTTGACCGCACCTTACGAATCCAACAAATTACTAATAAATTACATTCACATTACACCAGAGTATTCGATATTTCTCGGGGTAATAGGGAATAAACCCTGCCATTCGCGCTAATAAATTTCATTCACACAGTCACACTACTGGAATACTCGTTATTTCTGGAGGTAATAGGGGATAAACCATGCCAGTCACGCTAATAAATTACATACACATTCACACTACCCAGCTTCTTACGTTTGTCTTTTATAATAATCCATATGTTTTTTATCTGGTCCTAACCAAACTAATGATTTAAATTTATTTATAATTTTTATGTAAAGTATGGTTAAGAAGAAAAATTAGTGTCACGAGCGGGATCCGAACTCTCTAAACATACGCCAAAAAGAGGGAACTTTAAAATGTTTTAGGTTGAAATGACAGGGGACCTTAGTTACGCGGTATATAGCCGGAGGTCGTGGGTTCGAGTCTCGCTTTCATTTAACCTTTTACCATCGTGCAGGTTACTTTCACAACTAATTTTCCTTTTTTTAATGTATAGTTATTTTCTTATGTTTGTATTTTGCAAAATGTATATTGCATTTTGGGGATCTACCCGTTTAAAAAAATAAATAACAAATGATTCCTGAATCGATTTAGAAGAGATTAGCTCTGGGTAGCAGAATTTTACAATGGCATATTCAAGGATCATTATTTAAGTAATCCTGATCTGAATAACAGTTCGTGTTCTGTAAGATTTCTTTACGTTTCCTTCGACCATTTCTCAAAAGGCCAACTCTTTAAACAGCCCTGCTGTGAAATTCGTGCGCCCTTGGAAAAAAGGTCAAGATTTGGTCTATTCATCATACTGTACATACACAAAATTGATAGTGAAAATATGGTGCACTGAGACATAACAAATGGTCTTTTTCTCCATAGAGAATTGTTTAGTGTCGACGGTATTGACTGGTTCTTTGAATATAACTTGTGAATCATCATTAGGTCTGTAATTTAATGATCCCTTGTCACACGACCGATCAATCTGTGCAATACTGCAGTCAAATCTGCTTTATTTTCTAAAGTCGTTTAATTTTTCCATTCCACTTAAATTTTCGAACTTTTTCTTCTTATTTTCCACTTAAAAAAATGTTTTCCTGGATTTTTCATGTTAATTTTGTCTTCTTGGCCTAGTTTAAATGCTTCGCCAGCAGTTTACAACTTTTCGGTCTCTTAGTCGCAAATAAAATAATAGCGATAATTATCGCATTGCTATAAATTAAATATGCAACGTATAATAATCGTATCTAATTAGACGTATTTAATTGAGCTTTATGAATAAAATATTTATTTTTTCTCTTGCTTTTGTTATTTAATTATTCAACAATAACGGCATCTACTGGCAGAGGCATGAAATGTATTACTACAAATTCTGGAAAGAGTTGAAATAAATATAATGGGACGGTACCTATTAAAATGAGAGAAAAATCAACTTTGACAGACCCTTCCAAGAGAATAGATAATAAAGCCCTTTGGATGAAAGGTAGCTCCAAGTTCAAGGAAGGGGACCTAATATGATGTACTGATGAATCTAAGTTGGAAATGAAAGTAGGTGTAAGGGTGTAGGGGCAAAAGGGCGGATCTTACATTAGCGAAGTCCCCCTTCAATCAACCCCAACAATTTTCCAAGCTGAGGTTCATACAATGCAACTTTGTGCACAGTAGTTAATAAAGAAAAATATGCAACGTACACAGATTTACATACTGTCAGGCAGCCATAAAGGCACTAAATGTGTATGTGCTTTCAACGACAAGCTAAAAAAAGAAAGTACATGAACAGGCTGACCAATTAGCCAAACAAGGTGCAACCCTCTCACCCATGGGACCAGAACAAATACTGAGTGCACCGAAATGTGTGACTAAGTTGGAATTGAAAAAATGGGTGAGAAGAAAAATTCAAGCACTAGATAAAAGCACCAGGTATGAGGTATACTAAGGGATTTATAAATCTCTCAAAAAGTAAGGCGAAGGAACTCCTCTCTCTCAGTAGGCAGGATTTGAGAAAAAATACTTAGAATGCCAACTTAACCATCACATAAAGAAAATGGGCAAAGCAGAGACAGGAACATGCCGACTCTGTCAGGAGGAACCAGAGGCATTGGCACATATCCTTTGTGAATTTGAAGCATTGGCCCGGTTACGGTACAGCTACTTCGGCAAGGCAATGCTCTCACGAAAAGAGGTGGGCGAAGAGGAACCAAGGAAAGTGCTTTGCCTGTTAGAAAAAAGTGTACCTTCCAAGGTATAATTTCTAGGGATTCTACAATATATATAGCAGTGGAGGAAAGGTTTTTTCTTCTCCCCCAACTTAAAAAAAGTACACAAAATGTATAAACAATAGTGCTGTAATATTATATAAGTACAAATCGGCACAAATAGGCTAAGGTTAATAAATCATTCAACGCAAATCGAACAAGTATCAAGAAAACAAAATTACAATAACAGAAAAGGCTAAATACTTAATTCTGGTATTGTTTATTGCTGGTGTACAAAAGACAATTTCCTTTAGTTTTGCAGGCCATGTACAAATAAAAAGACAATTGTAAAAGCGTAAGAGAGAATATTAAGTCTTGAAACTGGTCATAAAGAATCAAATAATAAAATAGATACACCCAACTTCCTTGTAATAAATAAAATATATGACGTCGTAAAATCGGATGCCTGGGGGCCCATCATTCCAAGAGATGCCTATATGACCTATGCTGGATTCATTCGATCTTCAATAAATGAATATGTGAGATTAAATATCACATTTAGCACACGGATGAGCACTTTTTGCTTCAAAAAATTAAACATAAAATCCAGTAAAACAAAGGTATGTTAGTTCATGGACCATTATGAAGAAAAGACACGAGTAATTAATGATGTGCAGAAGGTGAGCAGGAAAAAACTGGGGATGCAGACCAGAAACCCTGCTCTGGCTGCAGCCCATGATGATGAGACGGCTCAATATCCTGGGTCGATAAAGTAAAACATTTAACAAATAGAAAGAACTCAAGACAATACAGACTCGTATGTGTTTAAAGAAGCGACGAGAACATGTACCAGAACTGGTATGGAAAAAATCTTGGGATTCCCACTTCGCCATATGATAATGAGGACTGCACAGAAAACTATTATTAACATCATCAAAGAGAAATCCTAATGCAGGAACATCGTTACTCGTGACTGCAAGAGACAACATGAACAGGATGTTTGAGTTCAAGCAAAATTTCTAAACAACGAAGTGAAACAAAAAATGGGAAAGAGGGATGGCCCCTTCCGTTGCGAACGTCACCATCTGTTGATAGATGTACCAAATTCATTCTGAACAAAGGGTACAACAACAATAACATCTATCATGTCAGATAGACGAGCATCCCTCAGAGTAAGTTCAAATATCATTAGCTGAAAGATGGTGCTGGTTTGAAATATTAACAGAATTCTTCAAGGAAGTTTTGGAAAGAAAGAAACAACAGAATGCATCAGGAAAAACTTCGAATCCTCAATGGATTTCTTGGCAAAACCCTGCGGACTGAATGGGCGTCTGTAAAAGATTGGTATAACACAACATTAGCAGATTCTGCAAAGAGGAGACACCTACTAACAACCGCGGTGCCACATTTGCTCGTAGGAAGAAGAGTTTGGGATGTACAACGTAACCGTAGACGAAATCCAAACACTTAAACTGGGCCTTCTAATCCAGTTCCTTGTTGAACTAGGACTCACCGGTGTACTACAAGCACAGAACGGAGACACAATAGCTCTTAAAGGGCGCAGCACACCCCAAATGACGCATCATCTACATCTAGGCCATGGAATTGACAAATAAAACATTATCATCATCAAATTAGTTTTAATACAGGGGGGAAAAAGAAAATTATAAATCACACATGGTCGGGAAATATTAGGTTCTTCTGGTCCATTAATGCCGAGTTTTACTCTCCAAAATCGCCCATGAATTTACCATATTCTAACCTGATCTTTCACCACCATGCCCTTTATGAAATAAAAACATATAAAGTTTTGTAGATCAACATAAGAAATGTAATTGTTCTTTATTATTACGCTAAAACATTAAAAAAAAAAGCAAGATTGATCTTGTATTTCACTTTTTGAGTGATCAAAAATTTTAAAAAAAATCATGCATACCTCGGACTCATGATAAATCAAAAACACAACAACAATGCTAATTAGAATATAACAATAAGATATCACAAGATTTCGGCCGTAAAAAATTTGTGCACGATCAGCGCTCAACAGACTAAAAGAAAAATTACAAGAACGGATTAGCCTAACAACACTTTTATCCTTCGTCTCCCAATAAATCGCGATAAGAAATAAATACTGGACACCTGACCGGTTGATACGACATTTACAAAACATAGGCAGGTTTGTTTAAATTAACTACAAACAAATTGTTGTCATTTGAAAATTAAAGAATAAAAATATGAAACAACTTTATAATCAAGTTATCTCTATAAAATGATATGAAATTATATGCCTAACTCTTATATATCACAATACCTTTATTATCGAAAGCTTTGATATGTTGATATATTGGCACGATTCGCTTTTATTTGGAACGTATATTTGCTTTAATAGTAATTTTATTATTTTAGTTAATTATCTGGGTTAAATGTTTTACGGCAGTTCTTTATAAAGGAATCAACATTAAGACGACTATTTTGGTCGAGGCTTTTTCCAAATCAGGTCATGAACAGCACCAGACGAAATATATCACAGGAAGGCAAGGAAACTTTCTGCTTTGGGATGTGAAAATAGAAATGTTTATACGAAAAGAAAGGTAAAGGATTTAAAAAAGGAAAAATTCTTCGGCCTGTTAATAGGTGCCATTGTGGGATGAAATTCAAACTTTCGACATATATAAATCATATAGTCTCCAAATCATAAGTGTACACGAAATTTATAAATTGGAGAAAGTTTTCTGTTAAAGTTTGCCCAGTAAACAAATTGAAGACAATCCGAACTGATGGCAAACCGTTGAATCTTTTGTGCTCGAAGCAAAGAACGAGCTGAATCAATAGAACTCGGGAAATCTTTAGGACATTGAATAAAGCTTAAAAGGCGGCATTTCCTCAAAACACTTTTTGTCATAAATGAAGCAACAAAAATCGTTATAAAATATCTAATTCAGAGGATTACAAGTCTATATATAAATTTACAGCTGAATCTTGGGACCCGACTGCCTGAAAGACCATAGAACCTATTCTTCTAATCAGCCTACTAAATTTCCCGTTCATTTGGACAGAATGTGTCGGAAAAATGTGTACTTTCTAAAACACTAGTGGACTATCTTTCAATTTTTGGAAAAGATAGTTCTACTCGTAAAAGTTACAACAATGACTTAGTACTATCTTTTCCAAAAAGTGAATTGGCATACTCCACCTCAAATCATTTTTATGTGATCCTTCTGTTCAACCCATAACTACACTATAATTTTGGTCAACTGTAAAACATATAGGTTAAAATAAACATGTATAAAATACATAATGCCTCCATACCCTTAGCAGTAAAGAGAAAACTGAGTGAATTATATGAAAGAGCTGAAACTTTCGCTGATAATTACAAAACCTGAAATAGTTCTTTGCCCAGATTATATTAATTGTTAAATTGATGTACGACCTAAAAATGACTGCATGGATTAATTATGGGAAATGAATTTCGCCACGATATGCCTGAAGTGCAATCAGCAGTTAAACCGGAAACATTGCAAACTGTTTTACAATTATTTGAATTTTATCTAGTTTTGTATCAGTTATATTTTATTTGTTTGTACCAACCGGATTTCTCAAAAGGAAGTTCTTCTGACATTTCCCATCAACGGTGATTCTTACTACTCAGCAAGATATGCCGTACGTTTTCTATTGATGAGAAATCTCTTGAGTTGTAGTGAGACTTAAAGCTAGATTGGATTATCCTACATCGAGTGGTTGTTTTAAAACATAGGCGTTTAAAATAAAACTTCAGTTAATATTTTCAGCCTTGCATGACACCGTGATCTACTATCCCTGTCACTACACATTTATTTACAAAACCGTGGCCCATTTTCAACCCCCATTGACCCAATTTCTCCTAAGGGATGGGGGGAAAACCTACTCCTGTACCTGAAAAAACATCCGGCGAAAGGTGTGCATACCTTGTAAAGCCTCGCCTCCCTGGAAAAACCGATTCGACGGACAAATCTTACGACGGTATGTTGTGGAAGGCTGCTGTCCTCAAATATAGGTTACGGAAGGGATGAGAATAACGGCCCCCCTTGGGTCGATAATCAGGTGTTGGGGCTGCGCCCTATATACACCCAGCCTAAATACTACAACCACCGCCACAGTCAACAACCCCTGACCTTAAGACGTTCAAAATTCGAATATAAGGGGGGAAAAAGTGTCATTTCGCTATCCAAAAGCAGGACGGGTCTACCTGCCCATTTATCCCTTCGCCCAAAGATAACTGTAAACTGCAAAGGCTATTGTACCTTTTAGCACAAAGGGCCAGAGGCCCCTCGGCCTTTATTGCAACACCTTATGGGACTCCAGTAAGAAAGCTCAAAATTTATATTTTCATCTAAAACTCACTTTTTCCCAATTGCACAACACTCTTTTTCGTTTGAGCATCGATACGAATTATTATTTATTCTTCTTATATAAACTATTATCAATATCAGCTGAACTATCTTATTAAATATTGACTATTAGTAATCTAGCACCACGTCCCTGGTTTAAACTTTATATTTTTAAAAGATCTGTCCAATTTTCATCCTCCGAACGACTATAAAACATAAACACCGAAAATCTTCAACGTATACATTCTTACATCAGAAGCTTTAAAGACTTAATTATAATCCATTATATTTAGTGATCTATTGACCAAATTACTTCTTTCAATTAATTATTCATTTTATGTAAGATTTTGGTTGAAATGATGTAATTAGGATTAATTGCACATTTAAGTTTTGTATGTTTGACGTGAGCCTCACGCTATTCCAAGTTGTCTAATTCGCAGAACGTTTATTAAATATGTCAAAAATACGGAATTTCTGCCGAGGAGAGTTAAAAATGAACTTTACAAGCCTAAACCGACCAACTGAGCCGATAAGCCCAACTTAATATAACCAATTCACCTTAATAAGTACCAAGTTTGAGGTTGATTGTCAAATATTGCCCAATGAAATCTGGTCGTCTCTCCTGAGCAATAAAAAATCGATAAAAACGTCAGCATTATTTGTCACCTAACTCTTGGCCTAATTAAAACTTTCAGATTTAAAGCATTATTCGAATAAATACAAACATAACAGATAATTTGGAACTTGCTAGAATTACATGATTAGATTTTACTAGCTTCTGTGGAACTTTACATAATCAGTTTGACAATCATGATTCGTCATTTATGTGAATTGTACCGAGAAGACATGAAAAGGAACCTGGCAAGCTCGAGGGACTTGCATCCCTCTCAAACTGAGGAAGTCCCAATGCCCCAAAATTGTCGTGGGACACGTTTAATAATTCGCAGAATTGTTTATTCGTTTAAAGAGATTTTCAGATTACACGGCTGACATATTTTATGAAGTACTACTTGTGAGAAATTAAAGAACCTGCACCCGGTTTTATCAATAAGTGTCGTTTAATCACCCTGTGTAACACGCCATCGTCCATTGTCACATAATCGGTTTTACTTTCTTTTCAATCAACGATTTTTTCATACACCCGAGTGAAACTGCATGAGTCGAATTTTCTGCCCAGGGACCTCTACAAGAAAATATATTTAAATCCGTCCCAAAAATGGGAAGTCAGTAATCCCATAATCTTTCTTCTTTTTTAAAGACTCAAGAGATTTCAGGGTTGAGAATATTTAATATTTGTTTGAAAATAAGGGACGCGCTGTTTCCAATAGAGCCGGTTGGGGGAAATGAAAGATAACAAAAAAATTACCAAATTTGCCCCTCATCGAGGTTAACCGGTAGTACACAAAATTACATATTTTTAGTAAAAGAACGTTAAAAAAGGGCAGTGGATTTTTGAGAATACGCCGGCAGTTGTTAGAATCTAAGTTAGCCAGGTTTTAAATACTTGAAAGCGAATTTACAATGGAACTTACTAATAATGATTTTTGCTGGGTAGTTTCTGAGAGACTTCGTTTTAAGTTTGATTTTCTGCCCGGTTGAGCGGGTGGGCGACACAAGATTTGGAACTTTGCATATTCCGGTTATTGTTATAACAAACCATGTGGAATTTGTCAATGTATACAAATCTCGCAAGACAAGAATCGACTGTCTGCACAATTTTTCGCTTTTTAAAAGATATCCAAGGGGCTGAATGTTTCTGACTTTTAAGCATTTAGTAAATTTCTTTGTGTGGAAAATAGTTTCCAACCGAGCCAGAAAAAATGAACCCTAAAGAAAATCAGTCAATATTCTGATTACACACAGAAATTCTAATACATATACAAACTTGCCATGCAAAAGATTTTTTTTACAGGGATATTTCTTTTTGAAATTTTTAAATTGTGTTTTCTCCCCGGTTGAGTGAGTGGGCGACATAAGTTATGGAACTTTGCACGTTCCGGCTTATTGTTAGCCCAAACCATGTGGAATTTCCCAATGCATACAAATTTTGCAAGACAAGAATGGATTGCCTGCACAATTTTTCGCTTTTTAAAAGATATCCATGGAGGTTGAACGTTTCTGAAATTTAAATATTTAGTACATTTTTTCTTTTTGTTGCAGGGCGTGCAGTTTCCAACAGAGCCAGTCGGAAAAAGACCCTAACGAAAATCGACCAAAGTTGTGGTCGAATTATCAACCACCATCGAACCAAATTTGTACGTGGTACAATTGTCCAACCCCATTAGCATTGATACAAAAATAACACATTTTTAAAAATGACAGAAATTTTAAATTCTCACAATATTGTGATTGATTGTAATCGAGTTAAAATAAGGTATATAATTAAAATTAGTTTTTCTTAGAAAACACATAGAAAGCCTGTTATATATAAACTTGCTGTAAAAAAAAAATTTCTGTGGTATTTCTTGAAGAAACTTTTATGTTTGATTTTCTGCTCGGTTGAGGGAGTGGTCGACATAAGATATGAAACTTCGCACGTTCTGGCTTATTGTTATCCCAAACCATGTGGAATTCGCCAATCCATACAAAATCTTGCAAGACTTAAAAGAAACTATTGTCTGCACTATTTGTCGCTTTTTAAAAGAAATCCAGGGGGTTGAACGTTTTATATTAAGTAATAACCAGATATTTTTGTGTGGGCCTGCAGTTTCCACCAGAGTCAGAAAAAGAAGAATCCTAACGAATAACGACCAAGGTTGTGGTCGGATTATCAACCACCATCCAACCAAATTTGTACTTGGTACAATTTTCCCAGCCCCATCAGCAGTGACACAAAAATAACAGATTTTTTTTTTAAATCTTTTTAAAAATGGCACGATATTTCAATCCTCGCAATACTGTGATTGTAACTAAGTCAAAAAAATAAATAATTAAAATCAATTTTTCCTAGAAAACTCATAGAAAGTCTGAAGTGAAATTGCTGAAAAAATTCAAAGGGGGTATTTCCTGGAAAAAAATTTAAGTTTGGTTTTTTGTTCGATGGGGGAGTATAAAAAAAACGAACAGTAGTGAATGTGGAATTCGCCACAAAAATGCCTTAAAGAAAAGAATTGATTGATTGCACAATTTGTGCCTTTTTTGAAAGAGATTTCCAGAAGGTTGCACGTTTCTAACGTTCAAATTTCAAGTGCAGTATTTAATGGGATTTTATTTGTTGCTGTTGAGAAAATAAGAGACGTGCAATTTCCAACTAAGCCGGTTAGAAAGATCATCTCGAACAAGGAAATTAACCTTAAAATATAGTAGCTTTGATTAAAATATAAAAAATGTTTTTTTTTGTTTTTTTTAAATACTAAAAATGTCTATGTTTTAAAAGTTTATATAATGATGGAAAAAAAGTGTATGGAATTATAAAAGGGATGGGGATGTGAATGTCGGTAAAAATGTGGCCCGGACGGTCATGTTAAAGGGACGGATCGATAAATTGCGGCCCAAGAAGGACGGCTAGGAGGAAAACGGGAAAACGTGCCGTCCTCGGCCGTTAAAGAAAACGGAAAAGCCGGAGTAACGGTTGGGAAAACGGCGCTGAAAATCCCTCCGTCAAACTGGAAAATAAAACAAAACTCACCTTTCGAGGAGAATAACAATGGAGGGCCGGGGGTCAGGTGTACGAAAATAGAATCGAGGCAGTGATTTCACTTTATCGGAGCATTGATTCGGCGGCGTTCAGCCCACAATCCCTCGGCACCGGCCCGATCCGAAGTGAGCCTCGACTTTCCACATGGCCGCGACGGGGATCTCAAGAGAATAAGCGACTCGATCCGCCTCTATAACCAAACAATAGCAAGCGTGCCACTCGCCACTGTCACCGTGCTGTCCAGTCCACTTTTGATCGCCACTGGAAATGTTTTGATTTCTTTAGTACGCGGCCGGGCCGATCGAGCGCTGAAACTCGCCAGACGGGCATGCGCCCCCGCCACGCCTCTCATATCCGACGATATGGATTTTTACGTTTCATCAATGAAAAAGACATTTTTACTCTTTATATTTTATATTTTGACAGCATACGAATTTTTTTAAAGTTGTGCTTCTTTTTATTTTATACGGTTGTTTGCTCCTTGTTCAAAATTTCTACGCGCCCCCTCCACAAAATACTCACGAGTTGATATTGACTTTTCACTCCATGTTGGCGACAAAAAAATTAAGTATTTTATTAACCACCAATAAAAAAATAATCTTACAATAAAATCAGATTATTATTATTACATTTGTTCTCGGCAGATTAAAAAAAATCCAAAAGCACAGCAGGAAACAAAAATTTTTTGCATACAATTAAAAATTAAATAAAATGTATTCATTTGTGTGAAGCTGGAGTCTTCGGGATGAATTGACTTTAAACTTATCGTTTTTCAGTCTGAAATCATCTTGCAACTTGGACAAGAAAACCTGCAAGCAAGATCATACACTATGGAACTGCTGGCAAAGCTATGGAAGCTGATTAATAACCTGAAGCACAATCTGCCTATGGCTGTCAGGCTGATGCCAAAAGAAAAAAACCCTGAAGCTGGCCAGTGGGTTATAAAAATCAGGAGAACACAATAAATCTATTCATGTCAAGGTGCAGAAGACCTTGTGCCTGCCTATTTTATCCCTATCTGTAGACGAATATGCTAAAGTTTTTCATTCAGAAATCATAGCAATTGAATACAGTGCCAGATAAATAAAAAGGCTACAAATATGTTCTTGGAAGATAGCCATCTCTGACGGTCAGGCAGCTCTTAAGGCCTTAGCCTCATGCGAGGTGAAGGCAAAAAATGTATGGTACTGTACACACAAATGACCTGATTCTGCCCTGGGTGTCCTGGGCATAGAGGCAATGCGAAAGCTGTTCAAAAAATGTCAATACTTTGGCCTAGCATAAAAAAGGGTACAACCAAAAATGGTTCCTTAATGAGTTCAAAACCTGGTGGAACAATATCTTACAAATGAGGTGGAAGAGATTCATAGAAGGGCCATTTGCAAGACTTACAAAGGAATTACTAGAGGACAACTGTAACAGAACCAGGATTCTGGGTTGACTCCTGACAGGGCATTGCCGCCTAAGAAGGAACGTGCACCGGATAGGAGTAATACTGTGTAGATATTGCCAGGAAGAAGAAGAGACGGTAGAACACGTTTTGTGTTTTTGTGAAGGTATATGTAATAAAACACGCAAGCAAGATCATATACTAAGGCTATGGAGGTTGATAACCCTTGAAGATGGCCATGAGTTTTAAAAATAATAAAAAATCTAGTTCATCATCTACTATGACATAAATTGATTTCTGAATGGCATTCATAAAACTGTTGTTTCATATCCAAAACAATCTCAAATAATAGAATACTTTTTATAAACTTTCAAGTAATTAATGTTAATCTTGAATATCTGTGGATGCAAGATATATTTGAAATTGTTCATTTTCAAAACCAAAATTCATGCAAGACATAGTTATAGACCAGTTGATATAATTTTAACTTTGAAAAACCTACGAGTCAGTTCCCAAAATCAACTGAACAAACATAACTTTGCCACACATTTATGGACTACTTTATGACCACACATTTTTAAGAATGACATGTAATCAAGTAATTTATGTATTATAATTTCCTCACAATGGAATGTTGTCACTTGTCAACTTCACATGATCTATACAATACAATTATAAGGAAAAATCTCATAAACGTTAAATAATTATCAAACATAGCTTTACTTTTATGTAATTTTTTGGATGGATTGCAGAATTGATTGACCATCTAGAATGTGAAAAATTAAATTTTCAATTCATTTCTGTTAAAAAAAAAAAAATAAAAAAATGGGGTGCCAAATTTTATACTTTTACTCCAATGTTTAGAAAATTTATTTAGCCCTATAATAATTTAAAAAAAAATATTGTTATGATAAGATGACTGAATAGTCAATAGATGATCAGTAAACTGGGATTTCATCCTTGGATAAGAAAATGTGCTATGTAGAGATCATCAGTTTCCAGATGATTGAAATTTTTATGGTATTATCTTAATTAAATAACTCAGTGTAGGAAGCGGTATAAAAATCCTTACGAGCACTATGTTTCTCTAACAACCAAAATCAATAAGGTATAAACAGCAAGATAAAATGGAAATTTCACATAAATTAAATTTATATTGATTTACATACATCTATTGATCACATCATTGATTTACAATTATGATGTAAAATTACGGGTAAAAATAGAGGGTCAAGGAAGTTGTGTACGTGTACTGGCCTAGAAATTATCATTATAAGTCAACAAGATGTGTACGACGGATGTTCATGGGTTGAAGATTCTCAGTACTTATCAAATGAAACTACTCTAGAATGATGTTGAAAGACAATCTCAAGAAAGAGAATTCGTATGTCGTACATGTAGTGCAAGTCGTGTTACACAAACATTCGGGTTGCTTTGAAAATTAACAGAACAAAAATGCAGTTATCATTTTTGTATATTTCACTGAAATAATCTCTATGAAGATACTTCCAATGAAAGTGACAATGACTATTTACAACATTTACGAAATATTTACTAATAAAATGTTACCCTTTTAATTATTTACATTTTATGACATTTTTAATATCACGTTTACTTTCATTACATTTTCTGCTTTTGCTTATGTTTGTTTCACAAAAAGCAAAAACCTTAAGTGTCAGAAAAACTTGAAATTCAACACCCGTAACATGCTTATTATTAAGACATTAATATTACGGACAATTTTTATTGGTTTTTATTTTTTTTTAAATGTTCCATTGTTAATTAAATTTGAATAAGCGTTTCAATTTTGTTTGCTTTCAAAGAGTTTCACAATATTTCAAAGCTAAATGATATTTAATAAAGGAGACAAATTTAGAAAAAATAAAAACAGAATTTGAAAATAATTGTGAAACTTCAATGAGCGCACAGACCTCTAATGAAGGGAAATTAATATTTACAAAGTACTTTTCCCTTTATCGGTTTATATGCACATACAATTTCATTACACATCTAAATATCATTTTTACAAAAAATTCATAGCTATATATGGAGACGGTTTCCATTCCTAGGTAAGCGTTTATTTTTCTTTCTTCAACTTATTAATGAACATTTGGGAACAAAATTATTTACATCAAATTTACAATAAAAATAAAAATAAGTTCTTAGGCATTTAGGTCGGTCATACAAGTCTATCAGATACTTAAAATCCAACTTAAGACATACAAAAATACGAAAAGAAATGTAAAATTAAACTGTCATTTTTAAAAAAGTACAGCAAACGTTAAATATAAACGTTAAACTACTTAACATGTAATAACACCATTAATAAAAATAAGAAGGAAATTTCTATGAGTATATTTGGCACGCACATACCTGTAGTGTTTTTATATAAAACAAAAAATTCCATAAATGTTTGATAATATTGTGTAGTTAAAAATTTGAACCAATTTCTCCAATTCCAAGCAAATGATAGCTTATATACAACCATGACTATATTGGTGAGAACACACCTTCTCTTAGTATAATATACACATATTATATTTTTACACATACATATTTTTTTATACAGTTTTGTTTCCTTACGACGCACAAGGAATGTGATTCATTAAATTGAAGACAAAATGAATAAACATGATAATTAATAAACTTACATACATTCAAAGGATATACAGAACTCACTCATATCACACATACTGTAATCATTAAAAAAAAAAAAAAAAATCGTTTACACAATTTCCCTACAATAGTCGTACAATTATATATTCAGAATCACAGGCTACTAATTTTTTGTGTATGCGCAATAACGAGATATATATAGATAGGAAACAGACAGATGCAAGATCATGTCAGTGAAAGGTCGGTGGAGTGAAAACAGCAGCTTTTTCAAACAATTGAAGTTTACAGTGAAATCTTTGCTTCTTGTTGGTCAGGTGACTTCCATCGGTGTATTATGTACAATCGCTGCTTGCCCTGAACTGCCAGTCGGTCGCTTATGCATATCACCACTGCCTCCAGGGTCACTGATTAAAAAACAAAAAAAACATAAACACATAAATAAATACAAATTATTGATAAAACATACTTATTTAATTGTGAGGAATTTGTTCTGGCAGCCAATTTTGCGTTTAAGCTGTTTGTTGCCTGACTACTAGAGGTCACGGGAACAAGACTATTTCCGCTGCTACTACTCCACTTGTAAGATTGTTGACTTCCACTTGACTGTTGCTGCCCCCAACCACCACCTATAATTAAAAAAAATTGTTAACAGAAGGATATTTATTAAATAATCTGAATCTTTCAAACTTTGACCTAATGTTTGTTGATAGAAAAACAACAATTTTTTCTTAAATTGCATTTAAAACAGTAGAACATAAATGTAGAATCCAGTGAACAAATATAAACGCCCTAAAATAGGCATTTGGCCTGTCAGTCATACTTGCTGAAATAATCTAACTATAATTTAGTAACAAACATCGCTGATAAACAATTAATCTATTTAGCATGTTGACTGCGCTATTCTTAACCATTTTTGTTGCCATGGCAGAACCCAATTTATCGCGTAAAATAGCTCTCTGGTACTTAAAAATATTGTAAACGATTGTTTAATTTATCTAAGTGAAAATTAATAATAAACTATATGATACAATAGTTCCGTCCCCCCCAACACTAAGTAAATGATGTAGGTAACTCACAAATCTTTTGTTCAATTTGTGTGTATAGTTGAATAAAAGTCTTAAGCAAGAATAATGCAGGTTTTGAAAAGGTAGCCAAAACTATTTTTAATTTTTATAAAATAAAGAAAATGAATTCGAAATATTTTCCATCACAATCTATACATCTTTGCCAACATGTAATAAGTGCTTTTATTCTGTTGACATAAAAATCTTTATTTTGACTCAAATAAAGCCTTAGAAGGTGTTTTTTGCTTCACCATGTTCTCTAAAAATATTATTCCACAAGAAGTGAGCAAAATGCCTAAAAAAGTGAGTCTGTAGGCGAGACCACCATAACCTATTTTGGATGCAGATTTGGTTTTGGGAAGTGTTTGGCGCTTCATCCTTGTCCAACCATTGACCTGTACAGAATCCATTTCTCATCGCATTTGATTCATTCAATTGAGAAATGGATCATTTTGGTGGAATAATAGAAGAGACATGCAAATTTCAAAGTGTTGATTACTTTGGGCTTGCGTTTCCCACTTGTTGAGCTTCTTTAGATAGTGAAAAACAGTTGAATGGTCAGTGCAAAGGTCTTCCGAAATTTCCCGTGTTGTCTTATGTCAATTTTCTTCAATCAATGTTTTGAGTTAGTCGTCGTCCACAATGGAAGGCCTACCGCGACCTTCCCTGTCTTCGGGAGTGAAATGTAAAAGACGAAATATTTAATTTCACATGCCCTTCTTATAAAATTCAATATAAACTAAAATGTTTTGTATAAATGATAACAGTATTTATAATCTATAAATTAGAATTGAGGTTTTAGCTTTGTTTACATGACAAATACCTACGAAAATAAAAGAAATTTTCAAAACCTGCATTAATTTTGCACCAACCCAATAGTTATGCATAAAAACGACCAAATCTGTAGAAATAACATCTGAGAAAACATTGAAAAGACTAATACACAAACTGCCATATAGTAGAAGTTGATGTTAATAGTATAAATAAATAAATAATAATAAATAAAATGAAGTAGGGATGAAATAATTCATTTAAAGTAGAAGAAGAAAAAATAATTAACTGTGGGACAAGAGTGTACCCTTAGAATAATATATAGATCAAAGAAAAATATTAACATTTTGATACAAAAATAAACCTTGTCATGGTGATCAATGTAATAACAATGGTCTTATATAAAACAAAACCCAAAGGAGTTGAAACTAAAATAAGTTTCTCTGAAATTTAACATGGAAAGTAATAATTACTGTGGTTAAATAGACTCTGGAGGGAGAGGAGCATACATGAAATGTTTAAAATAGGTAATGGAATTGGCATTGCAGATAGTTAAGGGGAGGGAGTGCCAGAATTTTGGTGCTCAGACAAGGAAAGACCACCAATAGGTGCAAGTTTTATTCCAAGGAAGGATTGGATTACAGAAATGGAAAGAGGATTTGAATTAGATGGACAAGATAATTATGAATGAATTATGAGGACTGAATTAGATGGAATTGGATGTAGCATTTTGATTAAAAAAAGCTGGTTAATTCTTTTTAACCATTCAAATATATGTTAAAAAAATATTGTACTTACAGTCAGTGTGGTTAATGGGCCCATTAGCCATAAAAGGTGGTATTCTGTCACATTGGAGGACACTCTCTGATGGTGGTGGGGGCAACTTGTGGTTCGTGAGTGAAGAAGACAAGGGAGGACTTGAATCACCACCCCCTCGCCACCTGTCATCAGTGACGACAAACTCAGAGCTACCACTTCTCAGAGGGTCAGGGCTGACCCCAAGTTCCCCGCTGGCAGAGTCCAACCCACTAGTCGTTAATTCAGTTGATGAAACTGAAGTATTTCCTCCACCTTTCCTCGGCCGTTTCCCTCCAAGTTCACACCTGAAAAAATGTATTGCTTTAGATGAAAAGAAAAGTTAGTAGTTTCTTCATAACTGGAGCCGACACTGGGAAAAAACGTGGGTAATGGTTATGTCATCATCACATCACACAAAACATATAACATATAAAACAATCATCACATTCCACACATCAAACATTTCTACATAGTTTAATTCTTCAACAATTTGGCTTTCCTTTCCCTAATTATCCCCATCTATATAATCTTGAAAAGATAATCAGGCCGACTCCTCATCTAATAATGTCTTTCTATCCTGACTTCCTTCCCCACCCCTTCAAAATCCAATATATATAAACATAAAAAAGCAATATCTCAACGTGACACACAAGAATGACACAACTATGCAGAAAACAAACACTTTAAGTGAGCACAAATACTTTGACTGAATATAAAAAACTTTTTTTTTTGCATTGTATAAATTCATTTTTCCCACATTTTACATGTATGTTAAATTTAAAAAATGTTTGTAAATCCCAGGCCCTGAAGATGATCTCAATAAAGATCAAATCGTTGGCACGGTAAAGAAAATGTTTTTCTAAAACCTACGTCACACTAGACCGCATCTCACGATCTCTGAATAATATTTTAAAATATTCAAATTGGAGTTTTAAAATAGTTTTCAGAAGAATGGTTGAGATTAAGCAATTTTAGACAAACCAACCTCAAAGCATCCAGCTCGAGATCAGGAAAGAGTTCTCCAAGATCCAATTCAACAGCTGTACTGTCACAATCTGTTAAACTTTCAACCTGAACACAGAGTGTTGAACCCTGCAGGAGACCGTTACTGTCCAGTGAGCAGTCACTGTCAACATCAGGCTCCGACTTAATAGATGGAGGCGTCTTTGGACGAAAATGTCTGCTGTACCTAAAATAGTTTAAAAAAAATAAAATAAATAAATAATAACAAAAGTTTGCTAAAATATTATATAAATGGTTTTATTCATAGATCCGTACTGGAAGGGTGGAGGATTTTGTAGTTGTACTCCATCTGAATGAGATTTGGCATTATCGAGTATCGTGAAATCAAGCGATGACCAAAAGTCATCCATTGATGGTCCAGCACGATCCAAAATTACCCTGAAAATAGATATGTGAGTATTCGATCAGAATAAATATGTAATAAATAATTAATAATAATAGTTTACCTTCCACCTCTGCCTATCCGCCGGCGGACTAGGCCAACACAGGTAGGTTTGGGTTGTGTTACAGATGCGAGGCTAAACCTATACCTTTCTTCACCAGAACCTCCTTCTTCAGGAGAAGACCAGCTCCAATTCCCAATACCTCCTCCGCTCAATGGCTGACATAATTTTTGTTTTTAAAATAAATTGTCTGCAATAATTGACACAACCAAACCTTGAATGGTACTTACGGCTTGGTAAGTGCAGTTTTTATTTCTATGGAAAGGAAAAGCAACTTGGGGAGATTGCGGTGGCGAAGTTACTCCGACACCAGGAGTCGGTTCATCATCACCGGACGATAAACTTCCAGAAACTACACTTCCTGCTCCCCCAGAGTTGGAAAGTGAACCAGGACGTTCACCAATATTTAACCCTATTGTTTTATGTTTCCTTTTCTTATATTGCCTCTTTTCTTTTCTATTATTCCCCACTTCATCCTAAATAAAAAGAGAAAAACAATTAAACAATGAAATCTATTTCTTAAATTATTTTCAATTTTGATTTTTTTAAATTATTTTATTAAGATAAAAAATAATGCTTTATAAATATTTTTTAATAATAGAAAAATTATGCTTTGTAACATATTTATAAATGTTTACAGTACAAATTATGTTTTACATTAGCTTTTAGACTTACTATTATACATTAGTATTTAACTAAAAAATACTTGCCTTATATGATAAAAAATAAGATTTTTTTTTAAATAAAAAAATTAATTTAATTAAATTAATTTTTAAAATCATGATATTGTTGCATAAGTTTTTTGATGAAAATAATGAAATTACATTTCACATGTTTTAAGAAAAAATAAATTTTTTTATGTGAGTTCTAAGCATGAAATACATTTTACTCATTCTTTTATCTTAAAAAAAGGAACCATTATATAGACTTTTAGATTAAAAATAAGTGGTCTCATGATTTTTTAAGATAGAAATAGGTCATAATTGATCATATTAATTATTCTTTTCATCTAACGTTTTTCATAAGTGAAAAAAGTCACATTTTTCAAATGTCGTGTAATCAGGATTCAATTCGCAGTGATGAAGTGACCACAGGGAACTATTAGTGAAGTAATTACTTCTTTTAATTATTAAATTAATATACATTTGTTTAGTGGTCATAATTGACCATATTAATTATTCCAATTAATTATTCTTTTCATCTAAGGTTTTTGGAAAATGACAAAAAAGAGGGAAAATTTAAACAATTGTAGGTTGAGATGGGAGGTTGGTGTTCGAAGGGATTGAAGTCACGATAGCTCAAGTAGTTAGAGCAGTGGCGTATTTAGCCGAAGGTAGTGGGTTCGAATCCCACTGATGATTTTTCATCTCAAGCAAAAACCTTAGATGAAAAGAATAATTAATTAGAATAGAAATAATGTTTCAAGTCAACTTATATAACAAAAGAACCACCTTTTAGTATAAACATGCTTTAGCCATGACCTAACCGCCTGAAAACATGTCATGAAAAACTCCTTTTATCTATGTGGTTACGACAAATGAATGTTTTCTGAATGGCCCTCGAATCGTATCTGTATGCTCCTCAAACGATAAATGAACTTTCCTTCAATGTTTTGATTTCCTTTGCATTTCTCAGACATTATTTAGCACTACATGAACATTCCTTGATCAGAAATAGGAAATGTCGAACAATGATTTTTGCATTCGGAAAAACCAGCATTCAGATAATTAAGAATCAAAAATTAGTAGCCAGCTGACTAAAGCATATTCATTTTTATAATTTTAGTCATAGCCCTGTTGAGGCAAGCACTGAATTATCCTAAAATCATGTTTCACATAAACTTTTACCCTAAACATGGATAAGTCGTAGCTTTTGATTAAAAATAGTGTATCTGTTTTATGAGATATTCCTTAATAAAACAGTTTTATCATAAAATTTGTTCTATTTGGGTTTTTAACTTTTAACATTTTACATCCTCTAAATGTTTAATTAAAATTTTGGTTTACATAATTTAATTACATTATATATACTAAATAAAAATAGTAAAGTTGAAATTGTAAAGAAACTTGAGATTATTAATTTACCTTTGGAGGTTTCATAGTCCAATGACTATGATTGGGTGTATACTGGTTTGTATAGATTGGAGCAAATGCAGGACGAACTGATTTAAATGTTGATACTTCGGCTAGAAGTGCTCCACTCAAATCATTTGCATGGTACCTAATTTATAAAAATGGACAAAATATAATTTTAGGTTTTTAAAATTAGTTAAAAAAAATTAAGTTTTATATTTTTTTTAGGGCACCTCTTTTCATAAAGTTGGACAGTTAAGTCGACTAATTCCTTCTTTGCAGTCTCTCTTCTTTTAACCATTTCCAACAATTGTAAAGCTCGGCTTAGATCCCTTCTCAACTTGACCATCTTCTCATATGAAGTTTCATCACTTTTGCGGTTCTTCCTAGTCTGCATTTTGTCTGTTCTTCTCCTGAACGCTAAATATGGATTATCGTCGTAATTGGTGTTACCCCCAGTGCCTCGGTTGTTGACTTCAGTCTTAATACATGGCACAAGAGGATGGGGCTGCTGAAAATTTTAAAGCAAGCATTAAAACACTTGTAATTTAAAATTAAGAGAAATTTTTTCGATTGAACTAATCAACTAACAGAGCTAAGCCTCTTGCTGAGCCAATAATCAAAAATTGCAATTGAGAGTTCATCATCATCTTTCAGAAGAAGCTCTTTACGGTTTTGAGATGCAAAATTTTGAGCGCAGTTCTTTTCCAGCCTGTCCATCATCTCTTCAAACTAAAAACAATCATTAATAAATAAACGGTTTTTAAACATTTAAATCAGCGGAAATAAAATCCATGATTATATTTACTTTGAGTGGTGTGATATCCAATTTTTGCATAGAGAGCCATTTTTCATCTTCTGAATCTATGTCATAATCTGGAACTTCCTCCTCCATAGAAAAGGCTATAAAAGAAGGTACAGTTTAATATCAAACAGAATTAATATCTAAGGCCTTTTTTTTTTGTATTACATAGTTTCACAAGTGATAAACTTACATTGCATGTGGATGAGTTGCCATGGCGGCTTATAATTAGCTGGATAAAGTCTATCATAAGTCGCCATATCTTCCATACATTCAACCTCAGGAGTAGGAATGATCAGACCAGTAACAATTGCCCTCTGTAAGTGATGTTCCTTAAAAAAGAAAAACAAAATTAAATTAAATTTTAAAACTCTTGACGATTGATTTTTTAATAACATAATGAAATAATGTTAAAAACTCAATAGTTTACTTTTACAAAATTCTATGAGAAAATAATATTCCTCTTCCCAAAATTCTTCAAAGATGTCCTAAGTTTTTGAACAAACATTTTTTTTGTACATTTGTTATGTGTATTTATATTTTTATTCTATTTTGGCTAATGTTATGAGATAAACTTACTATGCCGAGCAAACTAAAAGATGGTACATTTATCATATCATTATATTTATCTCAACGAAAAATTAGCTCTTTTTAAAGATTTATTTTGCAGACAATTGAAATTCACTGACAAAACAAGAATTTGGCGAGAATACATGGTTAACCTAGCTTAAAAAAATGATTGCAAAATTATGCCGGGGTCAACTTTTTGACAGCAGTCAGATGATTAATCTACCCTGTCCATTCTCACATTAGTCCCTAGTCAGACACAATTCGGCTCTATGCCATCTTCAGACATTAGTTTTTTCCATTGCTGTGATGGCGAAGAGCCAAAACATAGCTGAATGAGGGCAAACAGTGAGAATAGATGGTACTGCTTAATATATAAAAATATTATGGTTGAATTACATTATCCATTTATAATGGACTATTCTAAGAAAAATAAAAACTGAATTGTTATTTGGCCTTCGAATATGAAACCATTATCACCCTAGCTCAATTAAATACAAATATTTTTTTGTACATATTATTATATTTCAACAGTGCCAGAGCGCTTTAAGCCAGTTGGTTGTTTTCATAACTTTTGTGTTATAGCAAAGGGGAATTGATTGATTACACTCCTGTCACAGCATTATCCACTTTTCTAACTAGATTGAAAATCATGAGACTATTGGAGCATTAGGCATCTTAGGTAATTGTCACAAAGTGTTCATTGAAAGGAGTTGAGATGAGGTTCAAGGGTTTTAAGGGTCTGTATCGACTTCTTCTAGTTTCTTGGACAAATTCGATTTGGAGGTCTGTAAAGTTAGATACAAAGCAAGGAACTTGAGCAATAGTTAAAAGGATTTTTGACAGAAGTGACTGGATTCTTTTAGGTTGGAATGCTTGGTTGAACACCCCAGTTCAAATCCATATGTCCTGATTGGTTGTAGTAATGATAAATAAATGAGTCATTTATTTTCTAATGAGGGTTTCGGTCTGCCAATGTAAAGTCCCAAATAGCGAGCAACAATTGTTGCTGAGAAAAGAACAGAACTACAGTAGATTGGAGGAGAGGTGAACGAGGAGTAAAGGCGATTTGCTGGAATTTGGTTTCATTGAGTTTAATCCACCATTCTTCCAAACAGAGATTTGGAGATTTCTAAAGAAGGCCACTACTGGGTCTGTGTTTCCTGAGAGGATGGTGGTATCTACAAATAATATAATTTAAAAAAACTTAAGAGATTGAGATTTTAAAAAATATACTTTAAATCTATCTTTTAATCAGTCTAATAAAATCTGAGTAAACATATGTTTAATTACTTTGTTGCAAGTAAAGTTGGTAAACCATTTAGTAGCCTTTTAAAAGACATGAAATTTGTTTTCCCAGTCTGTTTTATGTTTGTTTCCACTGTATGAATATGGTAAAAATGAAACTGAAACAACTGACAGTTCTTCACATTTCAGTAAGTGGCAATGGGGTACGGGCCTACTCAGGCTTTTAACCCCTCGGGTCCTGGTCGCCCGCCCTGTGTAATATATAAGTGGGCTCGTGGTCAGAAAAATATAACATTTTCCAAGAACGACATCTCCAAGTTTTAGGATTTTGACTGCTGGAGTCAACATGTACTTGTAAGTTTCATTTTGTTCTTTAGTGAGCATTTTTGTTAAAAAAAACAAAACAAAAACAAAGCAATAACCCTACAATGTATTGTATGTCAAATATATTTTCAGATGCATAGCTAAACTAATCAAAAGAGGAAAAGTAAAATAAGTACGTTGGGGAGGCAAAACAGGGGAAAACAAATTGACCAAAAATATGAGGCTAAGATGATAAAACTGGAGACAAGAGTACATTGATTTGAGGAAACTGGAAAATATGTATGGCATAATTAAATTATTCAAACGTAATTTTCTTCAATTGTTAACCAAAGTTTTAGGCATCTGAAATGTTCATATACGTGTTTTGTTAAGAAAAACAACTGTACCAGAGCTACTTGTTATATTTTTAACCGACATTTTATAACTTGACATTCTTATTTTAAAAATTGTCATGTGCTTATAAATATGAAACGACAAGATTTTTGCTGAATGTATCAAGACTGAGTGATATGCTGTTTACTGGGAAAACGTAATTTTACTTCCAGTGATGGTTTGTTTTGCCATTTATCACATATGTCATTGTTTAATTGAATACTTTTGAATTTCAGAATGTATGAAAAATCAATTTTTCCCTTCTTTCACTAGCAACGACATATACATCGTCTGCATATAGTTAATTAACATTTTACCTATATATAATATTTGATAAATAATGGAGTACTTATACATTATATTTTTTGTTTTAAAGAAGTAAAAACACAAAAGGGAGACTAGACAACAATTTCTTGTCAGCATGGTGTAAACGTAAGATTTATGAATCTTTAATTCAATTTTGCGTTAAAATGCATACTTCTCTTTTTAGATATAAAATAGGACAAATAATTATCTATTAAGTTTTAAAAAATCCTTTTCTCTTTAGTATTTTCATTAATGTAGAATAAATAGAAATGAGATGAGGTGGGGTGAGAATGGTAATTCACTTTTTGGAAACTCACGGAGGTTTTAGACATCACCTCTGTGAGTTTCCAAAAAGTGAATTACCACACTCACCCCACCTCAAACCATTTCTGTTTACTCGATGTTGATTGCATACTCATCATAACTCATGTTCAACCATGAAGAGTACTTATTTCTCAAAATCCAGATAAAATTAACATTAAAATTTCTGTGAGTAGAACTATATTTTCCACAAAGTGCACTAACTAATTGCAAGATTTATCCACCTTTTATTACATTTATTCTGTATTGTAAAATTGCGAAAAATTGCATAAATATTGTATGCTTACAAATAATTTTCATCGCAAATTGAAAAGCGGTTTGTAAATTAAAGCCCAAAACAAAATGTCGAATAGACTTGATCTTTCTATTCTTATTAGGAACAATATTAACCAGAACGGAGTAAAATATAACATTTATTAACCCGCATGTCATTTTATTTTGTATTAAACGATGTCATAAACTGACTAAAGAACACAGTCTTACAAATACGTATAAAATGTACTCATTGAAAATAAAAATTCGTTAACTAATGTAGTGGTGATTAACTACTTGTGCGAAAGAGAAGGAAAACAAGACAAGGTGTACGCAGTTGAGCATTCTTATCAGTAAGAATTGTCATCAGCCTGGAGCTGGAGTAAGATCAATTTTAAACTATTATACCGTCTGATGAATGTTAAAAGGCTGTATGTGTAAGAGTCTTTTACGTATAAAAGTAGAAGTTTTGTATAACGAAGTTTTAAACAAAATGAATCAATGTGTATATTCTTAGCAGTAAGAATTTTAATCAGCGGGGATTAAATGTAAGTTTATTAGCTTTTATTGGCAATTATTCCGTATTGAACAATTAAATTATTTGACTAAAGCCTTCCTCGAATGGTGATAAGACGAAACGCCGCTTTTTTATATCACTTTTTATTGTTTTTTATGATGTTTATGAGATCAATTTCGTGAATTTAGGAAAGTATTGAAGTCATCGTAGTCGGTCTGACGATAAATCATACATAGAAAGCAAGAGAGAAATGTTTTGATAGGACAGAAGTAAATAAAAAATGAGAAGGTGGGAAAACCTTTTTGCCAGGGTGAAAATCGGCTCTTTAACATTAGACCGCTACAAATGGAAAACTGATTATTTAAAAGGTTAACGTTTATAAGAGACTTTTTGAAGTTTTTTGAAGAAAATAAAAGGAGGGAAGAAAGAAGGAAATGTTTACATTGCCAAGGTTATGTTATTAAGGAAGTATTTTTCGTTTGGACCTTTTGAGTAAAATGGAAAGGGTAGAGAAACGTGAGGGAAACGTCTGAATTTCGGGTCAGATTGACTGTTTTCCTTGTAAAACGTGTTTGAAGAAATAAACTAGGGGAAGACGGTGTATATTTATTAATAAAATATTTGACGTGGTGGAATAAAGTAACCTTCGCTTTTCAACATGGAGGGGCAAACAGTGGGATGGCTGTTGTTTCTTTAATAAAACTTACACATTCTTCTGTTTTTTTCATTCCACTCGGCATTTGAGCGACCGCTCTATTGATTGCCGAATATTCTGGCAAATCCGGGAGCTCCTCCGACCGATAAATTGGCAGGGGCTTGGTCGCATCGAGCTGCCTGGCCCTGATGGAGAGCTTGCTCATTTTTGTTGACAACCTAAGAGCACATTGGCACAACACTGAAAAGCCTCCGTTCAGTCCCTTTTCAGGGCGACAGAGGGTCGAAACCCTGTCCGAACTCGAACAAAAACACTCTTTATCTCGTTCCCATCTTTATATTTTCTCGTGCACAGTCACAAAAACGAAATATTCACTTTGAAACGTGAAAAAGAAGCCTGTACTCGATTAGGCATCATGGCGGATCTATACAATTCGGTACCAACATGCAACGCGCGGGAATCGACGCATGCTGGACATATGGCCTCCTCCCCTACCACACTTTCTCATGCGAACGCATTTTAAAACAGACACGCATATCTATCAATTTGAATCGGAACGGTAAATGATGACACTTTCGACGGATCGCAACGTTTTTTCAACCCTTCTACGGCCACCGAGTTAGCTGTCGGCTTAGGGGTTAAGTAGCAAGTACTCGATTCTGCCACAGACTCAGTCGAAATCGACGAAAACATGGCGGTCGAGAGACCCTCTGTCGCACTCTTCTCCAGAGTCCCAATGTTATTCTCTACCCTCAAAGATCGCTTCCCAAAACTCGTTTTACAACAAATAAAACAAGGTAAACATCATTAAATATCCTGCCGTCTCGCTTTTATGACAATTTATCATTTTATTTGTAAGAACTTTCCGTCAAAAAGACGGATTTCTAGTTTCGTTCTATCCACAGCCTTTTCGATGATATTATCGACTTTTACAGATGACGTGTTCACACTCACAAATAGAAAAACAACACAATTCCACAAATTAATTAAATCAAAACTTCCTACTATTAAACAGAAATTACAAACATAATAAACGTTTAAACCTACAAATCCTCAAAACTAAAAAATAGTATGTAAACAAAGACTCATTTTCATATACTATAACTTAGTTAACAAAAAGCCAAAAATTTTAAAACAACAATATTTAAACTAATATATTTCCTGTTTAAAAAGTTAGCCACACGTTTTACTACCCAAAGATTGCCAGGTTTTAAGATATTTGTTTTTTATGGAAGATAGTATGACGTTTCCCGCCCGAATTCAAAATCATCACTGAAGAACAAAAAACGTTTCAAATAAACAATAAAATAAGTCTCCAGTTTTTTTGTATGTATATGTGTATTTCGATTTATTTCAAAGTGACAACGTTGTGATTGAGACTGCTTGATTAGTCCTAGAGCGAAAACAAAAAGGGAGCCCCATTATCATTATGGTAAAGTCATAGTGGCTATCCATTCATTCTGTGTAGATGAGGGGGAAAAAGTATGAGATACAAAAAAAGAGTATGAAAGTGTTAGAATCCCTAAAAAAAAAGTGATTCGGTCCACAGCAGATTGACTACAAATAGAGAGTACTCCATCCATACTTGTTCCAAATGGGCTGGACGGTTTGAATGGTTTGCATGAAATTCCTATTTATTAAAAAAAAATTTTACTTTAAAATTTAAAAAGAAATTTAATTTGTGTCTTTATTTTATGTGTGATTAATAAATTATTTTGAAACTCGGATTCAGAGTTGGGTCCCATTAGTTACAGTATTATAAAATTTGTATTAAAATATAATTAACTTATATATTGAAACCTAATTAATATTTCATATATTTATTTGGCCATAAAAAGGAATTTTGGAAAATAAAGTTTTATTTGTACTATCACATGAGAAAAATCTTCCTAAGAAGTTCAATTTTGCAGATGTAATAATAACAGATTTTGATGCTGTAGCACCTTATAATACAATTATAAATAATTTGTGTTAAAATGTAATGAACTCATGTGTTAAAAATTAATATTTCATATATTTAATTAGCCATAAAAATAAATTATGAAAATTAATGTTTTATTTGTACTATCCGATGAGAAAAATCTTCCTGAGAAGCTCAATTCTGCAGATGTTATTACAGCAATTTTGATGATGTAGTGCCTAGTAATATATAATTTGTATTAAAATATAATGAACCCAGTAATAAAACCCAATATTTTATGCATTTAATTAGCCATTAAAAGAAATGAAAAATAAAGTTTTATTTGTACTACCCGATGAGAAAAATCTTCCCAAGAAGCTCAATTTTGCAGATGTAGTTATAGCAGATTTTGGTGCTGTAGTGCTTCATAATGCAATTATATAGAATCTGTATAAATAATGAACTCACATATTAAAATGTAATTAATATTTCATATATTTGATTACCCATAAAAAATGATGAATTGTAAAGTTTTATTTGTACTATCAGGAGAAATCTTCCCAAGAAACTCAATTCTGCACATGTAGTTACAGCAATTTTGATGCTGTGGTGCCTTATAATTATTTATAATTTGTAATAAAACACAATGACCTCATATATAAAAAATTAATTAATATTTTATATATTTGATTAGCCATAAAAAAATTATGAATTACAAAGTTTTATTTGTACTATCAGATGAGAAAAATATTCCTGAGAAGCTCAATTCTGCAGACGTAGTTATAGCAGATTTTGATGCTGTAGCACCTTATTTATTTGATTTGACTAATGTTAAATGGCTACAGGGAACTTGGGCAGGCATTGAACCAGTCATCAAAGCGTATAATAAAAGAAAGGTAAACTTAAAGAGTAAAATTAAATTATTCATTTTTATATCTTGTAACTTTTTAGGAGACCCTGTCGTATCCCATTGTGAGATTTTCTGGACAACATTTTGGTCATTTGATGAGTGAATACGTCGTATCGCAAATTGTAGCATTTGAAAGGGATTTCAAAAATGTTTGGCAAGCCCAAAAATTGCAGTGTTGGAGGCAAGAGGGCAAAGTGAGGAACTACAATGCCATAGGAGATATGAAAGTTACAATACTCGGGGTTGGTAACATTGGTGCTCATGGTAATTAATTTTATATAAAACTAGTGCTGGGTGGTTCAAGCTCTCAATTACAAAATGATTTAGTTGCAAAGGTGCTAAAATGCTTGGGCGCAGAAATATTTGGTTTGGTGAGTAAAACTCCTGTAAAAAAATCAGATGCAGTTGATAAATATGTGTGAGTTGAGAATTCTTGCATATTTCAAATTCAATGAAAGCTTATTTAAAAAAATAAAACTTTTAAGCCTGATGAATGAGTTAGATGATGTTCTAAGGAAGAGTGATGTTATAATAAATATTCTCCCAAGTACGGACAAAACATTGGGCTTGCTAAACGTAGAAAGATTGTCAAAGTGTAAAGGTGCACTTTTTGTCAATATCGGCCGGGGTTCGATTACAACTGAAAGCTGCTTGCTTGAAGCATTAGAGAGTGGTTTTTTAAGAGGCGCCATACTTGATGTCTTTACTGAAGAGCCGCTTGCACCGGGCAGCCCTCTATGGACCCACCCTCAGGTATGTTTAAACCGATAGAAAAGTTTTTGTTAAACAAATGAAAAAACTTTCAGGTCGTTATCACACCCCATGTGGCAGGAGTAACAAGAGCGAAGGATGTAGCAGATCAGTTTGCATTCAATCTGAAAGAATGGGAGGCTGGAAGAAAATTGCCAAATTGTGTAAACTTTGAAAAAGGCTACTGATTTAAAAAAAAATTAAAAATAAGAAATTGGTTTGATAAAAAATAATATTAGAATTTTTTCACAAACCTATTAAATTAAATATTAATTTAAGGCTTTATGGGATTCCATTGAAAAATTGTAATGAGAAATGAGTAATAATATTAATTTAATATAAAAAATTATACAAGTATCTGTTTTATTGTAAAATAAAAATCAAGGAATCTTTTTGGCAACCTGCCTCAAAAGAAAACAAATAACCCATGAAAAGTGTTTTCACTTAATTATATAAAACATTAGTTTCCTCCTTCAACAGTCCCTTCTGTTTTTTAAGCGGGCTTTAGCCCAAGTATAGATAGTCATACACAACTTCTTCCATCTTTTTAAGATCATATTTGAGGCCATCGTAGCGTTTTCTTAAGGCGTCATTTTTGAAGTTTAACAATCTAAAGCCAGCGTTGAGCTCAGTCACGAACTGCGAAATCTGTATCAGTCTTGAATAATCTCCAGCTGTGGCACTCGTGACAGCATACCAAGCCTGATAAAACAGGCCGATTAAATGTTACAGATACGATGTTATTTGATTTCTCACCAGTTCGGACGCCAGTTGTAACAAGCCATGATAGTCTTCTAATTCAAGTGGAACCCTTTCGTGCAGTCTACCTGCACTGAACATTAAAAAAAATTAATATGGCCAACGATATAATAATAAATCTTGTAAATTTAATTACATGATAATTTTTTAGCCATGTACACTCTAGTCGCCAGTTCTCCTTTTCTAAAAATCTCATCAGGGCTACAGTGAAAACAATCCTCTGCGTCAACATTTTCCACATATCGTGATATTTGTGAAATTCATTTTTCGGTATTATTTTACTCAAGGTTGTATAGTGTTGTCTACATGATGCTAGTTTTCACATTTCTCAAAAATTTCTGAAACTGAAAAACAAAACTCAGTTTAGAAGAGAGCAGATTAAAATATTAGAATTGCCAATGTATAAGATTCTTTTCGCTATGTATAAAGATTCGCTTCAAAACCTGCACAAATGGTAAAAAATGCAATTTATTGTTATTCTGTATTAATTTGAATATTCTTATAGAAAAACATCTGTATGTTAGTTTCAAATCGTTCTGGTCTGTATATTCTCACTCTGCTATCTCTGTTAACTGTCTAATTAGTTTTAGCATTTAACTATCTTCACAGATTGGTGCAAGCAATTAGAGTGATTACATGATAAAACAAGTATGACACAGTAAATAAAATCTTTTTTTGTGTACTTTGATACACTTAGTTATATGAAATACTGTTCGTAACAGAGAGAGAGGGATTATTTTATAATTTGAAATGGAGCCACTTTCTCTCTTTATATTCAATTTTTTCTTAGTAGTATTCCTCTAAAATTCCACATATAGTTTATTTCCTTACAGCTTTAAGTTTCTTTGAATTTTCTCTAGTTTTTCATAATCGGTGGTCAGTGCATTGTCAATGTGTTCTCAGCACTGGTCACTAGAAAAAACTCATTTAGACAAAGGACACCGGGCCACATTGAAACAAAAACTTCGTGATTTTTTTTTAAAAATAATGGTTATGTTTAGTGGTATAATTGACCGTGTTAATGATTTCCATTAATTATTCTTTTTATGTAACGTCTTGGTTGAGATTAAAAAAATTACACATTTGAAAAATGGAAAAAAAGTTGGTGTTCGAGTGGATTGAAGTCACAATAGCTCAAGAGGTTAGAATAGCGGCATATTGAGCTGCAGGTCGCGGGTTCGAATCCCGCTCGTGACGCTAACTTTTTCATCTCAACCAAGACCTTACATAAAAAGAATAATTAATTTAAATAATGCATAATAATATTCAATTTTACAATTGATCTGTTTCCACTTTTTCATTATTTTTACTATGTTTGATACACAGTCTAAGTAAGAACTTTTAAAAATGCATACTCTTAATGATTTGATTTTTTTATTCCCCTTGATAATTGGAATATATTGATAATTTGATGTTTTGTGATCCCTTGGGTTTCGAATTATCAAGAGTTAACCATTTATTTTTTATTTATACATAAATTTTATTTATATTGTTTAACTCTGTACATACATGCACAGAGTTAAGCTAAATAAATCATTAATTAGTATGTTTTAAAAATCCATAAAGAATACGTTGTTAAAAATAAATTTTCAATTAAATACAACTTTGTTTGTTTTTCTCTTTCATTTATTTATTTACATTGAAAACTATTATACCTAAAGAATGTACCGTCAAATTTTGAACAAAACTAGGTGTACCTCAAATTTTGATGTGCAATGCAAAATAATTCGAGTTTTAGCTTAATAAAATCAGCCCTGAAAAGATTAAATGTATATAGATGTGTAAATAAATTTTTTGTTCTGATGGATTTCAAGTAATGTTTAACACATTTCTACCCTTGAATTGTGAAATTTATTGTTTAGAAACTATTGATGGCGAAAGTAAAGTCTGTGGTAGGTTTGTATGCTCTTACATTTACGTTGGTTTTAACCTTCCTCACTGGGTCGGTCAGGGTTATAAGCAGGATGAGGCACAGCAGTGAAGATGGTGAAATGCCAGAACACAAAATAATAAGTAGTCAGACCAGGATTATAAGAAATAGTGAAACTGAAATTACTTTCGTCTTTCCAGGTCTTACATTTGAACCCGACAAACTTTTTTTTTCTTTTTCAAAAACACCACCACTTTGAGGGTTAATATTACCTAGTAGTTGGAATACCCTTATTTAAAAAAAGAGAAAAAAATAGATATATACATATTTAGATGGGCTACCAACAGTGTAGTCATTTCAGCTCCCGCTTGCTGTTATGATCAATGATGTACACGATATTCTGCTATCAGCCCTACGTTGTACATTAATCACAACCACAATAATTTAATTGTTTATAAATATAATAAATACATATACAAAATAATATAAATACATATTCATAGACATGTACAAACAGTTTGGCCCTTGATGCTGCCAAAGCATTCTGTACTGCTAGCACATCATTGGGCTGAATCGTGATAGTTCGGTCTGAAGGGTGAGATATCCCAGCATTCGCCGCTTTGTCTCCACATTCGTTGCCCTTCAGCCCAACGGGTCTGAGTACTCAGACAATTCGTATCATTTTCCCAAGATGCTCAACTCAGCATATCTTTCTAACAAGAAGGTCCATTGAGAATGTCTTCGATGACACACTGAGCAACCTTTCTCAACAGAGCACCTGCGTGGGTTTTGACACAAAAACAGGTGTCCATGTGCCAGTCAGGCATGGTTTATCCTCATCGGGTTGGTTCAGATTCTCAAAAGGTCATCGTTCAGTTGTGTCCATGATCCGCAAGACCTTCACGGACGATCCAGCTCATTGACACTGCCAAAGCTCTTTTACCACATATTTTACTGCTTGCGCAGCATCACAGTTCTGGAGGGCGAGATGTCCTAGCGTTCGCTGCTTCATCTTCAGCATACTCGTCGCCCTCTACCCATCTCCAGTTCCCAGAGAACTGCTATTGCTTTTCCGAGACTCCCCAACTCAGCATATCTTTTCAACAAGAGCACCACAAGAAGGTCCACTGAGAATCTGTCTTCGACCAGATGTGGCTGAGCATTTCTCCACAAATTAATTCTTAACATGGCATTTAAACGTGTGGTATCGATTTAGTAATTGTGGTATCGATCAACAACCTTCCCCCAAGTTTTAACTTTATATTTCAATGGATTTCGCGCCATGGGGTTCCCCAAAACATAACAACCGACAGAGGACGTCAATTCACTTCTACTCTGATGTTGGAACTTAGTCGCAGCTTAGGTGTTCACCACATTACAACAACGCCTATCACCCCCAAGGTAACGGTAAAGTAGAACGTTTCCACCGCACTTTAAAAGCAGACCTAATGTCACACGCTAAGCTTCAATGGACAAAGGTGCTTCCATTGGTACTACTTCAGCTAAGGGTATGTATCGGTAATGATGGATTTTCTCCTTCAGAATTACATTATGGTTCCGTCTTGCGCATTCCTGGCCAGCTCATGGAACACCAGTCAACCCCAGAATTTGACAAAAGTGACTTTGTACATCGCCTTAACCAATATTTTAGTCGAGCAAGAGAAATTGAGAGGAAACTCAGTCGTGGCCCAGCAGGATTCACCCATCCTGACCTTTCAACAACTTCTCACGTATTCGTAAGGGAAGATGCATTGCGTCCAGCTCTTAGCCAACCCTATAATGGACCATTTAAAGTTCTAAAGAGGTATCCAAAATTTTTCAAGTTATTGATGCATGGTCGGGAAGATACAGTCGCAATAGACCGCCTCAAGCCGGCATACTTATTAAACCCACCCTGTGAAGAGATACCACCCCAACAATGCGAGCCAAAAGATGCGCCAACTACAACATCGGGAAAGGCAGGACACCCTAAAACCCTGAAAGGACGGACAAGAGTACGTTTTGAATTACAGAAGTCACCAGCTACGACTAGAAGTGGAAGGCACATCAAAATGCCTATAAAATTTCATAACTGAACTTAAAGTATTTTCTTACAGATGTTTTATTTGTTTAGTTATTTAACTTTACTGGTCAAATTATATTTTTATCTCCTTTGTAAAATAAAATTTAAAAAAATTGTAAGGGGGGAGTATTGTGGTATCGATTTAGTAATTGTGGTATCGATCAACAACCTTCCCCCAAGTTTTAACTCTATATTTCAATGTGGTATGTACCAGACAAGACAATCAATAAAGTGCGTTCCAAATACACTGTTCATAAAGTGAATACCCAACAAACGATTGAACTGGGTTGTATCAGATCTGGTTACTGTCATCTCCGGACTTAAGACATCTTGAAATTTGCCAAGCTTATTGAAAAAGCCTAAAATTATGATACACTAGTTTAATGTTATGTGCAATGTTATATGCAGAAAAAGCTTTTTAATCCTTTCTGTGGCACAATTCAACGATGAAGGACATCTAGCTGATGCAAGATACAAATGAAAACAATAAGTAAATGAAAGCATATTAGATCTTGAACGAAATATTTTCTCACGTTTTTTGTTGCGTCGTTAAAATGAATGACTTGAAATGTCGTTATTAATTCTCTTGAAATCCGATCGATTTGATTCGTAGTTTCTCGTATCTCCTGAAATGCCGTGTAAAAAAATATAGCGATTTGAAATATAGAGAATTTGTAAACATGGAACTATGTCAGAATGAATGCCACACCTCCCTGAGAGACTCGTCGTCGAGGCTTTTCTGGTAAGAGGCGAATAACAGGAAGATATCGTTGCTAGTTCCCATCGTTCACAAATGCTTTAACTGAGAAAGATTAAGTCAAGGTAAATCTAATCAAAGAACGAATAGTGCAACGCCGGCTCCGATCAAAAGAATAGTTCTTACTTCTAGTCTCTAATACTCGAATCGTCTCTGAGAAGCGGACCTGCATGAAATACACTGGGCCTCTACGAGAAACGTCTTAAGAAATAATGACGCTTCCTGACGTAACTAAGGAGTTTGTACAAATTAAATTGTGACGCACACGCCAATGAAAATAGTTTTTATTCATAACTAATAATTTAAGTTTTTATATGTTTTTCTTCTTCTTTTACTATGGGAAACATTTTACGTAAATTCGGTATAAGTTATGTACATTGACAGGCAAAACATTCTACCCAACTGATTTTTTCTCATTTTCTCGATAAAAGAAGATGCTGTTTTTAATCTGTCTCGTTGTTTTTATCAATAAATATTTGTTTATACTATGTTTTAAATTGGGAATATCAATTAGGCGTAAACACACTTAATCCTTAATCCAAAACAAGGATAAAGGATTTTTCAATGTTTAATATTTACGGAATTTCGGCAGACGGTTTTCATCCATGCCGTCATTTTATGTTATATTATTATTTACGGAATTTAAAATTTTTTATTCAGACTCATTTGAATTCTGAAGCAATAAACTGTTTAGTTTTCATCTTTGTTTTCTTAATTTCAATTTTTAAACTTAAAAATGCCACTTAGAGCTGAGGATGTTGTGCGAGGTGTGGCACTTATTGATGATTGAAGTTCCGTCAGGCAAGCAGCTATTGCCATCGGAGTTTCCTACGAAACTCTGCGAGACGCCGTTAGACGTTTTAGAGTAACTGGGCCCTACCATAGAAGGCCTGGTTCTAGAGCCCTAGGGTAACAAAACCACAGACTGACCGTTTTTTGATTTTGAGAATTTTGCGAAACTGGCACCTTACTGTTGTTCAAGCGATTCATCAGCTCCAGGAAGTTTGAGGTGTTCAAATTTCTGAACGCATTGCCCGAAGAAGATTAAATCAGTATGGACTGATCGCTTTTCGCCCCGTAAGAGGACCAGAATTGACGAGAACACACAGAGTTGCACGGCTCGCATTTGCTCGAGAACACAGCCATTGGTCTTTGGACGACTGGTCTGCTGTTCTTTTTACAGATGAGTGTAGATTTGCTCTACGATTTACCGACGGGGGTGAAAGAGTGTGGAGAAGCAAAATGAAAGGTACGAAGCCTGTAATTTTTCCCAGAGCCAACATGTTCAACGTACCTTAGTGATGGTGTGGGCTGGAATTTCAATGGAGAGTCGCACAGAGTTGGTTGTAGTTCGTGGAGGGTCATTGACGGCCATTTGCTATGAGGATGAAATTTTGGAACATGATGCGTTGCCTATCCTCGATGAAATCAGCGACAATCCTATTCTAATGCACGATAATGCCCGTCAACATGTCGCTCGGGTTTTAGCCTGGCCAGCCCGTTCTCCAGACTTGAACCCCATCGAACATTTATGGATAACCTCAAAAGCCGAATAAGAGCACGCCCATCACTTCCTGATACACTCCACCATCTTGAAAGGACTCTTCGTGAAGAATGGGCAAACCTCCAAACAAAGAGACATTTCCAGACTGGTAGAAAGTATGCCGAGGTGTCTTCGAGATGAATTAAGGAGGAATATGCGATATTCAAATGTTAATTAAAAATCTAAAACAAAATTAAAACAAATTTAATCTGTCCGTCTTTTTAAAGTTTTTAAAATTTTTCATTTTCGTTAGCAATTTACACTTTTTTAAAACTTTTTTAGCCGAAGACTCAATTATTAAACGTTAAAAAACGTGAAACTTTGATTAATATATAAAAATGGTATGTACAAATCAAGTTATATTACAAGTGGGTGGAATTTTTTGCCTGTCAGTGTGTACGTGTTTTTTTGTTTATGGGCGAAAAACATCAAAGGTTATCATTGTCTTTGTGCTACTTTGTAGCCAGTGGTTTACTGGAAATTATGGAAATTTATGTAGCTTATAGAGATTTCTCATTTTTAGACTTTCCAAGACCTGATCAATGTTTTTATGTTCATTCCCTAACTTTTCCTTTTAGTCCAGGGGATTTTGGAGCAACAGGCCCACTTCAGACAAATGGGAGGGGGCGCAAGTATGTGCAATACAACTAATTTATCACCACAAAGACATGTTGGTGCTATAGTTTTTTCCATGAGGTGCTTGTAGGTCATATTCGTAATCGACATAGTACGACCTCATCACGCCTGAAAGTTTGGATTGACGTTTCCAAGGTTTAACAGTCTCTTTTATGTTTCTTAATTTGTTGGAAGTGGTTTGTTTCCAATTTTCCCAATTTTCAATTAAAAGTTTGAAAGCAGTCTTTATATCTTCAAGATTTATTAAAGCTGAGATGATGGGATTGTTCTGTTCAGCTTTTGAAGCGTCGTCAGCTAGCTCATTTCCCTTAATCCAGAAATGATCCCATCCCTATCCATCCCAAAATGTTGTGAACGGACTTGAGGGAGAAAAAGACGTGGCTTTTTTGTCTGTTATGTTGCCTGTACGGACCAACGTACCTTCTGCTCTCGCTTGTGCACTTGCTCTCAAATTATAATGATAATTTAATAAAATATTTATTAACATCATATTTATTACATCACAGTATATATCGTGGCACTTTTATATTGAAGTGCGAAAGGCAGCTTTATGATCTTCAACTAAATGTCCATGACTATGTTACATTGCTTTTTTTACTTTATTTTCTTTAAAAAAAACGCACTGGCACTTGCGATTCAGAGGGAAAAATTAATCAATATATGTTTAGCGGTCATAATTGACCTATTTAATTGTTTTAATTATTTATACTTTTTATCTAAAATCTTGGTTGAGATGAAAAAGTTAGTGTCACGAGTGGGATTGGCTCAATACGCCGCTGCTCTAACCAATAGCTCACAAGTGGTTGGTGTATTGAGACGAAAGTCGTGGGTTCCAATCCCACTCGTGACACTAACTTTTTCATCTCAACCAAGACTTTAGAAATGTGTGGTGGTTAGTGACCGTTAATCGATAATTATTCAGAAATCGTTAGATGCGGTCTGGTATGATGTAGGTTCAGAAAAACATTTTCTTTATCGTGCCAACGTGCCAATAAAGATCGAAACGCTGGCACGATAAAGAAAATGTTTTTCTGAACCTACATCACACCAGACCGCATCTCACGATTTCTGAATAATTAATTCAAGACTTAAGATAAAAAGCATAATTAATTGAAATAGTTAAAATTAATATGTTATAAGAACAAATTAAGAATTATTACTCTCGCCCTTCCAGTTGCTCTCAAGTCTCATGTGCCCACGAACGTACCTTCGGCTTTCGCCTGTGCAGTTGCTCTCAAATTACGTACGCACGAACGTACATTCTGTTTTCGCTTTCGCAGTTGTTTATGTCTCCAGTACTCCTGAACGTACCTTCTACTCTCGCCTGTGCAGTTGCTCTCAAATTAACTATGCACGAACCTAAAACCCTTCATTATATTGCAAATGTTCCTTTCTTCAGGCCGTACCTTTTACCATGACCTCAACATCCCTTATGTCTCACACGCCATTAAATCGAGATACACCAAATTCCACACCTCACTCACTGGCCATCTCAATCCATTAGAAACCCAACTTTCCTCAGCCACACTTCCAGATGGTCCACAACATCGACTGGAACGCTCAATAATCTCATCTTGAGAGGTAGCGAGTGAAAAGTGAATGCTTAGGCTGACCGACGCCTCCGCTCAGGACAATATAAGTCAATTATATTTTTCTTTCACCATTGTATTTTTTTGTTGTAGTTAATTTTATAGTTGTAATGAAAAAGGAAGGTTTTTGATCATTACTTACAGTTAACTTCTTGAAAGTTCCTGAGTATAGAATGGGTTTCTTTCTGACTTAGATGAAATGTTCAGTAGTCAAAAGTTCCTGTTCACTTAAAAATTCGAGGCAATACATTTCTCTAAAATCTTCTATATGGTTCTATAAGGTCTAAATAAAAATTTATGATATTGATTTCTTCCGGGAACTTTAGAGTTGGAAATAATTATGCTTTGTATGTATAATAAGTTTACGCGGGAGTCTGCGAGTAGGTGAACCCGCAGTTTGGTCGTTTTCGATAATTTTGGCCTACCTATTCTCTCTGTTTTTAAAACAATGATGATGGCGAAAAAACAAAAAAGGAATATAGACCAGAATGATTGGAAATGTGTCAACTACAGACTTGACTGTGTCTCCACAACAACGACGTTAATTGATGTTGAAATTTCCACAATGGAAATAAGTGGGTACAACGACATGTGGATTTGTTGAATTAACTCACTATATTACACGGTAGACCCAAAATGGCTATATGTCTTTTCTCGAATCCAGGGGGAAAAGTGACTCCACTTTTCGTGATGGTGGAAGAAAACTGCATCAGCCACAAGCAAAAGTAAAGATCTTAAGATGCAGTATTCGCCCAAGGGCGGATCCAGGTTGGTCATCAGGGGGGTTAAAAAATTTCGATTTTTTTTGCACAGTAGACCTACAAACGTGCAAATTGAGAGAAAACTCTATACATTGTTTAGCGCAATACTTTCTCCTCCTTCAAAGGGAAAACTGAAAAAATCACTTAATTTAAATGTTTGAATAGTTTAATTTTATAAAGGCACATAATTTTATAAGTTTCCAAAATGTTTTTCCGTCATAGTCTGCATTGTAAATATTTTTAGTCACCAACATTAACGAATATAAAAAATTTATCGCCAACTTAGAGGTTATCACATCAAGGGATCGAATAAGAAGATTAGAAGTAGAAATCAGAAAATATGTCTAATCACGAAAAATCATGGTCTGCAATGCAATTTTCTACCACAAAACATAAACGAACAGAACAAACCCTCACGGCAGTAAGGAGTGAGACTTCTTTGTTTTGCGGAATCAATTCAGCGGTGCTAAAAATTTGCTACTTTAAAAATTATGGAATAATTTGAAAACAATGGGTATATATTATTATTTATTTTATACAAAACGTAACATCATAAACATATTGCAAAATGATAAAAAAAATAGTCAAATTTTTTGTTTATTATTAACAGCTGTCCTTAAATTAAATTGAATTCGTGCCATTTTTTCCTAGACCACTGAAAACAATGAAAATAAAATAATGGTTTACTACTTAACAGGCTAAT